AATTTCAGCGGAACGGCTTAAAGTCAAAAAGATTCGGGATCTTAGCCCTTGACTTCAAACGCACGAGGCCCAATCCTCAAACGATGGCAAAACGTGGAAAATTTTCGAAATTTGAGAACGCATATCGCTTACATCTTTGCCTTGTTTGGTTTCTTATTTTGGGGAGGAGGGGGATCCTAGTGGGAGGGATGTTATCGGACGCTCCAAGCTAGTATAGACATCGCAATGAATATGAAAATTAAATTTATGTAGTACTTAGTCGAGCTAGATCCATCTCGACAGCCTCAAAAAATAAGACATCTTGCTGCGCCACGTCTTTTCCTCGCTTCAGCTGCTGCACCATGCGCTCGATCGTGGTTTTCAGGTACTTGTATTAGAGCTTGCGACGTCGGTGGAGATGGAGAGGAAAACAAATCGAAAGCACTATTGTGCACCATGTTCGTTGGTCATTAAGGACCGATTCTTCATGAAATTTGAATGATCCATTATTTGCTTGATGATGTCGTTGTCGCAGTGACAGTTGTGATATAATTGTTGATAAAAAAAATGATCATGTTAGCATTAAGTAATCCTTGTAGCATAATGTCATAATTGTGATTGATGTAAGGAGCGCGATCGCGGTTGGCATTGCGATGCAACGCCAGCTTTTTTCCATACCGCATTCTGTTTTACTTTTTCGGCAGTCCGCAGTCGAAGCAAAGAGGACGCAGCGGATGTCGCGATAGCTGCCAGTTTCACTTTCACGACATCAACAACAACGAAAGAAGACTATGAGCGAGCAGATGATTGTGCTGCGAGGACTGCGAAGGAGTCGTGATGTAATATGAAAATTCTACAACTTCTATTAACATTCTAATATTAGTACCCCGCCTATTTCTTTGTATCAAAGCATTAGATCATTCATCCTCGCAAGACAATCACAATGGACATAATCATGATCAATCAATGTAGTTCGGATTCTTGAAGCATGACAATGTATTGATTCATCATGTACTAACAACTGACATGGTCTCTAAACTTCTATTTGTCATGTAGTCCTGGCGTGGGCAACCATAAGATGATGAGACAGAGTCTGAAATATTTTAGCGCGAAATAATCATCGAGCGAAATGCTTCCCAGAAAAAGCGAGTAAGTCTTGTTTGTAAAAATAAAAGAAAGCGTTAAATTCATTTTCAGGAAGCAAGCAAGTTACTGCTAAAAAGCTCAACATTGCCTGATCGCCATTTTTCTGTGTTTGAATTTGGAGGAAGAGGTGCTCCTTGTGAAACTGAAAGTGGGACTCATTGTTATGCTTACGAGTTCATCTCAATGAAAATGCTGCAGCATGCTTCCACGTCTAGAATTTATTCTTTCAACTTCAACTTCACAAGTAATTGCAATTCCGCGTTGAGCGCAAAATCTTATTTCCGAGAGCACACCAGTCAGGTGAGTGTACAGAATCCTAAGCGCTTTGAAGGAGTAAACACAAAATCTCATCTTCAGCAATGTTGTGTTTCTATCCCAGACGAGAAGGACAATGTGGGGTCGTTCGCGAATATTCATTTTCCGTTTGGATAACTTGGACCTTAAATCTGATGTTCATGTTGATTGAGTAGATATAGAACAAGTACAAGGTAGGCATCGAGATAGATTATTTTCGTCCAGGAAAACTCAACACTTTTCGGTCAAAATCAAAATTATTTTATGATTATGAACACATGTTGCTTGTGGCGGAAATTTCTGAATTATACCAGTGGTACCTGGTGACGGGTAAGAGGTATCAAACCTGTAGACCGCAAATGTTGCTAGGTGGAATTACACCTAATCTGCTGCCTGTTCTTGTAGAAGTTGATCCGTACTATCTATAGTGTTTCGATCTCGGATACGGATAGATTGTAGTGACACAGTGGCTTGTCACTGGTTTCAATTTCCGTCAGGTGCTGGTGCAGTTTGATGCTGAGGGGAAATATCCCAGCCGACAAGGACTAAGCAGTCCTGTTCCTGCCATTCTCTTTTCTCAACCTCTGTTCCGAAATTCACGAGGTGAGCGTATCGTCTGTGGCGTTGACCAGCCAGGCCGCCGCCTGGTGCGTCAGGCCAGCACCAGCGCAGATTAGAGAATTCGCTGGAGTTGACACTTGTTGAGGGATCATTAGTCCAGAAAAAGTGATAGGTATAAAGACAATCCGTCGACGACCGTCAACTCGTCCTGTCACAATTTGGTCCTGAAGCAAAAACTTTTTCTATGTATGATTTCAGGACCATATGAAAATCACAGTTGCGTCTCATTATCGAGGCGTGCCAGCCGCCACCGTAATTGCGCCGCATTTGCAGCGCTAGCCAGCTTAACATCACGCCCATAGGACCTGACTCGCGCTGCACTTCTGGTGGCCAATCTTTCTCACAATTACTCTCCAGGTCCAGTCTTAGAGCCCCTAGGCTTAAAGGGATACGACACAAATACCGCCGAGAATAGCTGAAGCTATTTCAGTAAGTTCTGGGACGACTCAGTTGTGTCTGGTCTCACATGCGGTGGCGTTTCTGATCCTCTAACTATGGTTTCTCGCATGTTGGACTATCATGGCGACGTCTACTTCGCGTCAAACATGCTGGAGCAGAAAGTTTCAGCGTAAATATGTCAGGCTTTTCTTTCCGGTTTCTGGGTCTATTACTGGCACCTCGTTTTCCCAGAAGGTTAGCCCACGCGCAACAGCTTCCCACGCAACACTACGCATTTGTGGCGTCAGGACTTTTTAGAGTTTTCTACGACCAAAGAAAAGCAAAAAGGAAATCGAAATGCTGATGCTGGAATTTCATGATGAGCCCTGCTTTCTGTTCTTTGTCTTTTCCTAAGGAGTCCACTCACTTTGAATCGCATCATCCTCGTCGTCGTCGTCGTCGTCCGTATCAACAACTGTTCCACCGAAGTCTGCATGGCCTTTACACATTAGAGTCTTAGACAAACCACTTTTTACACTTTCATCTTTGTCATCCATTTTTTACCACTAGCTACTTCTTGTTTTATAGCTTAATAGAAGTAAGTCCGAGTCCGTCGATTTCATGAAACTCAAAGTCAAATTACCCAAGTCAAACTGCCAGATAACTACTCAAGCACTAGAAGACAGACAGAGATTGATGATCATTTCCTAACTCAAAATCCTCTTTTGTGATCTGTTTCCAATAAAGCTCATCTTTCAGGCATTTCAGCTCCCCTTCGAGCTCAACTATGCGGCGATTTTTCTCCAGGATATCCCGATCGAAAAGCACGCGAGAGGCTAGGGCCAAGTTTTCCATTTCCTTGGTCTTGTTGTAGTTTGGTCAACAAGCAGGAACTAGATAAGTAATATCGGATGCTACTTCACAAGTTTAAAGGAGCGTGATAGCTGAATATGACAATGCTGGTGAAAATCAACGAAGTACTTCTAGAAGAAGATAAAGATACAGGGAGGAGTCGAAATCTACTATGTCATGACGAAGATTGGAAGGATGATCTACTACACCCACATCAGCTATTGCTCTTGCGACGAAAATTAAGGTGGAAGGTAATGGTGCTTCTACTACCTAATCGACGCGCAAGGGATCACAAAACAAACGCAGAGGGCGACTATGATCACCAGCTTGATTTCTCTGACCTGTTGTCGGTGATGTACGAAGAAGATTGTGAATGCACGATCCGATGCCAGATCCAGAACCTGCTAGGTTGCAAGCCAATCGGAAGAGGCCACGCTCTGTAGTGCGGGATCATTCGTTTTCTGCGTGTAGGTGTATCTTGCATGTCCAAGTGCATAGCCATAGATGCCGTACACTGCAGCAAGACCTCAACTTGTTCTAACAGATTTCCCAATCGTTACAGCATTCCTGGCAGAAAGATGAGCTTAGCAAGTGCTCTTCGAGAAGAAGCTGTTTTTGAACTTATTATTTTTTTACGATTCCAAACAATCTTCAAAATCAAGGATGCCTTTCCCTTTGTCTGTGTAGTCTCCTCTGCTATAAACCATCAATATCGAAAGCCCTAACCCAATCTCACTGTCACTGTCTAGTCATTTGGTAATAGCTTACACACGAATGCCACGACGATGTATTATCCAAACTTTTGCTACTGTTACACGTACCTGATTAGATCAAAGAAACAAAAAATAGGTAACGGGTGACTGGTGTCCAAACTGTGTCAAAAGACTCACTCGTCACATCTAGTAAGTACTGTACAAAGAAAGGCGGAAATTCAAAAAAGAAACTAAGTTTTCTTCTTGCAGTTGGGGCTTTGCAGTTCAACACGACAACAAAAAGCAAACATAGTTCAGCTTTGGATCTGAAGGATCAGTCGCGATTATCTCCTGTCCCCCTGCTAATTCCTGCGAGTGAGATAGCCGCCTCAGAACGTGAGAACGTTTCGCTTTATTCATGAACGCCCCTCGACGAAGAAGAAAAGCGTACGCAATGATGAAGGTCGACTACTTCAACTTCATGATGTTGAGCTCGAAGGGTTTGCTATGGGATCCGCAAATTTCATTTGGTACTCCGTGTCGACGTCCGCTTCAATTTCGGTCAGCCACGAGTTCACCTTCGACATGAGTCGCTCCTTATGCCGCTCGACTCTGCATTCCTCAACTCCGCTCAACCAAATCGGCATGACGCGCGCCAGTAAATGCTTACAGTATCTGGTTGATCATGTTGTCGTGTAAGTAGGTACTAAAGCTTGTTATCAATAAATATGTCAGGCTGAAGACGTAGACGAAGAGTTTTTGTTTTTGCTCACAAGTTTTGAAAATGCTGCAATGAGATACGGTTTAGCTTCTCATCACATGTTGATGTTGTCGGGGAGAAAGAGAGTATTAATATGGGTCACTTATAGTAAGTAGACTATTCAATTTCAAATTCGAATTTCTCAACCTAGAAAACGAACATATTTTCAGCAGTGACTCCTGGTAGAAGAAAGCGAAGGGGTTTGAGTACGCAGAATGCGCCTTCGCTTGTTTTTGCAATGCCAGCTGTCTTGCATGCCATCGCCAAGTTTCAACGAATTTGCGTGCAAGCACTTTGTGATACAGCTCAGCTCCTTCGGCTCGCGCTGCTCGCAAATTGCATTGAAGAACGGCGGTAACGGTTTCACGCGCAAGTCGTACACGGAGACGATCGGCCTTCGCATTTTGTGCTGCTTCGGCGGATTGCTTTAGAGCTCAAAAAGAAAGTTACGACTTTCTGATCGGTGGGCGTGCCCATCTCATTTTTCAGGTACATCATGTACTTATTTCTCTAGTTGAGCAACATGAACATTATCATGACTCGTGAGGTACTTCTTGAGTAGCGAAGACAAGCAGCGGAAATAGTAGCAATGACATTGACAGATCGAGGGATGATTCGATTCAATCTAGAAGTTGTAGCCTTAACTCACGTGCGCTGCGACTGCGGACTGCGGTCTGGTTCCACGCAACGACAACGAAAAATGAAGGAGTACAAACTACATAGGAAAGGTCGAAAACAAGTACGTAAATATAACAATCCCAGACGAGTACAGGTACACAGTACCTTTTTATTATTTCATAGAAAGCGGTCGCCCTTAAATTTATTCCCAAGTAGTTCATTCTGTTGAAGATAACAAGGTGGAGGTATGGCACTACGACAGGTAGAGATGCTTCTGTCTTCAATATCTAGTACAACACGTCGTCTTAAATTGAAAAGCCTCGTCTCCACATGGAAACGTGCCGCAATCTGGGTGGTCTCGGTCATTTTGCGCCACATGCGGTCCAAATTTTCGAAACTTTTCCGTATGAGGGAAAAGTCATGCCATTGACGCGCTTCCCGCATTTGCTTTCTCCGAAGTGCTTTTTCCGCCTCTTGCCTCTCTCTGAACTCGGCTTCCTGTTTCTGTTTTAATTGAGCATCACGAATGCGCTGCCGCTTTTCTGCTGCTTCCCGTTCGAGCTCTTCGGCTTCTCTCTGCCTTTCCAACTGTCGCTTCTGCTCCTCGGCCTCTCTCTTTCGATTCTCCAAAATCTCGTGTCTCTGTCGTCTTTCCTCTGCACGCTTCTCCATCTGTGTCACAAGCTTACTGCGTTTCACGACTGCACCAGTAACGCTGTTGGATGATGCAGATGCAGGAGTTTCCACCAACCCACTTATCACTGACGTCGATGTCGAATTGTGGTTGTTGTCATAATTGCTGCATGCTTTTGTGTTCTGAGTTCTGCTTGTTGTTGTTCGCCTGCGGTTGCTTCGAGCGGCAGCTGAGCCGCTAATCTCAGACGTTGGAGAGTTTTCAAATCTCTGTGCATTTGGGGATCTACCAAGAGACGAAGTTGGCGTCGTTGCTCCACCAGCCTGCGACACACATCTAGCGGGATATCGTACAGCGTAAGGATTTTGGGATGCTGCGGTGTCTGTTCCCGGCGTACTTCGTATATCCCGATGCATTCCGTCAACATTACCATGGTCAGCTGTACCGGGTGCTCTTCTGTTTCTACTTCTATTAGCACCGGTACCTCCGCTGTCGTGTACGTGTTCGCCTACCATCGCTTCAACATTGCCGGCATTCCTTAGTTGTAGGAATTTGCGAGTTTTCTCTTTCAAATTGTCAAGAGCCCGCAAATGACTTGCCTCGCGTGCCCAAATGGTCCACGCACGCACACAGCGACCAGCCGACTTTTTAAAGGCAAACTCTTTTGCGCGCGCCTCTAGCGCTTTCGCCCGCGCCATCTCGAGGAACCACGCCTCCTCTGCTCGTTCGGCCTGCACGAGCTGCACCGAGCGCAGCCAGACGTGCCAGGCACTTCGCTGGAGCTCAAGATTGCGCGCACGTAGCGCGCGTCGCAGACGGTTCTGAACCTCCTCATGAGCTGCTTTCAGCCGTGCGAAGGCCCAGCTGCGGTGCCGTTTCGACAGCTGGCTGACGATGAAAGCCGTAGACGCTACGACTCGTTTGCAACCGAAGTCTCGCCTCTTCGCGGTCTCGGCGTCCTGCTTGCGGCGCTCTGCATCCTGCTTGCTGCGCAGTTGCGAAAGCTGATCATCAATCTTAGCTTTCTCCACAACGGCTCGAGCTTCTTTCTCCTTCGCTGTGAGCAGAGACTTATACCTGACGTCGATGTGACTCGTCTTGATGTTGTTGTAAAAAAATAAAAAAGTGAATCGATGTTAAATTAACAGTCTGGCGAGCAAGAATGGTCGACGACGACGACGACGTGTTACATTGAGAGTACTTAGACAGATATAGATTAATGGAGTCAAAAACGAGGACACCAGAGATGAATACAGACTATTTTACGCGTCTGTTTCCCTGCGCAGAGTCGTCTTTGCCTTTTTGAGTTCCGCCTCCCTCTGTGCCAGCGCGTCTTCGGCCGTGCTTACGCTGGCAAGATCGAAATTATGCTCGTCGAAAAAAGATTGAGATTCAGTTGCAGTGCCAGCATCGCTTGCGTCACAGGTCGTCGGCGAAAAGTTTAGGGTTCCATTACCACTACAGGTCGAGGCAGCGGTGGAACAGAAAGGATGTTGTTGTGAAAGTGGATGGCTCGCCTCATGACGGGCTCCATTTTCACCGGGTCGACCGAGAGGTGAGGAAGCGGATAATGGTCGCCCAGCAGCTGATGAAATTTCTCCGTTTTGGTTTCTCTGATTCGTATTCGAACCTGCTGCAGTCCTTCTCTTCGATCCGCGCTGCTCAATAGGCGCTGGTGTAGTCCAGATCGAAGTAGATGAAGAACTTTTAATTGTACTGCTAGTTGAGCCACCTCTTCCTCTTGTGCTGCTAGCTACGTTTCCACCGCCTGCCACAACTGGTGGCAAGACTCCGGGAAAAAACGTCGCGGAGCCCCGTTTGCGCTCTTGCCGCTTTTCTTGAATCATTCGATGTCGCTCTTCCATCATAAGTCGTGGGTCAACATCTTTCACCCGGTCAACTGCAGTCTGTAGTGGAGCACTCCGCTCGCTTGTTTGCGCTGCGTTCCGCCTCTCAGCATTCACACGCTCGATAGCGTTCATGGCAACAGCAAGGTCCTCCTCGAAATCAGCGGAGAGTGTTGCGGACTTGTCTCGCAATACAGTGTGAATCGCATTGGCTGATGGTGGAGGGATTGCGTTGTGTTATTCTATCGATTTTGATGACAATCTCTGTTTAGTCATCCACTAGGAGCTACGCCTTCGGGGCAGAATCAAACGCAAACTGAAGAATGCATCAAACAAAAAATCTTCTTCTTGTTATTTCGGTGCCATCAAAGTCAAAAGTCTAGTGAGTCGTACCATCCAAAGCAGATGCCGGCCTTTTCGTTCTGCCTGGAGTTAAAGGTCGTTTCGTGGTACTTGCACGCAATGGGTCCTGCGGCCCCGAGGCCATGCGATCCCACTTAAAGAGACCGGTAGAAGTAGAAGACGACTTGGAACTAATATTTTCTTCTTCATCGATGCTCTTTCTGAATGCTGAAGAGCTGGAGGACGATGATGTTCCGAAAGTCGTACCAGATGAAGACGAACCTGCGCCTCCTAGTAGTGATGTTGAACTAGTTGTACAAAACATCAAAGATGAGGAAGATGGAGCCGTCGGCGCCGAAATCAGGCTACAACTACCGGAAGGCCACTGCGAATTGGCTCCGGTCTTTTTGGTAATCTCAGCAGCCTCTTCTTCGCACTGTAGCCAATTTTGCAACAATTTGCGTGCCTCGGTTCGCGAATCAAAGCCACCTGTAGTTGCAGCTCTGTGAACAACATCTTCAACATTATTTATTCCTTGTTTCATCTGTCCAAAGGTACTAGTGTGATGAACTTCACGTCCTTCGTTAGCAACTGCAGATGCCATGTCCACGTCTCCAACTCCCTGATCCTCGTTGTAGTCCACGAATACGCCACTTCTGAGAAGCCTCGGAGAGTGATCGGAACCCGACTGGGCGGGTCCTGAAGAAGTCGTCTCAGCATTTCTTAGGCGGTCGAGAATCGAAGCGGTTGACAGGTCATCAATGTTGCCGAAGACCCCAGTCGAGCCCCGCACTTGCTCGCTCGAAGTTGACGGAGCTGAGCCAACATTCGCAAACGAAAATGCGGACGAGGACGCCGACATCTTATATATGCTTCGTGCGGCGCGTTCTTGTCCACAGATTCCGAAAAAAAGAACTTGATGGTGTTGAGAGGAGATGCAGATGCCGTATTCGTGTGCTGATGGACATATCCTCTATGCGATATTGGACGATAGTTCACCAGTCGTACCTCTCTTTCTCTCGTCGCCTGATTTGCGTTATATTATTGCTATCTACGATTAACAAACCGAGAAGTCCGCGTTTGCATGTTTCGAAGGTTCTGCGGCTTTCGTATCAACATTCGACACAAGAAATGTATACGCACTGAGTGAGAGTAAAAAAAATAGTTATTTCGAAATCAACATAAGAAACTCATCTCATTGCAAGGTACAAAGGTGGGATTGGAATCTTTTACTTGATATGTGGCTCCTTGGTCGTTACCCGAACGTAGCAAGAGCAATGACACGTCCAATAACAGCAATTGAAGAAGCCGTGGTGTTTATGAGGATTACATCAAAATCACGATCATTCAATGATGATTGATCAAGTATTCAGTCGGGGAAAAACTACATAGAAGGGACTGACAATAAAAGATAAATGATAGATGTACTAGATACATACATAGTACTAATTGATACTCATACAACTGACATTAGATAGGATGATTGAAGTGATTACAAAAAGAACAAAATGTGCAGCGTGTAAGCATCATCAATAACAAGAGATAACCCACTAGTGTCAAATTCATTCGTTCGCTATCGCAGCCTTCTGTGCGTTTGCTTTGCGTGCTTGCAGTACCACGGCCGCGACAGAGGTGAGTAGGACGAAGACAGATCCGGCACCAAGAAGGCCCCATGCTGCTGCTATTTGGACAAACGAGAATTGGCGGACTAGACTCGTTGCGCAAGCAGGTCCCGAGGTTGCGACAAGGACCTTGGTCCCGTAGGTGAGCCACAAGAAAGAGCCAACGTCACTCGCAACTTCAACAGCAAAAGCGATGCGAAACATCTTGGGAGGTATAATGAAGCTGCTTGGTGGAGATGATTTTGAGGCAGTGATAGGAAAATCAGACGAAGCAGACACAACTCCAGCGCCACTTGATGTCTTGCTGCTGTTTCGGGTAGTTGCATTCCCGCCACTTGACGCTGTCGTGCTCGAAGATGCAGCAGTTCGCTTACTAGATTCCCGACTGCTAGCTACTCTGCTGCCACTGCAACGCCGTGCCTGGACCTCTTTCAACCGCTGCTGACCTCTTGAAACTCCATATTGCGGCGGCAAAAAAAGCGACACCAGCGATGACCCGGGCAAGTAAGACCACCATGGGGGATCATGTGAACTCGATTGTTTTACGGCATCCGTTTCGAACGACGGCACAGGGTAAGAGAACGTCAAATCATCGGTCAGGTAGGTCTTTACAGCTTTATTTCCCGCAGCAGACCTACCTTTACTGCTCTTCGATGACGACGTTGAAGTGGCCATCTTTCTCATACGCGCGTCGGAAACAGGATGACCGTCCATCTCGTACTCCTCCTGAACGTCAAGGATGACCCAATTTGCGCTGTCGCCGACTGGATCCGCCTCGAGTTTCCAGGCTGTCGGAATGCGGAATATCGCGTCAAAATCATCCTCTTCTGGGGCAAAGTTGAAACGCAGGAAGTAGCGGCCAAATGCGATTGGGCGATCAAAGCAAACTTCGCGAACGCGGCCGTTTTGGCGCACCGCGCTGGCCATCACCTGTTCACCAAAACTCCACTCACGCGCATCCCTCAAAAACAAGTCGAAATCCAAGGGCTGCGTTCGTCCTCGAGAAGTCTCTTTACTCGTCGTCACTGGCTGAGTAGCCTACCAGTTGCGGAGGAAAGGCGAAAGTGGTGTTGAGCAGAAATCATTATCCATCGAAAATCACTCCAACACGAACGCCTGTAAGTCCTTGTACAACTAGTTACTTGTGATCAAGATGAATAAGGTCTGTGACTAGTAGTATGGATCCTCGTATTCCTCGATATATTATTTACCTAGCAAAACAGGTAGGCAAGTACGTACTTACCTCCATATCCGCCCAAACATCGACGGTTGCAGTCTCCAGCACGGTAAGACGATAGCGAACAAAGCTGCGTTTTCCGTACGTGGCAGTTTTTGCAACTGCATATGAAGTTGGGAGTCCGAGTGCAACAGTGCCGAATAGCCACTTACGCAGAGCTCTATCGCACAACGATGTCGGGGAAGACGCGGTCAGAGCTAGTGTGGCAGCATCCAAGGCAGCAAATGCAAAAAGAGCGGATGGGACCCACCGTGCTTGTCCGGTCTTTGCAGGAGGTGGAGGTGAACTGCCGTCGGTCTCGGGTTCGTCTTCGTCACCAGATCCGGAAACAAAGGTCGCGCCAGCACGGCGACTTTGTCCTCGTGCATCAACGGAATCCTTCTCGTCATAATCTGGTCCGTGTCCATAATCGTCATACTCAAAGAATTCTTCTTCCGAGGAACAGGTGAATGACTGAGACTCCCCTGCATCATCCGATTTACTTCCTTCGCTGTCACTGTGATATATTTTTCTTCCAAGACGCCGCCCCCGGCGTCGTTTCAAAAAACGATGCCTTACGGCTCTTGAAGTCGAATTTTCAAGTGCGCACGTTCTTGGAATCAGATCGTTTGTAAAGAGAACGCCAGCTGCTCCCACAACAGGTGGCGCGACTCCACTAAGCAGGACTCGAACACTTTGATGATCATCCGGAAATAGGAAGCTCGTAACGTCGTTCACTTTGCTAATGCTCCTACCAACACCTCCTAAACCTCCTCGAAAAGATGGCGGATACACGTAGCAAGTTTCTCCTGGCAAAAAGCCGTGGTGATCTCGGATCGCCGTGTGCAATGTAGCCGTCATGGTAGCATGGTATTGATAATCTCTAAACGAGCGGTGTCTGATGTTGAGATTGATGTCAACGGGCTGTTGATTATCATTTCGATCGTGCTTGAATTACTTCTATGTATTACCTGTAGTTGTAGTTGTTTTCGCCTGGTGTGCCTCCCTGGCGATGTACTTATCTAGAAGTCATGGGGTGCAGACTGGAAAAGAGATGAATGACAGGTGGATGCGGGAGGTGCTGGGTGAAAATGGATTCAAAACTAAAATGATCATGAGTAGGAAACGATACAACCGACGACTCCGCATCATTGTGAGTGGGCGAACCGATATCGAACGATCCCGGTTTTCTTCTCTACTTCCAGTTGCGTTCCTCGCGGTGAGACCGATTTCCCTTCTGAGATTACTCTCAATAACCGAGAATCAATGGCGCGAACGATATCAACGACAAAAAGAGGAGCAGAGTTAGGTGGACACGACGACGACGACAGCTTCTTATTCACATTTGACGAGAAGCAAGACAGAATGACACCGACAAAAGGGTATTATCCCAAACCTTCTCCAGCCAAGATAATTAACATTGATCTTTCTCGCGTCTCTCGCTTGTTGGTGAACACTCCGCAAACAGATCTGCTACGTGTTCACGCATTTGTATTTAGTTGAGCTTAAAGGACCACCGTAGTGTCCTTGGTACAAAGAGCCAATCAAAGATCTTAAACATCCTTCAATACCTGGGGATCCCACACATGTATGAGCCACGAATTATGTGGCCTAGGATAAGGTATGGGACCAAGCAGGATCACTTAACTTATCAATTTCCATGAAGAAGTGAAATTTTACTTGGATGCACAACACTGACTATGGGGGGAGGCCAGTGAGATCCTTGGGAGGAGGCTCCGTTTTCGTCATTAGCAGCGCTATGACTCGGGGGTCCTATAACTAAAGAATTATGAAGAGGAAAAAATTTTACAAAGAGATGTTTGATTTAACGGGCGACGCCCCATAGGTGTGGGTTTTGAATGATGAAATCAGCGTGTAATTGTTCTTCGGTTGCTAAAGAGAAGAAATCAGTAAAGGCTCGAAATCGCTCTTCTCTGGTCAGGGGATCACTTAGGTTTCTAGCCGAGCAGATCCAAGTAAAATAAATATCGAGATTATAATCTTGGATTTTCTGATGGATGCTCGCACTGAGTTTCTGAGTGCGTGGGCATCTAGTGCTGTTCGCGCATAGCGCGAAAACGTCGCCTAAGTTATCCACGTGCTGAATGAGAAAGTAGTCTCGGAGAAGGTGTGCCCAAATGAATGTGGAAACGTTCACTGCTAACGCTTCCAATATGCCTATGTGCATGTACTCGCCGGAGAGGAAGCGGGGCAATGAGTTCAGCTTTAAGCGGAAAAAGCGTGCGCCCTGTGGGAGGTTGATGTAAGCGCCAATTGACATCTTGTGATCATGGAGGTTGTCGAACTGCCCACGTTTCAACTTCTCGTTGAGACCTTGCACGTCCTCAAGGGCAGCGTCCGAGTACGCATGGCCGACGGGTTTGTCAACTCGAGTTGGGTTTATGTGCAGCGGTTTAATGTGGTGCAGCGCCCACACCATCAGCTTAATCGAGGCCAACGCTCTGTTTTTCTCGGCTGTTTGGCTTAAGCATCTCGCGAAGTTGTCTGCTAGGAAATCGACCCCTTTCGCGATGAAGATCTTGAGGCGATCTAATGATGCGCAGTGGCGGAACAGCCCTCTAAAGGTAAGGACGAGAGACAGCTCGACCCGATTCTCAGCGAACTGGCGAATAAGCGCATCACCCAACTCCACACAACGTTTGATTTTGTCTGGGCTAACTGATATCTTCAGCCCGAAACTACGCAGATTAACCGGGTTTATCTCGTAGGCCAATCCAAGGACCGTGATCGATTTCTGGAAGCGATGGTGACGATCGTCTTTCTCGGGACTTCGCCACCAACCTGTGAGCCCTAAGTAAAGGTTGACCAATTCGATTTGTTTCGTAATACATTCTGGTCTGCATTGCGGATGAAAGTCGTCTATGTAAGCAGTGGTGAGTACTTGGAGTAGAACTACTATAATCAGCTGATGAATCTCGCTTGTATGAACGCACTCGTGAACGCTCGAGAGTGCCCCAAACAAAGCCACCGTAGATGGGGTCACTTGCCATCTGCGAAAACGTCCTTGATTGTCTGGTTTCGATGACACTTGGATGGAATCCGGTTGGAGGTGAGAATCAGGCACGCTGTGGGGGACGGGGTAGAACATTATGTTCTTGCTTGGATCTTCCGTACCGTGTTGGAAGTAGTAACCTTCCATGTCCGCTTTTGCCATGGCCGGCACGAAGCTGTACTTAAGGTCAGGCTTGCTGACTGGGTTTCGGTAGATCTTCTTGTTTTCAGGTTGCGACTTGTCGAAGAGTTGCTGGTGTTCTCGAAGAAGTTGCTGCCTGATTGACTTCTCCGTAGTCACATCCTCTTTAACGTCTTTCTTATTCTGTAAAATGAGATGTCGTTTTTTCCATTCCACATGTTCGGACATTAACGCGCAAGATAGTTCGATGGATGCGCGGGAACCCAAGAGACGCATGCGCTCTTTCACTACCTGAAGCTTGTTCTGGCCTCTTAAGTCAACGCAGGTGCGAATCTTGGTAGGGTTCTCCGGAGTCGGCTGATGAACCGGAAACGGGACAGCACCTCCAACGGCCGTCACGGACGAGATTGGAGCGGGCTGCCAGAAACCTTTCTTGTGCATCTTCAAGTACTGCTTCCACAAGACCTCAATGTCCTCCTCTGGTGCCCAGTGATTGTGGTCTGGAGGCATACGCGATCTTCTGGCTGCCTCTTCAGCGATTGCGCGTTTCGCCTCGACTTCGTCCGAGTCCAGCATCCTCCAGAAGCCACATGGTTCCACCTCTTTATCCATGGAAATGCCATTAATCATTTTGCGCTTCCATGAGAGAATGAATTCAGCATTCTTGTCGACCAGGGCGTCGCAACCCCTGGCGATAGATACTGCTAGTTCTAGTAGCCGGTGAGCGAGTGCGAAGTTCTTGCCATCGTAAACGACTTTAAGGTGAGGAGGCATTTTGCTGAATAATTCTGCGTTTTTCGTCCTGAGACTATGTTCTTCCGCAATAAGCCATGACGCCAGTCGCGTAGCTTCGGCGTTTATTTCTTCGGGAAGCGAAGTTTTGCTTTTTGTGATGGTTGGTGTGAAGTAGTCTGGCAGTGTAGGACCTGCGCCATAATCGCGAGCTGCATCGGTCTCGAGTACTGGCTTCCAGCTGTTCACTGCGCCTTGGACCAGTTTTTTCTCTGATTCGGTGGAAGACATAAAGAATTGCGAGCTGACTTCGGAGATGGATGAGGGGGAAACGGGTCGAGACTGGTGCTGAGCTAGTGTCGGTTTCCCTATGGATTCTTCTACATCTTGCAAAATCTCGGGTTTCGTGAAAACTTGGTAGGACGCGGCTTTGCACTGGATGAAATGTTTTGGCACTGCTTTTGATGAAGATGAGCTACCCGCGACCACCGACCTAGCGTTTTCAGCCTGCTGCTTGAGCTTCTTGAAGAAAGGGTTGGTAAATAGCGAGTAGTCTACTTTATTAATATCTACGCGCCCTCCTTCGGTACCATCCTGGAATTCGGACGACGCTCTTCTTCGTTTTGCATTTATCTCATCTGCATCCGAGCGATGGCTTTCGATTGGAAGTGACAATGTTGGCTGTCCATTGTTGGTTGTGGAACCTTTGTTGACTATTAGTCCATGCAGCGCCGGAGGCAGGTCGCCATTGCTGGCCGCTGTCAGATCTAAATCCAGCTGCGATCTCAATTCGTTGCATAAATTATCGAAGTCTCCGCGTTCTTTCTTTTCTAGGTATGCCCGCCTTTGTAGACGTAGTAGTTCTAGATGAGACTGCCTCAGGAAGTGGCCCCATTGTTGTTGCTTGAGCTCGTGAAGGATCTTTTCTTGCTGCAGCCTAGTAAAAGAATCTGGGTTGTCGTAGTCGTACTGTGGTGCCCCGTCCTCATCGACTGGGGCGTAGTACAGTGGTGGTTCGTCTTCTTGATCAAATGAGTCCATCTTGATGTAAGCTATCAGGTGGGGGGGGAAAGGGAATCAGAAGGGAGAAGTTGTTGCGCTAGCACTTATTGTGGACGTTAGTATTCTCGGACTGCGATGCTCTTTCCCTCGTTCGTGGTTGTGTGACGCCACTCGTTGCCTAGGAATGAAACCACATGGACTTTGACCCGCAAACTTTTCCACCCGCGTTTCTTCTGCAGGCTCCGCAAGGCGGCCACTGTCCTGTTGTTCGCTGTGTACAGTGTGGCGCCGATGAAGTAGCCTCGAATCTTTAAGTCGTTTGTAAGGTCTATGTCTCTACGGTGGGTAAATGAGTTCAACGCTGTAAAGATACTTTGACCGGCGTAAGGCCCTTTGTTGAAAAACTTTGAAATATTGTTTTGCGAGAAACGAAGATTAGATATATCAGTTTCTACTATACTCATTTTGTGGTGAGGTGCTACCGTTTAGGTAAGACAGAAAGCTTTTGCGAAGTCTTTTCCTGTTGAGGGGTTTTGGAGAAAAGCTGAAATAAAGTCAAGTCGAGCAAGGTCATGCGAGATGAAACCACTCTACTCAACTATTACAGAGGTCAAAGACCAAGTGCGAGGCACGGTCACGGAACAGCAGAAAGTCTAATAAAACTACAAGCAGACAAGGCGTGGTCACCGTCTAGTTGCAGTTTCGAAGGATTTGATGGGGGGGTTTCACAAAAACTGGGCAAAAATTGCATTGTGTATCAATCCAAGGGTAGTATCGCTCCTACTTCAAGGGAAGGCAAAGTAAACGAGCGGGGGGATGTGTAATATGACATGCATGAACGTTCGCTTGACCACACTAGAGAATAGCTTTTAGTAACTATAGAGATTTTTCATGCTTGGTTTTTCATGGGGGGGGGGGATGAAGGAAGAGACTTTCTGTATCTGATCTTTTTGGAATGTTGGCTGTCAGCTTGAAGCTAATTTCTTCAGCTGATCCGAGTTTAGCCTTCCTTGCAGGAATGCTTTATTGAGATATTCCAGCAATTTAAGATCTCCTCCATGTTTGTTTTTATTTGGGCAGTACTTGCCTTGGCACTTTCCTTCCATCCACAACAAACAAGTTTTTTCATCGTCGCTTTTCTTCTTTTTCACCGGTCTGTCATCCTTGTGAGATGGGGAAGGCTTCCTCGACTTCAAGGATCTGATCTCGGCTTCTAATGCCCTTGTTCGCTGGTTCACCTGTTCACGCACTAGTTTGTCTATTTCAGTTCTCATTTTCTTCAAGGCTTCAGCTTCGACGCTTTCGCGTCGTTTCTCAACTGCAATCTGAGAAACCAGGTCCGGAAAAACGTTTCCTACTAAGGTGGCCTGCAGTTGGCGCTGCTGGAAATTCGGCCCTTCGGCAACAGGTGTGGGATGAGCGAGGTTCACCTTAAGTATCGAGTAAAACAGGTCGTACACCGCTTCCAAAGACAATTTTTGCTCGTCGGATTTTGGGTCGAAAGATCCAGCCACGGCTTTCATCATCGTTTCTTGTAGTGCATTGGCATCAGCGTCGTTGATAATCTGGGTACACCGAAAGGTAGCCAATAGCGCCAGGGGGAAAAGGTTCAGATTTGCGGGGGGCTTAATCAATCGGTCGTAGTTTCGTGCTTGAAGCTGCCTGAGCACGAACAGATACTGTGCCGGTGTGCATTTATGGCGAAGATGGGTACACCGCTCTACGACCAGCATGACTTGTGCGTCAGTCGGGACGCCCAGACCTTCGTTTTCTTGAACGGCCTGCTGTCGTAAAATATTATCATTCATCTGCTGCATTACTACAGCAGGAGCTGCTGGTGGAAATGCCATCGCAGCTATCGGTTGCGGCTGACCTGCATCTTGCGGGAAGGCACCCAAGTCACCTCCCAACGGAGGAACTCCTGGTGCTTCGGCAGCTCCTGGGCCATGCCCCATTACACCTGCAGCCGCTGGAGGTACTAGTGCACCACCTTCCTGGGGCCCGGGTGCCGCCGGGAGTATACCGGCATTAGCCGCTTGTTGTTGGTCCATTTTGTTTTGAAAGTATATAAACGCAGAAGTGTATAAAGTACGAAACTAGAAACAAGAGAAAAGATAGTATAAAACTAACGTAACGTAAACAATATTAGAGAAACCGCCTGTGTTGATTGATTCGCACCTTTGTGACCAGAATTATTTATTATAAAGGGGGAGAATTAGTAGGGGGCCACTGAAGGTCGACTACGCCAAGCTTCGCTCGAGGCACCGTATTGGCTACTGGAAGAAGAGAAGGTGCTCGACTCGCCTCTAATCGCTACGGAAGAGCTATGAGGCTTCATTGTCCCAATGGAGTAATCTCTCGGCGCGAATAAAATTGGCTTCTTCAGGGGCCATCGTAGGCCAACATCATCTGGCAGGGCTCTAGCATTTCCCAGGTATCTGTACATGCTATCAATGGACTGCCACCGGCCCACTTGCTGAATCTCAGAATCTGTTAAACCGCCGTCTGCAGCAGAGCGTGCTCCACCTATCCGCAGCGAATGCAACATGATCGATTTCTTATATTCGTCTTCGCCTAACTGCACTACAGGATTAGCAATGTTAGCTAGTTGAAGCAGTCCTTCCATCAGCTTGAGAAGGGTCCTTGGCGGTGTGTTAGCAAAAAAGAGGAAGTCTTTTTCCGGGCAACAGCACTTGGGGCATATCTGGATAAAATCCATCCCCAATGAAGGAGAATGCCCGCATGCACATCCTAATTCGACAACTTGTCTGCTGACGCCGAATTGGTTGTTCTTAGCCGAGACAACAGTCAGAATAATTGAATTGCTGCCTCTTCTCCTCTCGCAAGTCGACGTTTCATCGAGCCTCATCATGAAAAACCAACAGAAGATCGCGAAACGTAGAAAGGGTACTGCTTGAAAACTCTGAGATCCCACCTGAATCGTAGCCAACGGGGCGCTGGTAAAATGAAGGACTAAGGTCATTATGTGCCTAAGTCGAATCCCTTGCTGTTGAAACTGGTTAGGCGCCGAACGCAAAAACATTCTCGCGATCTGCAAAAACGATTTCCGAACTGGACCGTCAACGGTCTTTATCAGATCCGCAAAACACTTGACGTATTCCATGTTCTGGGCTTTGGATCGCTTAAAGTCCTTGCATTTCTGGAAGGCTTGTGCTAAAAGTTGAACTCCTTTGACCTCGATATATCGTGGATGAGGATCTCTGCCTAGCATGAGCATAAGCTCTACATACTTCTTGTACCCCGACTTGTAGGATCTAATTGTTGTTGCCGACAGCCGGGATTGTAAGTCGAACTCCGCGATTTCGTTCGTTAAATCATCAACATATCTTGTCGGTGACTTGATTTGGGTCACCACCAGCGGGATTGTATCGGGAAGCCTATGAGGATGGTTTTCCACGTCCTCTCGGATAGTGTTAAGTGCGCTCTTCCAGTCAACCAGCTCTCCCGGACCAATGCGTCTAGCGGTTGGAGCAAAAGCGTCACCTGGCTTATGCACAATCCCGCGTGAGAAGTGGCGTCCATGGCCTTTTGGGCTAGTCTGCTTTAGAATACTACTAGAACTACTCGCTCCAGCGTCACTCTGTTCCGGTGCGATGCTCTCAACTCCTTCCTTGTTCAGAATAGCAGCCATTGCTTCCATGGATCTATTATGCAAATCTTGGTCCAAAATCTCTGGCGGAGGTGCTAGAACTGCTAATTCTTCTTCTTCCGTAGCAAGGGGGGGTGGGACTGCTGTAGGCGGGGGTTGTGCTACGCTCGCATCGGTATCTTTTCCGCAAGAGAATTTTTGTAGTACTTGATCGCGCAGTGTAAAGTCGGCACCGAGGCCAAGACTATCTGCAACAGCTCTTTTTTGGTCTGAGTCTAACCCTCCAAGTGTGGACACACGGACGGAATTGTCGCTAAGCAAGGGGCTAGAACGAGTCGGTCTTTTGACTGTACTCGAAGCCTCGCGCAACTGTTCTGAAAAAGGTGTAAAAGCAAGCGTTGTCGTTTGCCGGTCAGCGACCAAGGCTTGGACGCGCGCCGACCTTCCAGGCATTATGGGTGGGTTAGTGGGGAATTAAAACGTAAGTCGCTTTAGCAACACGTAATTGACTAAGTACTCCTTGCCCTATTGTTTAGATCTACATTTTTATTTGATTCAAACTCTAGAACGCGAACAGATCAATCCATAATTATCCCAAACCTTCTCCAGCCAAGATAATTAACATTGATCTTTCTCGCGTCTCTCGCTTGTTGGTGAACACTCCGCAAACAGATCTGCTACGTGTTCACGCATTTGTATTTAGTTGAGCTTAAAGGACCACCGTAGTGTCCTTGGTACAAAGAGCCAATCAAAGATCTTAAACATCCTTCAATACCTGGGGATCCCACACATGTATGAGCCACGAATTATGTGGCCTAGGATAAGGTATGGGACCAAGCAGGATCACTTAACTTATCAATTTCCACTTTGGCGTTCTTAATATCGAGATCATATCTTCCCAGGCGACGTTGTTATGTCCCATGGCAACAGATCGAAGATTTTAAGAACGGAGCTAGAGATTATACGGGGATGGCACGGTCGTTAACCCGTTCGTACAGTCAAACGTAAGTCGCTTTAGCAACACGTAATTGACTAAGTACTCCTTGCCCTATTGTTTAGATCTACATTTTTATTTGATTCAAACTCTAGAACGCGAACAGATCAATCCATAATTATACCCTTGTCTGTTGTACGTAACTAGTCGCGGAGAGGAATTGCAGACTGAAGCGGATAGATCGCCACAGCCATCCACATTATGGCAGATCCTTCGAGATGATGTTGTAGAACCATCTAGTAAGTAGGTCTAGGTTCAAAATTCTCCTTCAAAATAACTGTACATGAAGATGAAATACAACGCTCGACGCAGCTTTCTCATTTCTCAGTTATGATTTCAGTCCAGCATAGTTCTAGTTGAAATAGCGGCGTTGCTGTTATTAAAAAGGAAAATTGAGATTGACCAACCTCGCGGAAGGATGAATGAGAGCGAGTCAACTTTTGTAGCTGAGTAAGTCATTCAATATGCCAAACCCAAACCACATAGAAACTAGCGACGTCTCCATTTGTTACTCGATCGCCTTGTAGTCGTGTTAGAAATCTGCACTTGCTCTTTGTTCTTACTTGCACTTTTTGAAAATTGGAACAGAATAAAGGTTGCTGACGATTTTTCAGTCGGATTATCTTTTAATATGGTACATTTTTCATTTTACTGGTGGTCATATTTTCCTTTGTTCGGCAAGTTCAAATCACGCAAAATAGACTATACAACAACGACAGATAAACTATGTCGACCAATTGTACATCTACATGTGATGGTTTTATCGACGTTTGAAATTTCAAAAATTATTGGACAAGAATAAGATTAGGTTCTTTCATGATCTTCAAATCTCAAAGAGAGTCTTAAAGAAGCGCGTCTTCAACACAGCTACTGTGCAGATTCAGTAGGTCAAGCAGTGACCACTGAACGTTCTACCTAAGTCTGAATGGCAAACAATGTGAGAACGAAATTTGACACAAGAACAGCTATTGAGTAGTGTAGTGTCAATGTGTTAATTTGCACCGTTGTAAAATTCGTTTTCGAAAAAGAGATGCTAAGAATGCTTATCGCCGCAACTCTGCAACTGCCTAGCTTCGATTCCGTCCACGAGATGTTGCCCTCGAGGGAAAGCCGGTCCAGACTTCGTGACAACATTTCTAGTACTACACACTTGGACATCGACATCGAGGAATAAGTACTAAGTCGAGCATCGGTATGCATTGGTATTCTACTTCCTCTCCGATGAAAATGAAGATGGGTTATCTCATTTCCGAGGCACAGGGCCAGCGAAGTCGGCGGAGAGCGTCTCACGGCAGGCCTGCAGCTCACGCGCGCGACGAGCGGGAGACCAGTTTCGGATGTCGCCAAGCAGTTCGATAACACGTGGTGCTGCGTTATGCGCCGCCTCGGAGTCGACGAAAGCCAACCGAGTACGGCGTGCCAGGATGTCGATCGGCGAGCACACGTGTTCGTGCTGCGCCGCATATACGACCTCACATTCGAGCATCGGCGCGCCCTCAACAGGACTCAATCGGGAAAACTTCTTGCTGTCAGCGGGAGCACACGCCAGCACGTCAGAAGCGCGGGTCCCATAGGTGTTTACCTGATCATGGATAATTTATTCCTATGCATCATTGTTCGATTCGCTTTTGATGACGGCTCATACCAAGTAGCTAGAAATGAAAACAATCACGATCGCCTGCAAAACCTCATCAAAGCATTTAGATTTACAAAAACTTCTAACAAGACTAGTAGTCCAACAACGTTAACCTTATAAGGTTGCACATGATGGAGAATTATACCAAGTGATGTGCCACTTCCGGGTCAAGTCCGTATTCTCGCGAGATCTTTGACGGTAGGCTCCTTGTATATCCCGTCGGTGCGAAATCTCCGTTTCTCCCAGCGCCGATCAGCGGAGTCTGCAAGGTCTGGCTCGGGCCAGCTTTTTCCTTCAACTTTTCGTCTTTTTGGAGGACTTTATCCACTGCATCCTCTGCCATTTCTCGCCACGTCGTCCACTTGCCGCCAGACACAAACGTGACAGCATTCTCAGGGTTATAGCTCACCACGTGATCTCGGGAAGCGGAGGTAGAGTCTGCCGCGTTGGGGTCCACCGCGAGTGGGCGCACACCATACCATGCGAAGATTAGAAAGAGCAGAACGCATAGAAAAACTGAAAGTGAAACTGAAATCTAGGAGCTACTAGAACTTCTGGTGCTCAGAGGTTCTCATTGGGATCAAAAGGAACATCAAAATCAGCACATGATGGACGACAATTTTTACACCTCTCATAAAGATAGAACGTCGCTGCGGCGCACCTGCAGCTCTGGTCGCAAGTACTTGCTGCATTCTGATACGAGGTACTCTATGTCAGCTTCAAGCGAAAACTTCTCTGCCGGTTTTTTAGTGGAGGATCCACCTTGCTCCTCTATGGCATGGCCATGGAGTGTGGGTTCCTCCTTCGTCTTCACATCAGTTGTGCCGACAAGCGTGTGGCCCTGCCACGGCAAGAAGAAGAGATAGCTGCCACGTTTCGTCTGCATATCGCACATGCCGATATCGCGAGGACAATAATGAGCAGGAATGACAATGTGAGTTCCCCCGGCACCATTCACCACTCGCTTGAACCCATCGCCGCCGCCCTGTATATCAAGTACGTTTTGTCGGTGGTAATAGGAGCAAAGTCTTCTACTCCGTCGTGCAACTTCAAGGTCTACATGAGTCTATTTGTAGAGCTAGAAGCTCTCCGATTGTAGCAGTTAATCATTCATCTACTTGATCTATGTACTAGAAAAGTTTCTACCTCGCTGAGCCTTCGGAGCCCGTCTGTGAAGGGTCCTCCACAGTATACGATTTTTTTGGCTTGGATTTTCATCGGTGCTCCTCCTTCTGCGACGTCGCTGCAGATGGCACCGGTCGCGTGTCCTTTATGATCGAACAAGATTTCATCGACCTTGACGTAATTTGCGATGGCCGCTCCCTTCAGCATTCCAGTGAAGGCAATAGCTAGGTTAGTTCTTGCGTCGTTGTGCCCACCTTCGTAGAACACGCTGCGTCGACGGAGATGGAAAATGGAATCAATAATCATCGAAAACATGCAAATGTCTAGATGTTACAGTCGTCGCTTGTTCGTTCATCAAGAGCAAGAGATGAACGTGCTACCTGCTGGCATAAAAATCTTATGAAAAAAAGTAGAGTGCCAAAATTAGTTGTCCTACCTGCAATATTTCAATGCTTCCGCATGTAGTTGTGGAAAGGTGAACTTGATCGTCTCCGGCCACATCGTGTAGCTGTTTGGTGACGCGAAAAGACCTAACGAGTCATAAAACTTGAAGAAGAACGCATAGAGCCCTGTGCAGGGACCGAGCGCAGCGGGAGCGTAGCCGAAAGGTGGTGGCCAAATAATCCAATGCTTAATTGGCACTGCAACTGGGACCCAATACGTCAAATGCGGGTTCATTTGCAACATATACGATCGCTCCTGGAAGCAACCCAGAACCATGTTAAACGAATCTGAAGATTCGACTTCAAGAATTTGAAGTCAGCTTTTTTGTTGTAGTGTTTATTGCGTCGGCTGACGTTCTTTTATGAAGTTCATAGTTATTATGCAGCTTCATCACTCGTTGCGCGAAGATAGAAAAGTCGTCTCAACATCAAAGCAGCTACTGGAGCATATTGGTGGTCCTTCATCATGTTGATCATCGCTGTTACTTACCTTTAAAATCGGTCACCGCTTTGAGTGGATCCGTAACTGCGTACGGATGGAAAAGCTTTGTCATGGCAAGCACCAGATATCGGCTTCCCGCCCACAGAAGCTTGGTACTCTTCGAGCTGGTACCAGAGGCGAAGTCCTCCTGCTCAACACAGGCGACTTTTAGGCCACGAGTGGCCGCATCAAGCGCTACACCGGCGCCAGTCGCGCCTCCACCGACAACTAACAAATCGAACTCTTCACCCGATCTCAGTCGGGATATAATCTGAGGATGCAGGGGAATGAACAATCTTTATCCGGAAAGGGGTAGGGGGTTTTCTCATGGAGGTCGACAGAACATGTTCATCTACTTACAACATCGTCGTGCTGGACAGGGTGCCGAGATGCTGAACAGAAGATGCACTACGAGAAAAAGTAGAATAGATATCAACAGCAACAGCTTCGACTACGAGGAAGATACAACGCTCAGGACAACAAAAGCGGAAATTTGGAATTCAAGCATGTCTTATTCCTAGAAGTGTCAGTTAAAGCAGTTGGCATGTGAAAGTTTCTATTGTAGTTGTCCGTCTACTTGTTACCTCTTCTCTTGACGGTAGCCTCTCTTCGATGGTATTCGCACGAATAGAATCGTTTTTTGCTTCTACATCGGCATTTTTTTTGCTACAGTAAAGCAAACCAGCACCAACCCCTAAGCCTACGCCAAATGCACTCCTTGCAACCACAGTAAATTTACTTTTTCGCGGTTTCACGGCGGCGGTATCAGCACTGAAGAAGCGAACATGATGAAGCTGAGGTCTCCTTGTTGCGTATCGAAAGGCTCCTGATGAGATCGATGGTTTGGATGTTGAAAGGTGAAACCTAATGGAACCACCTCGTTTACTTCCCAACAGATGTTGCACACGCGTTCTTGCGTACGAGGATGATGCAACAGCCCCTGCTGCACGGCCAGAAAGAACCATCAACACCATGATTTTTTCTCAATAACAAGATCGTAGGTGTCGAAACGAAATATCGATCATGAGGGTTTTTGCAATACTGAATCCAAAGAAAAGGTGAAGACTCAGAGATGATCGCACTGAAGAATTCAATTTTCTTTGATCACGATCTGGAAGACCATCATGGTGAAAGCATGAAAATGAGAGCGCCAGCAAAAAAGAAACATGAAGAGAGAGCATCAATAAGCATCATGCCCTCCTCTTTCACGACGACAAAAGATAACTTACTCGCTACTAGAAAATGATGGGACAACGAGGGAGAATGCTCGACTAACGTTAGGTGTCAGATTTTGGGAACAAAAAGGGGCAGGGTCACGAGTCGGGTACGTGAGCTGATTATACAAAATTATGTTGAAGGTTGTTCCGAGTAAGATTGAGAAAAAGCGCTATAAATATCTTCTCTATACAAACCGACAGAAGAATGGTCCTCCTCAACCAACCTTGATAGAGGCTTCTTGCGCGTGATGGCATCCATAATCCTATGTATTTATAGCATTCTGCCTCAAGCCGAAGATGGGCAACAGATTGTGACATCCATCTACTTCCCCTCCCCTTCCCGCGCAAAGCGGCCGGTCGGATTTCTATGTTGAAGGTAATAAAGGAAGAATGAGGCAATGACTGGACGACCTGGTTGTGAGTGACAAGAATTGGAAAAAGAAAGTACTTTTCACATTTGACAGAGACAGACTGATTATGCTTTGATGATCTCGTTTTTCGCCCCACCGAGCAACTACGCCGTCGGAAGTAGAGGCGCAATCGTCTCAGTTGCAAAGAGGCTGAATAGACACCTCAACGCATTGTGTCTCATTAAGTCTTCGTTCTGAACACCACAATATTCTTACGTTGCACAGTCATGCATTTTTATCGAATGTTCATCAAGGTTTTTCAGTATCAGTCTTGATCATGGCTATAGAACGTTCTCGTAGTAGTAATAGCCGCGTTCATCGGGGTTCAAGTAAGTAGGTGGTGGTTCAGGGCGGTAGAAGTCATCATACTACTTGCAACATACGAATTTAGTAGACAAACATCTTCACCCCGAGCAGCAGGTAGAATTTCAATTTTATTTGGCTGTATTTCTAAAAATGTATTTTGATTTTGTAGAAGTTTCGCCTATACAACTACATCGGTGGCTGCGCCCGCATCTAGTAGTCCCGCGTTACTGAAGACAAGTATTTACATTTACTCACTGCACTAATACGACAAAAATATTTGTATCGCGATGAATATATTATGACTGCTAGAAGAATGTAAGTACTACTTGTTACACTTGAAGAACAACCAGACTGAAGGACAATGTCCTGTGAATGAAAGGGCATATTAATACTCATCAATCATGTTGGATTAGTATCGCATGGCGCCACTTATTCGCGGGGAACCCCATCTTTGCTGCTTCAGCTCGCGCTCCTTTCCTCCGTAGTTGGTACAGCAGTTCAGGACTGCTTTGGTTGCCCGTTGCGTCTTTTGGATCGTGAAAGACACCAGCGAGTTTTTTAGGTTCAGTCGGAATTCAGGGTTGGTCACTCGACCACAGTACTCGGCAAACCGGTCGTTCGAAATCACTTTGGCCTGGATATGAGGGTTACTGATGTGTTCAAGCCACTGCATTCCCAAGCCGTCCACGCTGTCCTTGGGTCGGAGGCAGTCGCGCAGCACGCTAAAAATGAAATCGTCAACATTTACACCGCCAGGGACAAAAATTACCATGTCGTTGGAAATCAGGCTCTGCAGAAATTCAGAAGCATCCTCTTTTGGAGTCGTTTCCGGTTTCATCCGTTCTTGCTGCAGTTGCTTTTGCTCATATTCCTCTTGCTCTGTAGTGCATTTCGAACTTCTTCCCTGTTCTCGAAAATCCTGGTCATTCTTACTCCATTTTTTTGGGTTCTTGCTCCAGTATGTACCACTACCTCCTCCAGTACAAGGACCTTTGAAACTTTCGTACTGCGCATTTGATCCCTGATGCCAAGAATTCGAGTTCATCTGGTTTTGTCCAGGTCCAGCTCCAGCAGCATTGCATGAAGCTAGTAATTGTTCCAGGGCCGGGCGGTACAGCGCAACTTCGATACAACAGTTCGCTCCGAAAACGCGTCGTGCTTCCTCCACGACGAGTTGTAACTGTTTAACCCCCTCCATGGTAACGGGAGGTGCGCTACGTCCGACTTTCGGCGAATCGGGAGCCTCGAAGCCTTTCCATCGTAGAACGTTGGCGCCATCGATCAACACCAAAAGCTTTTCTTCCGGATGGTCCGAGCTCTGTTGGTCGGCTTCGCGCTTAGGAGAGGGAGGGCGAGACGACGGCCGTGGGCTTAGCTTCACTTGAGGACGCGGAGAACCGCCGCCTGCTGCTGATAGAATTTTTGTTCCACTTCCTGCATCAGCTTTCTCATGTTGTATTTCATATGACCTGGGAATACCGAGCAGATGAGGACTACCACCTCCCGACTGCTGAAACTTCTTGTGCGCCCAAGAACTTGTATAATTCTTGTTTTGCGGATAGCCTCCCTGGATGTGTCTGTTCGCGACAACGTGGGTCGCGCCGCTTGGTGCATCAGAGAACGATAGGCGAGGGGAAAGCATGACAGGTTTTGCGGCGGTTGATGCGCCGATGCTGACAGCGTTGGACACAGCGCCGTTGAATGGAGATGAATGTTGAATATTATGTGGATGATGGGTTCTGTTGTCATGGTGCTTCCGGTGCGGTGGTTGCGCAAGCTTAGCGGTGGTGTGCTTCACCCAATGGTGGAGCTTCTGATAAACGGCATGAACATTTTGGGGAACGCCTCCGCTTCTATCCTCAGTGTAATTTGTTCCGCCAGGAGACGAGCCCCCATAGGGGTGAGGTCGCGCGTGGCGCATGCGATGACGTGTCATCGTTTCCCTTTTTACTGTAAGTGTCTTTCAAATTCGATTAGAAGTTACGAATCTTGTGTCCGCACGGAGGCTAACAAATAGGTAAAAATCCAGAAAAGAAACTTCTTTTCACGTACTCTAAGAAGTGAATCTCCTCAAACTTGGAAGATTGAATACCAATCTCGATGAGATTTTTAGCTACTTAAGAGAGTAAGTCACTAAGAGGGTGATAGATTTCCGACGAAGACAAACAGATGCGCAACAAAGGTCGTGGTCGTACTACATTTTCACTTGTTGTTCTAATGCTCATATTTCATTCTACATGTAAACAAAGGAGCATAAGTCAAATGTCAGTCTATTACGGAATTAAATGCTGAAAGCGACGAGGGTTGTGAAAAATTCCGCCCACCTGAAAACTAGAGCGCAAGTTAAGGAGCTTTGTTCATCTAGGAGAGGGTCTTAAAAGATGCTGGAAGATAATGATGACGCCAATGCCACTCGAATGCATAGGCGTCTGTTTTGAGACATCTTGATGAAGCTGAGGTCACGTGAAGCTCACAGATCAAAGTGGATATGAAGAACAGATGAGACACTCCTCTGATAGCACCGCCGTACGGGTACAACATACAAGCTCAGCAGAATTACAAAATATTTTCAGCTCTGCTCCCTGCTCTCGCTCTCTGAACAGATAATTGTACATTATATCTGGTCTCCTGTCTAGAATGGGAATGCGCTCATTTTGTATCTGACACTAGCATGAAACATCAGATGCAGATCATTACCCGGACAACTCGGAGGAACTCTACTCTCAAAATTAAATGCCTTTGCTCATTGGACGATTCTCCTCTGAGTCTTCAAGAAGTAGAAGGCTTCACCCTCCGAAACTAACAACACTAGCTAGGTACTACGAAAGTTAACGGATCCTCTTTTTCTTGTCCTTGGAATGTGGTTCATCATGGCCATTGATTGATTGGGATCCCTAGTCGTACTCCTCGACTACCAGCGGGACGATACAATTCCACAAGTGCACCCCGGGTGCCGTTTTCGCGCCATAAACAATATTCAATATTGTACTGGACATTAGTTGTTTTCGATGATCTCTACTTGGATGAATTATAATTGGACATTGCCTTCAGAGTAGTGCGGCGGACATGGTCATAGTCTCCTCTCTGAGTTAATCAAAAAGGAATGTGCTTCTGCCCCATCATGATCATGGGGTCTGTCGTGTACTACGTCTACCACTACTTGTTCTTGCATCACAGATTGATTACAACACATGGATATCACTACAATGCTGTGCTAATCATGGAGAGGCGAGTATATGATCTATGTCAACCCGAAAGCCGAATTTAGAAAACTCGCGAATTCAATATCATCCCATACTGCTCGCATGGTGCTACACTCCAAGAAAGAAAACGAACGGAGCGTGACAGATGAGGGAGCATTTTTAGATTATCTTTTAGTTATAGTAATTATGGAAGGAGCAACATCAATACCTCCAAAAAAAAATGGCAGTACTTAGTTGAGAGTTACAACCATGCTGGTCGCCGTCACCTGTCTTCAGTGCGAGAAGAAGCCACGCATATTCTCGCACGCGGTGTCAGTTTGCTCACAGAGGTAGGTATCCCGCTAGTTGCGCTGAGATCCTCGTCCGAATTGATTTAAAGTTTGAACTGCCTCTGCTGAAGTACTTTGTTGAGCCTGAACTTCCCCCGGGGGGTCCACACAGCAACAGCCCTCGCCAATACTGCTAGAGCCTCCGTCGTCCCCGTCCGTCCTAGCTCTGGGCAATTCCTCAAAACAGCGAAAGCCTCCACGCACGAAGCTGACCGCGTGAAGACGCTCAGCTTCTAAAGTTTTCCCGTACTCGTAATAACGGAATAATCATCCCAGTCCGAAATAAGCAAATAAGCCAAGCGCACGCGCATGGTCGCAGTGGCAGTGGGGCCATCCCTCTATAATGCAGACACATAAGAGACACAAGCAGCGGGGGAGGCCTGCCCGCCCAGCACGCAGAACAGAGGGCAAAAAGAGAAACACATATGCGCGATGGATGCAGAGCATTTTCCCCGCGGACTGAAATAGCCATACTCAAGCCGCCAAGACAGCGAAACGAGGACACCCAGAGCCCGACTGACGAGCCCAGCACGACCTGCCACAGCCGCTGAAGACACATAACATGACAGACACCAGCCAGAGACCCCGGCGCCCTCCCTGCCAACCCCGCAGCACCAAGAAGACCCTCTCACCCAAGCCAGCCACTGCCTGAGTCAGGCGCACCACTTCCCACCCCCCTCAAAAGCGCACCGAGAGGCAGCCCGCCAGAAAAGAACCGGAGCGCCAAGCCAAAACAAAGAAACACCGCAGCACACGAGGCGAGGGGCGGAGGGTGAGGGCTTGGGGAACACAATGAATAAGACACCACGCAGCCCAGGCGACCAGCTAACAATCTGAAACCCAAACACGCGTCGCAGTCGCGCGCGCAGTCATAAGCCAACGCCGGACGCCTGTTTTGAGCCTTGTAAGAGACGACGCCGCCCCCCTCGCTTCAGTTCACGTACCTGGCCACGGCGCCGTGCCGGTGGCCCGGAGCTCTTTGCCCACGGGCACCGGCTGACGCCTACGCAACGGGCCCGAGCCTGCACCAGCAGGCCCATATTGCGAGACAGACACTGCAGTCCGGCGTGTGCCTCCCTCGATCTGTCACTTGGGCTGGCACGCCCATCACAAACGGGGCACCGAGCATACGCACCACGCTGCGGCCGCCCGTGGACACAGACAGCACTCACACACAACCACAAAGACACACGAGCAGAGCATCCATCCAAAAGAAATGGCAGGCGGCAGCCAGATACACGCCCAGGCGCGAGACCGCAGGCAACCAACAAGCAAAGTAAGACATACACACAAAGAAACAACGGCAGCTGTCTTCGTTCACATCTAAGAGATCCACGACAGCCCTGAAGAAAGAACCACGCCCACGCGAGTCGCCACCCCATCCAAGAACAAGCGCCGCCGAGTGGCGTCATGCGTGGTGGTTGGGCACGCCTTTGCCCGGCGTTTGAGGCTTTGCATTTGTTTCCACGAAGAGGCCCCGCTTCCCAGTTAGCCCACCTGGCTTGGCCAGCCTTCGCGTGGGGGCACCTGATCGGCTTCTGGTCACCAACAACCAACCACAGACAGACAATCCCTGGGCGGTTTGCCATGCGATCCAAAGAAAAAGTCTACCAAACGAACGCCTGCGACAAACCCTAAGACCCCAGCGAGCACGCTTACGACACACGACTGACCACACCAAGAGCAAGACAAACCAAAGCAAGCGAATGCCACCCACCACCCCCCCTGCTAGTATACGCACACGACACCCTTCACTGGCGACGCCAAGCGGCCGCCCCCGCTTGCTTCTCCACTTATCTCCCCCACCTCTGACAAGGCACAAGCCACGAACGACGACCAGGGCGCGGGCGAGGCAATGCAGAAGAACAGGATGAGCAATGCCCCCCCGGCCTCGATAATTGACCACACTTGGAAAAACGAAAACCCCCGCAGAAACGCACAGAGTAGACCGAATACCCCCACAACCTGCGAAGGCCCCAGACGTGCGAGGGCGCCCTCTGTTCGGGATTTCAAAAGCCGGGTCGGGCCCGTCCGGCTTAATCCCGTTGGACGCGCGTCCAACAGGATTAAGAAACGCCAGATCATAATCCTGCCCTTAAAAAGTGCGCGGGATTAAGAAACGGCCGTTCTTAATCCCGTTGGACGCGCGTCCAACGGGATTAAGCCAGACGGGCCCGACCCGGCTTCTGAAATCCCCAAGAACGAACAGCCGCAACCCTTGGAAAAGAGAACCATCACAAGGCGCGGCGAGCACCAACTAGATGGTCCTGCGCCCCTGCAGCGTAACCCACACGCCCCCGAAAAAGCCCACCAGACATGCCTCCGAGCACTTCTATAAGCGACACCCCCTACACCCCCCGGGGAAAGTCCCCGAAGCAGACACCCCGCGGGGCATCCATCTCCCCTGATGCTCAGGCGATGGGACTGCGACAACAGCCAAGCCAGCCCAGCTAACTTTAGCAGTAACGTGGCTTACCACCCGCCGAACAACACCCCAAGCCGAAAAACCACCCCCCAACCCCCGAAAAACAGCTGCCCCAAGCTGTTGGCACGCCGCAAAAACATCCGCCCAAAGCCAAACAATTATACACAAGCCACCCTGCCCGAGCGTCAGCCTCTCAAAAGAGCACACACGCAGCACACCAGGCCACAGCCCAACAAGCTGGCAGCTCCCTTGGTACCAATAAGGGCGAAGCGCTGGCACTGGCACAACGACCCACCTCGCCCACGCCACCACCAAGAACGAAGATAAAAGAAGACCAAGCAGCACCACGCTGGCAGCCCCCCGAAGCAATGCGCGAAGGAGACAAACGATCGAAACACGCCCAGGCACTAAGCGAAGCACCCTGTCCCCCGACGACACACACGAAGGCGAAGCCGCGCTGCTCCCCCGAGCCTGAAGACAATAAACACAACACGTGACCAAGGTGAAGCGCGTGGCCGCCCATGCTCCCATGACTCAGGGAGACCACACTCACAGCCAGCCTAGGAGCAGAGCTGACCAGCAAAAGCAAACACAAAGAAACAACAAAGAAGAGAGCCACCGCGCCGCGGGTATCTGCGAGCGGTGGATGGGCCGCTCCCCTTCATCATCGGAGAAAACCCCCAAGGAAGCGGACCACGAAGACAAGCAAAGGCAGTGCACATCGTGGGCGGGCCGTAGCAGTGGATTGGGCGACACTCCCTCGAAACGTCAAGCAGCCACAAAGACAAACCCCCGAGGCCAGTCCCCTAGAGGTAGATAACACCACAAGCCAGCGCCTTACTTGGCCGGTGGCTTATGCAGTTGCAGCGGGTGGCGCGTGTAAGCAAGGGGATCCCCCACCCTCCCACCCCCGAAAGCCTGGGGCAAAGATAAGGAGAAAGGCGAAACAACAACAGAGCGCAGGAGCCAGCTAGAAGTAGAAGCTGCCAACCCCATCCCAGCGCTTTCATTCGGCGAGGAAAAGACGCCCGCCAATACTGGCACGCGCGTGGCTGAGAAAGCTACCCCCCGGCAAGGAAGATGAACACGGAAGGCGGCGCAAGCACAACCTCCCCCGAGGGACTCGGCGCCGCATGTTTGCAGATGCCCAGAAAAACAGGCCTGCCAATAAGGATAAGCCCCTGAGAGCGGGGACCGGTCTGCGGCATTGTGCCACCACTCGCGTGCCTGTGCACAAGCTGCAGGCATCCTGGCCAACAGCCTGCACCGGCGAGAAACGAACACGCGAACAAACCCGACGGCGGGAGCCCACCCCCGAACAGCCGGGCAGCCTTGTAGGCTATTTTCGTTGCAAAGCGGTCGGAAAAGATGCGCGGCAGGCTCGCCCGGGTGCCCCCTGATTGGCGAGGGCGTAGCTTCAGGAGCCATGAGAAAAGCAAATCCCGCATAAAAAGCTTGCGCGCTCGGCTTATTTAGGACCGGGACTTTTATTTCGTTATTTCGAGTACCCTGGCTCAAACTTGAGTTCCGCTCCTGCGCGTTCGCAGTTCACTAGCAACCGCGGCATGCCGACGCGGCCAACTGGCAACTGCGGCAATCAGCTCGTTCAGCGGTGCAACGTTCAAGCTGGTTGGGAGAACGATTTAAGCGTCGCATTTCGGGAAATATACGGCGATCTTCTACTGAAAAAACTCATGTGCGAGGCCTTCCCCATAGAGCACGTCAATACTCGGCTTCACCAACTGTCCGTAGCGCTTCCGAATGCGGTCCGCTAGTGGAGAAAAGGAAGCATCTACTTCTGGTGCATTTTGATCGATGTCATCATCTTCTGCTGTCAGATTTTGAAAAAACTCTTCGATGCGCACCTCGAGCGAGCGGTCGTAAACTCCGCGGGCGGGATCGCTCATTCCACCATGAACCTGCACGAGACGTTCGCGCGGCAAGCCGGGCTTCAGTTCTAGGCCATCAATGTTCTGAGAGTAGACCCGAAGCAGTCTTTTTTCATCACCCGAAAATTTTTTTTCATCATGCAGCTTCTTCAAAAACAAGTGCGTTGGAGTGGGCGCGGCCGCAGCGCTATCCCTACGCAAGGCAATCAGCCGCCGATGGATAGTAATCGTCCGGATGCTCAAGGAAATGGTCCCATGACAACAACGTTTTAGGCGGCAATTTCTGCGCTGCAAGTTCAGGATGCTCCTTCTGCGTTTTGTCAAACAAACCTCCACGAGAGCGATAGTCAGGGATACCAGGACTCGTCGAGACCCCTGCGCCAGCGATCACAACGATATTTTTAGCGTCCGGAATCACGTGCTCGCAAAATAACGCAGAAAACGTGGTTAGACATAGACTTCGACTTTTAACTCAAACTAATAAAAAAAGAGGACTTGTACTAAAGACTACGAAAGAACTTGCTCGTTGATGTCGTCTGAAAAAATGTCGAATATATGAGAAACCAAAACTGTCAGCAAGAATACGCGGGACTAGTCACGGTAATCATCAGCAACACGCAAATCTAAATATTATATGTGACCACTCTCCTGCACGCTCGCACTCCTTTTCCCAAGTAGAGTGAAGACCGCGGCCTTCTTTGGCCTCACGCTCAGTTCTCCACACCGTGACAGAAACAGATCATACAGACAAAGGTCGGTCATTCACGAGGGATCTGCTCTCTCAGGGATGGGACTGCTCGTGAGACACTTTCGGAGTCGAGGGAGTAGAAGGGTGGCTTAAAAGCTGAGACTCTGGCGAAAAGACCAGCCCAATTGATGCACAAGTGACGCTACCGATGTAGTGTCTACTTTGAGACGCAGCATTAGTTCACTAAGCGCTCTCGCTCTCTTCTCTGCATGAAGGAGGTGGCCATCCTATCATATTTACTCCGGCGGTACATACTCAGGCTCCGCAGCGATGCCTCGGCACTGCATAACAAAAGTCAATTTTTTTCTGTAGAACTAGAATCTCGGATGGACGACGAAGAGTTTCACGATCGCGAAATACACAACGCAGTGGAGGATCGACGCCATAGTGGTCTTTAATGGGCTGCCAAAACGTAATGGATTTGCAGACAACTTGATGTCGTGAAAAGAGGAAAAAAAGATCATTTCAAGCAAGAACTACACGAAGTAGCAATTTTATGTACAATGTGTTTCTACATGATTTAGCTTACTTTTCAAAGGGTAAAGATGATCCCACATGACTTTACGACTAAGTGGCCATCAATATCAAAGAAATAGCCCAAGAAACATGATCCTCGGACTCAAAGTTCTTGCTTGATGTTAATATAGTCTCTTTTTTCACTCGCGTCGTCCCGAAAGACTTGATGCGGACGTAGTATGAAGACAGCTTCAGTCTGATAGAAATTTAAAACATTTTTTTTAGCATCTTCAGATTTGTTCTTCTCCTTCGCCTTCATCTCGTCTGAGAACTCTTTCTCCGAGGCCTTTGTTTCCTCCACGCGACATGTCTGTTTCACATCTAAGTGGGGTATTCGAAATCCGCGCCTCTTGACATCTGACGTTCCCACTTCCACTACCTCCAACAAGGCAGGGTGAAGAATCCTTGTTTCAATGCTGTCTGCGGTGTACATCCGATGAAAGTTGTTGTCGAGAAAGGCAGGATAGGAAGATGGTGGCGCAGCTCCACCTTCTTCTTCTGCGTTGGTCTGCTCAAGAGTTGTTGCACTAGATGAAGCTGTTGCTGTTCTGTCCCCGCCATCTGTTGAGTTCATCATGCTCTTTCTGATGCGGGTCGATATCTTTATCGCTTCACTATCGCACAGTATGGGGATTCCCAATAGGATCTTGCCTGTAGATTTCTTCAACAGATTTGCCCACTCTTTTACAGCTGCAATATCTCCGAAAGGATTCACCGGGTCGCAATACCTGCCTAGTCCATCGTGCTCAAGGGAAGAGTAAGACATGATCAGATCCAACTTCGGCGAGTGATGCGCCTGTAGCTCTTCCTGTAGGTTGCGGGCGTCGAGAAATGTCGTTAAGACGCTCTGCTTTTCAGTCGAGTCTCCATATTCCGATGTAAAAACTCGGACTTGTTTTCCTGATGGAGGGCTTCTCTTCTCAAAAAACGCGTGCAGTAGCGCTTCGACCCACGGCGAAATCGACCCTCCCACGAGAACAGTGAAGAGCGCTGGGCCGGCGTCCGTTGCTTCACTTTGTAGAAGTACTTCTGTATCGTCTTGAGGAGACGGAGTAGCAGACACAGAGGCTTCTCGTGGAAAAGCGATATGAAGAGCTTGCAGAAGATCAAAAGCCGCGTAAGGATAGCCCCGAGGGGATACGACGTCCCCGTAGTATGCGTTAACCCAGAACGCAGTGGAATTCGGCTGCGCGTACAAGGACTCATAGACGGTGTGATCCCTAGTAGCGTCGTAAAAACTAGTACTCTTTCTGCTGGAAAAATTAGATGAACTCGCTTCATCACGGGACCCCTCGTCAAAAAAATTGGTCACGAGGTTTCGAGCGGCAGTGAGCAATACATGCTCCGAATCCGCATTCCAGGTAAATTTGGACTGGTTGTGGTCGTGGAAGGCCCATGCGGAGACAGGAATTTGGCCTAGTCCAACGCCATGATTATTCGTAACGTTCCTGTTCAAAAAGGATCGACATTCCATGCCGACTGCGTGTCCTTGCCACCAAGGATTGTTGGGATGACACATCACCGTGTGATCGTGAACTGCAAAACTTTTCAATAAATCTGGTCGGTCGCCACACAGGTCCGGCGCTTCATCCGCATCCGTTAAGTTGAAGGACCGTAACTCCTCTGCTGTCAGCGACCGCAATTTCTTTGCGCTCAAGGGATGTAGAGTTTTTGTGGTACTCGAGGTAAACTCGTCAACCTCAAGTGAGGGCGCTGCAGCAGAGAAGAATGCGGATGTTGAAAAAAAAGCCTTCACGGCGAATGACATCGAGCACCAATAGCGTGACCGCGGGACTTTCTTGGCGCAAACCATTGCGAATACATCCGGCGAACTCCGGGATACCGACGAGGCCAGCATGCGAAAAGGCAAGTTTTCTACCCGCCGGGTCCAACTCAGCGGCGCGGACGAACTATAACGATACGGGCCTTCATGCGCATCGGAGGGAGGTTGAACTCGATGCCGAGGCTCTCGCGTGATGTCTCCATGTGGCGGAGGCCCTGTTCTCGGTGCTGGCGGTGCAGGGAACCATTCCCGGTGCTGGTACCAGTCTGCATAGTACTGACCACGCAACATCAGCGGAGGTGGTGGCCCCGGCCACTGGGGCAGATGCTCCGCATGAGACGCAGGCGGGCTGGCAGCTTGTTCTGGAGGAGGGTGACAGGATGTTGGCGGTCCATCATTTCTCGAGGAGTGGCGAGGTGGATGCCCCATGTCATCCGGGCCGTAGTATGCGGTCCTCACTTTTTCTGCTTAAGTAAGTGGCAGGCTTAAGCGCGATATCTGGGCTAAGTCAGACGCACTTAACAACGCTGAATAAAAAAGATTAAGATCAAAAATGTCTTCAAGAAGTCGCCTCGAGCGATTACGAAGATTTTAATCTACTAGTTTACTGTCGATGAATCTGTCAAGTCTGTCTAATTGCTACATACAAGGACGATCTGGGAAGCTTCTCGTTGACTGCTTCAAACATCGCAGGGAAGAAGTAAAGGTAAAGGAGAAAAACGAACTCCTAAATTCGAGGTCACTGTGGAGGATGTTTAGGAAGAGCATCTATCTGTGCGTGACGTCGCTAAGCTGCTCGCCATAAGATATGAAATTCCACATCTTCACAGATCACACGCAACAGAAAACGGAGCTACAAGAAGTTCTCGCTCTACCTTCGCCATAACCGAGAAGTTCATATCGAGAAGAAAAAAATCCAAATCGGAGTCTGACAGTTCCAGTGTGGTCTGAATCGAGACGATTGACGCCACCAAGAATAACGCATCTGCGCATAACTTGTTGAAAAGGTCCACAAAGGTCAGAGCTAGAATCGAAGGTACGTGATTGATGAAAACTGTCAGAAATTGTCGAACGAAATTTCCGACTTCGCTCAGGCTGCAAGTAGTAGTGCACTTTTTGCACGACAGAGACATCTTTGGTGGACGGATGCTGTTAAAGGTCGCAACGACAGACGTCAGGCCTGATATCTCATCTTCGAGTGAGCCAGCCACGTCCTTGCCCAGAGTCTTAGGGTTTCGGGTTTAGTCATCTATCTAAATTCAGCAAGCTTCCGTCGGCAGTGTTCAGAAATTTCAACGTCTGTGCGCTGCTATAGCATTCGTAGCGAATAGACTCTGTGCGATTCACCGAGCCGATTCCCGTGCCCGGGGATTTCTCAACACACCCACTCCCAGGGTTCAGGTCGGCCCATTCTGGTACAGGAGAGTCGGCAAATCTATCGTCTTCTCCAAAATTTCGGCAGCCGAAGGGATCAGACACATCGGAAAGAAGATCCGTGATCACTCGTGAGCGGCACACCCCGTCCTCGCATTTCACGTAGTCGATTGGGTATCCCAGCTTTGAGCACGTGCCATTCTGCTAGGCATGCACAAAGACGCCAATCTCAAAAATCGCCGACAAGCATAAGGCCTGCAGAAAGACTCGACGGAAAGACGAAAGCCGGGCGCTCACGCCGGCAACGAAAGCAAACGAAAGGATCATGAACATGATAGTGCTGATGAAAACCAAAACAGTAACACCCCAGATATTTTTAATAATCCAAAGAAATCAATTTTTAATCAATTTCAATTTTAATGCGGAAAATGTTTTTCAGGTAAAAAAATGATGAAGGTTCACATCGAGATTGTTGGACCCAAAAGATATCTGAATCTATTTGCTAGTGACGTATCAGTCCCTACGAGAGCAAGTGCACTCTCTCGTGGTAAGTAGACGAGGACACTGTGAAATTTCTCCGCTTGGTGCTTTTGCAATCCCAGCTATACAGATTCTCGCCCAAATTTTTGTTTGTATCTGTCTATATATCAGATTCAGCACGTGCACGTTGGCGCATCACCACGTATTATCGGCTCGATCGTGCTAAAGCATGTTTGTCTCGCCGGGCTCTTGACTTGAATGTTTTCCGCTACTGTTACATACCGCCAAAGCAATGCGCCGAAAAGACGTTGCCTGTGAAAATGCCGCCGCGGGTCACCGTATTCGTGTAAAGATATGCGGATCGATCCATGAAAAACACAACAGGTCGTCGGCAAATCATCTCCACGCGGCTTTTGGAGGAGGTTTAATTGATTCTGGTATGCACATTATACTCCGCATCGTTTATGGATATATTTGCATACATCCACACGTCCTCCACGTCGAGCGAGACAAAATTTCCCAACAAAAAAGAGATACTTAAAAAGGACTCAGAAGATGAAAATATGAATGATGAGAATCTTTATCTGTCTCCGCGTCTGCACTCCAGTCAGCACGTGATATTTTGTAGTGCTGGAAATATCGAAACCGAAACACGATTTCAACTATCACTTGTTCTACGTAAGGAATACTGTACTCTATTTCTTGCTTCAAACTGAAAGTGTCAAACAAAAAGAATAAGGTTGAAGACTGATGGCGCGACTACTTCTGCCTCCCAGAATTCGTATTTGAATGAGCAATGCAGCAACCTAATTCATGTACTACAAATTGGTTTCGATCGCGAATCGTTGAAACTCTCGATTGTATTATACCGAGAAGATAGCAATCGCCTTAGATTTACATTACACTTACATCATGAGCAATGCACGTGGTGCGCACATTGTCTTACTCATATCAAAGGCCAGCAGTCAGTGGCCACTGATGCCAAACGGAAGAGACCACCTGCAAAGCTCTCCCCCTTTCCCTTCGTTTTCCCCTGTTCTCTCAAGGGGTCGCCTCTTCGATCTCAGTGACCAACCCCAATGACTAATGAAAGTTGAGCCTTATTAATCATACTAGAATGTGATAAATCTAAATGTCGACTTTTGCTTTCATCGAGAGGAAGAATGATCCATGTGGAATAATTGATGTAACGATTTTGTTGGATCAGATAGATATTAGACATTATGAGGATTGAGCTATTGAAATTGCCTATAATGAATATTAATATGTTGGTGAAATATTTTGAGCGACACACTTTATATCATTCTTGCTTCCATTTTTAAATGCTACTAAATCTAATCCTATTCACTACAGCATTAAATGTGTAATATGTGCTCCTATGCCCCTGTTCATGATGCGACAAGAAAATGAGTAGAAAACGTAATAGCCGTACCCAGATTTAAATACCTCCCGAGTTGTGAATGTAGAGCATTGATTTTGAGCCTCAACATGTGTGTTTGACGAAGATAAAAAAATGAACGTCGCGAATACATCAGTAGGAGTACTTGTACTATAATAAACCTATGACATTCGATTGCAGAAAACCAAACAAAGGTCCACCTAGGAGCTTTTTCTTCTAGTTGTCTTCTCCAGTTATTTGATGTTGCTGTAGATCTCGTTTAGCGCTGCCTGACTTGCCTCACGCAGGAGTTTGTAGTTTGAGTCTTCCTCTGAAGTGGATGCGGTGCCACTGTGAGTAGATGGTGCCGAAGCGGCCGCTGTGGCAAGACCGTCCACATTACCGACAGGAATCTGCCAGAGCACCGTGTCTTCCCTACTGCTCTCTGCAGTGAGATCGTCCAGGTCCAAGTAGTCGATGAAGCTGCGATCCAACAGCTCTGAGAGAAATACCTCACCAGCGCTCTTGGAACTCACAGGTTGGTTTTTCTCGAAGAACATCGCCGCGCCGCTCTCGATGTAGTAGATGATCGCTCCAACGCCGTTCTTGTTGCCGCCACTTCCTGACTTCTGTTTCATCACCGAAATTGGGACGCTTGTTCCCTTTGCTGTGAGCCGAAGCTTCTTGGAACTCGGGAGCGCCGCGACGGCAGCATCGATCAATGTGGCAGTGACGTGCGAAGGATCGGTTAAAACTGTCGACAGCTCGGAACGAACGCGGTCTGCAACGACGGAAGGATCGTCAGCCTAGACGTGAAATAGATGTGTTGCAACCCCCACTTAGCGAACTATGCATACTATATTACTTATATAAAGTCGTTGGAATTTTCATCCTTTGATCATAGAGCAAACAAAAACCTATTTAGAACGCAATCTCTATGCATGATTGATTCAACCGAGTGGTCCCTTGATAAGGGAAATGGAGAGAGCGTCAAGATGGAAATCCTCCTTCTATTCAATTACTTACCTGATTCTTTTCACTTGCAGTCGCCTTCGACGCGTCACCCTCGTCAGTGTAGGTTCGGTAGAAAAGTTTGCTAAATTCCGAGGAGGTAGTTAATTTCTCGTTATTTCGGATCACTTCATCGAAGTCTTCTCTGTGCAGTCTCCACAAAACTGCGCTCTCACTAGTCAGGTTACAGCTAGCCTGCCGAGGCGTGTCGTAGATCAGTGCTAGTTCTCCGAAGATATCGCCCTCTGTGAGTCGCGCGACGCAGCGATCGCCTGTGGTAAGTGAAGTAAGCCAACATTTGATGTTCTTCTAGGTCTTCTAGCTCGAACCGAAAAATTGAGTAGAATCATTTATTGGGTGAAACCCAACAAGTGAAATTGAAAACAACTTTTTCCATTTGTTCCACGTGGAACCAGATGACTATAGGCTGCAAAAGAATCACAACTTACTACGTCACGACTGCGATCTTCATCATTACCTTTCCGCACCTCCACTTCACCACTCTCGACGAGGTACATATGATTGTCGCCGTCGTCGTTTGCTTCGTCACCTTCTTGGAGTAGCCGAAGTTTTGATACCGCATTCTTGTTCTTCCTCACGCGCTCGAAACGCGTCAACAAATTCCGTCTTTCCGAGTCGGAGAGATGCTGAAACACCCAAATACGCTCCAGCATCAGTCCCAATCGAAGAGTACTCACCTGAGGTGGACGTCGAACTCGGAGAAGTATTGCTTCAAACAATGGGGAGGACCACACAGGAAGGTTTTTCCACAAAAATCATTTTTCCTGACGTGTATAATCAAAATGATGATGATCAGTAAGACGATCGCTTACTAGGACTGTGAACGCCCGATTACATAATTGAAAATCATGATGTAGAAGTTCGTGAAAAAAGGAAAATTTGAAGCTACATCAACATCTTGTTACCTTTTCTGACACAGTTTTTCCCATCATCATCGGTTCCTCCTCTTCCAACAGCGTTGGCGCGTCTGGTTGGACATACGAGCGATAGTACTCTGGCCTCGACGTGATTTCGTTATTCATCGACATATATTTCTCGAAGAGATCGTAGCTGACCTTCCAAAGCACTGCCGTGTCGCTGGCTAAGATAACGGATGCTTGTCGAGTAAGACCTGTTCGTAGTTCAGGAGCGGGTAGATTTTCTTGCGATTGGTTGGAAGTTGCGAATGGACTGAAGATACTAGATCAGACAGAGAAAGACAGATGCTTGACCAGCTGTATATAGTTGTCGCAGTCTCGGGCTCTTGTCGTGAAGGACCTGCGACCCGTTAGGCCCAACGGATTGAACTTGAAAGTAAAGTTCTCGACGGCGATCTATCTACACCGTAGACATACTGCTCTCGACAAAAAAAAAACAAAAAGCGCAACTTTCTACCGTAAACCATGCCCAATTCTCCAAAGACGTCTCCTCGCTTCAACGTGTTCACTAAGCGGTCTGACTGGAAGCACTCGAACTGGCCTGATTCAATCAGGTACAAGCCCGAGTCTGTCCCCAAGGCCGCCCCTTCCGTAAGAATGACGTTTTTCTCCGAATCCGACGGATCCTTACTCAATTCTTCCCTCTCCATCTTGCGCACAAGTGTCGCTAAATCATCTACGCTCAGGTAGCGAAAGCACCAGTTGTGGTGCTTCAGCATCTGCGCAATGTGTGTGCGCTCCTCCTCTAAATGCAAGTCCTCGATCTTGCGTTCGCCGTAAATCTTGTAATATTCGGACGCCCACTTCCCACTCGTGATTTCCTCGCTACAACGCGGAATGAAGGGAATAATCTATGAAGAGACAAGTACTTACAACTACATAGGTCAGCTTACAATTAGGCTACCAACTACAACACTGACATTCGTGCGTGCAACAAAATTAAACGATCATACTGATACAACCTTTGATTGCAGCAATATCGTTCCTTTGTTTCGACGCCGTTTGAATTTCTAATACGTGGTGTAGATGTACTCAGATGTCATAACAATCAGTTCCTGGAAGGCGTCTCTTGAGAGGCGCCACAATTTGACAGACGGGGAAACGGCAAAGCATGACGCTTGACGCGGGAGGCCGTAGATGAGTGCAAGTTCGCCGAACAAATCACCAGGGCCCAGAGTCCGAAGGGGGCGCCCATCTTGTTCCACGTCAATAACGCCGGACTCAATCACATACATGAAATCGTTCACGTCCGCGCCTTCACCCTCACGAAGCAAGCAGAACTTACGACCGCCTGCGGGGATTGATTATGCATGGTGATGATGAATTGAGAGGAGCGCCATGTTGACCGCGAGCACAAGGAGCGACTTTTTTAGTTCTCATTTACAACAATCTCTAGTGAAACAAAAAATAGGAAGTCTAATTTACCATCTTCCATGCGCATGGAGTATCTCTTGGCAGCGCAGTGGATTTCTTCCAACTCGAAGCGGAACGCGAGTGCCCTAAAGTCTTCAGCGTTCAGATATTTGAAGACCCACAATGTCTTCAAGAGGCCACGCAGATTTTTCCGCTCTTTCTGAAAAACTTCCGTGTCAGACATCATTTTGCCCATCGCAAGGGGTTTATCCTCGTCATCCGACGCGGATCCTCCACCTGCAGCTCCACCTGGAGAACGAGAAATTGTGAAAAAATCAGATCATACACATCATCAACGGGCCTTTCTCCCCTGGTGTGACTGGAAAAGATTCATTGTAAGAACAGTCTTGCTTTCAGATACTTAATTCCAGTCCCAATGAATACCTAGGTTGTGTTTTTCAACAAGACGTTCACAGGATTACTTATTTAGTATAGCATCAATTCTTGATGCAGTACTATTACCGCGTCCTCCCGCGCCTCCCAAGCTGGCTACTGAGCCGTCGCTAAGTTTTCTCGCTGGATACATGCGGTAGAAGAGGCTGCTGTACTTTCCAGAACTAAATTTGTCGTTGGATCTCAGTAGGTTGTCGAAATCATCGCGGCTCAGTGCCCAGAACTTGGCCTTGGGTTCCTGCAGGACGCATGTGCACTGTCTGGGTAGATCAAAAACCATGCCGAGTTCTCCGAGGACGTCCCCTGTTCGACACACGTTTATTCGCCGCCCGTTTTGGAGCACATCAACGGTGCCGCTTTCGATCACGTACATCCGCTCGTTGTTGCTCAGCGGCTCTCCCTCCGTAAACCAGACAATCTTTCCGTTCTTGTTCAGACATATGAAGGAGGAAACGGGTCGTCACAGGAAAAATTTGTTGTCAATGACGCCAAATTTATTACACCAGCAAAGGACTGGCTGAAGTTGCTAAAAATGTTCTTTCTTGATGAAGGCAAAACCGAAATATGAAATGGTAAAACCATCTCTCTTTGTTGTGCAGTAGAGTCAACGGATCAAAATTAACAGAGTAAAAAAAATATGCGGCTCTTAATTTCTGGATAAACAGGTTCTGTTTTTGTGCGGTAGAACATGGGCATCCATTCGTCGACGTGCTGCACACTGAAGGCGCTGAGGAGATCGGTCATTTCCGCTGTTGTCTCCATCTTGGAGAAGATCCACGGTGATTTGCACAACAGCATGAAGAGCTGCACTTTTTCTGGCGGTACGTCTAAACCAGGATAACGTCCTTGCTGCAGCTCCAGGAACTCCTGCTGGTCGATGACAGGTCGACTTGAGTACTCAGGAAATAGCTCAGCAGCAAAGTGTTTCGCGACGACCGGGTCGTTCTTAAAATAATCCTCAAAAGTATCCCTATCAAGCTGCCACACAACATTCTTCTCGGCAACAGCTTCGCATCGCGCCTGTCGAGGCATGTCGTACAGAATTAGAAGCGCGATGGAAGTAGTGCTGACGGAGTAGTTACCAATTTCTACGCTCCTAGTAGTACTAGACTCGTGATCGTCTGTGAAAATGAGTCTTCAACTGTTGACCACCACGGATGCGCATACGGGATTGCAAACTTTCTGATACACCAGAACAAAATAATCAAGGGAGAGGTTATGACGATGTGGATTGTGGCTATGCTTGTCAGCCTTAACAATAGAGCACGCTCGCCGAAAAAGCCGCCTTTCTTCTGAATTACGTTCACTAGCACATTATCCCGACGAACCTGGTGGTTGGTAACGAAGAAGTTGAGAGGTATGTAGCAATATGCTTAGAGGATTTAGACATATTGCTATTGTATTGATGGTAGTGGAATTGGCGCCTCCTGCTGCTGGCTTACCTTCATTCGTAGTACTGTTTGTACAATGACCCTGGTGCGTTTTCTAATGTTGATGGTTGTACCTGAATGCGTCCTTCCTCAAGAACGTAGAGGCATTCGTCGTCTGTCACACTAGCGCCCTCCTCCCAGAAGACATGCCCTTTTCGGACCTCTACGCGTATGAACATAGGACGCACGTGCCTGTCGAAAGTCGCCTTCGGTGTGCGACTGAAGACGTAGGCGCGCCGTAGGAAGTCACTTTCAGGGATATTCTCGAGTTCATCGAGCCCCGTCGGCGGTGCAACATCGGCTTTCTGGTTGCTGGGGCTGCTACCGGCCATGCCTAAACGCTCGAGCTTAGTTCCCAGATCATTCCTTGGACCTAAAATGGCATCCAATGCCGCGCTAGTTTTTTGGCTCACCATCGGGCGGCCACCAGTCTTGGTAGGACCACTTGACGTTGTAGCGCCATCCCCACCTGCTCTACTCTCTGGCTCAGAAGAAGCTATTGTTGCCGCCTTCGTCGTAGTCGTCGTGGCTCCTCCAGCGGAACTAGCACTGGTATCACCCAGAATACCACTAATGATCGTGCCACTCGTAGCGTCCACTTTGGTTGTCTTCGATGCTAGCTCTTCGAAGTGTTTATAGATCCATCCCATGGGATCATCAGGACGCTCTTTGAGAACTGCTGCTATCAAGTTCCGCACCACACCAGCAATGTCGTGCTCTTCTAAATATCTGCAGATCATTTAAAGAAGTCTAGACGTTGAAATTATAATTCTGCTCTTTCCATGGAAATGCCCAAACTTGCTACAGATCATGGTCATGCCCGGCAAAACTTTCTACTTACTTCCATGATTCACGGAGGCATGATAAGCTTGAGTTTTTCTTCTCCATCTTAAGTTACTAGGTACTTAGTTTCGTTACCTGCAAGCTGATATGGCGGTGCCGTGTTTCTTTCCACCCACACCTCCCGGTGACGAGGGTGATGATGGCGACGAGGAGCTGCTTACTCCCGCGCTGGGAAGTGCGACTTGCACCTTGAGGCTAGTCTCCTTGCCCGTCGATGGATCTGTGAAGACTACACTCTTTTCTGTTCCGCCAGAAGCCGCTAGCTGTTCCCTTGTCAAAGGTCCTATCGAGCTTCGTTCGGCTACCTCCTGCAAGATCCCGAATGACAAGCTTGTATCGGGTGAGGAAAAGAACGTGCTAGTTGACACCGGTATATAGATTGGTCTGCCCAAACTGATTGCAGATTGGCAATGAATAGCGCCGGCCTTGATACTCAGGATCGAGCCCGCTGGCAACGAGCCAGAACAGTCCAGAATACTCAACTCCATCGTGGCACCACGGGCTGTTGCTTTTTAAGAACTGGTGTAAAAGACCAATCGATTATATGGAGGCAGGTTGTTGGTAGACTTGCACTTGGACAGCAAAAACAACTGCTCCAGCAAGGTCACACTCGTTCTTCACCAGAAGTTGTAGCAAGAAAAGGGATGATTGAACAAGTCAACCTCCACGACAGACACAACTTACAAGCTAGAAGAATGAATTCACCACAAGATCTTTATGCACATAGATACTTTTAAAAACGTCGATGCAGTATCCTCATGCATACAGACTTAGAAGCGAGAGAGAAAATAGTAGAACGATCATGAGTGTGACAGAAAGCAGCCAGGACATTCAAAGATACAAGAATCACGTCAAAATACATCGATATTCGGTGAAAAAGGAAACATCAAAACTTGTGTTTTGGGGGTGATGGATCGGTACCAGGAAAAAATGAAGAAACTACACAATGCATCAATGTTGAATGAGAATACCATACTACTGAAGCTGTATCTATGTAGCGCAGGAAGACGATGAAATCAACGAGATAGATGAGATTCTATGGTTTGCTCAATGAAGGTTACTTCACACATATATCGAAGTTTGTCGGGCGGGTAGTTCTTGGTCTCGGTAGCACCAAGACACATGAAAGCAAAAGAAACAAAAGGTGGATCTCCACCGCCATGAAAAAAATGATCAACATGTGGGAGCACGCTTATCCACATCCCACACGCATACTTCATAAGCTTTCTTGAATCTTTTTTTGACCGATTTTTCATGATCGTCTTCTTCACGATCAAAATTTCTTTGTCAGCAACATGCGTGCGACAAGAAGATCTTCAGTCACGATCGGTAATTTTTCGTGGCCAAACAAAACTCAACATAGAAAAAATGCAACTTGCATGTCGCTCAGCACAACACCGGAATACAAAGAGGATCTTCCATTAGCTTAAAATAAAGATTGCTAACCCGAAAATATAATAGTCACAGTTGACCATTGTAACAGATCATGATGCCGATGGCGATACAGATGAGAATGAGTAGTGAGCAACTACAACTTGGGCCACAAAACAGATACACACCTAAGCCAAACGAAGGCTAATGACAGCATCATGCCGAGAGGAGCAAAGAGACATGGACAGACCTCTTCCACTCTCTTCTCAGTTGTCTAAAAATTCTTCGGACCACTTGTTCTTGACCGATACACCACAACAACAGAAAACAATAACATCATGCTTTTGCATATTCCACCAACCTCTCTCTTCTAATTTCCTGCTCACAGAAGTGTTTAGGTTTACAACAAGACGAAACTGGTGGAACAGCAACAGGGAAATGCAAATGATATTTCTCTACGCGATGATGATGTTACTTAGTCGGTTTGGGTCTGACCTACGACTTCCCAGAATCTTCAGAGCAGGCGCGTTTAAAATCGCACTGCTTGTTTTATGAAGCACGTGCGCAGGAACAGGAAAGATCATGAGCATAGAATTAGAGTCGATGAAAGAAGACAGAGGTATCTAGCAGCGACGTTGTGCCGGTGCATCTGTTTCAACATGATGAGATCGGTTTCCATATACCCCACAGTTCCGCTGTATCTCTTCGAGATTGCGCCATGCAGCTTCTAGAAAGGGGTCATCACGGCGGTTCGTTCTCATCTCCGCGAAGGTCTCGTCCGGTGCTTCAATATCATGAATAGCCTCTTCTCCTTCATCTTCATCACTTCTAGTACGAGGATTTTTACTAGCTGCTGAATGTTCCTTATTTGTTTTCATTTTCAATGCGCTCCCATGTGATAGTTGCGCTTGAGACACAAGAAATCTTTTCAAATCATGATCCAGGCTAGGATGAGAGCGTCCTTCTCCTTCCCGTGAAGGTCGTTTGCCTTTGTCCTTGATGTTGATGTTCTTCTTATCTATGATGTTGTGGCTGGTCGTGCCGTTCTTGTCTCGTTCGTCAGCAGGTCCTTGGCGCGTGAGAGACCGCAATGAGTCCACCTTGTCTCTCATCCGACCCGAAGCAGATGCAGACGATCTGGATGACCCTGCTACAACGGCTTCGGAAGCTGATGTCAGAAGCATATCGTAGACGTAGTCCCCAGTTGCGGTAATCACGTTCCCTACTGCACGAGTACCTCCATCACTTGTTTCTGGTATGCTTCTAGTAGGAACAATGTAGCCATAGGTTCTTGGCAAAAGAATCTCGCGAATCCACGTAGAATTGAAAGTGTCGGAGCTAGCCCCACTTGAATGAGTGCAACTCATCTGTCCATCCTCTGATTTTTTTGGCGACACACGAGGCAATCGTGGTCTCGGTGTCGCAGGAATGCTTTTACGCCTTGATGTGTAAACAAGAGTGCAACCCAGCTCCACGACAGATAAATCGTTAGAGCTCCCATGACCAGTCTCCGAGCTCTTCTTTCTTCTCCCTTTAATCGTCTTGCAACTGGCATTTTTTGCAACTTCTTCTCTCGAAAAACACCCCAACGAGGAGGCGACATCAGAGTGCAAGGGGTCTTCATACTGAACCAGGATTCCGTTCTCGTCGCTATTTTCCTTGATACGGTCACCATGAGGTGTTGGATTCTCACCCTCGGATGAAGGTGCACATGATCTCCTTAATGATCTGCTTCTTGATGAGGGGCTATATTTTTTTTCACTTGTTGCGACGCCGCCAACGCCTGCGCCTTTCCTCCTATACCTATGGTCATGAAGTATTTCCATTTCGGTTCTTCCTTTTCCTGCTCTCGTCTTGCTTTCATGATTGGCAGAGGTAGTCGTATTTGCCAGGAGCCGCTCTAGTACGCGCATTGTTGACGATGCAGAGGATGACGAAACACTGCGTTGATCTTGTGGAGGCGCACAGAGCGGAGAATTACTCAAACTACTAAGAAGCGCTGGTCGTGAGGCATGACCAGGATGATCACGTTCAGCATTTAAAAGTAGTTGGTTAGGCTGATCATGACTCTCTCGCCCACGACCTCCTTTGATGTTATTTATTATCCTCATTTCCTCCAGTGTCTGATTATACCTTGTCTCTCGTAATTGCTTCTCAGTTGTTTTACCAGAGCAACTTCGGTAAGAGAACGAACTTTTTTCTTCTCGACCCGAAGATGAGATGATAGCAAGCTGCTTCTCAGCTCGTCCTGCTCCTGTACTAGCCTCAGAATCCTGCTCATGAAGCAATAGGGGAGTCTCAGCACGTCGAAGATTTCCAAATGCAGTCGACGCATTACTACGTCGAGGAGTACTCCTAGGTCTTGCATTTCTGTAGACAATTGTGGACTCTCGCCGGTCATTTGGGGAAGGTTGCCACAACTCCCCACTTGCTTCTTCACGACGTATAGAGGACCGTCGCATGGGGGCGGATTGGATCTGTTTCTGAAGTGTGGAAGCTCCTTCTGAGGAGAGGCGCACCTCTCGTTTGGAAGTTGCTCCACCTTCTTCATTATTGGTTTTTGTACCGCAATGTTGTTCGCCGGGTAGTAAATCGTGTGGACGATGAACACGATCTATGTGGTCGCGTTCAGCAACGAGTTCTTGCCCAGGGTCTGCAGGAGGAGTAGTTCCTATGTAATTTTGATCATCTTCTTCTTCTACTTTAGGAGCATTTTTATGACGCACAAGCGATCCCGCCATGGGGAGACAGAGAAGACCCCCGTTCGGTTTTCCACCTTGTCTGAAAGTCTGCTCGTGGTGGCCAGCTGGCGAGGAACAAATCGTGGAGGCGATTCGTGCACCAGGAGTTCCTCCAAGTCGACTCTGGTGCGTTCGTGGTGAAGAAGACAAAAGCCCGACCCGATGGTCCGACACGAGTAAAGGCAATTCAGGCACCGGAACTGAAGATGCGGGAATAGACCTCTTCGCATGTGGGTTGATAGCTGCCGTGTCGCCACGAGAAGGAGATGCAGCGGACGAAAGATGTAGGTCAAAAGCTTGTTGTTGTTCTTGACTTGTTTTACAGCAATTCTCGACAGCAGACGTGATATTGAAGGTAGTCGGTTTAACCTCCGCTGTTGAGGCAGTTCGTGGCACTGCACCAGTCGTGAGTGGCGCTGGACTTGAAGAGTCTTTGTTCTTCCGCGGATGACAGTCAAGATCATGATGGCCGACCTCCTGGAGAACCTGACCCTGGCCATGCTGCGGCAGTTGTTGTAGAACTCCACTGACTAGCCCTGGTGTAGTTCCTGCCTGCTTGTCTCGAGGACCATCTACTTCTGCTGGACCTCCAGGAGTACGGAGGCTGGTACATGATAAGAGCAATTCATGATCGTCATCATCGTGCTTCGGACGCGTTGACTCAGCCGAGACCGGCAACCGCGTTCTCGAGTCTTTTCGTCCAGCCTCCTGCGTTATCAATTCTCGGGAGACTCCTTCTCTTACTTTCGAAGGACCTCCTGGTGAAGGTTCGCAGTGAAGCTGCTGCAATTTCCGCTTGCTAGACGAGTCCTCCTTCCTACGGTCATCTTGATCAACCTTGACGTTCTGAGACTGAAGATTCCCGGTTCTTTGCCTGTTTTCTTCTACTCGATCCCGACTAACTGAGCGAATACTGGCACTGCTCTTTCTGCTGCACGAAGCTTGTTGGCTGTTCGTCAAAAGTGTTTGGCCGACAATATCATACGATCTTTCCACAGTGGATCTATTTCTTCCGTACCCATTAGCATTCATCTTGACAATGTCCTTCTGTCCACACGACAGAATATTCTTGTTGCCTTGTTCCTGGAGTAGAGGTTGTCTATAATCTTTCGACATTCTTGTCGTAGATTTCGCGACATGTCGATGTGTAGCCAAGACGGGGTGAGCTGATGAACGTCCTGATGCCATTTTGTGCTCGTGCCGCGTCCTTTTATCGGGGCTGTGGAAGAAGCCATGTTGTAACGCACAGAGAAGCAGTTCGTCACTCGCATGCTCCAATAAATCGATCCGTTTACTGCGCGCCACGATGCCGCCGTTGGAGCTAGAAGTACCGCGACCATTATTACCAGCACAACTGGAGGTGAGCGAACCAGAGGCGTTGTTATCAGTTGTATAGGAAGTAGGAGAAAAAAAAGAACGCCCTCTTGGAATGTCGAAGCTTGGTCCGACACAAACTGAGACTTTCTTCGGTGGATGCGATCTTCTCATATTTGCTCTCCTCGAAGTTATATTTTCAGCATGCAAGGATACGCGCGCGCTTCTCGCTGTCGATCTTGTTCCACCTTTAGCTTCTGCTCCCGATGATATGTGTCTCTGTTCCATTTGCTGGCTCCTCATGGTCGTGTTTCGTTTTGTCGTTCCTCTCTTTTCGACTGTCTTTATCTGAGATTCTTCGTGTGTACGAAGAAGTGCATGGCTTTTAAGTGCGGCGCGTCTCACAAAAACTCCACTTGACGGAGAAGATTCAGCGCTAGCGCCTTCTGCATTTGGTGGACTTCTAGAAACAGACTCTACATAGCGGCAAGCCTCACACGAATGGCCGTCATGATCCGTTGCAGTGTCACGTTGGGGACGAGGAGCTCCTTCTCTCCGACCGAATTCCTCAAGGACGTCAACATTATGATCAACACTGTCCACTTCGTCATCACTAAGAAAGCTGCTCGTCCCGTTAATAAATTCAATGTGTTCATCTCCATGATAATCTTCACCACACCCGTCTTCGTGGCTCCTTTGCGCTTCATATGCATCCTCGTCTACGTATGGGTGTGACGAATCGAGAGGATGACAATCAGTTTCGAGAACCCTGCAGGAGTCGGCTTCTTGCTCGTTACCATCTGTGCTGATGAAGTCCTCTCCTTCTATGTCTTCGTCGGTCCAACCGGCGCTTGATCGATCCTCGGATAGATTAGCTCCACTATGTGTTGACGCACGGCTGGGTCCGATAAGCAGTTTCTTGGAGTTGTCTTTACCCAAATCACTCGCGGATTGTTCAACATTGGAAATCAGTCCAGGAGATAAAGTGGAGTTATTTTCATCCGAGGAAGTCACGACCTCATCCTCCTGATGTCTACTTACAGGAACAGGAGATGGTGGAGATTTTACTAAACAATGATCCGTGTCTGTCGTTCGCTCCCGAGAGGGAGTGCTAGACCTCCGATGTTGAGAAGGATTTTTATGATGACCTCCAGGTCCTCGTGGCCACTGGAGGTTAGACTCTTCTTTTTGACGAGAGCATTGACGTTGTCGCTGTCGGAATCGGTCATCTTCTGATCTCGAGACTGGTGGCGTTGAAATTGAGCGTCGTCGTCGTCCCCTTCGGCGTCGCGGGGTAGGCGTGTTGTAGTTACGTATATCTGTTTGTCTAATGCTGCGGCTTCTCCCCGAAATTCGTGCACCAGATCTCGCGGGTGTCGAAACCCTCCGTTGCGCGTGACTGGGGTCGCATTTTCTCGTCCTTCTCCGACTCATGCTTCTGACCACCATACTGCCATCGCTTCCCGTAGCCTCATCCTCGTCTTGATACGAGCTGCGCCTGTAGAGCTGGGATCCTCTTGTGGTGCTCCTGTTGCTAGTCCTCGCGGACGTTCGTCTGTTATAGATGGACGTGTTCGGCGTTCGTCTTCGTGCAGCTTCATCTGGCGATTGCGACGACGATCGCCCAGCACTACGAAGTGGTGTTGGCGTGTCTTTATGTAAACCACCTATCGGCTTCACCTTGCTGACCTTTTTGGTCCTTTGTTCATGATTCGTACTTCTCCTCGAATGCGAATCAATCTCAGGGATTGCTTGCCGTTGCCTGAGCGGAGTTGTCAATTCGTGATCATCTCTGTTGTAGTACTCACTCCGCCGCGATTCACAGAGCCCGCGCTTTGTTCCTCTGGAAGCAGAAGAAGCTCGGTTCGATTTCGGCATGTTTTCTAAACTACGACGACCGCTCTCGTTGTCATCGACGTTTGACAGGCTGTCATCGGCATGGCGTTTCGAGCTCTCACGTGCACCATCACTCGCAGACGTATCATGAACTCGACTATCTTTCCCATGCAGCTGTGTATCAATACTTCGACTTCCGCCCTCTTGATCATCTACTGGTGTCGTCGGACTTTCGAAGGTTTTGGTAGTGCGAGATGAAATTCTATTTTTCATAAAATTGCTCTTATTCTCCTGGTCGACGACTTCAACGCGTTCTACCATTTCAATTTCTCCAGAGCGCGGCTCGTCTCTTTCTTTCGCTTTCCCTTCTATTCTTCTTGTTTGTCCTACTTTAGCTCTACCTCCTGCTCTAGAACCAGAAGTACCGTAGCTACGACTATAAACTCCCTGCTTCGCACTATGACTATCGTATGCTGCTAGAACTGAATTAGAATGTCCTTTCCCGTTCCACTGAGGATGGCTCAAAATCGCGTGTCGTATTTTGCGGCCACTTATGGTGTCCCGACAGAGATCCAGCGCTCCATCTCCCCGGGCGTCTCGCAGGTGAAGGACTAGGAAGTCATAGCGCTCCAGTATGGCATAAGCCACTCTCCGTTTATCTAGGGCCGCAGCTATGTGGAGACAACTTCCGCCAGTCTTTGGGCACGGCGCGTTCACTTGGGTAAAGGTAGGATGCGACAAAATGGCCAAAAGAAGTTGCTCATCCAAAACAAGATAAAGTCCCAATATCACAAGAGATCCGAAGTGCGCTTGCTCGTCTCCGTCTAAGTTCAGAGCTGACACCAGGTCACCCGCTTGTTCCGCAGAGACAGCGTTCTTGAAACTGCTGCGTCTCTCTTAGAAACTGCCCACCAGCTTTTCATCTTCGTGCATTAATATGTTGTAGTTCCGACTTCTAGTGCTGGATAGTGATAGTCATCTAGTGGTGCTGAGAAAGTAGTTTATTTCATCCTTATTTATAAAATTTTTCCTTTTGAAAGTACAGTGGTCCACGAAGCTAGTACTAACCTAGACAGAGGAGATTCCCCCTCACAGTTGCAGCACGAGCTAGCACATCATCTGGAGGTAAAACATGAACAGCAAGAAGATGCAAAGTAGCCTTAATTGCTTTTTGCATTTGAGCCACTCCCTCCATTCTTAGCTTCTATATCACTTTGTGCAAAAGGCCCATCAGGTTCATGGTCATGTGCTTGCGATGGCTCTAGAAAATGAGCCAGAAGCTGGCGCAAAGGCCACCGATCGACAAACAACGCGCGCAGTAGAGGATTCCGACACCACGATAAGTCTGCCAGCTGCGGCAGACGCGTGTTCTTGACGTTATCGAAGGCTGCGGGCTGAGCGTGGTCAGCTGGTGCCATGATATTTTCACTGTTGACATGATCAACTACAACAGAGCTCGTCATCATGGTATTTTTGTAGTTCGTGGTCTCCGTCGTCAGAAATGAGGCAAGAACATACACAAGAACAGCACACTAGTGGAGCTAAACATTAGACTTAGACTAGGGTACAGTAGTAAACTCAAAAGACCATCGACGCAACAAGAAGTTGTGGGCATAGACAGAAACAAGGGAGCTAGTGTCTGACAGTACGAATCAAGCAAAACCTCAACGCCTCCATCAAACTCCTAGTAGTACGATACCATTTCCATTTTGGGAAATTTGGATAAGCATAGGTATCCATGTATCTATAATCATGTCCCCTTCTAGGTAGCACGCGGCAGACCTCCACCGCTACTGCATCAACATATTAAACGAGGAATACAAAACGTTTAATAGATGTATCCCGAGCCTGAACTGATAACTCGCTTTCTGGAAGCGCCACGTCTAGCCGCGCATTTCTTTTTCAGAGGCTGCAATAATTCACTGTCTAGAAGAATCATACACAGTACAACAGCGTTACTACATCGATGGGTAGCTATAATTGTTCGTACTTTCATCGCGCCTGACGCTAACACTTTTTCAGACAACGAACAGCGAAACCTTGTACTTCAGCAACACCGATCACTATGACACTACAGAAGCCAAGCAGCAATTTGAACAACTATAGGGAAGATCTGCAGCTACACCACACAGTCAGTCCACGTATAGTAGACGCGACACGGTAGCTATTCTTAACTTTTCGTCAAGAAAAATGCGCGATATCCAAATGACAACTTCGGGACACACGTCGAGGCGTATCGCGCATGCGACATCGCCACCAGAAGAACGCACATGGAAAGTGCCGCGATAAGTTGAAAAGGAGATTTAGGTTGTTGCGAAAGGTCTTTAATGAATCAACATGCTTTTACAACGTCGACGCGCAAATCATTCAAACAATACTGACTCTGACTTGAATATGGAACAATATGCAAAAAACATGACCCTATCTATCATTTATGAAATACGTGAGAGTGCGTGTAGACAACCGAAAACGAAGAAAACGACTTCTTCCGGCCTTATCATGTTGGGGACAAGGACTCATCACCGGGTAGGCCGTTTCAACCATAAAAATCAGCTGGTACAACTAACAGAATGAAGAGTCAGAATAATGTCTCGGATGTTACTGCATGTTGTAAATCTAGATGTATTTGTTATGTTCATGAGATCCAATCGAGGTGCGTGGCGCGCACCTTGCGATATCTTTTCTACGAAGGAATGCATGGAAAAATGGATAGGGATCACACGGACAGCGCCGGTGGGTCAATCATCGACATCTTTTATGTGATATTAAGAAAACAAATGATTTTGCTTCTTGTTGTCGCGTGAACGCGCTTCGAGAAATAGAGGCCTCCACGAACCCAGGAGCGAGACTGGCAGATGGAAGGATGATAGTGCGCGTACGAACTACATTCACTGGACCCCATCATCTGCCGCCCTCCTAGAATAACGCGGCTCTCTTCTAGAATGTGCTCGTTCATGATGAATTTTTCATCGGACTATTGAAGCGCCCGCTTCATTCCAAAAATTTGAGTACAGAGACGTCGCCTTGAGTAAGGCCGTCCCTTTTGTGAAAAAGAAGATGCACGTATTCCAACACGCGCAGCTCATCGTCCTGGAAGATCATCTGCAGAACATATTAGTACTAAAGTCAGTGCTCACTCGTTGTACTCTCAACCACAAGAAGTTGGAGCACGCCGCCAGTTTTCCTTCACTCATAGACTACGTACAACTACTTAGTCAAGCAAGACGAGTCCTGCACGTCTACTGGTGGATGACTTGTACTCTATTTTTTCTATCTACAACTCTGTCTTCTGTTGAGTGAGAGACTGGTAGTAGTCGACTAGCACCTGCCATCCATCCTCGTCCATGAAGCCCTTCGGGGGTGTCTCCCCAGCGCGGGCAAGGGCGCGCATTTTCGTTCCCGATATGGAGATGAAGTCGTCTTTTCTTTTGGGGTCGAAGAAGCGCATCTCGCCAACAGTTTTGTCGTAACTTGCAAACTGGAATGGCACTATCGTCATCTGAAAAAGCGGATTCATTTTCAGCATCTTCTGCCCGTGCCACGCGGAGTAGGAATCATCATTTGTCCCGGGGTGTTTCATGCCTGCTGGGTCACGACCAACGATGTAATGCGTCGCGCCAACCTGGTATGTCGTGGTTCCTAATGTTCTAATCAAGAGTTTTCGCAAACAAGGATGATAGAAGATGACGAGGGTCCTCGAAAGGATGGAAGTTGCTGATTAAAAAAAGCGCTCCTACTAAACTTTCAAAACCTCAACTTCATATTTAAGATGAAATTCAGTAAATCTCTTCTATAAAATTAATTTGTTGATCTCATTGTGATAATTGTCATCGAAATTGATAGATACGTTTTGTCTTGAGAGTGCGTGCCATTGAACCTCCCGCGGGCCTGCGTAAAGCATGGGACTTGGGAATATACTGAGCAAGACCTTCAGCTCGTCTCCGAATACTTTATTTTTCAGCAGCTTCTGATGCTGTAACATACGCGTCAAGAGAGGCACCTGTCATTCCAGAAAGGAACGAAGCAATGGCACGCAGAGAAAGTTTGTTGACGGAGATCATGATGGTGAAGAGGTCGAGAACGAGATGTTATATTAAAGCAACGATCACAGTGATGGCACAATCATGTTGGGTGTTGTTGACGAGATCAACGTTTGTAATTCATCTTCTGCTTGACGATGATCAAATGTAGTTGGACAACGTCAAGTTTTTACGTCGTCATCTTTGGTCCATCCTCCGAGAGGATTGATCCAGAGCAGGGGTTTCTTGAAACCTTTAGCTAGCAGTTGCCGATGTGTGTCTTTCATCAGTAAAGCGTGGCCATTGTGGATCGGGTTGCGCAATTGGAAAACGAAAACAGCATCGTGACCCTCCAGCTGAGCCCTGATCTGTGTCGGCGCCAGACGGAACTCATCTAAACCGTCGCTTTGCTGGGGACTTACCGCACGTGGGGCCACAGAGAGGTCACCACCGCACAAACTGTTGTGCGCTGGCTCGATCCACGTTTTTATGTAGGGATATTCAGGATGTACAAGCCCGAAAGTACGCGCTATTCGCTCCTCTTTGCGGTGCTCGAAGACCTGAACGGTGAGGCCTGAGATTCTAATTCATCTACATTTCCATTGATGTTCGCCGCGTCATTCTCAAGGAGCTCAACAGTCACCAAGAACTCCAAGCTTAAAAAATACGCATGATGTTGTAGTCAACACAACATCATACTGCCTCTAAAACCATAGATATAAGTAATACCTCAACGTCATTGAGTATCGCGACTCCTTGTCCCTTGTAAAAAAGGGCAAGCTTCCCTGTCCCGGCTTCCCAGCCCAGCGGTAGGTCGCAGCTTAACACGATTGGCACTGGTGGGTCTTGTTTGTGCAAAGAATTGAGATACATGTCCTCGCGCATAAATCCTGCGGTTTAGAAGAAGACGGGTAGGACAGAGCAGCAGGTCTCGATATTTTATCATCATTTTCCGGTTCATCGTTCATTCTTCCTTTCCCTGAGAAGATGATGAATCTAGCAAGAGGAAAAGGAAGATGGAGTAGTTGATGCAGCAGGTTCTTGCTCTGCCTAAAAAAAATCGGTGGAAACAAATGAGAAGTATCTATTAAAATTAAGTCCAAGCAAGGTCTTAAGTCACGTTTTTGGAGGTCCATCCTTGAGCCATGATCTCCAGCCACTGTGATTCCTCCTCAGTTATGTCGACCTTTTTCTCGATCTGCGAGATCTCGGCATCGAAGTCTGCATCGGAACCCGGAAAAGTCATTGTCTCCATGCTCCTGGAGACTCCTTTGGCAGCCCAAGAATAGGCTGCAGCAAGCACGACGACAGACTTGCTCCGAGGATGCCATATTGGCCGTCGTGAGGAGGAGCTAGAGATGGACGAGGACATTTGCAGCGTCATATGCACTCACCCTAAGAGATAATACTAGTAAGACACGACGGGAAAAATAAAATCTAAATCGACGGGGATGATAGAGAGAGAGAAAGTTGTCCAGTCGTTGTCCCTGATCTTCGATGTGGAAGAGGAATGGCAGGTCGTAGGTAGAAGCTGTACTCACTCACACTCAGCACTCAAAAGCAGAAGACGAGGTTGAACTTAACTATGGATACTTTAGTTATTTAATAACAAGAAAATTGGGTGCATACAGCCCATGGCGTCCCACCCCCGGTCCTTAGGCGCAAGGAACAAGAGGGGGCAGGTGCTCGCGCTAACTCTAGGTCGCCACAACTGTCAGGGCCATGGGTACCGGTTCACCAAGACAGAAACTAGAGTTAGCCGCACCCTTACGACGGGGATGATGATAAAAATCAAAATCATAATTGTGAATATGATCCGGGGAGTGATGATGGCTACGAGCGGTAAATCAAAGGGTATCTACTAGCGTTTTTCTAACATATTTATCATTAAAAAAACACACAATCTGCCGTGGAGGTGGATTGAACACTAGTAAGCTCGTTCTAGTTGTAGAAGCATGCGTTCCCTAGGATTTTTGTCGCCGTTCGTCTTTCCTGTCGCTATCGTCCATGCTAACAGCGTTTGAGAATACGATCCATGTTGTTTCTCAGCATGACATTTGTCGGATCAGTTCGAGTTCCATGCTCGTGCGCCAAACAAGCACAAGACAAGAAATATTGAAAACATTAATATAGCCTTTCCACTTCCTACAGTTCCTGTTTTTGCTCGACTTTTATGCGGTCCATGATGTGCTGAAAAAGTTTTGCCGCTGATTCCTCTGCGCTGTCGTCGTCGGTGCGCAGCTCGATGTCAGGGTTCTCTGGCACGTCGTATGGGGCGCTAATACCTGTAAATTCTTTGATCTTTCCTGCACGCGCTCTGGCATATAGGCCCTTCACGTCGCGACGCTCTGCTTCTGCTAAGGAGGCACCAGATTAGACATGGACAAAGTGATTTATGACCATAAGAGCCGACGGAGCACTTGGTGAAGAACAAGATGAACATCAAGGAGTCGCGATTTTCATCATTTAAAAATTCAAAAAACAGTACATGATTGCGAACGAAGACAAGGGAAAAATTCTACTTCCATAATTGACGAAAACTTCAACAAAAGGGAGGCCGCTCTTTGCATGGCTCTCGCGCACCTGCCCCCGAACGCCAGCGTTGGGAGCAATAAGGGCCGATATTACAACCGACCCCGCTTCGACCATTAGTTTTGAGACTTCAGAGACGCGACGAACATTTTCTGCTCTATCCTTCTCCGAAAAACCGAGATCGGAATTCAGGCCATGCCTCAAGTTGTCGCCGTCCAGTCGAAACGCGGGAACGCCTGCAGGTGAAAATGCGGAAAGCGAGGCAGTAAAAAAGCTGGCCGAGATACATTATTTGTGGCCCTGCCTAGCGTTTCAATAGTTTCATAATTATCATAGCATGCTGCTCAGAAGTTGTAGATCTATAATAGAATATAAGGCAACTTCCGAACTTCTGGATTGCATGGCATGGATGGCATGCATTGCATGGATGGACCACCCAAAAAACAATATATTTTGCGCGGCGCCCTTCGGGCGCCATACTTCCTCCGCTATACCGGGCTACTCCGCCGAAGAATTACTTTACGATACACGAACACAAACACGGCCCCACTGTGACCTCGCCCCAGAAACAAGCAAGGAGCAGCGCAAACGCCGTGGCCTGTGTGCGCCAGGGAACAGTGAGCAAGACGGTCGAGATCACAGGCAAGCTAGCCTAGTCGAGCTACTTACAATAGCTAGTACGTGCCAGCACTATTCAAGTACTCCTACAACGGAGCCAAGTACTCCCATGCCGCGCCCTGAGTCTTCGTTCCCGTGTCGCTCCCTTAAGAAGGTCGCACTCTGACCCCCTCGGCTCATGCAATGCATGCAATGCCATGCAATCCATCCAATCCAACATCCTTCTTACGAAATGTTCTACTATAATTGGATGAAGACCTTATGCTTAATTCTAATATATCAGAGCAATTTATAAGGTTTTACGGCTCGCATGGCATGGACCGCATGAATCACATGGAGTAGCATGGAGCTAAAGGGGGAGCTTCTTGCGCCCCTTAAAGCTCTGCGCTCCATGCACTCCATGCTACTCCATGCGCGCTATAACTACTCTGTTATATTAGTCATTTTGTGATAGGTCGAAGATGATAGTGAGTACCTGACTCTACGAGTTTCCTCTCAACAGCTTTCGCGATCGTGCTTTTGCCTGCTCCAGAAAGACCAGTCATGAAAACCGCAAGGCCTGTTTTCCCCTGTAGCCTCCATCTCCTCTCTGGGGGAAGTGCGCCGTCACTGTCAAAATAGATGTTCGTTCCAGGTGTCGCTGCTGCTTTACCTTCATCTCTCTTTCCATCTTCTGCAGCTGCTGGGATTATGCGAACGGTGCCGGGACCAAGGCTCGCTACGAGAATGAGCAAGAGTCGTGTGATATGAACAGTAGAACAACGATAGTCGAACATATTCATTACTTGCTTATCCTAGTTTCGTGTTGAAAGAAAACTCGCGCGAAGACGCATAGCAACAACAAGTGCTGACTCAGGGCTCGTACTTGGATTTTGTGTCCATCGTAGCACAGTGAAAATTTCGGATAGTGCTTCAAGTCTCAGTAATGCTCTCCAGCCAAGTGTTTCTAAGGGGAAGTCACCTTTTCAATGATCGTGCACACGCTCGGCACAGACACGTTATTGCAGCTTCATCCCTCAGCATACTTCTCATTGGGATTGGGGATCGGGAGACTTCAGGGAAAGTCTCTGGCCACCACATGGGGCGCAGAACGTTTCACAAGGATCAGACAGGCAGAGGAAAAAACATGCCACGAGGTGATGAACTACTTAGCGACAAGCCACCCCCTGCTCGTGGATTTCACTCTACTGCTCAGTTGTCTCAGTCACCAAACTTCTATTGACGTATAAGTCAATAATTACAACAACAACAGACGAGGGCTACGCTAGAGGAAAAAAAGCCATCCAGCTGATCTGCTACGTGCTTGGCCTTGCAGATGTCGCGATGTGTTTGTTCAGCTTGACGAAAATCATGATAACAGGGATCGGGGGAACCGGACCAATTATAGTGATGGGTAGTGATATTTGTGCTTTCATAAATTACTTGAGTCAAGAATAATGTCATCACTATCATGCTAGTGTGGTCGTCCTGCTTATCCACCTCTGGTGTCTAGTTCTACTAGGACACGGCTAATCTTTTGTCGCGCAAGAAGCTTTCACCCTCTCCGCGTCTTCCAAGAGCGTCTCGATTTGCTTGCCCAAAAGTTCGAACTCCTGAACGCTAGCGTAGAGACGAGCCACAACGAGTAGCTGGTCAGGATTGAAAAATCGGCAACAGCTTTGACGTATTCCTTCTCGATACAGTCGTGCCATCGCGAGCAGCAGCTGCAAGCACGATTGATGTGCATTCAAATCCATACTGCTCCGAATATCCAAATCGCATGCAGAAATCATAGGAGGTGGCTCATCGGACCAGCACGACGAGTCGATGATATCCTCTTGTTCACAGCCGCCTTCATCTAGTACGCCACTCTGTACGCGTATTTCTTCATCAGTAGAACCCGTGGGCGCATTAAGTACAGCACTCGGTCCTATTACGTGGAGCCGATGCTTCTCACATTTCCGAATTTTCGGCTCTTTTGAAGGCACAGTTTCTTTCTCGACTTCTTCGATCAGGGGTCCTGTGTGGGGAGACTCTGCCATTCGCCACTGATCTAAAAAAGCCGCAGTAGCGTTACCACTCACGATATGAGTCAGAAGCTCAGACGAGCGCGAGGATATTTGTTGCTCTTTTCGTCCGGAGTCATTTTTTCTAGTGCCAGAAGTGGATGACGTTTTGGACTGGTTCCTCGTCCTGATACTATCGTCCTGCTCATCTTGCAGCAAAGTAGGTCGTTGTCGTTCTCTTTGTTCCTTATCTTCAGCTTCTGGAGGAGTTGTGTTCGTCCATCCAGCTGCTCGTTTACTCGGTTTACTGCGCCGTGAAGATGAAGATGCGGTTCTTACCTCATTTCTTCTAGCACGTCCAGTATCACTGCGCAAGACGTAGGGATATTTTAGAATCCAAAGCCAACGATACAAATCCGGCCACAGCTTCTGGCATATGCGAGACTCGAGAAAACTGCCGCTGCGCTGAAGAACCACGCGCAACAGATTGCACGCAGCGCAAAAAACGAATGCCCGCTTGTTTGCAAAACACGGCAGCAAAGCTTGCCAAAGCTTGTGCACGCAAGGCAGCATTACCTTCGCAGACGTAGACAAAATTTCCATACTCGATGCGATCGCAGCTTGGCTGAGAAAAAAGTGGGTTTCGTTATCAGCATAATGCCTCAAAGCGAGCAGGGCCTTCTCAGCAGCGATGCGTTCCTTCGTAAACAAGATCTGCGATTCGCGGGTCAGTGGTGCAGGAGCCGAGGGAGGCGCGAGGAGACTAGCTTCATCTTTGCTTGCCGTTCTTGTATCAAGAGCCGCAGTGTTTGGCCGTGCGCTATTGTTCTCCTTGGTATTTTTGATTTTTCCATTGTCGGATTCTTCTCCTCTGTGGTCATGTTGACCTCTGGCAGCCGCAGTGACCTCTACTTTCGTCGTGCTTTCATTCGTCTTTCTTGCTCGGTCTAGCGCAACATCGTCCTTTTCACCGTGTTCACCACGAGCACGACTTCTACTCCTCGCAGAACCAGATGAAGTAGTAGCGTCACACTTTCTTATTGAATGCTCGTAACTTGCGTGAAAGCCCTTGATCAGATCGTCTTCATCGTCATTGGCCACGACATCGTCGTTGAGGTTACTGGAGACCAGATCCACGACACGAAATCCCATGAAAAATGAATCCATCTTCTGTTTCTCAAACAGCTGGGGCAACTCGTGAAGATGACGTCGAGTAGTGGAGTCGTCTGTAGTTGTTGCGTGTTGCTCTCCTTCTAACGAGAATTGCGTTCGTCTTCTTTCGAATCGTCTTCGACGGATACCACGTGCCAGGACCAAAAGTACCTCTCGTAAAACTGCCAAAGACCAATGATTTTCATCATTCGGAAAATTTGACTGCATTATTCCCCTGGCGATATTTCTTCCGTTTTCATCTCCTTGACCATATCGGCTGATCGCACTTGTCGTGGTTGAAAAAGATCGCGAAGAGAGATGATCCGTTTCAACGATCGAAAGCAAGACGTTAACGAAATCCGAGAGGAACAAACGGGTCTGTGCAGGCAGCATTCCGTTCGTTGGGTCATCGTAGTGCTTGCTTAGAGCAAACACAACTGTATGTGACAGCGACGCTATCTGATGCCGGTCGAAATGACAACTCTGTGGGGACGTTGTACTGTACAGTACGCGAAGCGTCACGTGGTCCAGTATGTAGTCTGCATTGTCGGAAACCAGTCGTTGCAACCACGCGTGTCCAGATGAAGAGACTTCTAGGCCTTGCTGCTCAAGACAAGATGGTGCTCTTAGTGTTTTGCAGCTTTTTTCATCATGAAAACCTTCTCTATTCTTTTTGCCCCATCTGGGCATATTGCAACTGCTATCCTTGTTGTACCCGAGTCCAGTGGAAAGCGCTCTGCACGCAGCGGCACCAACCGCACTCTTCGCGTTGGACAAAAGAGGGATGATGATCTGGGGAACCAAGCGTCTTAGCCGGCGCTTGCGGGAACATCGCTGGAAAACGGGCTCTAACTTCCCGAAGAGCGCCAAGAAAATGGCAGAATGCCACCTGCTGCCGTTCATGCTCGCCCACGCCCTAGCCTTGCCATTACTAGCTCCTGCACAAGTAGTTTTCGTGCGAGGAGCAGCTGCGTAGTTGAGAGGATTATGCTCCTCACTGCCAAACCAGCTCTCGGCCAGGCAGAGTAGTCTGTTCGTATCATTCTGACTCAACATCTCCAGCGAAGTAGACGCACCCTCCAGCACCCAGCAGAGGCATACAACAAGCTGCGGCAAGCATGCTGTAGCACCATTGTCTTTATCTGTGGACGTCCTACGAGAAGATGCTCCCGACCACCCCGGTGGCTCCCTTCCTTCCTCAAGAAGACTAAGCAGCGATCCAAGGAATTCTTTGTCGCAGACAGCAATTTCTTGGATTATTCGCTTAGCCAGTGTCGTGCAACGATTATTGAAGTCCATATCAGATTTCTTTTGTCCGATGAAATGCGTCGGCGGCTGCTCACTTGTTCTTCTATCTTGATGCCACCCGTCGTCTATTTTGTTCTGTCTGTTCTGAAAACATTTTGAGATAGAATACTCTACGTTCGCCGTTGAGGGGCTCTGTCTGCTGGAAGCAGCGGAGGTGGTCCATGAGCAGTACGACTCTGATGTGTCGGTATTGTGATAGTTGAGGGGAAAGATCGGCAGTCCGCTTCTTTGGTCGACGGTTGTAGATGAATCTTCTTGAAGGTATCTAAGATGATGGGTATACGTGTCAAGAAGAGCCGGGGCCGCGTCAGCCACAGGATTCAGCATCATAGTCGACGATGGTTCATCCCATGTTTTTGACGATGTTGCTCTTAATGTTGATGAAGCATTCTGATTCGCACACGATTTTCCTACATCTACCTCGTCTTGTGCTGTGATGAAGTAACTGGGATATAAGCCGAAGTCTAGCGGTACTAGGGTTTTTATCAACTTGTGAAGCAGTACTTTGGTAATGTTGTTTTCCGATGAAGTGTCAGGTGGATTTTTCGTGTTATCATCGAGCGCAGGATTACCATTACGTGGCCAACGGATTGCACCTAAAAGCGCAGCAAGCTGTAACTCTCGTTGATCCTCGCTAGTGGATGAAAGAAGCCTATCGATCACGCACTCAATGTCAACTTCACGAACGCGGTATCTACTTTGGGCGGTCGCAGATGCTGGTGTCGAAGAGGAGACGCCGACCCCTTCTATTTCTTGCCCTGAATCCGCACCTCTTTGGTCTTCATCGTCATCAAGCTCCTCCGTCGTCCATCCTTTTTGGTAGGATATGCACAAGTCGCGCGATGTCATACGCACTTTCTTCCAGTCGTCTGCGAGGCCTAGGCAGAAAACTGTTGAGGCGCTCTCCCGTACTAAGCTTGTTGCCGAACTTAAAATTTGGAGTGAAGGTCTCATTCGCCAAGACCACGCCGAAAGAAGCGAGAGTCTCGAAACCACCGCATCGGGAAATGATAGATGAGGCTCTCCATCTTGATCTTGTTCCTGAGGATCATGATCATCAACATGTTCTTCCTGAGAAACGTGGAAATCGGAAATCTTATCAGTTTCGCCTCGCAACGTTGACGCAGTTTGTTTTCCATATCTGCCGAAGTCTATAAAGCGCATTGGAGCGCTGCTCATGTCGTGAAAAGTATCCTCGTGGTTCCACGTGGAGCGAGCATCGACACCGCAGGACCTAGAAGAGCAGCGGTTCCTCTTCCCGTCTCCAGATATATAATTCGTTCCCGCTACCGTAGTGCTGGTGGTCTTCATGGTCGTGATTTTGTGGCGAGGGTCCTCAACTCTGTTCTCATTTTCCTCAGGCGTCGTCACCTCAAGAAGCGCGCTGGCTAGGCTCACACAGGCGCAACGCACTCGCCACTGGGGGGATTGCATAAGTCGAAAATCCTCCAGCAATTTAAGAAAAAGCACAGCGTGTGGCTCTGGTCTTGCTGTTGCATGTTGTGATGTTGCAGGTTTCTCCTGGTCCCTTCCCAAACCTTCGGTTTTGGCACATGCTTCTTTGTTGAGAAGATTCAGGCTGTCACTTATTACACTGCGTGTGCTTCCCTTCGCCGTCGACAGCCCGTCAGTCTCATCTTCACACTTGATCACCTTAGCATGGAGTCCTTCGATATCTTTATCACCCGAGAAATCTCGCAGAAGACCGTCTAACCTCCTTTGAAGATCTTGACCGCCAGCAATCGTACTTGATTTCTCCGATTTATTGGCCCCTTCTTGAACTTGTTGAACTTGATGTTGTCCTGCTCTGCCGGAAGCTTCATTCCAGGCTTCGTCATAGGATAAGAAAGCTTCTCCATCATCACGCTCTTCGTCGTCTATTTCATCTTCCTCACCTCCTGAACAAGAAGTCGACTCGCCTTCATCCTCATCGATATCGGGCTCCACACGAATGTCCATCATCCACAAAAGCAACGTTGAGATGGCCCAAACGAAACCTTCGGTGCCACCGCTTGCATGCACGCTCTTTGCTGTAGCAATGTGAAAACAATGTGTCGCGACAGCGGGAAAAGCAGCTTCGTAAAGTGAGTCAGGTAGACGACGCTCACCGCTGTTTTTCTGGCTGCCAGTGACGTCATGATCTTCTCGCGAGGGATAAGGTAGAGGATTCGATCTTCCCGTAGAAGAAGTTTGTCGTGTCTGTAGTCCAGCGTCAACGATTGTCTTCAACTCCCTCTGGCCTGCCTCGAGGATGTTTCCAGCCCAGCCAAGTCTATAGAGAATCTGTAGTCCAGAGATGTGGAGGGCTGCACATTCAGGCCAGAGTTGCCGGAACTGACAGACCATGTCAGTGACGAGCATGAAAGTATGCACCAACTCGCATGAGCGCAGTCGATAAACTGACAACATGCTCTGAAGTTGTTCGACAGCTCTTGTAGTCGTGCTTGTCGCCTTCATCTCCGTCAACGCTCCATCTTCTAACGAACGAGTCATAATCTTCCTATAAGGAACGGATAAGCGTGCATCTTCCTGCTCCTGTCCCTCCTCCACCTCCTGCTTTATTGTTCCAGAAGCGAGAAGCGCCCCAGATTTGGCAGAAATTGCAATGGTGTCTACGGCTTCGATCGCCAGGAGATTGCATTCCTCCAAAAGTGGTTCTAGCATTTGGTACACGTTCGTTGCCAGTACTTGGGCGTCATCTTCGTTATTAACGATTCCGTCTCTGATTCTCTGCACAAGCACACGCAAAAAAGCCACAACGCGCCTCACCGAGTCGTCGGCCCTTGGTGTGTTCGCATCACGATCACGGTCGAGCCCCGCTTCGTGGACCATGTTGTCTTTGAGGTTCTTGGCCGCCATATTTTTTCGTCAAGAACAAGATCAAGTAGAACAATTTCAGCGACTCTTTAACAAGGTACTATCGTCCGACAGCGAGTGTGAATCGCTCTCGCAGAAACTCATTATGAAACAACATCTTGAAGATGCGAACTAATCATTCAACATTGGCCAAACATTCCGCTTCGACGGAGTCAAGCGACAAAGTATATTGTTCCGATACGAGACATATTTTCTTTCAACAAAAAAATATTCACCAACAAGAAGGAGCCATTTTTCCACCGACACGCTTCAAATTCAATATGCTGTTCTTGTTATAGTTATTGCTACTTGCTCAAATTTCCTCGTGCAGAATCGTTGGTGCTTTTGGTTACGAAATCGTTCAATCATCTTCTTGATGATGCTTACTTCTTAGCTCCACACGAGGGCCAGCTCATCCATCATACACCACGAGTTTCAATTTCCGACAGATCCTTCTCAACGTCTTTGCTTTGTGCTTTCAAGCAGGAAAGTCAGCGGGTGGCTCCTCTATTTAATATCATGTGATCTTTAGACATGATAATTACGGACCGACTTTTAGTACGAGCGCAATGCAGACGTGATGAAAAGCTGAAATCCAGTGCCCCGTCATCACGGGACTTTCGACGCGACAAAAGGTAACTGCTCACCTTCTAAGTCACAAGCTCATGTATAGGTTGTGGTTGCAAGAGTAAAAAATAGAAAATGTGCTGTCTCGTGCATCACAATCACGGGAATTATAATGGGAAAGAGTGTTTATATTTGCCAAACGTTCAATGGACTTGAAAGTTGATCCATCTTCATCGGAATTCATCGACGACGAGCAACAGCAACAAGGAGACGAGTGCACATAGTACTACGTCGAAGCTATTTGCCTCGTTTTGGGGAGTTATTTGGACTGCGGCCGAGTAAAAACCACTCTTTATGCTCCATCAGGAACTGGAAGACCTGTTTGTACTTGTCCACTTTCTCCGGGTTCTTGTCGGGATGATAGGCCAGCTGCCATTTTTTGATGCACTGTTTGCGGTCTTGAATCGCATCTCCCAAATGCGCCTCCATGTCTTGGTACAGCTCTCGCGTGACCGCATTGACAGAAGCATCCAGCTTCGGTCCTTGCGGTAGCGGCGTCGGCTTCTGGGGACGACGCTGGCCAGGGCCTTGTGGATCACCGCCGACGTCGGAACCGGAGTCCGAAGTATTGCCTCCGAAACCGGCACGAGTGAAGGGATCTGATCCGCGACCGGTGTTGTAAGCGCCGGCTGAAGGACCAGCTTTTGGGACGTTGGGACCAGGACCGGCTGCGCCGCCTCTCGCGCCTCCCCCGTCCGCTCCAGGGGGTACTTTAAAGTTGTTCGTGAAATTTCGGAACTCGATGGATTAGAAAATATTGACGAAATGTTCCTACGACACCAAAGAAAACAAGAGGGATTGAGCAAGATTAAGGACGACATCCACGATAAATACAATTACAACTACTACTAGTAGAAGGCCATATTTGTATTTTCGCTGGTAGTCTTGCGCACGCCGTCGTTGTCGTTCTTCCGCAGTCTCTTGGTCTGGCCCTGTAGTCCATGGATCAGGAATCCCACCCCCCGCTCCGAAGTGCTGTTTTTCTTTTTGGTTTGTGCGCGCACGTCCACCGAAGCGACGACCCCAGATGCCCGAGTCATCTTTTGGCGTGTTGCGGAACTGCGCCTCCCGTTCGCGCTCCTTCTCTTCCTCCCGCTCTCGTTGCATGTCGTTGAAGAAGTCTGCATTGTCGTAACCATCAGTGTGATGCTTGCTTTTACGCCGAAACGCTCCAAACTTCACTGGATGCCGGATACTGCGAATTTCTCCCGTAGACAACGTCTTCTGGCGCAAATACTCGAAATTTACCTCGACCTCCTCTTCCTCGTGCAACGAGTGAAACCGGACTGTGGGCTCGCGATTCAACCACGCGTGCTTGAGCTTCTTGTCCTCTGCCGCGCTGTACACATGCCACTCATCACGCTGTGGGTCGTACCACTCGAAGCACTGTGAAAATGTAGAATATTTTATGTAGTGCATTCATCAATGGAGAATGAAGATATATTATGTGAATGTCGTGGTCATGAAAATAACTTCTGAATGTTGATAATCATAATAAAGTGGCCGCATCTACGACTGGCCGTGGCAGTCTTAATCTCGTAGAGCCAGCGTAGAGCAGCGTATTACCATGCATCAATGACATCATTGAAACCAGAACAAAGACAAATAGTTGCCCTGAGTCAGCAAATAAAACAAGCCTAAGTAGTACGTCTCTTTTGTTATGCGGGTTGTCCATCGGCGGTCGATTCTGTGTCCCTCCTCCGCCGTGTGGCCTTACCTTATTTGGGTTAACCCTACGCACTGCTGTCTTGCCGTTTTCTTTCATCTCCTTGAAATCCACAAGAACGCCGTCCCCAAGTGAAACTGCATCCAGATGCTGAGCCCAGCCGTCAGCCAACAGTTTCTGTTCACCTTTCGGGTAGTTGAGCCACTTGCCTCGAAGAGGTTGCGCGGGGTCTTCATGGTAAAACTGAAAGACAAATTCATTCGCTGGACCCCCTCCACTATGATGTTGATCTCCACCGCGGTATGTGCTTGGCCTTTCGCTGCGCAAGGGCGACTCTCCATCTCGTGGCGACTTATCGGGACTAGGGGTTTTGTGCGTCTTGTGTTGTTGATGCGCTCCGCCAAGATGATCATTTTGTGCCTCGTTTTTACCCGCTCTTTTGTTCGCTGCACCCGGCGTGCCTGCTGCTGCGTCGTCGCCCGTCTCTGTCTGAAAGTGCTGTCGCGCGAAGTCAGCATCAGGCGTCATTCCTTGATCTACGATGTTCTTTATTCGTATAGGTCGGGACTTCTTCGTTCGCACATTGGTCTGCGTCCACTCCATGAAGTCAACATCGTAGTTGTGACCCATAATCGTAATTCGCGTTGTCGCCATTCCACGCTTATAGTCGGTCCAAAGCACTCGATCAGCAGCCCAGCTGGAGGTGAGAGTACAAAAGTTTTAGGTAAGAATTTGAGTTGGTGTTGATTTGATACCACGTCGAAGCAAGAGGATGCTGAGTTGAAATAGAGAATCAAACAAGCAAAAAGAAAGTAAAAAATCTACAATCGCATTGATGTGATATTAGTTCTAAAAGTCAGGAAAAATAATACTCGAAGTCCTTCCACCTGCTTGCATCCAGCCATTGAAATTTAGACTCTTGCATTCGACCATTAGCGCCTGGCTTGGTTTTAGCCTCTGAGGAGCACCGAATCTTCTTCATGTTGCCCGACTTCAGATTCTTTTGCGTCATCTGCTTAAAGTTTACCTCGTAGTCGTTACTTCCGATGAAAAATTTGATCGTCGGATAGTTTGCAGTGAAGGCATTCCTCATCACTTCCTGATACTTGGACTCGTATGGCTTCCATTCATTGCCGTGCTGCCACTCGAAGAGGAGTGTCGCTGGGTCTGTCTCGCCAGCAGTCGTCGCGCTATGGATACTGTCCACGTTTTGAAGAAGCCTGGTCCAGGAGAAGGAGAAGATAGATGCATGCTATAATCGTCACCTTAACTGGTGTTACTGTAACCTCTTAGCAAATAAATAATATAGAGTTAATATAGACTTAGACGCATTACAATAGAATAATTTCTAGGGGTGTCAGTTCCAGGACGAGACGGAACGGATGGACTTCCCACCGTTTCAACTCAAGGAGGACCGGAAGACTTAGGGGGGTCCATCCGATCCATCCAAGTCCATCCTACATTCGTTCTATAAATCATTCTACTATACTTACAAGAATAGGAGCGGCTCTATCTGTAGTTGTGGAACTACATATGTTGAGTGCCACTCGTGCTCTACTCGGTCTACAACTTAGACCTTCCTAACAATAGCATGAACAGAAATTGAAACTCAACAAATCATATTAATTATGATCATGATGAAAGTCTCTATCTCGCGATACTTTGCTTTCTCCTTCTGCATCCTTTCCTTGGACCGGTGTTTCTTCTCAGTCCAATTCCCAGTCTGCTCTGGCATATTGACTCCACCACGCCCGTGCTTGCTCCGTTTGTCTTAGAGGTGGCGTATTAGGATGATCATAATCTTATTTGCCATGGACATGGTAAGTAGGTGCAAGAAAATTCATATTCTTATAAATATACCTATATGATCAGTTGTCTTGATGTAAGTTGTTGAAGTTCTTCACTCCTCTTGCATATCTATTATACTTTGTACGGAATCCGTATCTATCTGCAAGAGGATTGCAGATCTTGATTATGAGCAAGCGTTGACCTTAGCTCTGGATGTTCCCCCCAGTCTCTGCGCCTGATGATGACAACGACGGCGGCTCGTCCTCGCTGGACGACATGGCCGGTGGCTTTGCCTTCGAACCTCCACTGCCGCCCGATGACGTTGAAGAGCGGCGCTTCTTGTTACCTCCATTTTTCTCGAGCTCCAATGCCCCAGCAAGTGTAGCGGTGGGTCCATGGGTCGTTGAGGGCTTCTTTTGCAGGTAGTCCTCGAATGAGTCGTATTGAACTGGGACCGGACGAGTTTTTGCCTTTCCGATGCCTCCACCCATTCTACAGCTTCATCAGTATCGGTCGTACTCACCAAATAGATGCGTTCTCGTTGCAATCCAGAGCAGATGCTCAGCTGTAAATCGGGAACTGTTTTTTTCCTTGTTATCAAATCGAAAAGAAGTGGAGGACACCGTCGATACAACAGCTTGTGTTTGTGTTTGTGATCACCTCTATTAACTGGTAGTGGGCAAGAACACAACGATGCAGTAGATGGAAAATCCGAGGACTGAGTGGATGATGAAGACGAATCACCGCTCTGCAGTCTGACGTCGTTGTTATTGAAGATGGTCGAAAACGGGGAGCAGTCACAATTGTAGAAGGGGTGGTAAAGGTAATCGTTGATGCCGCCCTTTTTCTTGATTCGTGGACTGTTGAAGATTCTCACGCTGTTCGTTCTGGAAGTGGAAGAGTGGTCCTTGCTATGGATATTGTTGTTCGTTGATGCGAGCTGCAGACACGACATGTTACTTTTGCTGGTTGAACTACAGAAATAAATGTTGAAAACCAAACTGACGAAGGGAAGTTGCACAAAAACTCAATGGAGATCAACAAAAAAAGACTCGACGAGGCGTCTAAGTGAGCTTAGTAGACGTAGAGTACTGTACAGATACGTGGCACCAGGCAGTGAGACTTAGAACGACCAACCACACAAGGTATCAACATTATCATGATAATATCATGGTCACTTCACCTCGCCCTCGTGGTCGTCGTGGAAGATGATAGTCTGTCACTATTCATTGCATGCTGGGCCAAAACATTATTTAACGACATCTACAGTCGATGAATGTCAAGGACATTGGGGTCGGGGGATAGGGACTATGATGACGACTTTTATCCTTTAACTTTATCAGTATCCATGAGTTGTAATTAATATATTGCCGGCGATTAGTACTCTAAGTAAACAAACCAGGGGGGGCTCATATCTCGACTCTCTCCTCTGACGCAATCTCTTGATCATGTGTAACATCATCATCATCATCATCACCATCATGGTCGACCAGAAAGTTTTTTCCGTTCACTACATTTATTAAACATATAGTTGTTCATCCGATGCCAGGCAGGATTCCGATCTTCACCTCTGTTGTTTATAGTTTGTTTGTTGGACACATCGTATTCGTTGTGACCAGAAAAAATAACGAAGAATTTATAAACACTTTACAGATATTAAAGGTTTGCCGAAGTGAAGCTGCATTTCTTTCACGCAAGAGAACGAAGCGTTGACAGACAGCGATCGCGACAGAGCACTCTGCAACCCTCATGGGCCTGCGTCCGAAAGCACAGAATATCGACTACTTATTCAACGATCGAGGAGGTTTGTGGCAAGCGTCGAGGATAGGAAGCACCGTACCCATTCAGAGCAGGAAGCGAACACTACACGAGCGCTGATATAATGCCGTGTCACGAGACGCGGTATTAACTCGTAAGAAGTGGGCTGGTTTTCGTTTGTATGCTCAATAGTTATATATCAGAGCAATTTATAAGGTTTCACGGCTCGCATGGCATGGAGTGCATGGATCACATGGAGTAGCATGGAGCTAAAGGGGGAGCTTCTTGCGCCCCTTAAAGCTCTGCGCTCCATGCACTCCATGCTACTCCATGCACCATGCGTGCCATAAACTCCTCTGATATATGATCCAGGGCTTGGGGCTACGGCGCCCCCCCCTAGCGTAGGGGAGGCACCGTAGCCCCGGGCCCCTTTTGGAGGCGTCTGCCGGGGGTGAAAGGCTTCAAAAGGGGGCCAAGTGGCCGCCTCCGCTCCCTTCCAGGTGCTTGGCTTTCCCCTAGAGGCCTCCGACGTAGGTGGAAGGCCTCAAGAGGGGCCCAAGGGGCCGCCTCCGCTCCCTTCCAGGTGCTTGGCTTTCCCCTAGAGGCCTCCGACGTAGGTGGAAGGCCTCAAGAGGGGCCCAAGGGGCCGCCTCCGCTCCCTTCCAGGTGCTTGGCTTTCCCCTAGAGGCCTCCGACGTAGGTGGAAGGCCTCAAGAGGGGCCCAAGGGGCCGCCCCCGCTTTCTTCCAGGTGCTTGGCTGTCCCCCTCCCCTACAGGCCTCCGACGTAGGTGGAAGGGCTCAAAAGGGGCCCAACCAAGGGACCGCTTGCGCCCCCTTCCAGGTGCGTGCCTGTGCCCTAATTACCTCAGACATGCTTCGCCGCCGCAGCAAGGCGCCGGCACTAGAAGGCCCCCGAAGGCGGCAAAAGGCGAGGGGCTGGACCCCCTGAGCCGTGCAGCCTGTACCCTCCGGGCCCTTGGTCATCGGCTTGCTGGCTCTTGCGACCGTGGCCGCCTTCGGCGGCCTTTTACCCCGGAGACCTCCCGCCTGCGAGGGTCAGCAGAGGCCAGGAGGTCCCTGAGGAACACGCCGAGAGGCGTAAGGGACCGCCTGCGCCAAGTTCTGACACCTTTCACCACTAGAATCCGCGAAAATCAGCGCGGAAAAGCGCGCGCGCGCGCCACCACAGACAAGACTACAGGGGGGGGTACCGTCCAGCCCTAAAACGTATATAGTTGTAGAAGTGATGTAACAACTTAAATCGTTATCGTGCAGAGCGCGCTTTCAAGTTATGGGTTTATCAGCCGCATTTTTCCAGTGAGCTTCCATTTGTGCTCGTATGTCGTTCGCACAATTGAGCATCTGCTCGAGATCTATGGGGGGTACAAATGGGACCAAGTTTCGCCCGTCATCTGAGATGTCGTAGGTCTCGAATACCAGATAGAAAAAAACGTCGATCGAACCAAACCCTTCTGCTATTACAGGTGGCCGAAACGGAACTTTATTTTGATGCTTTTCGTAAACGACTTCTTTTCGAAAGATCTGCCATTCGATAGCGCCGCTTAAAAGACTGCGATAATGTACTACCTGAAGCCGCATCTTGTTCTCACTTGTATCAGATCCAATCTCTGAGTTTGAAGGGCGAGAAGCACTTGAAGACCTTGAAGCTTGCGAAGAAGAAGAAGAACCACCTTCCCCATATTCAGAGTCACTTCTTTTTATGGATGGGCCAGCCCGTTGCCTTTGAGTCGACCCTTCCTCACTCGAAGATGAAGAAGATATACTCGCACTAGTCAACAGTGTTGACGATGTAACCTCATCGTTGCTGTGGTCATCATGTAATTCATCATGTTCGTCCGTCCTTTCAACAACATCTATATTTTCTTTCCCGAAGAATTCTAGTATGAGCACCTCGCGTCCTGCTGCAGAAAAGAAGACTAATGGACATAGAAGTATCGCGATGAGTGTCGTCATGAGTGCTATCGTCATCAAGACTATCAACGCCATTTCATCTCCTTCTGCACGCTGATGTATGTTGATCTTCTTTGTTTCTACCACAGTTCCTTCGTTTGTTCTTTCTCCTGTCTGCGCAATCATCTCTTTTTGAAAGAGCATCTTTTTCAGTAGAGGCCGCCACCAGGAGTTATCTAGTAAGATCTTCCACTCAGTAGAGTGATCTTGTCCATCCAAGAAGTCCTGCAGTACAGACAACAGCGCCAGAGGCACAACGGGCATCACGACTAGAGCGCAAGAAAGCAGGAATGCAGCGCCGACGAGACACTCGAAAACTGGATACCATCGGAAACGTCGTTCGTACCTGGTCGTGCAATCGCGGTTTCTACCTGGTTTTCCCTCACAACCATGCCAGCACAGTATCGGAGCGCGCAAACGTGGTTCGGAAAAAACCTGACCCATGTTGATACCTCCCGTTGTACTCCAATACGCGACCCAGCGCTTGGTGTACCACCAGTTACACTCGGTATGCAACTTTGTGCACTCACCGTTCGATTATTGTTCCCTCAAAGCAATTGTCCAGCATAGATGACACCTAGACCTAGTATATTTGAGAAATAATTAGCTTTTTCACCTACTCGTTTTATCTCGTTTGAAATTGAATAGATACAGTAAAAACTAAAACCTTGTTGAAGGTGTTGTCATGTGTGTGTCCCTCATATGACCCTTCTTGGTCACCGTAGAGACAGAATGGAAGCCGCCACAAATGTCAGCTCCCACAACAAGTGCCCAGCCAAGCCAATGGCGGTCCCTCTCCACTGCCTTACTGTCCCGAAGGAGACTGAAGGGAAGAGAGGGGAGGAAAGACTTGAAGGTGTTAGCTGGTCGAGCATGATGGTCAAGGACTATACCGATCATCTTCACATCTTCACCAACTCTAACCCCAGGAGGCTTGATTAACTCCAATCCAACTTTGCCACTTCTGCATCTTCGTCTTTACTCTCCAGAAGCTGGTCAGAGAACATTCGGCAGGTCGTCAATTGTAGAACGAGCACGCAGTCACAATCTCACATTGATCGTGGTCGTATTTGAAATATAGCCACCAGTGCACCTCTGTAACTAAAGTAGGTAAACATGCATTTATTTGTATTCGATAGAAATTCTTCTTAAACATATTAACTCTTTATGAAGATTTTCATAACCTTCCACCCATAGATTATCCAAAATTCCATCCTACTGTTCTTGATTCTCTGCCAATACACGGGTGCCCAAGAGACCTTGCGACCCAGAGCTACTTCCTCTGTTTAGGTTAGGTTAGGTGTGGGCCTACCAGGAAACCTGGCGGACGTGAGCGGCTGCTGAAGAGCCAAAACAACACTACAACCTAGAGCTGGAGGTGGCGATACGCTACGTCCTAGATCTTAAGCTACGCTAGACCGATCACCGCCCTTGAAGGACCGTGCACTTCTTGTTTTTCCTCCACAACGACCATATTGTTGATGCTGATGCAGTAGCTTCCATACAACTTTCCAATATGCAAGTGCAGCTTCAAAATTATTCTTGCTGCAATCGCTTCAAAACTATTCATGATGCAGAAGCAGCTTCTCTAGTAGAACCATGACGAAATGGAAAAGGAAAAAACATAATTATAGTGGTCTAACGTTTCTAAATAAAACGTCTCTCTGTGCCACGGCACCACCTATAATCAAACTTCAAAAATGTAGTTGCTTGACTGTAGGAGGGCAGACGTCTTCAGCGTAAAACTAAAGTTTCGGATATCTCCTACTCCTATATTCTAAGAAAACGAATGTCAGTGATAATTGCAATTCTGCTGGTGATCGAGATAGATGGGGTAGCAAAAGGCACGATGGAGTAGGAAAAGTAAAAGAAAACGAACAACAAGATTGATTACTTACTTATCTTGCGATCATTCTATTGGTTGAAAGGCTATCATTGTCGCGGGGAGGACTTTCATCCAATCTGATGCGACACGTAGTGGCAGTGGCTCGTGTTCTTGCTACAACATCTTTGCGGCCGCTTCACGCGGAGCTACCACTACTGCCCGCTTCTTGACTTCATTTCATGTTCGTGAGCGCGTCCTCGTTCTCCGATTCCTGCCAATTCGAACTCCAAATCCGCCATCTTTTGTCCCATCCTTTTGTTCTCCTCTCTCTTGTTGTAGAACTCTTTAACCCAATCCAGGAGCGCGTCCGTGATGATCACCTCCTTCGCTGTCCACGTGTGGTACTGTGACAACAATTGATCGTCTGCCTCGTTCCGATGAAGTCCGTCGGGGAACTCTTGACAAAAGTCTTCCCACGAATCATATATCGTACCTGCCTCATCTTGAGTCAAACCCAACGCCGTGGTCCACGTCATGGCATTTCCTCGTTTTGCTTGGGTCTTCATCAAAGCTTCCTCGATGAAAGCGGTCAATTTGTCCACCTCATTGTAGCGCAGCGCCAGCGTGGTCGCAATAGTCCATCCCCCGCTAGGCGCAGGTTGCGACTTGTCGTCCGACAGCTGCCGTTGCGTCGCACTTGCACCGTCCATCTCCCAATATTCATAAGCGGGACCCTTGCCGTCCCCACGAGCACCTTGTTTGGTTTTCCTGGAGGAAGCATGGAGTTTACTAGCACCACGACCAGCTGCTGATGGTGCCCCCGGGCCAAAAATTCCTGCTCCGGAAGACTGTAAAAATTTTTGATGTTTGTTCTGCCCCTTTTGAGTGATTTCGAGATTTGTACTTTGTCTATCCCTTGTCTATATTCTGCCGAAAGTAGTTCCCTGGGAGCCTTTAGCAAACTCATCAGATTCTCCGTATTGCCAGGCAATTCGACTGCACCTCCCCGAAAAGCGTCGGCAGATCCCCTGACGACGTCAGGGCGCGCGTCAATAAGCCACTCAGGCGAAGAAGTAGAAAACGATGAGTCGAGTAGAGAAGAGTGACTTGTTCCCTTCGAATGCCTGCGTGCTGCAAGAAGTTTCTGTTGGCGCGCTACGTACTTGCTCTTTGAAGTATTCTTCTTCTTGCACAAGCACTCTTGCGAACCGGGTCTCAGGACCCTGTTAGTGCCCAAATTCTGTACGCGCTTGAATCTCCACCCAAAAATGGCTCGTGTAACTAAGCAATACGTCTTCATTGGTCGTCGTGCCTTTCTTTTTTTGTCATGGAAATATAAGACCTCTTTCTCCTACTTGTCCACTCTGGGCAGGTCAATTACCTGCGATCCCAGTCTTTCCACTGCAGGTGGCAATGCCGGGAGATTGGGATTTCTTCGTCTCTGAGACACCTCTTTCCAACACGGGAATAGCAAGAATGGTAATGCGGGCACTGATGCCCGTGCAAGGAGCTTCATCAGGCGCATGTCGCTCTCCTTCACCTCCACTGCCGTGTCGTCGATCAATCTGCCGTTCGTAGAATCTTTCCTCCGGGCGTTCATTTTGTCCTTTGTGCATCTAGGGCACACGCACCTCATCGAGTTGCCGACCAACGCAGATTGGGGGAGGAGTAGATGGTAGCTTTGGCGTGGTTCCGAGAGGCTCTCGGCCACGGAATGGCCGCAGAGGGGCAGAAAGCCGCAATCACAAGCACGATTGTGCCCGTAATTGCCAACATCTTGACCCTCCGCTACGTACTTGACAGAGGTAGTAATCTCCTGTCCAAAAGAACTTTTCCACCCTTCTGTGTTGACAACCACACATTGTGCCACTGCCGTAGTGACTAAATTTGATACTTCGTGGTTGACCCTAAACCCATAGGACAGGATAGGAGTGGGCTCACCTGCGACAAGGCGAGCGTATAGGCATAACGCGCCATCAATGCACTTCCAACGGATTAACCAGATTTCCCAGTACTTTGTCAGGGATAGCTACTTCGAAGTTCTTGCAGAAATTTTCAGCAACTTGCAAGTTCGTTTCGTGCCACTGCGAGGCCTCATCCTTGAAAATTAGACGGGGGTCTTCATTACCCCGCCGAGGAGTAAGCGTTGGCATTTCTTTCATCATAATTTCCCATTTCCACGAAGAAACAATCTGCAAGATCATAGGACTAGGAGTAACTACAGATGAGCAGGGATCTTCGCGCATTTCTTTGTGGAATGTAGGATCATTGATGTCTTTAGCTTAGACAACTAGTAGTATTTTCCTGGACGAAGGATCTTGTATCCTGATCACGAGGAACAAGGTGGAGTTCACCACGCAGCTTTCTGAGTAACTAGTTGAATCACCGATCCGTGACCTTAAATTGTTTCTTTTCGTCGTCCTGCAGAGCCTCGTTCGAAAAATACTAATTTCCATGAAAGGCAAAGATACTTTTACGATCAAGAAGGATATATAAGGATCAATTGCATGAGACCCAAAACACGATGACAGAGTAACAACATGGATACTGAACAGGCACGCCAACTGCCAGAGAAAAGCGCTTGCAAGGCAAGTACTAATTTTGCCATGGAAAATTCGAAGCGTGACTGAGAAAGAGTCATTATTCGAAGACATGGGAGGGCGCAGTGGTCAATTCTGCTCACGATCCTATTGAAAGGCTTAAAAGCAAAGTCTTCCACTATGAGAAAAGACCCGCTAACTATCGTTCCTTACCCTAAGCCGCGGTCTTATTTTTATGAGGGATGGACCTGACTTCATTTTCGTAAGGTGAAGCACCGTTAATATTACGGATACTATTGATAGTGTGTGACTTATAGCACAAAATTCTTGCAAATCCATTTTTTTCATTGATCGGAGTTATCAAAGCGTAATTACTTCTATTTTCTCAACATCGTTTGTAGTTATGTTTCTTATCAGTTTCGTGTTTTCTCATATTACATTATTCTGTTATCTTCTGTACATGCAGCATCCAATTTCATCATACACCCTATCACAAATTAGAAGAAAAACAAAGATGGTTACATTTTCTCGACTAGCTCACATGCACATCGCGGTCTCCTCGTCCTCCGAGACCGAGACCCGAACGACATCAAATATTTCAAATTCCAAAAGTAGAGTACATCTTTTGAGCGTTGATGTAGATCTAGCTATACAACAACCCTAGGAAAATATCTCTTACCTAGAATTGAATCACTTTACAGTACATTATGTTCCCCAATGCTATGAGGAGGTGAGTATGCTTATACTTATTCTATCTAATAATTTCAAATTCAGATATATTCCACCAGTCTTCAAAACTACTAGAAGAAGTACTTAGATGAATCCAAGAAAATAGCATCCGAGCTAGCTATAGCAGATAGTAATTCGCTTTTCCGTCCCCTGTACTTTTCTTACCGTGAGTCGTTAGCTGGCCACCACCTCGTCAGTGACCACGTCGGCGTCACTTTTCGAGACGAGGGTGCCATCTAATTGATTGGTTTTCGCCGAAGATCCAAGATCTGCATCCTGAAGCAGTGTTGGAGCCAGGACATCATCATCTTCATTTACAACCGCAGCCGTGCTGTCTTCAACACCTTCGTTGTTAGGAGAAGTCGCATCGTCTTGCGCCAAAACCACTGCGGGATCTTGATCTCCTGCTGTTCCATTCTTTCCGTTACCTGCTGTCGCGTTGCTATTACGCGTTACTTTATTCCCTGTAGTGCTGTCCCGATTCAACTCCTGATCGCGCTCCGTATCGCTTGGTGGTGCTTCATAGGGTGCATCTTCATACTCAGGACCACCGTCCACTAGTGATCTTTCAAGTAAAGACCCGTCACGCACCGGCGTCCCCTCTACACGGATATTATTCAGGATGCAATTTACTGCAATATCGTGCTCAGCTTGCGTCAAGTAGCTATTAGGCCGCGTGAAGTGTCCTCCACTAACCTAAAAAAAGATAATGATTGTGGCTTTGCATGATATTGACAAGAGAGAGTAAACAAAGATAGAAGATACCTCAATTCAAAGTCCAAATTTTGCTGAAAAACAAATTTGAAACTCCAAAAACGTAAATTTTTGATTTTATCAAGTTTTATTCGAATGAAATTCCAGACGACCACAATTCTCTGCAATCAGAAAGCAGCGAAGATCCGACTGAGTCAACAATCAAAATTACGTTCAGATTCAAAGAGTCATAAGAATATTAGTTTCTATATCTGTCTTCAGTGGTTGTAAATCAAATGAGCGCGAATTCCATATTTTTTCAGCCATGCTGTTGACAGCATCTTCGACTGAATCCAATCACTTGAGAGACATCAACAAGTGGGTTTGATCGCAATCCAGCAAAAAAAAATGAGTTACCTGTTTGCCTTCGAAACATTGCAGCACCTTGATTCGGTGATCCACTCGTTGCATATGCGTGAGCCGTTGCAAAACTATGGCTCTTCTTCTCACCATATCAGGAAATGCCTTCAGCGTTGGCGTGATCGGTATTCCCATGAATATGATCTTACGTTCAGGCAGCCTATGGTCCTTGCGTGGAACTAGGAGGGCTTGCTCACCAAGAATCTTCGTTGCCACAAACACATCTTTCGCCGAAACACCTGAAATAAGAGTTCAGCTTCAGCGGTGGTTGTGATGTTCAAGATAAGTACCGCTGCAACAGAATAAATCAATGTCAGACAGTCAGTCAGTCACCAGTAGTCGAAGTGTATCTTGATTCTGCTTTCTCTAAATTGTTTCTAAAAGAAAGGTGAGCGCATCCACGACGGAGTACTGTTGCTCATCATACAAGTCCGTGCTGTAGCTACATCGGTATATTCATTGATACGCGGAAAAAAGAAAAACAAAAAGTTTGCAGTACCTTCGGTAAGATCCAGGTGTCCGCCTGAGATTACGACAAGATCGGGATCTAAATTGTGCATCAGAGTTAGCAGCCCTGGCGAGACGCGTCCAGTTACGTCGCGTTGGTAATGCTCAAAAACTCCCGCACACAACTCTTGTGCCGAACAAAGAAAGTGCGTTTCGTCATACACGTCCACGTATTTACCTTTGTTTCGCGCCACCTTTGCGATACACGGCGCAGAGCGGTTCAGGTTAATTCGTCGATCTTGCGCAACACTGCTCGCACCGAGGGTCGTTGGATATCTACTCCCCGGACTACCCATGGCGGTTGTTAGAGACGAGAACGAAATTGTAAACTTTTGATTTCGGCTTTGTTGTAATCCACCCAAGTAAATGATAATGATGTCTTTCTCGTTGTCGTCCCCTTACCTAGATGAAGGAGCACCATACCTAAAAAAAGTTTCATAAATAGTATCGACTTCGACCCAGACGCTGTCATCCTGAAAGTGAAAGAACAAGCGCACGAATTTTTCCAAGAACTCCTCTTCCTCTATTTTCTTTTTCAATATCTCTAGGAGCACTTACACTAACTATCACAGCCGCTATAATTGCATCAAGAAGAACTAAGTTCTTAGAACTTCCAACTAATTTCCTTCTTCATAACTGTCCTCTATTTCCTCCTGGTGAATTCGGCACATCTCGCCTGACACGTCGCCATCGTCCTTGTGCGTCTTGTGCCAGTCGATGCGTGTATTGGATGTCTGAAAAGGTCTGCAAGGAAACCTGCTGTCCTTTCAGTTCCGTCAACCGGGGTGTCATGAAATCACCGAAGAAGACTACGGTGCGAATCGGCTCTCGATCGAAACTAGGAACTATAGGCATCAACGCTGGAAAATTTCCTTCCATCTTCCTCTTCAAGGGAGAGCCTTCATTACCATAGTCCACAGGCAAGCCACGCCTCTTCAAATCGTTTCGCCGCAGAAAACACTCTTCGCAAACGCCATCTGGTGATGGACAGAGAGGAAGTGGGGATGGAGGTCGTAACCAAATTAATGGAGGATGTTGAAATTGGATTTGATTTTTAACTAGCACGTACAAGACCGTAATTGGCAAGATGACGATTTATGGAAAACGAGTGTTGACAGCACTGAAGAATCTATCAAAATCATGAAGGAAGACTTGTTCGATTAAAAACTACTAGTGTAGTAGATTACGCAGCCCCCATTGTCCCATTGGATCTCCGCGCCTAAATTTGTCTGGAAAGGCAGAAAAATTGTTGCACAAGCCTGCTTGAAAAAGCTTACACGTATGGTAGCCGGGTCCAGGATGTGGCCGTTGTCTGAGTTCCGCATCCTCTTCCGGAGTGAGGAATTCATCTGAGTATCCTGCACGCGCACAACCGGCGACGAGCGACGAGCGATTCAGCAGGTCCACGTGCGCAGATGCTCCGCCACCACCTAAGCCAGCCGCTGGATCCGGTTTCAGTGGCGGCAAGGCCCCGGCTGTTACGATCTGATAGTTGTAGTCGGCATTCTGAAACTCCGGCCCGAAAAGTTCGTGACCCTTGTCGAAACTAGACGGCACATCTGGAACCGGTTTGGTCGCGCCATAAGCATCCTGGCTGTAATAGATGTTGCCAGAATTGTTGGCGGCGTTGCACAACATCTTGTTCAATAAGATGCCGCTGGAAAGCGTCTCCTAAGCTCCTCTCTTGTTCTTCTACCTCTACGAAAACTGAAAATAAATAGACTACTTCTTTTTGGTATCCCTAACTCATCTTCTATCACTATCTACTTGACAAGATCTAGTTGTAGTTCTCGTTCTAGGTCTATTACTATTTCTATCATCTATTCCACCTAGTAGTTGTTCTACTACACCACCATTGATGATAACATTGCATTTATTGGGTTACAACGGGTTTTCACCAGCATCTCTTACTTCATTCTCTTGTACAACAAACGGTTGGTTTACGGCAGGAGCTACCAAACATTTTACGCATTAGGTGCTCAATGGCTGACAGGACTAATTCCTTATTATATTTATCAGAATCTGAATCTCTGTACTTACTTACTTACAGAGCAAACAAGGAAGTTGTAACCAGCAAGAAACGCTGGCGCTGTGAATGGTGAGGCGTTTGGTGAGGAGAGAACGGGAGAAAATTAATTCCGCATACAGTAGACCGAGAGATGACACGACAGAAGATGCGTACATATGTCACCGATCATAAGATGAAAGCACCAATCGACGTCTTCGAACAACCGATATTGGATCATGATGCAGATAACTGTAGTACACGAAATTAGCTCGATGGTGTGAGTGAATGTGAGTGTGAGAGACTAGATCTTACCGACGTTATGCTCAACCGTGCCGCCTCGCATCTTCAAATTTGAATACGAAAAACAAGTTGAAGTTGTGGGTTCTTTGACATTTAATTCTTCTTCAACAAGATGAAATCGGGTGATTGGAGGTACTGGTGCAGACTAAATAAAACCAAGTGTCGTTCAGCTTCAGGTTCAATCTTATCGTCTACTTAATTCATCAATTTCGAAACGCCATAGTTCCACTAGGCACGTTTAGCAGGTGAACGGTCATTTTCTCTTTTTCCCGCTTCCCTTTTTGGATCCTTTCCCGCTTGCGCCTCCGCTGCGAGACTTTTTGCTAGCTGCCTGTGCCGCCATCATTTCCTTCTTTGCACCTGCGATTTCACCGACCCGTGATTTCGCTTTCTGATAGCTGTTCAGCTTGTCTGTAGAGCTAGCGATGATATCAACTGCGCTGTTGAGATCACGCAATGACACTGCGCCTTGACCGCCGCCGCCTTGCGTTCGAAGTTGCTTCAACCGTTTTGCATCCTTCTTGTCTTGCTTCGTTTGCCGCATTCGCATCAGGTTATCTTCTTCGTATGCTGCTCTCTCTCTCTGTTTTCTTAAGAGCTTCTCTACCTCGTTGCTACGTCCGCTGCTGGTGTCGCCGAGAACCTTGTAAGTAAAGTGACAATGTCATCGAAATTTGAGTAAAAAGTCATGGCATGGTTTTCAAAATCATTGACGAGTTTGAGATTAGAACTCACTCTTATCCATCTTGAGACGCATCCTGAGACTGTTTCCACCTTGAAAACGTCTCTGCGAAGCTTCCGGAGATGCATAAGGGGAAGCCTTAATGAGAGCTTACAACAAGATGAAAACAGGATCAACACCCCCAAGAAAAACATACAGAATACTGGGAACTGTAAGCATTAGTCAAGTACCTCAACGGCCCCACTGCTGCAGTCGTTGACAATATCCTGCAACGATTCGTAGATCTGTGTGTTTCTCAGTCGCTTTTCTTCCCGCTGTAGTTGCTTCTCTGCCTTGGAGACAGCAGAGTCGTAGCCACATTCCATCGCTGTGATCTTGGGTGGTCGGTAAATACCATCCTTTGATGAGGCATCCGTACCACCTGCATGATAGTCTGCTGTCTCGTCCTGGCCACCTCCACTGCCAACTGGATTCTCACTTTGGTCTTCTAAGAGGATGGATCCCTTGGCAAGAGAAAGACTAGGTTTCGCGCTCGTCTTTGCTGTTTTCGCTGTGTCTCCACTCTCGGCTGCGGCTGCTTCGTCCAGTAGTTTCTGGATAGAGTACTGCAATTTCTGATCCAGACTCTTCGCGCGACCAAAAGCTAGTCGAATCTTATAGAGCTCTCGAAAGACGTGCTCGGCATCTGATGACGTGGCACTGTTTGGCGATGTTGAAGATGCTGCGGCAGCAAAAGGTGAGGAGGATTTGTTCTCGAGATAGCTTGCGAGGTTGTCGAGGTAGCTGAGAAGGAGCTGATTTTTCGCGTCCAAAAAAGGCATGCCGCGTCCCGCTTTTGCGTCATTCTTTGATTTCGAAAACGCCTCTGTGACCTCTGCGATCGTCGCACAGACACCCACGAGATCGGCATCGGCATCAAAGCTTGTTTGGGTGCTGCTACAATTATCCGAGACACCAGAGCTTTGCGCCACCTTGCTTGAAGGTACCGACGATCCCGTCGAGCGGGACGCCTTCACCTTCATTTTCCTTTTGATTGTCGGCATTGTTCCATAAGAAATACTGATCGCAACGAGAGAGTAGACAAGTGCTGTTTACCCAACAAGTGGAAATCATCCAAGAACAAGTGCTATATCAACAACCTGAAACAGAAAGAAAAAATGCATGTCGGATCATATCCATCCACCGAACAATATGACGATCGCTCACAATCAATCAGTCTTGACAAGGATCATGTTGATCAACCTATTCCTAGCTCGGACGAAGAGTGTTCTCGGCGCACACCATCTTTTTACATCACTGTGTGATCAAGATCGAAAAGGGGAGCTGTACTTACGCGTCCAAGAACGGTTGTCATCCTGTTATGTGATACTGATCTACTTCTGTTTCATTCTTCCTTTTCCGCATAGAACTTTGAATTTGAAAAAAACGTTACCAGGATCTTTGCAGCAAACACGAGCGACCCAGGACCTTCAAATCGTGTTTGAACTTTTCATACGTCATAATCTCCCATATTGTCGGACACATCATCCTCGATATCATCTACTTCCATGATTTATTCTATGCATAGCCTTGACCATGATCTTGGTGATCTAGGTTTTAGGACGACTTAGCAGCTCTGTTTTCGTCCTAAAGGCATACTTGATCATATATCGATCAGCTAGTTAGGTTCTTGTCTGTAGAAGATACTTTTCTTGGAAGATTTTCATTTTTTCGGTAGTTTTAAGACGTATAATGACATCAGGAGTCATGGACTTGGTATTCTGAAAAAGCGAGTAGTGGTCCGTTCGTTGGTCGAGCTGCACATCTCATCTATCCATCCCTTGCGGAAGATTGTCTCTCACTTTCGACGTAAGATTTTTTTTCAGCTTACCTGTGATTGTCTTGCCCTTGTATTGTTCATCAGATCATCCACCTTCGCCACAGTGATGCTCCTCTTAGCCACCTTCATCCCAGCAATTGCCGCGCTTTGTAACCGTTCACGCCAACTTTTTGTCGCCGTTATCGAGCTTAGCGGAGCGCTTTTTTCGGAGCCCCATCATTTTCATAGCATTCTGCAAAGATTCGACTCAGCACTTTAGGTACTGGCTCCAACACCGGACGTCGATGAATCGCTGCCAGATCTGGCTGCGATAGTTGAAGCTCACTCTGCGCAAGGAAGAGCTCCCTACCCACAATGCGGTTCGCCTCAGCAGCACGCTCAACCAAAGGTATCATCGCGTTGCTCTGCATTCCAAATTTCAAGAGCGGCAGAGCAGGACTACAATGGGTCTTCTTCAAGTCCAGCGGGAAAGAGTATTTAATCGGAAAAGCTGTGGATGATTCAGGTGAAAATGGTGGTCGCAAAACTGAACGACGATCCTAGATGAACGCAAGGCCTCTTGTTCTCGTGTCCTCGTTGCACTTCCTCCAATGGCATTCTATACTTCAAGAACTACATTGAACAACCAGATCATCTACATCTCCAAAAACATCATACAACAGAGTGATACCTGTCTCTCCCGTCGCAGCATCGAGAGTTGCGACATAACCGGCATATAGTTTCGCACGGAGAAGATGATACGCACTACTGCCAATGGCCGTTTGTGCCGACCGGAGCAACGGCTCCCCACAAGTGAAGCACTGCGCTGGCATCGGCGGCTTTTTAATGCTTGCTGTATCTTCGTCCTCTGGCGATACCGTGTTGGAGGATGCGTCCTTGCCCACGGCATTATCTTGTTGCCCCGCGTTAGCACCAGCAGCTTCACTTCCAACAGTACTCTCAAGGGGAGTCTGTAGTTGAGGTGTATCCGTTACACTGTTGGGTTGGATACCATAAAAGCGTTGGGCAAAGGCGCGCATCTTTGAATAAAGACTTTGATCCTCGCGCAGAATCTGCGTAAAAAGATCTTCGCCGAGCGGTTTCACGTATTTTTCGTACAGCATGCGTCTCGCCTTTCCGATACCCTCTGCCAGCTCCTGCAAAGTGAGGTCCCTTACTCCGCCTCCAGTGTCCGGTTCGTACTGCGTTCGTCGACCCGTACCTTTTAATGTGTCTTTCATCTCGTCGAAAAACAACGCAAAGGCCTTCTTAGCCTTTATCGCTTTTCTCCTTGTATCCGCACCTCGGTTTTTCATGTCCGCCTCCACGATTATATTCGCGAGTTCTTTTTTTTCTGTCTTCAGCACCTCGCTGCCAACAGTGTTGCCAATTTCTGGAAAAACTCCCAGAATACTTCGCTCCTTCGCAGAAGCAGAGCTGTTGGCACCAGCTTTAGCTTTTTCGTCTGCGGCACCTGCATGATTTGCTGTGGTGACAGGGGACGAGTCTCTCTCTCTATCACTAGAGGAAGATGCAGCTGCAGGAACAGCACCTGCACCTCCGTGTGTCTCGCCGTCATCTGCTTGGTGTCCTGCAGCATGATGTCCAAAGCGATTTGCGAACACTTTATCGACCCCTTCAGGCTTCATTTTCGCAATCTGTGAGTCTAATGCTCCGTCTTGGATACCATCTCCATGCCCACCCCCACTCGTTCCACTGGTTTCATCTTCATCTGCGTCTACTGCGGCTCCTGCTCCGTCGGCTTTCCCACCAAACGACATAGCTTCCCAGGCTATTGGCGGAGCGGCGCCCTCCGAAGTCGAGCCAGGAACATCGTTGTCGTCTGCAGGTTCTGTTTGAAGTTGTGCCAAGGACAGTCGCCGCTGCAGGACCTGGTCAATATTGGTCACAGTCACTTCTCGCATCTGCCGTAGTGAGCGCGCCAGACCGTCAAGCTTTTGTTGCAGTTCGAGGTTGTCAGATATTGCGCGATCCAGTGAACCGTCGGAAACACTCACTGGCGGGTTCCCGCTTTCCTTCCCGTGAAGGATCGCTTGCACATCGTCTGCGGTCTGGAGATGGTTGAAAAGAAGTGAAATTTGCCCCATTCTCTGGCGTAGCAGCTGATATCAATGAAAATATTTGACAAGGATAAAATAACGATCAGCATATTCCAGAAGCAATAGTAGAGGATGGAAGGTGCTTCAGAGTTCACAGCTACGTCATTCAAGATGAGAAGCGCTAGAAGTATCGACTACCTTCTTCGTATTCTGCATAAGGACCGTCAATTGGAGGTTCGTGTCTGTCGGCTTCGGCCCGCAAGTTAGAGCCGTTGAGCCAGTGACCGTCCCATGAGAGCGGAGATAATGTCGTATCGGTTTCATCAACAAAGCGCTGGTGCCATGCGCACCCGCGCCGCTTTCATCACCTGTGTCTGACTTGCTTTCACCATGAGTGAACAGAAAGTCCTTCTGTTTCGCTGTCTCCCCCTTGCGATATACGTGAGGGGCAACAGTGCCCAAGTATGCTTTGACCAAGGCTTCTAGACCCTTACCCTGCACCGCGACGGCTTTCCCGATGGCTTTCGTGCGTGTGCCTGACTCCTCGAGGACATCGTGTGCCGCTATTTGCGTGGCCAGCACGTTTACTTCGTCGGGGCCGCAGGGCTCTGGACCTTTCCCACCCGACGCAGTGCGAGGACCCCGCAACATCACCAAGGACGTTGCCAAGCTGCCGTGTGTGAGGTCGATAGAAGCATCGCTCAGATTCCGCATGATCGAGGGTACTACCCGATTGACTGCTGCACGCTTTTTCCAGCTCGTCCTGGAGCGGCGCGAAGTGACTCACAAGTTTCGCTAGGAGGTAGAGAAGGGAAATATATTTGAACGTGGAGGCTCTACTGAGCAAATTAAGCATTCAAAAACGCATGAATGTTGTGCGGCCGCCGTACTAGCTTAAAGTTTTACTTAAGTGGTTTCTATTCGAACTTCGCTGACAGCAGTATCAACGTACGACGGGGCGACAAGTAATCCACCTCCTTCCGAAACGAGCACGAACAAATACGACGAGAAGTCCGATACGATATCAAGAACGGCGGGCACGAGGTGCGTTCTTCGACTGCTCTGGCGGTTCATCTTCGCGCGTGCTGATTCAGGCGTCGAGAAAGTATCTTTTCCGCAGTCGTATAATCCCGTCCGGAATAAAGAGACGGCCGAAGATAAAGTAGATGACGAGAGACATCGATTATTATGGAGCAATGCCGACCTGAACAGGAAACGCTGCCGCAGCATGTTGGCAACCCTTAGCAAGCCGCTGGATCAAGTGCGATCGGGATATTGTAAATCATAAGGAAAACGACCAGGATGGCATCATGGTTGGAGGTGGTAAAAGTAATCATGTTCAATCATGTTGTTGACGTTGCATATACAACATGCTTTCCTGTTCACAAGAATCTTCCCACGTTTGCAGGTGTCTGATTCATGTTGCACTGACACGCGTCGTGATCCCCCACTTCTGTCGCATCTATATACGACGCCACACAGCGTTCCCGGCCGCTGAGGCTACAACAGTATTCATCAATGAGCTTCGTCTCCTTTGACCCACACTGCCAGCTATGCCATGGCCTTTTTTTCGGTATCGTTGGCTTAACACCTGAAAACATACTGCGCATGCGAGTCATAAGAGAGGGCTTTGTTGCCATTGACACGTCAGGAGTCGTGTCAGGACCTTCAATTGGAGCGGTGCCAGCTGGGCAAAACTCAAAGTGGTGTTCGCCCGGAGTCTCGCGATGTACGATCATGGTGCCTACCTCGCCTCGACAATCTTCCGCGTGAATCGAAACCGGCTGCAGGAAGTCCTTATCGTTCCCCGCACAGCCTTTACGGAAAAACCATCCGCCCCAGGCCGTGTCACGGCTTTCAGCTGGCTCACACGTAGTCCCGCTACGATATCTGCATGGTGAGTGTTAAAGACGAAATTTTTTGTTGGTGATGGTGTCTCATGAAGTATTCAAAAGTCACAAGGCATTGCTCATATCTCCCCTTGCCCTTGAGACGATTTTTACTTGAACAGCGGAATATTAGATCTAATTATCGTCAGCACATGTCCGACTGCGAGTAGCTGATCATGCCTCCAGAGGGCCTTTTAGGACGAGTGGTTGTTCAATAAAATATAAATAAATGCTCTGTGGTTCAGTAGAATACGCCAGCTTGCCATCCGCGTAGTCGGCAAGGGCATCGGCGCAAAAGGTTTTTGCTGTAGATTTCGATGTCCCTCCTTTGGTCCGACCTTGAGGTATGAATTCTGCATCTTTGCAACAGTGTAGCTTTCGACTGCGCGCGCGAAAAGAACCAGGCTCGCACTTGAGATTTTGCAGGGAGTCCTGGGGCGCCGAAGGCGCGTAACACAGAGAGTAATCGACATCGGCTTTCCCCGATGGGCCACGCACCGTACTGCGGACGAGCGATCCAGCGGGATCGCAACTCTCTTTCAACAGGAAACTCGTACTAGGAGAACCCGTTGTGCTCACTAGTCGTCTTTTTCCCTGATGTTGCGCAAGGTGGGTGTATTGTTGCCAAAGCAACGCAGCAGGTCCTGGTGATGGAGCCATTTTATTCGCGTGGCTATAATAAACTTAGTCTAGCACCACTCATGTGTTCTTCTGTCAACATGTTTTTAATCTTCATGTTAATATTCCTCAACACGTAGTACAACTTTAGGAACACGAGGTGACATAAAGAACTTACTTCTAATCAGACGATCATGGTCGATACCGCTTAGATATTTTTGTAGCAGTAGTGTTAGTGAACCGATGCGAAAACGACACGGCACATAGCCAGAGGCGCAATCTTAACATGAGTAAGGACGAGGACTTCGCCGTGCATTTTGTGCAGAATGAAGAATAAAGGGTACAGGACGTCGTCGACGCAAGTAGAGGTGGAACATTTACTTAGGTTTATGTTCTTTGATCTGGGAAAGTAGCTTGGCTTCTTTCAGCTGATAAGTAGCCTTGAGCTTCACCGATATCTCAAGATGATCTATGATACCTGCACACAGACAGCCTGTACTTTAGGCATCTTCTTCCAGAGACAACCGATGATGTTGATGAAGAGACATTCATAATATAGACTGTCTCTCTTCTATTTTTAGTGGAGGTGAAGGTGAACCTCGTTTTTTACTCAACACCGATTTCCACCCTCTCCTTCTTGAAGAGTCCCGTCGATGCATAAATTCGATCTATAGGCGTTGTTGAATGAGGTAGCAGCTGATTGCGATTGCGAGCCCAACCGCATCAGAATCACAATAGCGTTGTGATCGTTTGGTATTGTTCAATTTTTGTGGTGCGAAGCTAGCTGTGTAGTAACAGTAAGAAATGCTAGTGTACCACTCAACAGCACTATGTTGATTCATATTTATGGTCGTTGTCATCTGTTCGGGGGACAGGAGGGAGTAATTCATGTACAACAAGATCAACAATTAAAGGAGGTCATGCGTATGCGGTTGCGCGCGTTGATACAAGTTGTGCTCAACAACAGGTAAAATCAAGTCGACTCACCCCCCATCCGTGAAGGCAAGGCGCTCTTGCATATCTTCACATGATGCCGATCATGGTTAGCTGGCCTTTCAATAACGCCAGTGTTTTATTCATACTTAGAATAATTACGACAGCTGACTTTGACCTATCAATATGAACATGATCTAGTTAACACCTAGTAGAGGTAGACCTATGTCTAATATAAGAACATGTCATGATCATCTTCACGGTGTTCCTCATATTAAATTTACCTGCTATCTTCTTTTGACGCGTTACAAAATAATATTCAACAACGATGGATAGGCTTGTCATGACATACGAATACAAATTACGGACATGAAATTTTTACCAAGTGACGAATAAGGGACCAACATACCTAGTCTACCAAGAAAGAAGTATTCATTGATACAAGAAAAAAAAGCCTTGTTTTTGTGGAAAGCCTGAACATTATGCTGCGCCAATGACATTAAGACGGCGGAGCAAAAAAAGGAAGCTGCAGGGATCTGGTGCTGATTCCATGCGGATTCATCTCCAACACAAACTTTGGCAGTGGGTGAAAGGACGAGAGTTTCCTCCAGATAACAGGGGCGCGATGAAGATACATCAGGCCTTAAGTTCAGCTTCTCGACTTGATGCAAGCTCAATTTCCAGCATGCCCTCTGGTGGAATCACTTCGACGGAAATCACTTCTGCAGCCAAAAGTGAACAGATGAACTCGAGTGCGTGGTGGGGTAGCACTTCACGTACATGTACATAGATGCATATAATCCCTGCAACATCATCGCCCGTCTCTCTTCATCGCGTCTCCTCCGCATTCCTTACAGCTTTTATTTCTCGCGTCAAGATGATGAATCGAGTTGCATTTTGTTTTTTCCGGCTGCTTTATTTTTACTTTCCGACTCTTCTTCTGGCGCAGTGGCACCGTCTTTGCGCGACGGAGCTTGTTTTCCTGCCGCCACTCTAAGTCCTGTCCGTACGTGTGCCGCAACCTAAATTCGGTTGTTGTAAGGCAATCTTTATGCACAAACTGAAAATGACCAAAAAGTACAAACAGGCTGATTACTTATCTACTTGCTCACTCTGTCACTGATTTCTGCACCTGCACGACCAGATCAGTGTGCTGACAGTGTATTTCTACAACACGATGATTAAGCTGAGAAGGAATCAAAAAATCATACAACACACGCATAGGCATAGAGCTAGAGCTGTATTCCATGTAGACCTTAAAGCCGAATATTCTGGGTATGTAATTTCGCGGCTCACTCGTTGGCTTCAGATGCGGATAAGTGAGGAAGAAAAGATGCGCAAATGACGTCCCAAAAAAGGCACCGTCGATAATCTGTTGAGAGTTTGTAAGTATGTTTTTGTGTGCTGGAGCTGGGTGTAGGTGGACCAAGGATAAGATAAAGATTGAGTACTCGAAAATATTTTTTCTTTGATATTGGTACTGAGTAGACGTACTTCAACACCTAGACCTACAACCGAGGAATTATATTTTTACGCAGCATCACAAAACAAATTTCCATGAAAATTTACCTCTAATTTCGCACTTTTTGGGTGAAAAACCTCTTTGCATCGGGGACAGTACACTTTGGCACCGTTTTGTCCCACCACATCGGTGACCCCTATTGGCAACACCGCTTGATTCTGGGCATGGCAATCCAATAATGGACAACTGCCGTAGACATAGCTATTGTATTTGTCGAACATCGCTGACATACCCCGCGCCGTCAAAATCCACCTAGAATAAAAGAGATACAAGAGGACAGAGATGAATGGTAAGGTAAAAGTCGTAGTTTCAACAAGAGAGATGAGAATTTAATTGGATTTGCTCCTCATGTTCAGGATACGCTGAGACCCATTGATTCCATTTGGACAACAATAACAGAGCAACTGATCATAAGGTTCCACAGCTCGCATGGCATGGAGTGCATGGATCACATGGAGCTAAAGGGGGAGCTACCATGCGTGCTATAAACTACTCTGCAATAATGAACTCAAGGTCAAAATCTTTAAGGCGAAGATGAACGCTAGCAAGGACATAATGTTAATGTCGTCCTACGCTTGTTCATTAAGCAGTAGTAGGATACTTCTTCGAAAAATGTAGTCATCATGATCTTACCGCGCATGTATAAGTCCGTAAAGGCACTGCGCTCCCTGTTCCACCATTGACCTCTCGCTCTCGGTCTGTATCTGCGAATCCTGGTCGTCATAATCAAGAATCATATTTAGTGCTTCTCTATACACGTCCACGTCGTAGTAATCCTGCAAATCTTTGTTGAGGTACCTGTGGAGATACTTCGTATAGAGGGAAGCGTTGTTCTACTCAAGTTTTTAATTCTACTCGAACTATTATTCTGTCTTCTTTCACCTTGTGATATGAATATTCTTCGGAGGTATTTAGTCCCATAAATTCACAGTCACACAACTCAAAGTCGATGAAATAGACGTTATCATTCAAGGTCAACGTGCATCCAAAAACATTTAAAATACGTAAGATTGAAGTCGTCCTGAACGTAGTCGTCTTCTATTTCCACAAAAAATTCGTTCCCCTTGAGATGGCAAAACCATTCTATCCATGTCACCTGTCGTGTTGAAGATTCAGTAATAGTGTGTTGTATAATCCACCATGCATATGTCATTCTTGAGACATATGAAAGGCTTTCTCGACGATCGAAGATTGAAATATGCTCATGATGCTGCTTCAGTCCCTCTTTTTTAGGAAAAAAGATGAAAATGAGAGGATTGCTCCTTACGAGTATCATCAAATAGTACACCTCCTTGTCGTCATGGTACCAACACGACCAAATAGAAATACCTCATCACCCATGTCACTTGCTGAGCCATTGGAGTACTCATCGGTGCTTTCCGATGGCCCCTCAGCAAACTGCATCATATCATTGGTCGCCATTTTGAAGAAGGAGCCTCCTCGACGAGCTCGTCGACCTTCCTAGAATGCACTCGTGCTTGTCGGTGTTGTACTAGTTAGTGGTGGAAGCGCGGCACTAGTAGTTCTTGTGGTAATGGGTTCTACAGGCTTTTATTTCCTAATTTTCGTGTTGTTCTTGTATCTGTCACTGCAGATAGTGTCTAGCTTCTGGGAATCAAAAATCGTGAGGAGTTACGTCTTTGTGGCTCCAGTTCTAATCGCTTCTAATCGTTAAAAATGCTCCACTGGCACCGTTCTCGAAGCTAGGAGGTAGAAGTGGCTATTGTCGTCGAATTTCAATACTTGTGTTATTCGATAATCAGCAGGCTGCGCCTCAGGTTCCCTACCCTGCGCTTGCCGGATTTTTAGGAGCAAAACCACGATTGGCGGGTCCACTTGTTTGGCTCTTGCTCAACAATATATGAGCAAGAATATAGTCTCTTGAGCGTTCTTCACATAGTACTAGTAGGTGGTTGTCACGAAACAGGAGAATCGACATTTTTGCCCGCGCTCACGCCTGCAAACTAGCCTTTCAAATCGTCGAGTCAATGCAGGAGCAGGTCGTTGAACGTCCTTAACGAGCTGCGCCAGCACGGGAGAGAGAAAACCAGGCACAGAAAAAGGTCGATCGACCAACCACACAGGCAAGCGGCTGCTGGCTGGCGGTCTAAAGCAGACTCACGCTGAAACGCCTAGAACTCCATGTTCTTTCATTTCTCAATGCAAAGTTCCCAACCAAAAGCCCTACATAATAGATCCATCTAAAAAAAGAAAAACCTGCAGACACCTAGAGGTAGTTTAGTAGAAGTAGTGCTGATCAACAAGAATATTTCGAATTGCGCATTTCTTTGCGGCAGTTGTATCAACACTATCACATACTTCTTCTAGCAGACCACCTTGAAAAATCAGCGTACACCTCAAAAATTGTTACTCGGAGAACACAGGAGAGATGACGAATCAATTCAAATTAATATTGAGTTAGATTTTGAGGACGATACACAATGAATTGTGGTGGACCACCTAACTAGAAAAGACAGAAACCAGAAAAAGGCTTCTATCGATCAAGTAGTGTATTGAGTTTAATTAAGTATTCTCTTATCTACTACCAATTAAGCGCCGGCGCTTATCGTAGTCCTATTAGCCCCACAGGTCTCACCTTCGAAGGACGATACACAATAAAGGAAATTATAATCAATTAGAAGTAGATCTTGATGCGCATGTTGTAGATCCTAATCTTATGATGATATACCCAGCACGTGGTTTCTTCGCTCAGATATTGTTCAAGCAGAAAGTCGTAGGACTAATCATCAGACATCAGCATCAAGAAAAGCCACGACCTGTAGCACGGTTACGGTTACCATTCTCGTTGCTGTGCAAGCAGAAAAATAGGATCGCGGAGACCCACTGGAATGCCAGCTCTATGGAACTGAGAACAAAATTTTGTCACTGTCAAGATGATTCGCTGAGGGTCAAGAATTTCGCGAGCAACCGATCATGACCAAAATTTCATTGTGCCTCTGGACACCAAGAACATGGCTGCAAGGACAAGATGCAGTTTTTCGTTTTTGTTCAGGTATGAGACCAAGCAAGTGTACGGTCATTGATGACGCGTAACGCCCGCACATTCAATTCATTTGAACTCACACGCAAGACTACAGTGGTCCATGCTGGCAGTGCCGAACGTCCAGAGACGATTCCAAACACCTTGGCTCATCAGAGCTGAAAGACGACATGGACTTCTGAGAAGTAGTTCTAGTTTTTACGTTCGCCCATTCGTTATATGTCATTCATTCTCGCATGACATGGCAGAAAAAAAGAGCACCCATACGCGCTTTTCTCATTAGACACTGTAGATGGTAGTAAAAAGTTACTGGAAGATTATAGTGGGCTTAGCCTTTGTGGCATACGCATGATGGACTTTCTCGCAACTGTGGCGGAGTCTTCATTTGATTTCGGCAAATGGAAATGTGTACCTTCTCGTGTCGTCGGTGGGAGTCATTTGCTTTGAAAATATGACAACATATATTTCCGTGGTTTTTATTGTGCCGCAAATCGCAAGGACCCCTTGAACTCGGTATCACTTCATCTATGTGCGTCTGGTCAGGCTGCATGAAAATAGTAACGTGTGCGCTTCGACCTGGCGGACGCGGACCTCGGCGACGAGTATATACTAGGTTCCTAGACGGCTCCTGCTCCGTAGGAAAAGGTCGGGACATGCGTGTAGGGAACTTTCTTCTTGTACGGATAGAACATGCAGACACACCAGTCGTAGCATCTCACGCACCGTTCCTTCACTGGGTAAACGCATCCTGAGGAGTAGAGTGTTATTGTTAATCGTCTTAGTCAGTGAAAGAGAAACAGCAAATCGACTTTTCGGATGTGAAAATGAAGAAGAATCTTGACGTACAAATGCGGACGCATCGAGTTTCTGTGGGAAAGAACATCAAGTCGATGGTGCATAGCTGCTGAGAGTACGTCGAAGTCGAGTATCTTCATGAAACGTTCCTATAATTGAGCTAACACATGGAAATACTCTGCAAGCATCGCTTGATTGCTTGATATATGGCCATGAAGCAACGAGCAAAAACCGCGAAGCAATCCAAGATCGCGAAGCAGCATTTTGTGAAGGCACCCGGCTCCTCGGGTCCTCCGGCGTCATCCTCTGCCATTCTTGACGGTTCCTGGTCGTGGTCCCCTAGTAGAGCGGAAAACTTCTGATCAGCAACAAAGCTGCAGGATGCGCAGGCAAGATGAACTCGGTACTAGACGAACAAGCAGTCTGACTGCCCAAGCCCAGACTAGGCTGGCAAGCTGCGAAGGCAAGAACGCGGTAGTAGACGGCCGGCAGGTATTGTTCTCTTTGCGGTTATTTGGAAGGAAATCTCATAACTTGAGGTTGTCGTGTGCTGTAGCCTCGGACTCTGCCCGTGCACACGTAGAGAGGATCCTTGGTTCTCGGACGGACACGGGCAGTAGACGCATATCAAAGCTGATGAATAGATCTTCAAGATTAATCATCTTCAAGAACAGGTCGCGGATGAAGATCGATGTTCGCGCACGCCACAGCTGACGAACAAAGATCGTCACCCAGCTCCTCCAATATCCTAGTGGTTCGGTGTCGTGAAAACTTTTCCAAATCAAAAGGTTTACTCAATTTGTCATCTACGAGGATTGCTCTTTAAACCGATGCGTCGACGTGGTAGCTTTCAGTATATTTCGTCGTATATGCGCTTGTAGAAATATCGATACTATGCGTTTCTCGAGTGATGTCTTTTCCATGGTGCGTCCACTATAATCCGTCCATCGAGCCCTATAACTTCGTGCGTCTACATTGCAAATAAAAAACATAAATTGACACAAAAAAAAACAATCTTATCTCTGGTCGATCCAGGAAGCTTGATGAAATCAAATTGAGGAAGTGAAAAGCCACATCGAGCTCATGTTCTTGCTATGAATGTGTGAAGGTGGAGCCAACTAGTAGTCGTAGTGATCATGGTTATATAAACATGCCAAAACACCAAGAACGAATCGATCGAACTCTACTTCGTACACAAGCGACTAGAAATGATAAATAATATTGAAACGCAAACCTGTCAATATCAACAGACTAAACAATCTAAGCGCAGCCAAAACTATGACACGAAAACAGTCGGTCGAAACACATGACGATGACCTGACAAAAACCTTATATATGTATAATGGTACGGAACCAATAAATCCAAAAACAGAGAGTCGACCCATACCGTCGATGGGGAAAGCGACATAGCGTTTAGCGAGGATAGACTACATGTACACTTACTACATCCGTTAGAATCTTGTTTGTAGCTAGAAGTAGCTCCTTCACTACGTCTTGCGCTTCTCGAGTACTAAAAATTCTACTTATTTTGTTAGGACCGCAATTGTAATGGAAATGGAATCTTAATACTATTTGAGGACAACCAGGAAGGAAAATCCGGCGCGAGCCCGCGCAACAAAACTTTTTAGATCAATAATTGTCCAGCAACTAGTTGTTGTAGTCTAATCCATATGTTGCTCTTTTGTATTCTTAAGAATTTTCGTAGATTAACTCAACCTTTATCCGAGCAAGCTTTTAGTAAAGGTAGTGGTCTGTTACATATAAAAAATCTTGATCTCCTTGTTTATCTTTATGCCCATGCGTACCGCACCAACCACAACAAGTTCTTGTGCATAGAGTGTACTTCATCGCCCACTATATCCATGATGAGCGATTTGTTAGTGTTGAGAAGCACTCATATCTTCTTCATTCAACATCAACGGGAGCTGGCAGTATCACTGGATCTGTCGCCGCCGCTGACGGTGTCTCCGCGTCATCTCCAATGTCCGACGGGTCTTCCTCGTCGCCTTCTTCGGCTGCAATAGGGAGCGTTGCGGAAGCGATGTGCCCTTCGCCCGTTTCTGTCGTGACTAGCCAGCTAATCTTTTGCTGTGGTGGCGGCTGGACAATCGATGCTGAGGCTTCCTGTGTTGGTGAAGAAGATGTTTCGTCCTCATTTTTAGTCGTTTCTGCTCCTCTGGGTGAAGCTGAAGATGTTGATGTAAGCTTGCTTTCTGCACCTTCCTCGTCGTTACTCGGAGAGCCGCTTGAGGCAGCAACGTCTGATGCGATTGTTGTTGAAGCCTCTTCGGACGCTGTGGAATCACGATTTTTGACAAAGTCTGATCCAGATGTTGTAGCACCGATTTCGTCATTTCCTTGATCGATGATCTCAATTTCTTGCTCCTCTTCCTCCAAAACCGGCTGCTTATCCGATTCATCTACTTGAGCAGGGGCATCTCGAGAAACCTCCCTTTCGGGAGATGATGATGTAGGCACAGACGTCATCCGTCCAGCAGCTCCAGGGCCTCCAGCTAACGTCGTTGCTCGTTTAGTGGCTTCGATTCTTTCTCGAAAAGCCATCACTGAGGGACCACGATACTTCCCGTCCTCCTCTACTGGTGCGCCGCTAACCGTTACAGCGGCCTCTGCCTTCGTGGAAGGGGACTCGCCAATGGCATCTAAGGTCGTCTCGCGCGGTACACCTGCGCCGCCGCTAAGCATGACGCTCGCAGAACTTGTTGTTACACAGGAGACCTGCTTCAACAATCTTCATACCGACACCGAGGGTAATGGTAAAGGCAAATAGAAATAATCTTCATCTTCAAGTAGTCATATTACTCACACGTTAGAACTATTTGCGAATTGAATTCGGTTAATCATACTCATGCTGTTGAAGAAAAAGAAGGTGAGCTATACTCCATTCTTCCGTCGCTCCATTCGCTTTTTCCTGTCGTTATTTCGCGTCAATGCGCGGTCAACCACGTCTCGCCATGTGGGATTGTATAGCGCGACTCCGAGAGTGATGAGACTTTGGTTTTTCATCATTGCTTGCCCTAGAATTTCCTCGAATTTCTGGCCCATGCCGCGATTCGACATGCATTCATTCCGCTGACCGCTCATTCGGATCTCCTCAAGACCATCATTGACCAACAGCGCATCCGCGAGTGCGGATAAAGCGCTCACATCGACGAAGTTTCCCTCCAAATTTAGCTCTTTCAGCGAAGAATTGCTCTGTGAGGACGAGGGAAACACGCAATGCAATCAAAGAGAAGTCTGGGATGAATGCCGTTCTCGTACTGACGTGAGGAATTTTCACTTCACTTCTTGGCTATACCTATAGCTTTCATCGAATTCATGTAGTACAGTAATTACCATCTCACTACAGTCAAGCTACAACACTACCCTCAAACTCCCTGCCAGTGTATCGGCTTCTCCGCTTTGCAGGGTGCTGTTTTGGAGGTAGAGTCTCTGGAGATACGAGTTGCCGCCGACAGCCTTGGCGAGTTTCGGCGCGACACGATACTCTTTGTCGGGCGGTGGCATTTTTTGTCCAGCAAAGGATAACTCCTGCAACGTCGGATCGTTCAGATGCACACGATGCACCATCCACATCATCCAATCGCGCGTTTGATACTTCGTGTCAACCTGTAGTGATGGACATCTCGTCGCCAAGGAATTTCAGAAATCTTTTAAGTCTAGTGTTAGTTAGTCTTATATATATATACATCACTTACTATTATACTTGTAAGATGAATATGGAATTGGAAGAGAGCCTGTATGCTACTGCTACAAGGATGAACAAGATGGACTTGGACGAGAGTGTATAGTATAATTGCAACATTTATCATGAGCACTAGTGGTGGTACTGCTACCTTGAGATTAAGGCAGTCTTCAATTTTGGTGATTTCATCAATCTTCTTGAAGTCGTCAAGTGTTCTCTTCTTGTCGTCTGGTCCGTTCTTGATTTTGAGTAGTTTACGTAGCCATCGGTCATGCTTTTCGTCTTCGGTCATGTCTTCCTCGTCTGTACTTGATTCCTCATCCTCCTCTTCCTGTCCTGGCCGCCATTGCTTGAAGTGTCCCATTGACTCGAGAACCGCTTTCACTGAGGATGCGGCTTGGCGCAGGTCCTTCCACCGTGGCTCCACGAGTAACGTCGCACAAGACGGAACCGATGATGTGCGGCCTAAGGAGGGGGATCCTGTTGAGGTAGAACTAGAAGAAGCCCTGAACACCGTAGATGAAGATGAGCCACCGCTTTCCTCGTTGCTGCTTTGAACATTAGAGGTCGCAGTCGTTCCATGTGATCTTCTTGTTCTTATGTCGTCGACCAAAAAAATCGTGAGACGTGACCAAGCGAATTAGAACTACGGCGCATCTTCATCTAAGTACCTTGTTCTTCCTTATTGTTTGTTTCCATATTCTTTTCATCAGATTCATAATGCCTGACGGCGATTCCACAGCATCGCTTGTCCGTGGGCTTTCTTCCTTTGCGGGTGTTCCACCTTCGTCGCTCCTCTCCATCAAATCCATCTGGTAGTAGACCTTACCGATACGAACGCAGGCACCTCCAAATACGCAGTCTAACTCGCGTTTATCGCCTCGTACGGTTTCCCACATCAAGTCCCGCATTCGTTCGATACACTGGAGAATATCACTTTCGAGCTTTCGTTTTCGAATCATACCCATACTCGGATTCATAAACCGGGTGCTCCAAGATGAAAATTGTTCCTACAAGTTGAAGTTTTCTGGAATGATTAGGAATCGTTCATGATACTAACGTCATCAACTGATTGAACAAGGCCAACAGGCAGTATAGGAAGAAAAAGAGACAGGAAGCTAAAGATCACGAACAAACTACAATGATCACAGAATCAAAGAACTGGAATAAAATAAAATGAACAATGACAAACAAACTGTCTCTTGGTACTCCAGTCAGAGTAAGGGGCGGGTCATGAACAATGAGTGAAGTAGTTGTTGCACCAGTAGCTGATCCATGGTGTTTGCTACTCGCTCGACTCTATCCTCGTTTATCTCCCCCTTGTACTCTACAACAATGTGCGGCTTGGGAGGCTCGACTTTCTTCTTACTCTTCTTCTTTTTCGCATTGACGACCGGAGTCTCGCCCAGTTCGGGCTCCCCCAATATCGAAGGCATTTTTCAGCAGTCGGGAAGATGGAGGAAGCTCCTGTTCTGTCGCGGATGTGTTCTTTTCTTGCTTTGCAAATCACTGCTGGCAACCTATTACGTATTACACGAACAGGAGCTGACTAGGAACCGGCACTGGTGCTGGTAGTTCTTCCTGTATCTTCTAACGACAAGATGAAACGCTATAGCTATGGAGCTTTTGTATTTATCACTCAGCGCGCTATGGGTGAGAGCAGTTCCTTCTGTGTTTTACTGCATGAAAGGGTGCTGATATTGTAAAAGCTCCTTCATCAAGCCATGTTTCTGTGAAAATCGGTGACAAACAAGAATTCTAATGGCATCAATGACACATCTTCGACGTCTTGTTGCGGACGGCAAAATTTACAACTTAGAGGTGACTAATGGTGTTCTAGGCAATGCAGCAGCTGCAGGTGACTTCCTTTTTTTCATTCGTCCGCTCAGTAATTGTTGAGTACACTCGCTGCAGCCCTCGCACTGAAAACATTTCAAGTTTGTGACTTGCTCGCTCTTTCTCTCTACTCGCTCTCCCTCTCTCTCGTGCGCGCACATAAAACTCTCAAAATCTTATTGATTTGCTCTTCATAGGACGCTTTAGAGCAAGGACAGGCAGTAAGTTCTTGATGTAATAATCAAGAAACACTAGATTCAGTGCTGCTTTCGCTGCTGCTTTCATGATACTGGCACTTCTCAAGTGTAGTACGAGAAAAACAAGGGTTTCGCTCTCCCCAAATATATTTTAACGCCGCTGGTTGGCGGAGTCGTTCCATCATTGAGCGACTCAATACAAGAACTGCGCACAACATCATCAGGATCGACATAGTCCAGGATCAAGTTCACTTGTTGTAGACTCATACTCAGACTCCATCTTGACGCTTCAGCTGCATCTGCATGCGAACGCGTCGCAAACCAAATTAGCACCATAATCCAATTGTTAGCAGACTCTTCTTTAAAGCAAACTCTGTCAGAAAACGAAACAAAGGTTGACCACCGAGATCAGCGGACACGATGGAGTAATTTGCTCGCCGGTGATCTAGTCTTATTTTGCGTATCACTGGAATTTCAAACTCAAAGAATATCTACTCAGACGCTTCGTTAACAGACAATAATTAAGCTTAGCCACGAGTGTTAGCAATATTTATTAGAAAGAGAGAAACTGGGAGCAAAAGATAATACAGTTGACCGAGGCATTGGCGATGCACGGTGATCATGTATATATATATAAAAATGCATTTTTCAGGATCATTGACTTGAAGGACTCATTGGATTTGTTGATCTTTTAGTCCAGCACGTCCTACGAAGGTGGGATGATGTTGATGTAGAAAGATCTACTCCTACTCCATCAAATCCGTTCCCACCAAGAGAGGCGCGCACTCTTGGAACTCGTCTGGGAATGACTTTTCGAAACTCTGCAAAGTTTCTGCTACAAATGAGCCCGCGTACCCCTTAACCTCCACTAAGAAATCTATGAATGCGGCGTAGTCTATCTTTGCTCGCTCGATCTGCTCTGAGAAGAGCACGCGCATTCCCTGGACAAATGTGCCGACGTTGTTCTCGAGCCCGAGCCCCGACCGCCAAAACTTATGCACGACCTGCTGCGCAGCGTCACTGTGTTCGGGATCAATCACTGAGACGAAGATATACATCGCTAAGCGGTCAAACAGTGAAGACCTGAAAATGATTTTGGATATGAAGATCTTCGCAGGAGCAAGACCTATCAAGAACATGATAAAAACGTCATTATCAGAATGAAGATAAACCTGTCTCGTATAAAGAAAATTTGCGGGTGCTCATGCATCTCGACGTCCTATCAACTCGAACAAAGTCACACGACACATGATCATAACAAGGGATAAGAAATTTAGAAGCCGGCTCGAACAATACCAATTCTCTTGCGCTATTGTCAGATCTCCGTCCCGCACGCACGCGTGAAGCACCTCCAAGTGACCTCTTTCGAAATGGTCTAATTGCGACGACTCTACTTCGTCTGCCAATGCGCACATTATGTCGAAACCAGACCATACTTGCCAAAGGCAGACCTCGTCATACATTCTTGACGCGGGACCGAGCACGTAGCTGAACGATCGATTTATGAGATAGATTGAGGTTCTTTTGTCTAGTAGAAAAGCGAGGAGGGCGAACAAGTGTTGAAAATAAAGTAGACTGCAGTCGTGTTAGTAAGCTGTTGACCATTTGGAGGGTCCTGCTCAGGTTTGCTTGCTATCCTGCTAGTCGCTCCATCCACTTCTACTTCTAGTCTACAGCTTTTCAATGAAGAACGCCGAGAAAATATCGATGAGATGCAAAAATACCTAAGTCTGTGCACGACCATACCGAGCCTATTTGTGGAGAGCTCTTGTTCCTCTAGTAGTCGCTTCCGCAGTGGTGCTGGTTGTGTGACTAGAATGCGCAGATAATTATGCAAAAGGGCTTCCTTCAACTCGGGAACTGCGAAGAGGAATATGACGTTGGCGAGCCCAACTTGAAGCACGTTGCGAGAATTGGTCGGAATAAAAAGTTTCTGAATAAATTCCAGCAGTAGCTTTTCCGCTTCGGGACGTCGGTTGCCCTCTTTGTTTGCTGAGGCTGGCGAGAGATAGAGAAACATGACCATGAAGACATAGAACAAGATGAGATAGAGTTGACGTACAGTTGAACCTCTTCCTTCTTCCATCTCGTACACACGTTGAATGAAAATGATGAAGTATTTGTGGAATCAAAAAATAGAACCATCAATCAAATTTCTTGAAAGACATAAGGATAAGCATATTACTGAAAAATTGAAATACTCAGATGCAGCAATAGCCGTGACGAAAGGAGCAGCATCTGCGCTTGCACTTCCCACCAGGTATCGTGGACGAGCGACTTTATTGGATACACTAAGCCAAAGACTCCCTCCAGACTTATGTCTTTGCCGACGGTCTGGAACCTGGTGGATCAGCATCAGAGCAGCAGGATGTGTTGTTATAACTAAAGTTTCAGGTGAGATATCATTGGTACACATGATGACATCCCGACATCAACACTCAAGAAGAGATTGAACCAAGACGAAGATATCACACGCTTTTACTCTGCTGTCTTGTTAAAGTCTCCGTCTTCTCGCGCCGCGACTATTTGCGAAAGGATGCTGAGACCGAAAGTCCTAACTCGTGGTGACGGGTCGACGACGGCCAGTTGCGCATAGTACACGTAGAGATCAAGAAGACCGGAGTCCTGGTGTTGATCAACGTGAAACATTTCTTTAAGGAAGTGGACGAACTACAAAGCTGCCTCGAATTCCTAAACATTCATTCTAGTAGTTGTAGATTTAGCACCTGTTCTCAGCTCGATTCCAGTAGTTGTAGTTTTAGCACGATTTTTTCTCCTTGATGAAGAGAGCAAAGAATCAAAATTTCCCACCAGGCCATGTCTAAAGTTGTACCCCCAAAATCCCCATTTGCGCATCGATAGCAACGAGAAAACTGAGAAGGTGCACATACACGCCCAATGACGGTACGTGCTCCTTCAGGTGTCTGAGCGCTGTTATGTGGCCCTGCGGTGTGTCGCCACCGAAGCAGTAGACGAAGTCTGCTATGGTCTCGCGCTTGGCTTCTGCTGCAGCTGCTAGCTTCGCTAAGTCCGGCAAGCCGCCATCTAAAAAAAGATGCTCTGTGAGCATGGCGTCTGTTTTCGACAGCGTCGCGCCTAGCCTCTTCAGAAAATATGAGACACCCTCGAAAACTGCACTATCGTGCCCTAAAATCTGGAGTGGCGCGAGGTAAAGCGAAAACATCTTTGAAAACTCTGGAGGATTCTTCATGCAGGTCTCCGCTATGCCCCTGAGTACACCCTGCCCAGACAAGCTCTCTAGTATCCGCATCGTAACCTCATCCGGTATCTGCTCCACGTGCTCAAGAAAGGAGACTACCTGAGCAGGGGTCAGAAAGACGGTTCCATCGATCATCCAGACGTTGCAACGCTTAAAGACTATTCTTCGTATGGAAAAAAATAATTGAGGTCGTGGGCAAGAAATAGTTCTCACTTGTGCTTCGACTGTAGGATTAAGAATATTCTATCTTTCAATTCTCAGTACCAGGTCCTTTCTTGGGTCTATCACTTTGTAGCATTCTGCATCCAGCGCCTCTGCAAATATCGGCTTCATTATTGTGAGGCAACTATCGCCTGACACTGCGCCGTCATCCAAACTCTTTGCTGAAGCACTCGTTGCTAATCGACTACTTTGCCTAAACGTCGTCAAGTTTTTCGCCAACGGCTTTATCGAAGCTTCTTTCAGCTCTAGATGCGATATCTCGAACTGTTTTAGTAGAAGGTGAGTTTTATTTTTGTAGTGATTATGAGTATCAAACCATTCAGAATTCGGATACGACAAAACCATTAGCGATACCCGAGAGAACCACGTGCTTCGTGGTGTAGTAAAGTCGCGTTGAAGATGTGAATAACTAATTACATGGATCATGATCATCATGCACAGCTTTTATGTTTATGAATCCAACTTACCAATTTCAATACCCCACTGCTCACGACTCTGGGTTCGCCTCGGCCTGTATGTGCTTGCCTATTCGTTCTTGTCGTCGAGACCATACTTTGCTGCACTGTCGGCTGCGATGGCATAGACTGCTCTACAGGTGGCGGCTCGTCTTTCGTTGTAGCTTGTGTAAGCCCTGTTCCCATATTATCCCCCGTCCCATATTCCTCGTCCATCGTCAGGTTCCCATACTCTATCGCCACACGTTTTGTCAAAAACGTGTACAGTTTTTTCAGCTGGATAGAGATTTCAATCATCGAGGAGAGCGTGGATCCTGCTTATTTTGGTTTACGAGCTCAGACTTTATTTCCTTCGGCAAGCATCATCATGTTGATGATTCAATGTTAGCAACATGTTCGTTGATCATAAAAAAACACCAATACCAACGCCACTGCTGCTCCCGGAACCTGATTGCAAACAGGATCGAAGTCTGCTTTCCGTATGTCGACTTTTTGCTTTATGAAGAACTTCAACAGTTGATCCCAATTGTCTCGTTTTATCTTCAGTTGCGTCCCAGCTTCGTAACTGTGCATTGCGATTTCCTTCGGATAGTACCGCGACAAAACCTCTGCTACTAGAAATCCGTTTGCAAAATCTCGTCCGACGTTGACTACTGCAAAACTCAAATCCAATGACTGCAGCCATTTCAGTACTTCCCTAGGAAGCCGTACCCGCGGCTCAGAGCCATCGACGGGGCCGCCCGGAAACAGCGCTACCCCCCTAGATGTTGACGAGGCCATCTTTACCTTGTACTTGTCGTACTAGGAACCGTAGACGTTAGTAGTCGAAAAGTGGTGTCCTCTTTTCGACGTAGTGCAGAAGCTTCTTTGAACAGCAATTGCGTCTCCGCGTGTGGTTGCCTCCTCGCTGTAGAGCCTATCCCAGTCAGGCTGCGAATCGACAATTAGCGTTTCTGCGAAGATGCAGTGGCGATGGAAATTATTCGGCCTCGAGTTTATCGTGTTCACCTTTGGTCTTTCGTTCCTTGAAGCAGACACACCACTTCGTCTAATGACCACCCGGCCGTCCGCAAGGCGACCGAGCACGCAGCACGCTGCCTGTTCTTGTCTCTCCTCTGTTGCGGCTGCAAGTCGTGGCAGTGGCGTTAGGGGACCTTTTCTATGTAGAACTAGAAGTTCCGTTGATGAAGTGGTCAACAAGACAGTAAAGAGTTAATATGCTTGTCCTCTTTCTACTTCTTTGTCTTCTTGCTCACTCGCATGATCTTTGCGATGCCCCGGTAAGAAACGTTCGATATCGCCCCAGACGCTAGATGGTACGGCAGCAGGTAGCCCGGGCTCGTAATCGCACGTTCACAACAGCGGTGCCAACTGGACTGTGGCTTACTTGCTTCTAACCGAATTCGGTACGTTGTCAGTCGCTCTGCCTTCGCGCCACAAGGACACTCCGCTCGTCCTCTCGTCACTTCTGCTGATCTTCGTCTTCGGTCCTCCCTCCAAAGGTGGTAAATTATGTGGACTTAAAATGCTTGAAGACGTCCTTCGGAGAGGAAATAGATTCCGATCTTCACTTGAGGACCCCGGTCCTCCTGATTCCCAACGGCTATACGTCTGAACGGACTTCAATGCTATCCGTCCCGATACAGCACTCGTGCCAGAAAATGGCAGTCATTTTCCGTCGATGTTGTCGGAGAAGCGACAACGCTTGCTCCTTCTCATGCCTCTTTACTGGTAAAAAGCGCCGGGCGCTGGAAGCGTGCTCGGTCCTATCGGTGAGGCATGGAGGTATGAATTGCTAAATGAGTCAGTAGTTGTGCCCTTCACCGCAGCCTACCACACACTGCTGGCGCGCTAAGAAAAAAAGCAAGATCTCTATCATGGTGCCTTTCACTTCAATTGAGATGGTTTCAGCTAGCTTTTTTTCACGCACTTTGAGGCAAATTTCGACAGCGATCGTCTCTGCGAGCATCGGATGCGACCACGACGAGTTTTTTCAACGAAATCGCGGATTTTTCTCAGCGAGAAGCCGTTATGTCCGTTCCATCAGACTCTTTCTTCGCGTGTGGGTATGCGTCATGGAGGCCTCAAAGCGATGCAGAGCTGAGCAGCTTGGATGAGCAGTTGCTATATGTAATTTAACATTTGTCAGTACAGTAACAGTAGTTCTGATTCTGAACTAGCCCAAACAAAGAAAGTCATCACTTTCACTTTTATCATTCACCGAGGAGCGCGATGTATGAAGATACCGGAACTATTGTCGGCGTTCATTCATGACGATAAGACTTCAAGAATTGTAGGGCGATCTATGTGCCGTTTCAGCTCACGGGGGATGACATAACGTTTTTGCGATAGGCGTGATCTTTAGAAGAAGGTTTTTTAACAAGGTAGGATCAAAGAGACTAATTTCCACTGCTGCACTACATGCTGCGTTAATATTTCAACTTCTTTCCACCATTACTGTTATCCTTATCGGAAGTAGAAAAATTTATCCATGAACTGAGATGTATACGGAGAAGCATAACTCGTTTTGCGTACGACGCTAGCTGATCTTTCAAGTGGTTCATTCTTTATGCTGCCTATGGATCGAATCAACTCTATCATGCTAGAACCACTTTCGACCTCTGTTCAAAAACCGCGGAAGTTTGTGTCGTTGTGTTATTCAGCTGAGTGAGCAACTGGAGCTAGAGCGACAGAGAAGCATGACTCATGCAGCTAGCCTAGAAGTATTTCAGATGATTTCGATTTTAATTGATAGCAAGTATGTGTACGTGTAGCTGGTAATGCTTATTGACATTGTAATTGATTGACATAATCCATGGTAAGAAGGTTTCCTGGTGCGTTCATTTATTTCTTGCACGGGCTATCTGCATTTTCTGACTGGTCAAAGTCTAATTGATGAAGAAGCCAGTGTCAATGCTGGTATAGGACGATATTCTAAGTCAGCATGAGTCTTTTGAAGCTTAATAGCCAATGGAAAGTGTAATGCTACTAGTGAATGTTGTTAATATCGTACCTCTACCTCGCATTCAATTGTAATGTTTAGATTTTGATGGTTGTTTTTGTTTTTGACATCTTCTTGACTATATTCTCTAATACTCTACGCCTTGTGGAAACGTCGAATTCGAACAAGCATGATCCAGCACCTCTTTTTGCTCAGCTTATTTTCGACGAATCAAGACTCCTTCTTCCAACTCCGCCGGATCGAAGTCGCCTAATGGCTCCGCCAACAACTTTTTCACCAGTTCCGGGGGCACCTTCTTCCCGTCTTCAAAGTTACCCCTCAAATCCAACACTGCCAAGGCAGCGGAGGCAGCCGCTGCGTAAACCAGGGCCGTAAATGCTTCCTCTGACCGTACTGCGATCTCGTTGTTGCAGAGGCACAACAGCTGTATCGTCGGGTGCATCGCGACCATTTCTGCAAACCGCAAGGCCCCGAGCTCTCGAACACGATTGTAGCCGAGGTCAATCGAAAGAATTTGCAGCAGTGAGGTCTCGACCTGAACGAATGTGAAAAACAAGTGAGCAGCGTCGTGAGTAGCTGGATTTCTTTTCGAGCGAAATCAGCGGATTAGTGCAGAACTTCTAAATAAAAGCAGAACTGTTTTCGTCGCTGCAAAACAGGAGTAGTTTTATGGGGTAGAAAATATCAAATAACTCCTTTAAATAGATGTATACTATGTATAACATACTTAGCCGGATGCCACATCATTAGTACCTCTGACGCGTGCAGTTCGCTCCCACCAATCGACTCCGCTAGCGTTATCGCGCCCGTTTCTGTAATGTTGTTTTCTGAGAGATTTAATGACGACAGCCGTGGCAGCGACTGCATCGCGTAAGCTATTGAAACCGCACTTATATCGCTGATTTGGTTCGCTTGTACAGAGATGTGAACGACGGTGGAGCCGCATTTCACCAGTGATGTAAAGAGATCCACGACACCCGTATCGCCAAGACTATTATTGGCAAGATTGAGATGCGTAAGGGATGCAAGGTCGATGGCGTTGCTGAACACATTATCCGTTGCAGAAAGGGGTCCGAGGCTAAGTGGGGAGTTCGACAAAAACAAATGCTGGATGTCGAGGGAGGACACAGTTCCGAGCAAATCGGCAATGACCTTGGAGTCGACACTCGGAAAACTGATTCGGTTTTTCGTGAGAACGTCGGAGTAAACGTCATTGTGGAACAGATGCACGTCGTCTGTACCGTAGAGCGTTCGGAAGCAATCGTGCATCCGTTGACTATTGATGTTGTTGACATACAAGGGCTTCGCGGCTGTTGAACTACTCGATGGCGTTGCGCCGCTCTCGCTTGGCCGCTTAGCACCTTCTTCGTCACCACCTAGACTTGAGGTTGTTGAACCGCGGCCGCCATTGGCCGCTTTCTCCCTGGCGAGCCGATTGCGCCGTCTTTTCACCAGTTTTTCGACTAGGTGCCTGAAAATACCGGATGGGCCGTCGGTGTTAACGTGCACAGTCTTGGTGATAGCCTTCACCGTGGTCTCCATATCTTGCTGGTTCTGCATGAGCAGGATAGTGCCGTCGTCCTGGATGTGCATGCCTTGCTCTGCTGGTATCTTGGGGATGACACTTAACTGCAGCTTCATGCTAACTGGGCATGCGCGGAAAAATCGCACCACCTCCTGCAGCTCGCGTTGGAGCTTGGTGCTGAAATAGATGTTGAACAAGAGCGATGAAGGTGAACATGAACTGTCGGTGTCGCCGAGAAATATCATCATGCAACAAACAAATCTGAATCATAATTTATAAATATTGTCAACGAGGATATTTCTTTCTGGCTTGTTTCAAAATCAATGGCTTTGATCATTCAAGAACAGCTCCCTTCAGCATACTCATGATTTCTAGAAAAGCTTTCATCTATCCATCTACTCATATATACATAGTATCCAAAAAATGTAGTACGCCACGAATATTGGCTGGGTGAAGGGCGAGTTGTTCGTTGATGGTGACCTGGCTACATCTAATCTGCGTTGCTTCAACATCGCTGAGTATGCATCGACGTCTGCTGGCACCTCCATCTTCGACGACACCAACATGTGGACGTGGCAGTGTGGTATTGCGGGAAAAGTGTGCAAGACGTGGGCGAAATAGTGCGCATCGCACTCGGATAGTATCGTTGTGTCTAAGGGAGTGAGAAAGAGCAGATAGACGCTGTAGATGTGCAGTGAAATAGAATCCGATTCCGAATCATGTGCAACTTAACACAAGAAAGTTGATTGTGAAACTAGTGGTAGTGGCTGTTGTCGTGGTAGCAAGTACTAGTTGTTGATGTAGCTGTGCTCAAATAAAATGTTGGCAAGTCTTCAGCATTTGTAAGTACTTAGTTCTAGTTGTAGAATATACCAACGGCCTGGTCAATATCCACCCTAATCACCGCTGGTGGCAGCGGCTTTCCCTGAGCCGTGGCTTCCGACAGTGCACCAATGTCAATGCCGTTGAGGATGGTCAAATTTTTGAGGCCTGCGTCGCTATCTTGTCGGGATCCACGGGCCTCGCCAAAGCTAGTCAGGGCAATCTTCGTCCTGAGGAGCTGGTAGAGCTCAAAAGCCGACCGCGACCGAAGTTTTGGACAATACCGCACAGAGAGTCTTCTTAGTGTCGGACAGGCCTGCTCAACCGACAGCTGCTTGCAAAGTACTGCTACGGCAGCGTCCGTCAACGAAGGATTCCTCGAGAGGTTGAGGTCGGTCAGCTGAGGCAACGACCGGGCCTTTGGCGCTGAGTCAGGACCAGGAGTAAAACACTTGAGCAGACCGCAGATTCCGCGGACGCCAACGTCGGTCAACGTATGGCCTTCGAGGTTCACGGGTTGCGTGCTAGGTTCTGGCCAGACTACATGTGGCCATAGTTTGAGGCGCGAGAGAAGGCCAAGCGAGAAATCGTTCCACACAATGTCGCCTGCGAGTATTGCGCCTTTGCCACCGCCGCCGACAGTGGATTTCTTCTCCTCTAGCAAACGGCCTAATGGGATGCCGTTGACGCTGCGCAGCCTGCCAGCTATCTCTGAGACCGCCGACAAAAGCAGATTTGCGCCTCGGTTGCTGCGTTATAAAAAAGGAAAGAAAATTCCACATCTAAGCAGGCACAAAATGTATTTGTATCGTCAACGAATTCAAACATTTAGATTAATAGTTCGTAAACGGATAATGAGGGCGTCAATTCGATTAAGTGCCACAGAGTTACTTTTAAATCAGTAAGGTAATACCTGAGTTTCATGTCTGTGAAGTCTAGATTTTCTAAAGCCGGGAGCGCGAGAAGTGCGTCGCAAATGTATGCTAAGGTCGCGTCGCTCACTGCGTGCTCTCGGAGTCGAATTGAGCTTAAAGACGGAAAGTTCGTCTCTGTGACCAATGACGCAAAGAGGTAGCCGTCACCCTCATCCAGCTCTACGTGCGTTGATGAGAATGCTGTGGCGCAGTAGATGCAATTCTCATCGGTCTCCCCTGACTCTTCCTCCTCCATTTCGGCTAGGGATGGAATCGGAATTCCATGATGGTCGAACCTCAACTCTGCCATCTTTTGCGCTTCGTCTATGACAACTGGAATCTGGTTCAGTGTTAGCAATGTCGTGTTCTTCTCGAGAAGGGAAATGATGAAAAGGCAATCGTTCTTGTCCAATCCGTTGCCACGAAGATCCAGCGAAGTGATCGTCTGTGACGTCAGCAGCGACTCCAAGCAGGTCCTTGTGAAGGTTGAGAACAAGCCAAGGTAGTACATCACCCTTTCCTCGGAAGGAGTGTTGAACTTGAAGATGACTGCTACTGGATGATAACCCATAACTAAGTGCGAGGACCTCCGACCGTCAACGCGACGAATATTCAGAGCAGTCAGAATGCACTGGGAATCACTTCTAAGTACCTTAGAAATCCGCCTTGAAAGTTTTCTGTCCCTGCTGCTGCCCTTTCCATTATTGAGTCCGTTCCTAGTTGTACTCCGGTTGTGTCCCAGTGAAACTGTGCGACCTCTGCTGGGTCGAACGATGAACCGTCAAAGTCCATTTCTGCCACCGTCTCCATGCCTCCGCACGGAAGATCATCGTTCAAATATTGCCCGGGTCGCAGTGTGCATCGACCCGTGTTTGCCCACAGTGTTCGGCTAGTTGCGGGCCACTCGTCGCACCGCACGTCTGCGATGAGACGCTTGAGACCAACCATACAAAGCGAAACTTTGCGCAAGTTCAGTGATGTGTCTGTTATTGGAAGCTCGAAGGCAAGGGGGGTCTGACCACCTAAGTCGTCTGGGTAATACTGGCCTTTGTCCCACTTTCCACCACTGGATTCTGGAAAGTAATACTCTTTCGGAGATGTTACACAAGGCACATACACTTGGGGGTCGTATGTCTCGCCCTGAGATTGTTTCAAGAGGTAGACCACATAAGACTCAATTTGTTGAAGCAATGATTCCTACTCCGTCGACGTCCTTGTTGTACCTACGTACACCTAGAAGTAGTACTAGTTGTACACAACATAACTTAATTATTACGACTACGAGGTCGACGAGGACATTAATAACGCGTGTATTCGTTCTTGAGCTTAGAACATGTTCCTGTTTAAGCCTACCTGTGCCCATCCGTCCACACTGACTGCACCTACTGCGCTAGCGAATTCCGTTAGCGTCATGCCGACCAAGTCTTCTTTGGAAAGCGTTCCTACAGAGGATGTGAGTATCGAAAAAGCTTCTGGACTTTGTGTCCCGATAGCCTGCTGCAACTTTAGAAGCTGGTCCCGTTGCTCCTCCGAGAATAGCTTCGGTATCCTTCGCTCTCGCAACCACTTGCGGTCTATGCGGATTCTGATGATCACGATCGAGATCATGATAGATGGATGGGAGTAGAAAAGTAAATCGTAATTATGAAAATCGTCAACAATCATGCACTGGTATAAAGACGAGGACTTCTATACAGTAATCACGCCGTCTACCTCTCCTGGTGGATAAACAAACAAAACGAGGATCAGATAAGTGGTAAGCGTGAGATGAGAGCCGAGAAATACGAGAATGGTATGAAGTTACTATTTATTAAGTCTAAGATGATCTGAGGTTTGCATTCTGTCAATACAGAAAGTATCTGTATTAATACGCGGCATCATAATATCTCTACTCAAAGACGAGGATCAAAAAAAATTATAAGATAGAGTCGAGAGAACGAGAAGTTATTTATACTGTTCTATTTGCTGTTTGCTTTCTGCGTCCGTGTAGGCGTTCACCAGGATTTCCAGCAGTGTTTCGACGCGCTCTAACCCAAACTCCTTGATGTTTGGCAGGACCTTGCAACACTCTATAATTTCAGGCGCAGTTGTTTGACTCTTGAGCCGGAGTGTATGGACAAAAGGCGGAATGCTCTTGTTCCCTTCGCTTTCTATCAGATATTGAGCCAGTTCCTGCTGAGTTGCATCGACATGCAGAGCCTTATCGTCGAGAAAGTGCACATCTATGTTGTAAACCAGTTTATCGACCAGGCGAAAGCAGTCGAAGATGAAGGGTAACTTGAGATCGACTCGTCCACATGTGAGCGAAAGAACGATCTGAGTCGTGTCCTCGTCCTCAGTGGTGTCTCCTAGTTGGCAAACGACACCAGGGCAGCACTCGAGCAGCTGTTGGGTTTGATATGAAATGGTAGAAGTCGAGGACATCTGGTTCTGGTAAAACTTCTGACACAACATCTTGATCTAGATAAGTTCACGCTGTCTCACTCCTCGATCGTGGTCGTCAATACTAGAAGAGAGTAGTTCAACTGCACGTTGTACCACGGTATGAAGATGAACCTCCATCATAATTATAATCACAACGCGCTTACCAACAAAAACGCCCGTTCCGCTGAGTCTGCGTCGTAATTTGAGACATGCACGTTGCCGAAGACATCCAAGTTCGGCACCTCGCTCAAAAAACTGTGCAAAACCTGCCAATGCTTCCTATATATGGTCAGCTTGTCCCGGATCCAAGCCGGTAATCTGCCATCGCTCGCCCAGTCCGGAGGGACCTCGGATATTGTTGCGGCCGCGTAGCCGGGAAGCTTCAAGTCCCTCAAGCTCCTTGACGATCGCAGATGTCGCATAATCTGGACGGCTAGTCCGTCCATGCTTGGCGGAATCGCCAAGTTTACTTTCGTAAGGATGTTGCGGCACTCATGCAAGCAGTTGTTAAGAGCAGGGCAAAAGCTCACGGGGTACGGTGTCACAGAGGGATACTCGTTTGCAAAATTCGTCTTCGCACCACCATACTTGAAGTCGGTCTTTGAACTCGGGCAGAGAACCTGCAGCTCATGTCAGTTTAACCACCATCATGCCGCTTTAGGAAATAAAAGATGCGTCGGGGTCTTTTTCAGATAAACGTCAACCTCTCCTTCAGCATCAAATTGGCAAAAAAACAAAAAGGCAGAAGAAAGCTAATGCAGTAAATCAATGTTATTGCTAAGATCATTAACAATTTTCGGTAAGCGTACCGCTAGCAGCCAAAAATAGAGGGATATTTCTGACTTCATGGAGGAGGCAAAAATTCGGTCTGTATTGACGTCGGCCATTGCGTCGTTTCTCATGGCGCTGACTTTGAGAGGCGTGACACCGAACGACTGCAGCTTCGGATGCTTCGCTATTGAAACTGCCAGACTATGCATCACCACTTGCTTTTCCTTCTGAATCCCGAGACACGCTCGTGTCGGAAAACTCGCTTGTTCTAGCCCTACATTCTGCCCGAGTGCTTTCGCCATGAGTGAGACCCCCTCTAGATCGAGCGGAACGCCATCGAGCTTGAGCCTTAGTAGTGTTTTGCTATTGAGGATGTAGCGATGCAACTTGCGAACGCCTTCGCCGGTGAAGTGATTGTTACTAAGATTCAATTCGGTTGTGCAATCGTGTCGCAGAAGCCACTCTTCGAGGAAAACGACGTCGTCATCGTCAATCCCAGTCTTGGCTAAATTAACTTCGGTAAGCTGGTTTTTCCGAAACAACCTAAAATCAATGCCTGTTCGCTCCTTCTTTCGTATGCCCATGCTATTTACCTGAAAGGAGGCGCACAAGAAAAAATATGAATAATTTGGTGATAGATGTGCAAAAAGTAATAATTAGATTAAGCATGAGCGAATAGTGAAGCATTTTTTGTTGTACTTGACTTCGCAAACAAAAAGAGGACTTAGATCCAAGTAGGTTGACGTTGTACACTCCTTATCTGGCAGTTTGTGTTTCCGATCATCGACTGTGCCAGGGCTTTCGCTCCGTCTTTTTCTACTTGGTTCCGCCTGAAAGATATGGTTTTGAGGCTACTATTCAACCGCAAGAAATGTGCTAGAAAAATCGCACCCACGACTTCGATCCCGTACAGGCCAGAGTGCATTTCGAAACCGGCCAGGTTCAAGTGCTCTATGGCATTATCCCGAACGGCACGGGTATTCACACCGTTGCAAAACTCGAGTTGCAGGTAGCGCTTTTTCATGGCTTTGATCAAGCGCCAACCGAAGGTGGCGTCAAGATTGTTCCCCCTCAAATCGAGGTAGGTCACCGTGTTCAAGGACAATACTAGGGAATAAATCGCGGCTTGCTGCAGACGGGAACCAAGTAAGTTAACCCGCTGGAACTCCATCGGCGTGTCGCCTGACAAAATAAAGGTGTTGAAGATGTTCAGCGAGAGGATAACGCCAGAATAGTGGATCACCATTGCGATCCATTATCGAAGTTGAGTTTGAGATAAGGAAATTATACAACGTACTAGCCTCAAGTAAGTAGTTTTTTAGTGCACGACGTACTGATAACCCAGAACAAAATACTGGTGCAACTAGTAGGTAAATCTGTACCGAATGACAAATCAAGCGACACATCTCGTGCTCGAATAACAGGTTCTTGATCATCTTTCTCCTCCTCCTTCCCGAACAATGCGGGGGTTTCGGGAGATGATAGGCTATTCTGCGTCTCCATGGTTGCGCTGCGCTGTTTCTGGTTCTCAACTACTCCATATGGACGCTACTGTGTGGATCATCCACGAAGATGACTGATTCGGGTTTTTGTCGCTGGAGGTAGAGGTTAAGAGGGTAGAAGTCCTAGTCGTGTGGTTCGCAAACTGCGGAGTCAACAGAAGTGTAGACCATATTCCAATGTAACTTTTCTTGCTCGTCTTTCTGCGGTCCCCACCTTTTCATTTGCCTTTCACGAGGTCTTCCGAAGCAGGCAATATCAGGAAGTCTTCTTCTCGTTGCGTGCCTTGGAGCGGCAAGAGCTGTCTGAGAAGCGTTGCGTTATTTTTAGGTCCGGGAAACCGGCCTGGGTCTTCACGGAGCGAGACCCGGTTGGAGAAAAGTTTCCTTTCTCAACTCAACTGCTTCTTCTTTCTGCGATTGGCCTTCCTCAAGTTGAGAACAGTGCGTCGGCGCAAAATCATGAACGTTGTTATCGTTGGCTACGAGAAACAAAGTAGGCGAATAACCTCGAGAAGCTGGAGCTCAATGGCGCTAATTCGACAAAGCACATGACCAGCACAGCACCGACTCCTTTCGGCTTCGTCGAAAATTTGATTCCACGACCTGTGTGCTCCTGTACTCACTGGCGTCACTGACACAGTTGTCCTCACACACGACGTAAGAACTTCATTTCACCTGAAAACATACACATAAACTGCAGCTGCCGTAGCTCGTTCTTCTAATATTTATGTTGATACGTGCGAAAACATGAAAGAGTGTTTGTTTGTTGAAGAATGCAAAATCGGGTTGATGAGCCTTGGAGTTTTCGGGGATATAGAAGGGATCATAGTACGACTACAAGAACGGAAAACTTCCGAACTACAGTCAAACGCCGAAGCTTTCGGGCACGAGAGGACCTCCGACATCAATAGTTTATCTCAGGTGGAACTTTAAGAACCACGAACAGGGTCGACGGAACTAAAATCTCTGGACGTGGACAGACATTGACATGATCGATGATGTTGTTTCTAACTCCGTTATCTCGATTCGAAACGAGCCGACGCCATGACGTTTATTCTTTATCCGAGATTCGAGCCTCCGATACTTTCTCCCACAATCTCAGTGCGGCTCCCGGCAGGGCATAACAAGATGATGACTGGACCGAGTAAGACGACCGGTTCGCCTTTTGTGTTTTTCCTTCGACTCGCACAGTCCACTGAGCCAGCCGCCGTAAATTCTAGAAACACATAATGCTTCCCGGACCTTGTTTACCAAACCCGAAGCTGTTGAGGTGTACCCCGAGTATGTGTTGATTCGCGTTTGCAAATTCTGTGCATGAACCATTTAGTTGATGTCTTGCGTTAAGTCTCAACTAATTTCTTGTTCTCTTTTTCGCAATTGTGTCATGAGAACTATACAATCTCGTCCTTGTTATAAGAACTATACAAATCAATGTTGGTAAGCAGTCAGATCATAAGAAAGCATTTAATTACTGTTGCATTGACTTTTTGCATTGACTTGACAGACTAGGTTTCAATGATCATATTACTGAATGAAATGCTCGCGCCGTATCGTTGTTACTCGTAACTCCTCGTATCGATATCAATATCCCATACTCTTGTTCGTAATCGTACTATAAACGGCGATGAAGATAAATTTGATTCTATGAAAAGACAAACTGCCTTTGGATACAATTCCCAAACCCAAAAAAGCCAGAACTTTCTGGCTTTTTTCGCTTTTCTTCTGGCTTTTTTCGCTTTTCTTCTGGCTTTTTTGGCTTTTCGGGCGTTTTTCGTGCCTTGGCGTTTGAATCAAAATCGTGCCAAAACCCAAAAAAGCCAGAAAAGTCGTGCTTTTTTGGCAATTTTCTGGCATTTCGCGGGCTTTTTTTGTTTTTTTGGGACACAATCCGACGAAAAAACAGAAAAAACCGGCGAAAAAGCTGGGCTCGCCATCTTTTTTGCCCTTTCGCACGATTTCGACTAAGACACCAAAAAGCCAAAAAAGCTCGAAAATTCTGGCTTTTTTGGGTTTGGGAATTGTATCCAAAGGCAGTTTGTCTTTTCATATTTGATTCTGCCTCCTGATATATTTATATGCACTGTAATTTGTTGTATCCGGATCAGATTGAAAAACTAAAGTTGTGAATGTGACAGACTGTAATTGTGTTCCACACGGCTGACGAATGATTCATATAACTCAACAATGTGCACTGTTTTTCACTCGTAGTTCAGCAGCTCCATCAATTCCTACTTAATCGTCATCTATGCCTTTCTCGTCTACCCCCATGAAAGGTGGGTTGCAATTATTCTTGACATGGAGTTTAAAAATTCGTTATGATCAGACAGAAAATAGATATGAAAGAATCAGTATGCACAGTATGTAAGTGGTTCTTCGACATTCATTTCGTTCCTTCACCCAATCCCTGTTCGCACTCCAACGAATCTTCAGATCAGTTCCGTCATGATTAGATATTCTCTTCGTGCGGTCGTTGTTGTTCGGGACTGAGACCCGCTGGCCTCTGTTGCTCCGGACTCTCCCTGTCTATCTGGGCACCTAGTGGCGGTGACGCGTGCTCTGGGTCAGCTGCATTTACCGGCGGAGGTGGTGACTCGGGTGCGAATTGCTCCCGATGTTGCGGCGGTGGTGGTCCGCCGCGCGGCGACGCGGTCGACGTTAAAAGACCACTCCTGGGTGTGGTGTTCGAACTACTACTAGCACCTCCACGCAGGTCAACTGAGGAAATCTTCGGTGAAGAGCCAAAAGCGACCATGCCGCCAGGTGCTCGCGGTGTGTGTTCGAGACTGCTCGTGCCTGGCGATCCAGAGTTAGAGCTGACCACATTACCGGTCATCGGAACGCCGCTTCCTGACGAAAACCCGGTCACTGCAGTGAACGCAGTATTCTTTACGTGCGTGCGCGTGGCTGGCTTCACGTCGACCACAGCACTGCTCCCTCTATCACGGATTGAAGATGGTGCCGGTGAGCCCCTCAAGGACGAGTTGTTGTAGTTGCGGAAGCTGAGGGATCCTGCAGAAGAAAACATGCCTCCACCAGGAACACTGCCGCCACTGGTCCTAGTGGTTGACGCGGCAGCTTTCATCGAGCTCATGATTTCCTCGACAGTAAAAACATGACTCTCCCGGTCCGCTCCATGGATAGACGCCTTGCTTCGCTTCTCGCGTTCCTCGACGTTCTTAGGGCTTTCTTCAACATCACTCGCCTTGCGAGGACTTTTCATTTTCTTGTCTTCCTTCTTGTCTTTGCCTTTCTTCTCCTTCCTGTCTTTCTTGCTTTTACGCCGGTCCGAACCCTCAGCGTCGCTGCCAGACGGCGGCGCAGACGAGTCGGAAAGAGCAGATGCGTCGCGTGGTCTAGGAGCTCCCTCTACACTGAGCAGTGGACGTGAGGGCGCTTTTGCCTCTTTCTTGTCCTTCTCTTTTTTCTCCTTCTTGTCCTTCTTTGATGAGCGAGGCGTGGTGTCCTCTCCCGCACTGCTTGGGGGCACGTCTGACGCTTCCCCTTCCGCACGCCGTTTTCTCGAAGACGAGGGGCTCTCCTCAGCGTCACTTTTGTCGTCACTCTTCCGAGCCTTTTTATCAGAAGACTCTTTCTTCTTTTTCTTCTTCTCATCGACATCCTGTTCACTGCCGCGTTCCCGGGGACTGTTCTTTTCGTCTTTCTTCTTCTTCTCTTTTTTGTCCTTCTTTGACGATCTGTTCCTTCCTTCTGCGTCGCTTGCGCCACTGGCTAGGTCCTCCCCTCCACTACTAGGTGGGCCCAAGGAGTTGGGGTCCGTGTTCCTTTCGCGTTTCCGCTTCTTCTTTTTACCATCCCCATCGGAATCGCTACCTCCGCGACTCGGAGCTCTGGAAGAACTCTTCTTATCTTTCTTGCCCTTCTTGCTCTCTTTCTTGTTACTACTTCTGGAAGATGGAGTACGTTCTCCTAACAGTTCGTCGTTCACGTTCCCCGGCGAGATGTCATGCTCTGATCCACTTGCGCGCAATAGCCGAATCGCATACGATTGCTCCTTCTCCTGCATTGCCCTTTCGGCCGCTGCGCGGGACTCCGCAGCCTCCCGCTCCGCCACCTCAGCGGCTTGACGGGCCGCTGCCTGAGCTGCGCGATGCTCGGCCTCCTCCCGGTCACGCGCCTCCTGAGCCGTGCGTCGAATCCGCTCTTGGGCCTCTTTAGCAATGACCCTACGATCCAAGTGATCCACGTAACTACGGAGAATGTCGGGCTCGTGTTCCTTCTGGTGGATACGGTAAACCGAGGTCGCTTGTGCATAGTGAGGCAAACCATTTGCATCAGGCGCCGCAAGGGGCTCCGGAGGATGACCTGGTTGATGTTATTTTTGTAAATAGAGATCCAGACGATCTCCACTTTGAGGCTTCTAATTATTTCTATTTCAGAATCTTGTACTTCTACATCTACTTTCCTGTTCTCCGAAAATTTCTCCGTGGTCTGCCAAAAAGTAAAACTAAAATGTGTCGACACTCTTTCTGTTTGTCTTTCTTACGTAAGAGAAACTGAAAAAGGAAATCGAAGTGAACATCAACTACTAACAAAGACATAGACTGTATAAATATGTGTTACCTCGCTGCTCCTCAATTCGCCTTCTCAAATACTTGGGTAGGACAGGACCGCTCACGCGAGGCTTAAAGGTACACTCAACGCGCATAGTCGCTTCTTGAGCTTGCTGAGCTCCTTCGAGTCTGAGGTGGTATTGGAGTCGTAGTGTTTTGATTGATGATTCTGATTTTTGTCATTGCCATTGTTCGTAGTATGAATGTTGTTGAATCACTTTTGGATCCATGTAGTCTTCGTTTTCGTCCCGTCAACAATCTAAACTTAATTATAGATGACAAAGCCAACTTCTTGGTGATGAACTTTCTATTTATATCTACGCAGAGCTCGCACTCGTAGCCGTAGACGCAGTCAGTGGATAAGATTTTTCTAGCTTAAGAATTAGCCAAGAACAAGTACTTTTGCTTTCTCGCGACGAGATCCTCAACCTGACGCCGAAAGAAATCTTCGTAGTGAGCCTCGATTGCTTCTGTCGGTTGGAGCATGCGTTCTCGCTTTTGTTCTTGTTCTTCCTCAATTTTTTGCTTTTCTAACATAGCAGCGTCATTTTTACGCCGCTCCAGTTCTTTCTCAATCCAGTTTTGGGTTTGTGCTTCAATTGACGTATGGTTATCTCCAATAATCATCACACTGGCCTCGGTAATGTGCTTCATATTCGCCTGCTCGTTCAACTGCTCTTCGAAAATACGATTTTCCTCTTCCCGTAACCTGGAGGAAAGTGATGTTGCCAACAAAATATCAATAAAGGAAGATCAACAACAGCAACAAAAACAATAGAAGAAGTAGTACAATCAACTATGACATCGAGATAAAACGTAAACGATTGATCGAGATGATTAGATAGATACCGTTTTCTTTCTTCCATGCGCTTGAGGTGATTATCTCGTTGCAGGTCAAGCCAGTCCTTTCCCGAGACTACTTTGGTGTGAAGAGGCGATGTCCTGACGAGAGGCTGAAAGGTTAGTTCAGGGTTTGAAAAGTCCGTTCGACGGTTGTGAACTGCAATAACGCTCTTCTTCAAGCCGTAGCTGGAATAGTCGACGACAGATCCACCCCTACGTGCGTTTGGAGAAGCTCCTTTCTTCGGATCCGTTCGTAATTCCTCCAGACTGCGCGGCTGCGTGGCTCCTGAACTTGGTGATTGGGAACTGGTGATTTTGCTTCCCACGGTGCTCCGCGGCGCGGCGGAACCAGGAGGACCGGCTGTCTTTCGCGGCGCGGCTTTCGGGCCGCCGCTCTGGCTGCGACGCGAACTTGGTGAGAAGGACACCCGTTCCATACCGCCTTTACTGGACGCAGGTAGCGATTGTCGTCGAGTAAGCAATCCACGAGCATGCTCCTGCAGTCGCGCAGTCGGGCTTCCTGCAGCTCCGCCACGAGGATAAAAGTGGTCTGCTCCCTGCGCTGCAGGCGACTCCACCAGTGGACCCGCCAGCGCTTGCTGCTTCACCCAGCCATGTTGTTCGTGGTGATGACCCGCCGAGCCTGATCCGTGCAAGATGGCACGCCTGGGACTGGTGGCGTCCTTAGCTCCTTGTCGCTCTTTTCGTTTAGCATATTGCAAGTTGGCGCTCGTAAAAGTTACCAGGCGAATGGCTATTTGGTGCAATTTTTCGAGATCCGAGCTCGTAGCCACGCCGGCGCCCACCTTATCGGATATCCAACCCAAGTTCTTCGATCCCAACAAATGGGCAGCGCCATGTGCGCCCTCGCCGCTGCCAATGGTATTCTCAATTGTCAAGGTCGCGGTTGCTAGATCTAGATCCTGCGCGAAATTTCCTGCCCGCTTGCGGACTTGCCTGGGACCAGTAGGGCCACCGCGACTGTCCGACATTGTTGTCATTCTTGTCGTCAGGCTCAGGCTTTGAGCTTAACAAAAACAACTCGTGGCCAAATGAACGACCAGAAAGAGAAACTCGTGGTATGAGAGTAGTTGCAGCGGGGACAAAAGGAGACTTCGAACTCGCAGTGCGATGGATTCGCAAATTTCTATTTCGCTACGTATGCTGTTGCTGTTTAGCGGCTCGAGGACGGGCTTCCTCTGATACAAAAGCGACCTCGATGCTACGACTGATGTCACTAGGGATACTAGATACTACTAAGAATTGGAAAGGTTTTTTGTCGCGGTGCTTTCCACGGCCAACTCAGGAAATGGAATCCACGACGCTGTAGGAGTGAAGTATTGTTCTGACTCGGAGCACGAAGATAGAGGAAGTAGAACTAGGAGGACGAAATCGAAATGGTGGTCGTGTTACCTCCTTGCTTGGGATGAACGAAGCTGAATCACTACGTTGTTGGGTGAAGGTCTTTTTGGTTGATGTTCTGCTCAAGAACAGGTTGTGTGGAAGATGTTGTAGATCATAGATCAAGAAGATGTTCAAACCTTCGCACTAGTGAAAAGATGATCAGATGAAGTCCATCTGAATAGAAGTTCTGCAAAATAGTTTGTTCCTATTTCGACGTTTTGATTTTCTTGTCTTTTCTCGTATACTATTGTTTTTGACGAAATAGCTCTAGTGCGTCAGCTTCTTGATGAAGAGTGTCGCAGGATTACAACTCGTCCACGCGGGCAGTCTGGGAAGCTTGCGTCGCGTCTTGGTCTTGTGGCAGCTCTGCTACGGGAAGATCTTCGGAAGCCAGCACGTCCGTATCCTGGTCGTTCAAGCTCGTCGCTGGTGATTGATGTTCTTCTAAAATTTTTTCTCGTTGACTATTGAAGTCGTCCTGATGAGTCCCTCCTGCTCCTTGACTATCATCTGTATCTTCTATGAAGTCATCAACGTCTTGATAATACTCCTCGTAGTAGTGGTCATCAAGCTGGAGATCGTCAAGATTGGGATCGTGGTCACTACCAGTACCGTAGTTTTCGTGTCCAGCGGAATCGTCTTCGGAAGTATCTGCAGATGCAGGACTAGACAGGTGCTCGGAGGAAAACGTGCCAGAGATGGAGTGAGTAGATGGACTCGAGGAGGGAGATGGGCTGGACGAAGCAGAACTTGTTGTAGAACCTTCTAGAAGATCAAGATCCTCCGGATTTGATGTCGTGCTCCTCGTGGAGGATGCAGATGGGGGAATAAGATCGTCTTCACCGCGTTCCTCAGATGGTACTTCTTCGATATCTTGAGCGCGGCTAGTGGCCGTTACGGTAGTTGATGTCGTCGTCGCTGGACATGTTGCTTCTGTTCCTTTGCCGCTTCCTGATGTGATGGAGTCGATCACCTCGCGAGTGGTCCAAGAGAGTCGCTCCGTTGCCTGCAAAGCGAGGATCTGATCTAGACGGCTGCTCGTTTTCTTCCCCTTTTCTAGCAGCAGCGCTTTGATCGTTGAGGAGGATGTGACGAGCTTTTCTATGTCTTTCAGAGCAGACAAAACCTCTTTCCATGCATCCAGATCCTTCGCGTGAGAACGTGGCTTCCCTTTGTTGGTGTCGCGTACCTCCACAGCGCCGCCCTTAGTGCCCTCGTCGTTACTCCTCTGTTGGTCGTCGTCCACTGAGTCGCTGAAGAACCTCTTAAACGAAGCTTTACTTCTCAGACGCTGCTCTGCGATCGAAAGAAGCTCTTTCAGGTCTTTGTCAAGAGCCGAGTGAGTCCCTCTGCCGGTTTTGGTCGTGTCCTTGTTCGACGAGGCTCTTTTGGATGAAAATGATCTGCAACTTCTTGGTTTCTGACTCCGTCTGGTTCCTTGACGCTTCGTGCGAGAAGAGGCGCCTTCTTTTCCGGCCTCCTCTAGAGAGTCAAAATCCCCTTCGTCTTCGGAAGTTAAGGGCTCGTCTTCTGCAATGTCGCCCCACGGCAGATCCTCATCAGAAGAAGCAGCAGAGTCTCCCTCTTCACCGGTGCAGAGATCCTGCTCCTCCTCGTCTTCAAGATCAAATAGGTCAGCAGACGTGCCAGTCGTGTTTCTGATTCTCCGGCTGAAGATGCTACGACTCCTGGGGTCGGTCGAATCTCCGTATTTTGATGAAGATGCAGCAGAGCTAGAAGAGCCGTTCGAGAAGGAAGAGGAAGTAGACGTCGAGCCACTGCTACTAGTTGTATTCGTCCCCTTGCTTGGTGGAGAATCAAGAGTGAAGAACGTGTACGCCCAATCCTTGATCCACTTCTCGTCCTCGACGAAGATAGAAGAGGTCTTGTTCGACTTCGAAGTTTGGTTTGATTTCGCTGTGCTGTTCTCCCGCCTCTCGCGAACGCGGAAACTGGCTTCGAGGTACCTGTCGAGGTAGTTATGCACGTCCAGAAGCCGCTCCACTTCCCAAGACGAGGCGCTCTGAGACGGCTGCGGTAGATAGGGGTAATTCAACAGCTGCGATAATTGATAACCTGCCTTGTTGTCAAGTTTCAACGTCGCGTATTGTTCGTAGGAGTACGAAGGAGAGGTTGCGATATTTACCCCCGTTACGGTGCCCTCGTAGTGTCGGAGCCCGGCCGCTTGCTCCTCAACGTCTGCTGCCAGAGGAGAAGGAGGTGACGCGCTTGCTCCTGCTGCGCCCCTGCTAGAAGTCGTCGCGTTTCTACGAATAGACGAAAACAAACCACTGCCTCCTCCAGTACTAGATGAAGTAGAAGAAGCAGTGCTTGATTCTGTTGCTGCGCTACTTCCTTTGCTGCTGCTTGAGCTTCGTGAAGCGCTCGACGCACCGGAGGCAGGGCGGCGCAAATCAGGAGCTACACCGCCACTAGAGGCCGCGTTGCGCACAGCTATGAAGTACCCTTTTGGCGGCGCTTTCCAGAATGAGAGGGTCCCGCTATAGATCGACTCGATGACCCACTCGGACAGAAAGATAAAACCGAGCAAGAAGCAGATCAAAGTTCGCAGTACTATTTTCACGAAGTGTAATGCTATTGCGTCTTTCCCTTCCGATTTCCCAGCTCCACTGTTGATGGCTGCAGAAATATTAGGCGGCACTACGCGGGTTCCCGACCCACGCACGACCATCTTTATTGTTCCTGCAACTACAATTCCTGGAAGATGAGATATTCTGACTCTGATAAAAACTTTGTCTGAAAGTATTGCCGGAAATACTAGACGAGGAATAGGAGAAGGAAATTGAAATTATGTCTGGGAGGGCTGAACAAGACGATTGTTCGTCCGACCTAATTTTTTGAGAAAGAGCCATCATTTTGATTTTTGTTGGCGTAATTCAAATGTTTGTCGCCTGAAGATGATGAAGATATGATCGAAAAACATAAAAATCTTACGTCGCATAAGTAATTACGCTGTTGATCATGACGACATAAAGAGCAACCAGGGTTTTTGGAGGTATGATGCGCAACGAAGGGGGAGTTCCCAGAGGTAAGGGAACACGTTTTTTCAATGCGGTCTTACACGAAACGACTCCTCAACAAACATCTGAGGACTTCGCCAAATTAAGAAATCACCTAGTTCTATCACGAAAATAAATTGACCTGTGATTACGTTCATGGTGAGTCGAATTATCTTTATCGAGCACTAGAAGATGATCAAGATGATGAAGATAAAAGTCATGGAGACAGAGGATATCCCTCAAACAGAAGATTCGCTCTACACGACAGACGATGTTGACTATCTCCACTTTCACTCTCTGTTTATCAAACACGATTTCTTTGATGCTCGATATCTTCGACGTTCCCTTGTTGGTGATCTTGTTTTGTATAACACGACACGACCGATTACTCTAAGTTGCAGCACTCAGCAAGCTCATATTTTCGAAAATGCGGTCGCGATGTATATAATACACGATTATTGTTGAAAGCTACCACCCAACACTCAATACGCATCAGACATATCTCAAACCTACGAGTCTGCTCGTAGTTACAGAATCACTGACACTGACTTTTTTTCTCAATATATTCTTTTTTGTTGCATATTTGATTTTGAGCGAGTTTCTCTCACGACAGATATGGAGGAGCAAGAAGATTTTTTCTCTTCGTATTGAAACAGTCACCGCCAATGTTGCTTTTCATGGACGGTCACCGTGCTTTTCAATATCACAGACGCGACTATCCAACGTGGGCTTCAAACTTATTTTGCGCGTTCAGTTGTATACCAAGTGTCTCCTTTGCAACTATATTTGATCATCATCATCATCATGATCATCATGCATAACTTTGCATTTGCTATGATAGATATAGGTTCGACTGAAAAACAAACTGACTTGGACCTGTGCCTGCGACTGCGAGAATTTCGCTCTTCGTGGTCCTCATGTACTTTATTTAACTTAAGTACGATGGTCATCGTGAACAACTTGTTCACTGCATTTTATTTTACTGAAAGATCCCTCGTGACATCATAGATCAATGCATACTACTAGAACTAGTGTTCTTGTTGCAACTGCGAATTCGCCCAACGTCATCTTTATTGTGCGGAACCAGCACGAACTGTTCCGGACGCGAGTGCGACAAGTTCGTCATACGCGTCCAGCGCGTCAGCCGTGATGCCGAATCTTTTGCGACTGTTTCGGCAAACAATGCGCATGGTTAGCGTGTCCATTGCGACGAGTCGGGGTATTTCCTTAACCTCGAAAAGTAACTTGAGACGCGACGCGCATTCTACTTCCCTGTAGGGCACCGCTAGCCAAGGCATCGGCTGAAAAAAGCGCGCAAATGCTAAACTGCTTTCATCGTGCGTTATGTTAGAAGATCATGTGGAAGAAGTAATCAAGAAAAGATGAAGAAGAAAGAGAAGAGGGCCGATCTTCATTTTCATGGCTTGTTTTTAGAAGCTTCACACATAAAGTTAAAGAATGAGTTTCTCACGACCACTTTCACTTGTTAGCGGTTTCATCTACATCTACAACTACTGCCCACGCAACTTTATTGTTAGAGTTAGACTGATGTTTACTTATTGTTAAGTATGTGTATTAGACGGCATAAAAACTAAAACCACTTGCAGCGCACCTTCGCCTCGACACGTATTCACCGTTGAGATTGAGAGAGGAGCCGATGGACTGTCAATGGGCTTGTAATGACTGACGGGTTCTTTATTCACGCAAACGAGAATCGGAAACAAATCTGCTTTTGCTTTTATTGGTAGCTCTTCTTCTTGTTTTCTTTCTGATCATTCATCCAAAAATCGGTATCCATTTCTTTGCTACTTCCCGTAGAAAGAAATCAAAGCCCGAAGATTGACATCGATTTCAATCGGTTTGATGTGAAAGAACACATTTTTATACATAGTTAGTCATGTAGGGATCGCCCTTGTCGTTGTCTTCGTTTATTCCATAAATTGTAATGGTCGATGAGCTGTGCGGCAAAATGTTGGCTAATCGGGTCCCAGCCAGCTGCGAAGAAAAAAAGCACCTTTTTATAGGAGAAAAGATCGCGTCGACTAAACGGTCGGCCGGCCGCATCTTGAAACCGAATGTCGTTCCACGCTTCTACGGGAAATGGAAACGATCGCGAGTCATCTCCACCATCGACGCCGGTTGCCTCCGAAGGAAGCCCGCCTTTATTGCAGCTGGGGTAGTGGCTGGTCGTGATGGTGCTGGTGGACGACATTTTTATATTTTCGTGTGGGTGTTATACTTATGATATATAACTGTGGTGGAGCAGACCTAACTAGAAAAAATAAAGACCATGACCAGTGTGGGTGTTATATAATTTAACTGCAGTAGTGTTTGTACTTCTTCTAGCACCTGTAGCTGCCGCTGAGAAGAGCATCCATAAGCATAGTTTTAATTACGCGTTGGAATTGGATCTTCAGAGCTTCCTTGTCTATGAGATTGGAGAACATCAACAGAGGTCCTCGCCGTTTTCTTGCATAGCTTGTTTTCCTCTCTGCCACACTTGTGACGCCCCAGCTGCGTACTCGCTCAGGCTCTCTTGCTCACCACAACATAGTAGAAGCTTTGTAAGTGGTGCGGCAGCGGCTTTTGAACAACTACACGAGTTCATGCTGTGAGGACTAAAGAAAGTAAAGCTAAAGTTGTTTTTGCTAATTCTAGCCTTTCGCGATCGCGATGAAAGTTCGTTAGGGGACGTCGCAGAGTAAATAAGTACGTACGTCTACTATGTCGACGTACCTATCATGGAGCCTGTAATCGGGATAAAGCATATACAGTCGATGTTTATGTGTATGATTAGTGGTTTCCTGAAATACCTAGACGAGACTTTCCTTCTCATAAAAAACGTCACTGGCGATAACTGTGTCTCTGAGTTTTTCGTTAGTAGGTATACTCTCATTTCGTTAAAAAACCAGAGCAACAGGGTGTTTAGCAATCGTGTCTCTCTTTGCTCGTGACTCACATGATATAGCAATCGTTCCCCGAGGCTCGCTATTTAAGTAATGATGTTGGCATGGTGAATGAAGCATCAAGATCAAAACAACCCATAATTTACATGCTGGAGGTCGTGGTTAAACAAAGTTTAAATCGTCCTCTTCAGCAAGAACTTCAATACACACTACATGAAGTTACAAGACAAGAAAAAGCTAGAGAGATCCAAAGCACCAAGGTGTATATGGCGAGGGTTGTATCTAAGTATGCTGAGTTGGTTCTTTCTATGCTGGGTGACAATTGAATGATTGCTAGGAATAAGTCGAATGAAGAAGTTTACTAGTGCTAAAGGTAATCCATAACCATTATATCCTGTATTAATAACTATATCTTCCCTGACTTTTCAAAGATATCGGTAAAGCGACATCAGATGAAAAAATGAGTAAGAAAGAAGGAGCGCGTGATGTAGTGGAGTAGAGGTGACTGGTCTGCTAAAAAAATGCATCAACGAAAGCGCCTTCCGCTCTTTCACCATGATTGCGCGGAAGATTTCTCTAGCCAGGACGAAACATCCTCGTAGCTTAATTTAGGCAAGAACTATTGCTGGGTTTTAACAACACTTGATCAAATTGTTATGTGCGCTTTGACTGGCCAATGGTCGCTCAAAACGTCGCTGCACACCACTTCTACACTGGTACAGGTTGGCGTTAGGAGCGGGTGTAGTGTAGATTTGATACTTCGAGATGGGGTACTGGAAGTAGCGCCAGGCAGCGTCCGCAGGGCAAAAAGGTAGTCCAAACGGCGCGTTTGGTACATAGCCAGAGGGTTTGCCTCGCTACTATACGTTTCGCGTCCGCCATTGTACTCTTTGGCCAAATCCATCACATTCTCTTTTCCTCCCAGAGCCTCTATCATGGCCTGATAAAGGTCTCTCTGTTCGGATGCAGGTGCCTTCATAAGGTACTCCAACATGGCTAAGGATTGCTCCGAGGAAACTCTGGAACTCTGGTTGATCACGTTTGAGGACGCCTCCACATCGCTACCATCAGCATCATCTCGTGCTTGTCCTAGTTCTTCTTGGGCCGCAGTGCCAGTGCGCCTCTCATCTCCCGGACTGGTTGCATAAGAGCTGTTTCTTCTTCGGCAACTCCATCGCGTGCTTGCTCCTTCTACCGAAGTGTCCTTGTCGACGTTATTGTCAGCGTCATCCTGGCCATCTCGTCTTCCTCGTGCTCTTCTATTGTTGCGTTTGCGTATCTTCGCTGCCTCCGACAGATTGAATTGCAGCAGTCTTTCATCGCGCTCTTTGACTCCCTCTAGCGCGGAGCCCCCATCGATGTTAAAATCCCCCGTCACAAACGCAGCAACGCAGCCAGCATCCAGGGGCAGCACGTCGTCGCGACCGCTCAAGTATTTCAATGGGCAGGATTTTTGAAAGGATGTGGCGGCAGTGGCCTTGCAGCTTCCGCTCATCGTGAATGTGTTTGTAGTACTGCATGTACTACTTTTTGTTTCCCCTCCCCTTTTCGAAAATATGGCTTCTGCGATGTCCCTGAGATAGCCCTGCACTTCGTGCAGTTGCTTTCTTTGGCTGTCCCTAACATTCGCGTGGTCCAGATGCAAATTCAACAATAGAACATACTTGTGCTTGGCGTCCTCATTTTCGCCATGATCTGTCATTGAAGGTTTACAGCGGAAGAGCGCACATAGCATGCCTTTTTTCGACTTCGAAATGCTCGTCGAAAACGTTCGCTTTCCGTAGGCCAACATCTCCAGCCTCTCGCTATCGTGGACGAGCTGCAACCCTCCTGTTTTTTGGATCGCATTCAGTTTCAGAGTGTCCAACACTGTGAACCCGAGCGATTGATAAAAAAATCGCAGATCCGCTGATTGCCGTGATGCTGGACTATCATTCACATATTTTGTCTCATCCGGTGCATTGTTCCCCTCTCGGCTGTGACTGTAATATTCGGATTGACAATCAACAGCTCCTAGTTCCATAGTACGACACTGACTTCCCCAAACCTCCTGTAAGCCAGACAAGCTTGTACGTTGGAGAAAGCGACCTATTTTTGCAGCCCGTTGCCCTTGATCACGGCAGGAGGCGTTTGGTCGTGTCACCAGCTTCTCGGGTATCAAGTAGCAGTTTAACGTTGCTAGAGTGAATGAAAATGTGCTAGCGCTGTGCGGAGAAGTAGAGGGAAGCGTCGATATCGATCCGTTCTTCAATAACGATGCTGAAGATGCCGTGTTCGCTGACAACTCGTCCGGTGAGGACGCAGGCAAAAATGTTCCTGAGGTTGACTGATGCTCCTGATGTTCTTCAACAGTATCACAGTGGCAAGCCTTCTTTCCGTCGGCTGATGTTGCCGCTGCGGTGCTAGTGGCGGAGACGGAAATCTCTGACTGCGCTCGCGCAATTTTTTCATCTTCAAATACATATCGACAGCCTTGTGCTTCTTGCAATAATTGTCCACCTCCTCGCTTTGAAGCTTGCTCGCCTGCATCTGCACCACTCGTCCTCCCCGACCGGGGCTCTTCGACTGCGTTATTAACAGTATCTTCATCGAACAAAGATGACGCACATGATGGTGGATCTGGATCCGTCATGCTTTTTGTCATTTTACACAAATTATACTTATAGTGAATGCTTCTTTATTTTGTTTCCATTTGTTATCCTTAAGCAAACACATGGAATACAACTATTGTATTAGAAATAGGCTTCTTTTTGAGATCTATGATCACAAGGACCACTAGGTCGTGTAACAAATAACATCAGTCCTGAAAATTAAATGGGTACACTAATTCATCCTCATGTCATGATTGATGATGTCATCAATCTTCACACAGGGCTTTAAAACATTCATCCATCAAAATGACAAAAATTACATTACATTGCTGCCGCTAAAAAACGATAATTTGCAGTTGTAACATGATGCTTTCCGAAACTAAGTTAGAACGAGCAACATGGTTTTTATAGTAGAAAGTAGGAAATCCATCGTCGGACTCGGACATGATGGTCAAAAAAATCGAGATATGAACAAGGACGTTAACGTTTAATCCGTTGACATATTTGGACGGGCCCCTTGCTAGATCATGAAGAGTTGTTTAATTGTCGCTTCACAAAACTAGCTCTGCAGCAGTAGTGATTGTTCTACGGCTACGTTAGTATTATCAATCATCGTAGTCTACTTCTTGCAACATGGCCTACGTAATGTCATCGCTAGATGTTGATCACAGTTTCTTCTACCTCAAGTTTAACTCTACTCAAGTTCATGTCCGAGAAGAAGCTAGTAAATCAAAATGAAAATGTTAGAAGCACTTAGAAAAGCGAATTGATTAGGACGACGGGAGCAATATTGCACAGTCAAACACCAGGGTTGAGGTCAGAAGCTCCTCGTCAGCAGACTGCACGTGGACACAACCGGGTGCTGGTCATGTTTTTTGGGATGACGATAAAAGTATGCGTTTGCTCGTAGAAAAAGTCACTTAGCAGAACTTCTTTTACTCGAGGGGTCGTGATAAATTTTTAGTCTACGTGTTCACCATCATGATCATAGTCTCTAGGGGTGCATCTCTTGCACATGGTGGAACATCAAAAGATCACCCAGATCACTCCACTATCAGATCATGTGGACACAGTATCTCGATGAATCTCAGGTCCTCGTCACAGAATCAGAAATCCTAGATACTTCATCTAGTAGACCGATACAGACGCTCACACCAGATGTAAGTTGACAGCACTCGTCATCTACACTCTCCCTCTAATTGCGCTCGTGCTGAAAGTAGAACTCTACGACAAATTGATCACGAAAACACTGAGCAGCGACAGACTCCGCCTCAATTTCAGTAACTTGAAGTACCTTCGCCTAAATTTGTATGAAGGTTGGACTCTTCACACTCGTCGGAGTCGTCTTCATTCAGTCTCAATGAATCACTTCGCTGTTCATCGGAATGCAAAATAGTCCTTCAGGCGCTATTTAGGAATACAGTGCCTCAGAAGTAGTCATTCCAAGCAAGAGATGGAAATACCAAAAATGACACCGATAGGAGAATGAAGTTGAAGAGGTGGGTCGCTAAGACATACAACAAGTAGTAGTTGCAAAGGAATTGTTCCATCCAGCAGATATTATAATAATAGAGGCAGGAATTTTTTGGCCCGTCACGGGTCGAGTTTCTCGGGTTGCTCGAGTTGCTCGCCGTAATTTTTTGCGCGGCGCCCTTCGGGCGCAGCTTTGTGAGACTCTGGGATACCTTAGCAGGAGCATACGACATTCAACGACATGCCTCCGCTCCCTGGTTTTCTTCTTAATGCGCACCAACGACGAGAGTGAGTGACCGCCCTCAGCTCGGGAACTCCTCCCAGCCACTTGATCAAACACGCAAGGCATCCGCCACATACTCTACTCTACTTGCTTCCTCAGCTGAGTGGGCCGCTCTCCAAAGCAGGCGGGAGCTCGCTCTCAGTCCCAAAAGAGACTCACTGGCCGCGAACACATCCGAAGAAAAAAGGGAGAGACTGGCACCGACCCAACGACAAGCCACAGCGACACTCTCTCCCCTCAAACAAAAACAACGAGGCGAAGCCGTCGGCCCCTTAGTGCCCGGCTGTGCTTCGAACGCGCGCCCACACGCGAAAAAAAAAAACCGGGGGGGCTCGCTGGGGAGCCCTTCACAACCGGCCGCCCCTCTCATGAGAGAGCAACAACAAAAGCAGCCACTCCTTCACGTCGCGCAGCCACAACCGTGCCCATACCGCCCTGCTGCGCCGCATTCCGATGAAGCGGATGGCTTCCGGTAACTCGTGGCAACTCGTTCAAGAATTGAAACCCTTCACTTCGGCAACTCGAGCAACTCGTTGCAACTCGAGTAACTCGAAACCCGATATTTTACTTACTCTATAAATAACTAAGTCAAAGTCTTACTTACTAGCGCCTCTACTAGTAGTGTTTCTTCTTCTTCAAAGTATATCAATCAATAATCAGGAAAAAAACTACTCGCGTCATTTCTAATCCTCACGCGTCGATGCGCCAATCGAAAACTCTACATGCTAGAGCGAGTCTTGGGACAGATCGGCCGCATCTGCGACATCAGGCTCTCCAGTGTTAGCGTCGGCTTTTATTCATCTCGGCCCCATCATCTCGACCCATTTCCCATGAAATACAAGGCAAAGGGTATCGAGATGCTGAGAAAGATGGATAGAAGCTGACCTTAACAGTAATATTGGGGATTGGGACACTTTTACATGGTCCGCCGAAACTCGGAGGTAGCAATGGAAACGGCACATCAAGAAGAAGTTCTGCCTCAGGACTCAGCGACTTCGCCAGCTAGAAGATAATCATTCAATGTTGAACAACAAGTGGAATTGTTTGATGTCTTTGTGTTTGGTGAAATGATGATGTCTATAATCACACATTTGTCCTCGACGGTTCTTTATCTATGCGGACGAGCTCCAGTAGCAGACAAATAAGTATAAGAACTTGCAAGATCAAATGTACAGAAACGTTGTGAGTGCACTTACTTCCTTGAGGTTGAGCTGCTGAAGAGATAAGAAAAATGAGAATCTACTAAATAGGTACCTCCTTCCACGCTCCGCGGACAGCACGAGCTTGAGCGACGTTCTTGCATGGCATCCCGTGTACTTCAGAACCGTCTTGTAGAAGTTTTCCAGGACTATCTTGCGTTTTATCCTCTGCAACACTCGCATTTTGTACTGCGCTTCGTAACCGAGCTCGGGCTTTTTGTACCTCAGAAATGATACCCGCAATATTGGCCGCTTTTTTTTCTTGTTTCTCCACCTCGACCTCGGTGGACGTCCCGCGCTTCACCTTGCTAAACAGACCCCCGAAAGCGCCTTTTTTCGTCGAGCTTGCATGGCTCGCAGCAGAAGTAGCACTAACAATCGTGATAGCACTATCAGCCGTTGCGCTGCGTTCGACTTCAACATTTTCATTTTCTTCAGTGGAATCCAGAGGCGGTACAGCAGCTGCTGTGGCATCAGGTGCGGTGGTTCCGCCTTCAGTTGCATCAGTAGCAATAGCATCTACTCCTTTTTTAGTTTCAGTTTGATCTCCTTCATCTAGCACAACTCGTGAAGTAGGTGAAAAAGACTCCTCTTTTTTGTCTTCTGATATTCTAGCTGGACTACCTCCAGTAATGATACTCTTTGCATTTGTAGCAGCGGAGGCACTACTTGCTCCTCCAGTTTGCTCTTGCGCGAGTGCCCGCTCTAGCGCTTCTAGACTCCAGTCACTTCCGCCGCCAGCTAGCGAAAAGTCGTTTAAGAACGTAACTTTAGCTCTTGTCCGCTCGTTCAGCCACGGCGAGATGACTTTCCAGGCCACGCCGAAGAGTTTCGGAGCGTTTATCAAATATGCTTTGCCGAGTCGTTGTGGGTGATGGTCTTGCGTCACGTGCACAAGGGCGCCTATATGCTTGAAGTACTTCGCATGCCACACTGCCCAGTCGCGCAGGTCGAACAGTTTCCGTTAAAGAGGATAGCCGGATGAAAATCATTGCTACAATTAAAAAGAGGTATTGTAGAAGGCAATGTCATGAAAATGTTTTTACTTAGCTGTGCTTAGTGGATGACCATTGACGGAATTCACAAAGACCAGTTCTGATTCTGTCGTTCTTGCAGCCACTGACGTGAAAATATAACAAGAGTGACTTCGTAAATCAGAAACCCTCGGCAGAAGGGATGGGTCTTGCTAGCAGCCACGTCTGCCATCCGGCCCACGGCAGTGATGTAGTATTCGAGATAGCGCTCGTATTGCTGAACCGAATAATCCTGCGGATTCCACCGTCCAGCACGTACAAACAGGATCTGATCAAAAATATGGAACAGAAAAATCATGAAACAACAAGTCACCATGATGAGTGCTTCAACAGCCATTATAGGCGGGATTGATAAGTAGATAAGAAAAAGAATTCGTAGTTCCTAATTAGAGGAATTAGAGAACTCGAAGAGCTGCAGTTTTACTGATTGCGACGATTTTCGTGAGCGTCTTAGACATCTCTAGGAGGGGGCCCGGTCTTCTCTCCATTAACCACGATAGATATGTCACTGTTGTAGCACTGACTGAGCATCAGCAGTAGCATCTTTTTTGTAACAGTACCGGCTCGCCATTAGTGCTCGTTCCCAAACAGGTCCAAGATTGCGTCCTGAACGATGGTGAGAAATCCGTGTTTTCATGATTGATCTCGCCAAGTTTGCTCCGCCATTTCAGTTAGAAGAGGAAGAGGCTACTTGCTTTCATTCGGGGCGTTACTAAATCCTCGCTGTGCAACGCCAGCGCCTGCTGGTCGTTCGTATTTTTTACTATCGTTTTTCTTCATCCAAGGGCAGAAGCAAACCATGACGACCATCGTCCAGCAAGAAAGTCGAACTTGATAAGGTCAGAAGATCCCCGAAATTCTTGATGTCCTAAATTTCACGAGTATGAAGGTCATTAATTTCCTCATTCTTACGCCGTTCCAATTCTAGGAGTCTCATGGTGATGAAAATAATGAAGAGCATGAAAATCAGCAGGGCGATCCTGATCAAGATCAGGACAACAGAAGAACAAGGGCAAGAAGTAGGTGAACCACTGAGATCAATCACATGACTGAACAAGAACAACACGCGCGCACTTTCATACGTTTTACATGTTTCAAATGAAACAGATCAGGCATACACTTGAAGGATTCACAAAGTGAGCCAGTTTCTCAAGCCGTACAGAGTCCGCGTTCAAAAACAGCGGATCAGAACTAATGCTCTAAACAAGACTGCCGATTAAGATAGCTTTACATAAAACGGAAATATCCCTCGAGCTCGCGTGGTCCAAGTCCTTAACTTAGAGACTTACGCAACATGAGCTCGGTTTTCTCATGATCGAAATTTCGTGCCTGGAGGAAGCGAATGAGCATTTGATCTGTAGGCATCGGAAATGTCCCACTTTCTTCGTCGAAGATGAAGTCAGACTTCGAAGCCGTAGCGGTACTGGAGTCTTGTCGATCGTCTTCACTTTGGCCCTCTGCTTCTGCTTTTACTCTCTCATCTTTACTGCTAGTTGTACCCGGATCGACATCACCATCTTCCTTGGAGATATCCGATTCGGAAGTACTTCCACCTCCTACGGCGAGGGAAGTTTTAAAGGCCGTGAGCAGCTCAAGCTCCTCCGCTGTAAGCTCCTCCCCACCGCTTATGCTTAGCATCTTTATGTGTTTGTGAAAGACAGTGCAGTTGCATCAGACCCTTTCAAACGCAGAAGTCGTCTTTGAGATGCTTTCCGTTTACTTTTAAGCAGCACTCATTCAAAGTGCACATTTATTCATTCACCGCAAGCGTAATTGTATTTTCTTGTTCATTTCATGATCATGCACCATCTTCATGTTCATCACGCGTACACTTCTGGAAATGCGAGTTATGATTCTTCTATTCGAGTCCAGTTGACCTCATGTCGCACGCACCCTCGCGAGTTCTCTATCTTGTTCTTCTAGTTCTATTACACCCTATTTTCCGCCTGAGTAGTTTCAATGATCTTCCTGATGTATCACTCGCTCGCCGACATTTTTCGCATCACAACACGGATCGTCTTTTTTTCGTTTATTAGACTCCACAAGCAAAGGCTGAGACCATTGTCACATGGATAGATGTGAGTGGTCGAGACCCGAAAGTTCAAAGTAAATCTGCTTTACGTGTTGGGAAGGTTTTTGAGATTAGGAAGGTAGTTTTTGGGGTGTCGTGTTGAGGGTGCAACACTCGTCGGAGCAGGAACAGCAAGCTGCGGCCTACAACTACTTCTACTTGTACGTATAATATAAGGACAAGGTGAAGGAGACGAGACATTCGTGCAAGTGCTCACAACCAAAAATTGAAACCAACCGAAAGCGAAAGGTGGTGGCAACTATTCTCGGCGTTCTTCGACCCTTTAGTCCACATATGTTCCTGGGCCCCGTGACGCAATGATCTTTTATTCATCAAAACGAACGTGCGAGTAAGATTCTTATGCGGTCTTTTCGTAGAGGTAGGAATGAAGATTAATTCATCTGAAAGGATACAGAACGCGTCTGTTCTTGTATCATTTAAGATCACCACGAGTAATGAGTATGAGTAACGAACCTAAACTTTTTCATCATGTGCATCTTGGATAAATACTTCTCCATAATTGACGCAGTATTTAGTCCTTTTTTATCTTTGGAGAAAGATGCTCGAAATTTCAATTTTTCAATCCGATGAATAAAAAAGGAGGTAGTTGTACTTAGATCTTCCCTGATGTTTGGACGAACTAGAAGAAAAGACAATGCCTCCACATCGAGTACGTCAAAAATCATCCTGGGTAAAAAAAATATTTGAGGTATACATAGAAGAGGTGGACTTCCCAACGAGCGAGACGACCTCAACTACACCTATCATGACAAGAACATGTTCATCTTCCAAGTCTTTCTATACTTCTTTTCATCATGACTAGGGAGCACGTTCTTAGAGATCCGCGTCCTTACTCGCCGCTGCCTTCTGCGCCTTCGCGAGTTTCTTCTTCGCCTTCATGACGCCCTTCAGCAGTTTGACTTCGCGCATGATGGGCTCACGCATACCCTTCTTCATAGTCTGCTTCGTCTTTCCGCTCATGATATCAATCTCGGTCTGCAGAACTTCAATCGGAGTGTCGGAATAGGGGGCATTAGAGGTTGACATCAGATTCACGATACAACCACAGAACCGTTGTACAGAAGATGACCACAGCATCACTTCATCGTCCATCATAACATACAGTTGCGAAAATCCTTTATCACTTCGTTCGTGTTCATCTAGTGTTTACGAGACAAAACAAGGAGAAGGAGAAGTAGGAGTATTGCTTCATCATAATTTTCCAGGTCATCTTCTCATCTGCGTCACAGTTTTTTCCAGTCGGGTAGTCGCAGGTAACAAGGCGCTTGGTGGGCCCATTGATTTTCAGGATCTCCATGCGAAAGATCAATACGTCACCACCCTTGATCTTCGCACCACTGCCGTTGTCACCGTAGCCGAGGGAGCATGAAAACGAGGGGAGAAACAGAAAGTAATCTATCCAGCATGAGCTTTCGTTCAATCGAAACTCCTTACGTTCATCATCGTGCACGTTGAAGTCGTAAGTTTGACAGCAGTAAAATCGGGAAAAAATCAGAACAAAATTTGCTTTTCCAATGTGCAACAGAAGAAACAACTACGTGATTGTCACGAGGAGATATACACCTGGTGGTTGTGGTTGTCAGGAGGGGACTATAACTATTGTCTATGAGAATGAAGATCAGAATCATAACTCCGACGGGATGTACATTTCCCATTTGTCCCCTTCTTTCATCAGCTGCATAGCCTCAGTCCAGCCAGCAATGACCTGACTCGGCGCGAAGGTGGTCGGCTCTCCACGTTTGTAACTCGAGTCGAACTCATCCCAGTCCTTTTCGTCTCAAAAATGAAGAGAGAGTAGACTACATGACGATCTTAATCTATCATCTTCACGGGCAAAATTCATTCAACATGTCGATCAAGAAAGCATCTGAAAATCTACCATAAAGCCATGCTCTTGCTAGCTACAAGTTAAGTATTTTCATCAGGAGCAGCCATAATTATCGATCGCATCCGGAGTCAGCGTCGGGGTGGTGCCTGCATAGTGGCATTCACAAGGCGTATCTTTCTTCGGGGCGAGCCTTCCCTTACCTTCACGCAGCACCTTGTACTGTAGACCACTCGGCAAAGTTACAACTCCAAGTTTTTTGGCATTTTCCTCCATGAACTTCTTACCAACTTCATTGGTTCCAGCAGACACCGTCAAGGGCGCAACGACGAGAGATGAAAGAGCAAGTCGAGCGAACAACATCTTCTTAGGATCAGGTACCGACTTCTAAGCCTAGAATCAATGCAGGAAAAACACTCTCTCGGTGGAGCCCCAGGGTGCGTCTTCTTGTTCTCGTCCTATCGAAAAAGTAGAAATAGAATCAGTCGAAATTATGGCACCAGCAGTGGTTCTTCGAGCTTCCTTTCTGTTTCTTCACTCCGTGCACATTAATATGAAGAGCGACCAACATTGTTACAATGAGAAAATAGCAGAAACGATGAAGATCTCACTAATACGTATTTCGCAGAATTTTACCACCAGATCGATGAATCTACTAGAGATCAGATCGGTGACGGTGCTGCAGCAGATGATTTGAAGACCACTTACAACTACACTGGGACTCGACAACTGCTAGAACATCTTCTCGAACCCACCCCACGCGGCAAGTAGCGCGTCACACGCCGTACAGATTGGTGTTGTTCATGAACTCAATCAGTCATAAAGCTACTGCAGGATTATTTCGCAGACATTATAGATACAATATTTTTCAATTCTAGTTGTTCTTCATCTTGGCATGATGATCGCCTTCTCATTGATGTGCTTTGACTTTGTGATAACGATTTGAACAAGCCCTGGTCCTACGTATTATTCATTAAGCAATGAGTTGATAGCACGTGATTGTGAAGCGCTTCGGATTCGAAAGAAGTCCTCGGTCGAAATTTAAGGGTATTTTCTACTGCCGTGCGTGCGTGCTCCTGCACATGTTGAATCATGATAGGTCGTGTTCATACTTTTTCGTCTAGGAACTCTGTTTTTCATTGACGCATGACAAAGACAACATCAGTATCTTCACTTGAAGTTGTAACTATCACTAGATAGTCCATCGATACATTGGAGGTCTACTTGCACTTGCTGAAGCCTTTACTTCATCTTTCATTGTAGCTCAAGTAAATCTTTCTGATGGTGATGATGTGTTCCCTCTAGAACGAGCAGGCATGGGATCAGGCTAAAAATTGTGGTCCTTTTTGTTGGTAATCCGAACTCGAGCGTGCTTCTCTGATTCTGATTCCTATTTCATCGTTTTCAGACACCTGGCAAGGCGTTCCAATTCGAGTCCAAATCGCTTCTCTCTGCGCTATAGGTGTTGGCTCCTCCTGTCGGCGGTGGAAATCGTAAAAAAGCGCGCGTCTGGTACTTGTTTCGCGGGTGATGCGGGTGGTGCTTGCCGATTTGCGTGGTCATTGCCACGAATCCCGCTGCTTGCAATAAGCTTTTCTGGTACTGATGCGAAGAGGTCCCAGCTGCATTGATTTCGCTATTGGAATTGTTATTACCTCCAACGTTCTGGTTGTAACTCTTATTTACTTGGTATCCGGCCATAGGACTCGGTTGATCGCTAAGACGTGGACCGGGATAGACGGAAGACATGGACTCGTCCCCACTCGGGCTGAACCCGCCATTCAGTTTGCTACTGGTATGAAGCGGCTCGCGTTGAAACTTGATGCCTCCCATGCCAGGAGTGTTTTTTCTCCCTAAAAAACTTCCTGTCGTTCCGCCCCCGTAAGTTATGAAAGCATCTGCTACGCTCGATGTTCAACAAACTCTTTCAGACATGTAAGTAAGTGGTACATTATACTAATCACTAGTAGAAGCAAGATGATTGTGTTAGGTATAGGTTACGATCATCCGTCTATCTAAGATCAACAAGATTAAGGACGAGACATGATCAACAGATAGTAGATTGCTCGACCTCGAGATATCCCCATGCTACCATGTAATGGATCCAGCTGAAAGAGTAAACTTACTTCATCTTGTTTCAAGCATAAAATTACTTTTGGTTCCGGATGCTGCGTATTCTTGTTGCAGCTTGCGCGACCATAGCGCATTGCTTTGCTGCTGTCTGATTTTCTCAGTTTCGGGTGCTGCCGCGGTGACACGGCCGTTGGGCAATCGCTTCAGGACGTCTGTGCTTGTGCTTTGTCGACGATGTTGAGGCAGCGCGCCGACCGAGGCAGAACTCGCGAGTCTGAGACTCGATGCTGCTCCATGCGCTCCAGCACCTCTCGACCCGTAGCTGTCCAAAAGATCATTGTAGTGATTTTTCGAAGGACTCCAGCCAGTGCCGCCCACTTTGCTAGAACCGCTGTTGTTCGCCGGTCCGTCTTCAGGATAAAACAAGGGAACACCAGCACCAATAAAGCCTCCAACAGCAGCATTGATTCCGCCTTGAAGCTGCGACCCACCTCCCTGTTTGTTCATGATGTTGCTTAGCAATTTGTTGGAATTCGCCGACCCGCCATAGCTGAATTTGACCACTTGCTGATGCTTTCCGTTAGGACTAGCACCGATCAGTGCTGCTGTGGCGGAGAGCGGCTGCCCGCTGCTCAACGGTGGACTGTATCCCGCTTGTCCTGCCGCTATGGGCGAAAATGCAGCCGCAGGTAGCCTCGTGACTTGCGCGGCCTCCTTCAACGGACTCCGCGAGGCAAGCAGCGGAGCCTTGCCTGTAGGCGAGTCAGCAGCCATCTCTTTGCTACTCGGAAACTTTGCAGCTGGTTGACTTCGCGCAATGTCACGCACGCGCTGCTCGTCCGCACCCATCATTCGCGGCGGAACTCGTGGCGCAGGAGGTGCTGGTGGAAATGCAGCACCACCTGCCACACCGAGCAAGCCCGAGCCTTCTGCGGTCATTGTCGATGCGGTGCCACCGTTGACGCTGTTGTAGCTACAGCTGCCGCTGATGCTACCCCGAAAAGATTGTCTACCCCCTCCTCCGGCCATCATAGAAGAGCTCGAGGCAGATGCCGCGCCGATGCTTCGACGTCGCACGGTCGCACTGGCGGACGCTGCGGAAAGTACCGAATTGCTGTTCCGCGTGATCGCCGGCGCACGTCCTCTGCTGGTCATGCGCAGTGGGCCCCCTGTCGTCCCACCAATACCAGCGCGTCCAGCTAAGGTTCCGCCACCGCCGCCATGCATCTCTTGCACGCTCATATCCTCGCGAAAAGCGGCGTCCGTAGCCACGCTAAAATCGCCTGCCTCGCTGGAGGCGCAACTGCTTCGAGCAGCGCTCGATCCGTCCGCGGCATAGGAGGTGCCTCCATGATAGTCCCTCAGCGACGCGCTGCCGCTGTCACATCCACCTGCCCTGCCAATAGTGTCCATATGAAGTGTCGATGCCGTATCTTGGTCTTGATGCCCCGCCTGTCCTCCGACTCCCATATCATTATGTCCGCCCCCTCTGTTATTCAGGGACGGTTTATTCAACGATGACGATGCGCCGGAACGTTTGTTCCGTGGAACTTTCTTGCCTAGCCACTCAGTGTCGTAGAGAGTGTTGCCAGGGAAGCTGAAGTCGTCAACCCCCACTCGTGGCGGTGCATCCATCTCCGGCTCCGAATCCGACGAAAGGTCTGCATTGGCTCCCCTACCATTCACAGGCTCGCTATCATAGTCGCTCGCGTAGCCGTGGCCGCCTCGACCCCGGTAACCCGCTTTGATTTTCGAACCAGGTGCTGGTTCGGCGCTGGCGTCGTTCCTCTTGCGTTGCGGAAAAATCTCGTAAGTGCGAAGCAACTCGTCAAAGTTGCCTGGTAGTGGAACAGTCCGCTCCAGGAACTTCCGTTTCTGGGTCTCCAGGGCATCCTTTTGGTGCTGATCTTCGTTGGTGGGGCAAAAGCTGTCTTGCGTCGCGTCCGCAAAAAGTTGCGGTACGTCCAGCGACCTGTGGAACGCGGACCGCTGCGTTTCGTCGCCGATAACATCTCCTGTGCTCATGCCGAGGATCGGCGATCGCTGGGACATCAACATTGTCCCGCAAAAAGCATGAAGTAGATCTACGAGCCACTGTTGAAGAATTATACAAACAACGAAACTATTAAACTAGGGAGGAGAAGCTAATGGATCCGAATCAAGCACGTTAATCTGGATACCTGAGAGACGTCTTTAGAATCAGTCTACATGTCTAATTCTAGGCACGCTCAAGTCGCTACCATTGGTAATTGTGATTGGTTTATTTTCTCTGCCTTGCTTGGCTTTGGAAGAAATCAATGCTGCGAGAAGACTCTAATTCAAAACACTAGTTCTAAGTAAGTACTTAAGCAATCAAATGCATTCAGATGGAGAAAAAACTCCTTGTTGAAAATGGAAGGGAAAGTTGTATCGGAGAAAGCGGGGTGGGATGCTTGAGATAGAGTGCACAAATTTCTGTGGCTTGACTGTAGTAACATCATAATCTTCACCGAGCTTTCTTGAGCTGTGGATCTCACGTCACACTCATCTTCACCGATGGAATTTCCGACGGATGACAATTTAGATTTACGCTTTCTGCCTGTCTCATCAGTGCCATGATACCTTCTCTTGGAGAATGACGCAGTTTCCTTGTTGAGTTCATGTTCCTCTTCCTGGACCTGAACATTAAAAAGTCGAAAACATCAGGAGAATGATCCAACGTCAACCAAGTCGATCGATGTAGAAACCGATGATGAAGAGAAGTTGGATGAACACCACAAGCACAAGAGTTGAAATATACATGAGCTGCTGACCACTGGTGGTGCGAAAGCTTTTCGTTCGAGAAGAAAACCATAGTCGCTTTGGCTGGGCTGCAGCAATGACATTGAGGGGATCCCTCCAAGAATGTTTAAGTGATGGTGGAAAAGGTATCTTCAGTCGTGTCCAAAGTGTTTTATCTTCGCGCTCCTCCGCCAGTTCCGAAGCCGTCTCGTGGACAACTCGTTATCTCCCCTGGCGCCTTAAAGATAGATCTGAAAACTTCTGATCTGCCGCTTTGTGAGGCGTTCACCCGTCTCCTCTTTGGCGACATGGCTCCTTCATCTGGATCGTCGTCAGCTCCTGCTGCTGATGATCCTTGCCCTTGTTCTCGTGCTGCGCGTTTACCAGCTACTTTCTGCGCAGCCTCTATTTTGTCTCGTATCTTCTGCGGAAGTCGGTCGTACAGCTTTTTTCCCTCCTCCAGGTCTGCCGCTAACTGTACTCGAGTCGCTGGCGCGTCCTTACTGGGAGGCGTAACGAGCGCATCAGGCTCCCCACATGACGGGCATGATCGGTCAGTTGAGGGGACCGAATCGAGACCAGTCATACTCAAAACGCAGCCACACTTCCAGAGAATCACGGCGCGCGTGGTGCCATCATCAATCTCCTTCCCTACTAGTGGGCAGACCATGTGATGCCGCTTATCGTCCGAACTTCTCTTAGAGTTGCGACCGCTCTCGAATGTTATCTGAGTAGAGATATGTGAGGAAGAGGATAATAACAGTCTGATGAAAATTTTTTGAGGTGTCACAACATCGAAACCGATGACAGAGGTAAGACAAGACAACTACCGATCTAGTCTAATGCATGATCACCTCGAACCGAAAACGTCTACAATGCTCTCCAGTTTGTTTTTACGCCGGAACGTTTTGGAGCAGCAAAGTAGTTAAGGGCCCACACGTCCATACGAGATATTAAAGTGCTTAAGAAATAGGCTATGGCTACGCATCCACCACATGAAGAGGATAATAAAGATAGGTGAGGCAATCAACATGATTTTCGGTCGTCTTGATGTTTTCAACAAGATGAGTTATACTATGAGGCAGTTGTAGACCAGAACAGATGGAGATGCCGTGCTCCTGCAAAGGCAATTTAATCTGTCTTCCAGGAATCATCTCGCAAAGATATCTTGAATTGGAAAAATCAAGATGAAGTTTATACCTTCGCATCCTTGAGGTCTTTCAGCTTGGTTATGTGCATGAAAGGCTCAGGTATTCTTTTTGCGAGGAGCCGGCTTATGATCTCCTCCTTCAGAAATAGGTTGCCGAGTCGGTCGGCCATTATTGGCGTATCCTTTGTTAGCGGCTCATTTGTCATGCGGCAGGATGTCATGCGTAAGATTTTTCCTTCTTTTCTTCCCACACTATCGTCTCCAACCATGATAAACGTGTTGGCCAAGAAACCCGACGGTCCGCCGACTTTATTGATCAGTCGGAAACCCGCGGTCTTGACCATGTCCGCACGCTGCGGAACGCAGCCGCCATCGCCACCCATCTTTTTGTTTTTTTTTTACAACTACAGTCAGACGAGGACTAGAACAATGGAATGTGAAGAAAACGAGGTTCACAACATCAAACACTGGAGGAACAAATGTTCCTAGCTACTTCTCCGAAAACATTTTGTGGCAAATAGCTCTAACTTAGTTTGATGTTGATAGAAAAATCACAAACAGAAATTCAAACTCAGGAATCAGGATTACTTCTGGACAAAAAGAGGCCGGGGCTGAAAATCACATGAAATTGATGCAGGACGTTGGTGATACAGGAAAGCAAAGTGAAAAAAGTTTTGGACTTCGTATTGTGTATATCTATTTCCTATCATAAACGACTCCTAGTCCTATTTTGATCTGCTTGATCATTAGACCGAGAAGCCAACAAATTTAGTATCTAACACTGATGAACGTGTCGTTGTTGAGCTTATGCACACAGGACCTAGGTCCAGTTTTTAAACAAGAAGGTGATCCAAACACGAATTCAAGAGTTTTCTCGTTAGGGTTTGTCTTGCTGATCTTCTGTTTTTGTGTGAGACTCAGAATTGCAATTTCTTCCCGAACCACGGTACCTCTAATCAATATTGGTCTCGTCTTCAAAGAACGCAAGTATCTCTCGTTGGGTTCTTCAGTAAAACACGGCATAAAAAAACGGATATCACGACATGCGCCGTGATGTGTAGGTGTAGGATCTTCCAATATTTTTAAGAATAACTATACCTTGTGTTCATACTGTTGATGAATCATACTACTAAAACTTCTTTCTCCTGATTGAGTTTCTCGAAGTTGCTGATAGCATGAAGTGACCGAGCTCCTTTTTCGTGTAGTGCCATTGCGTTTGAGTGACAGTCATGTCTTGATACACGAGCGGCTCAAGAAAAAATGGAACTTTTTTCTCTCGCCGCCAACCGGGCCAGCGCTTTTGCACGTAGGGCAAAACCATTTGTTTGTAATGTCCACGACTCCACCTTTTCCCTCCAATCCCCTGGTACGGATTTCGCGCCATACAGTGCTCCTGTAATCTGACCTATAACGGCGCAGACTGTATCAGCGTCACCACCCAGATTCGCGGCTTTCAACACTGCATCAGCAAACGAATTCGTTGCCCAAACACAGTGTAAAGCCATAGCCAGGCAGTCCATGCAGTAGCTGCCGATGTAGTCCGGATGTCTTCGAGCCCGTTCCGCTGAATACTTAAACTCTCCGCCCGTCGTTCTCCATTGCCAGTCGCGGTTTTTTGAAAGCCAATCTTTTTCGTCAGAAAACACACGCTGTGGGACCAGAAAAGGGCATGCATTTTGTTCGCCTTGTAGTTGTTTTTCTGCATCAAAAAATTCGACATACCCTTCCACAGGCTTTTTGATGCGACCGAAATACCGCATGCTTGGCACCTCATGATGCTTCTTCTTCGTTTTCTTTTCTGGATCCTTCGTGCCAGCAATCTCCACTGGACACACGTCCACGACCAATACAGTGGTGCCATGGGCCAACATCACAGCAGGGTTAGAAGCAGCGCAGCAGCTTTGCCCTTCACTTTCCGTCGTACCAGGTAGATTTTGCAACACCGGAATCTCGCTCTCTGCGTACACAACATAGTCGCCTTCGTCAGCGGGGGCCATGCCGTCGACCGTGAGTTTCGTTTCCTTCTCTGCATTTGCTAGACATGTGACGGAATAGACCTCGGATTCGAATTGAGAAATCCAATCCGTCAAAAGCCATTTCTTTCTCTCTTCCACCATATTTCTTTTCTTATTATCGGCAGAGCTAGAAGCCTCGTCAGTTGTGCCTGATCCTTGTTCTGCAATCGCGCCAACAATCAAGTGCGCAAGCAGTCTGCTGCATTCAGCTGCTTCAACTCCACGATGTGTGGCCAAACTTTGCAGTTCCGCGAGTTGCTGTGCACCCTCTAGATCGTTCCACTTCCGGATCGCGGCAGGGGCCAGGCGCATGAGGCTGCCATTACCACTCGTCCACCGGTCGCCACTTAGTGTTACAGGTGACAGCTCCTTCCTGCCAACTTTCGTCTCGTCTGGCAGGCTTCTGTCTTGTGCGCTGCTGCCAGATGCTCCTGCGCGAGGTGGTGGTAGAGGTGAAGCATAGAACTCTCGCAGGCTTGCACCAATATTTCCCCCTAGGCCAACACTTTGCCGAGGGCCACCTCCACAGCGTTTGATGCGCGCCTTGTCCCGACCGAAGGCGTTATTGTACCCAAAATGCCACCAATTGAGAAACCGCATACGCAAATCGATACCGTCAAGATCCATCTTCATCTCTTGGCCAGTGTGTTGAACTCCAACATCACTCTCTTCGCCTTGTAGTTGTTCATCATGACCACATTTTTCCTCGTCTAGTACACCGTCTTGCAGCTGCTCTTGCTTCATCGCTGACTCGAGTAGGGAATCAGCTAGACAAAGTGCCATGGAAGTATCGTCAGTCCACTGACCGGGAAGTAACTGGAAAGCTCGATTATACTTATTCGCACTGGTGTTCACAAAGGTCACATTTTCTGCCAGAATCTCACATCTCGAGCCGGATCCGCTATCTTTGCTCTCGATAGCACCGTCAGTAGAATCTCCTGACCCAGAACCTTTGCCACCTTCTGATACCACGAGGATCTTCCATACATCTTCCTGTCCCATTGTATGAAGAATCTTGCGACCGTAGTCGAGGCGAGAAAATTCCAAGGGTGCGCCCAATGCGTCTCCCACAGCCAGGCCCAATAGAGCTCCCAGGCATCTGTCTTCCACTTCTGGAGAGAGCTCCACAGAGCCAGCGCCACCGGTCACATTCATTTCAATCTGTTCGATCACTGGTGCCGAGTACTCACAAAGTGCATCCCCGGGAAAACGCACTAGGTAATCATCACGTCTAGGAATCTCAGCAGGGTCAAAAAGTCCCTTTCGCTGCGCAGCAGTGATAGGCTGCGTTCCCTTGGCCTGAGCGGAGCCCATTTTCAAAAATTGTACTTCTACTTTGAGTCAACGACAAATAAGAACTTCAAAATGGCTACTAAATTCAAGATAAAGATATATGAAGACTCAAACTAGCTTTTGGCGGCCTCTGAAACTGAATCTGATGTCTCTTCATTTCTATGTATTAATTTACGCCAGCAGTGGAACTGGTGGATCTACACGTACTAGCAATAGAAATTTCTAATTATCCATCTTACGTCTGTGTGATATCAATTAGAATCAGCTCAAGAATACGCAATCCTGTGAGAACTACTGATATTTGCATTGCAGGAAATGCCGAAATCTCGACGGGCCTGTTTTAGGAGAGCTTCTTTCATCAGGGTAGACGTATATCCACTTGAGGACTTTTTGAACTACAAGAATTCCTTTCGTTGTACAACTTGCACGCTGCCGCCCCTTGCGGCTGCGATGAATGTGCTGCAATCTTTATGCTATAGAGTTCGGAACTTTTTTGCCCGTCACGGGTCGAGTTTCTCGGGTTGCTCACCTTAATTTTTTGCGCCGCGCCCTTCGGGCGCAGCTTTGCGAGCCTTTGGGATACCTTAGCAGGAGCGTACGACACTCCACGCCATGCCTCCGGTCCCTGGCTTTCTTCATCTTAATGCGCACCAGAGACAAGAGTGAGTAACCACCTGCAGCTGGGGAACTCCTGCCAGCCACTTGATCAAACACGCAAGGCATCCGCCACATACTCTAGTCTACTTACTTCCTAGGCTGAGGGGGCCGCTCTCCAAAGCAGACGGGGCCCACTCTCAGCCCCAAAAGAGACTCATTGGCCACGCACACATCCGAAGAAAAAGGGGAGAGATCGGCATCGACCCAACGACAAGCCACAGCGACACTCTCTTACCTCAAACAAAAACAGCAACGAGTCGAATCCGTCGGCCCCTTATTGCCTGCGCTTCACACGCGCGCCCACACGCTACAAGAAAAAAAGTCCGAGGGCCTCGCTGTGGAGCCCTTCGCAACCGATGGATTGACCCTGTCATGAGAGAGCAGCAGCAAAATCGGCCCACGTCTTCACTTCGCGCACCCAGAACCTCCGCGCTCGTACCGCCCTGCTCAGCCGCATTCCGGTGGAGCGGATACCTTCCGGCAACTCGTGGCAACTCGTTCCAGAATTGAAGCCCTTCGCTTCGGCAATTCCAGTAACTCGTTGCAACTTGAGTAACTCGAAGCCCGATATTTTACTTACTCAATATAATTCTTTTTTGACCACATAGATCTTTTAGCTTATTTTCCGGAAAGTTTCACTTTCGTCCCGCCTTCGCCTTCGCATTGTTGTACGAAGCAGATCATCATCAGCATCAGCTCGTTACTTACTCTCTGGTTTGTCGCAGCTCAGAAACAGACATTGAACAAAGAAATCGTAGAAATACTACACCTGTCGTGATGTGGTCGTCGGTCGTGCAGCTAAATAGTGTTAATCACTACAAGTGGTAGCGAAGTTGAAATCACAAGAATGGGAGGGTACCAGCAAAGATGAGACTATCATTTTCATCACCATCAGGGTGAGTTAGCCTCAACCGAAGCAAGCGCACTATGCAGGTTTTGTTTCACTTCAGCGTATGTCATTTCTTCGTTCTCCAACATTTGAATGAGGCCACCCATTACGTCGAAACATGTTTGGTATTTCCCATTCCCTAAAGAGCCTCCACCTCCAGGGCCCCCCTTGGGTGCGAGAGAGGAAACTGACACCGGAGAAGAGGCTGTGGATCCACCGCCAGCACCGAAAACACTAGGTCCGCCTGGTGCCCATTTCAACTGCTCTATCTGGACACGGACCGAGCTGAAGAGGTAGGATATGCAGTTGCGATCTGCCATTTCCTCCGTGCTATTGCGGGAACCAAGAGTACTATGCTCCACCTGCCTAGGGCCCGATGAAGCGGTGGCCCTGGGAAAAGCGTTCTCATTGAAGTTCGCGTCCAACGGGGGCGGCCGGAACTGACGCTGCACCTTGTCGAAGATCGAGGCACGCTCGGAAAGCGGAGGCGGATCCGGCGAAAAGGGCAAGAAGGAAGAAGGCGTACTTGGTGCAGCTCCTGCAGGTATGCCCAAACCAAAACCTGCTCCTGGGCCACCAGAAGCAAGTGGGCTGGCTTGTCCTAAGAACCCCATCACGCGTGCATCCCCGCTCGCAAAAAACTGTTCGACCTGTTGCAAACCACCAATCTTTACAGCTCCCGGCACATCATTTGCTGGGTCGCTATTTCGTAAATGAAGTCCGCCTTGACCTTGAGCACCATTTCCTGCTGCTCGGTCTCGAACTCGATCTTCGACAAGCAAGCTGCGCAATAAGACTTCCAAATACTGCTCCGTGAGCATCGAGGTGATCGCAACTAGAAGTTTGGTTTTCGGCAGCACTGCGGAAAGGGAACTCAGAGCTGTGCGTAGGTATTGCATCGACGCGTTCAAAACCGCTTCGCATGCGGCGTAATTTGCGTCCTCGCTCACTGCACTCAAGTACGCATACAGATGTCTACAACGTCGTCGCGTCTCCGCGCCCACGTGTTTCAGTAATGCCACCAAGTGCGCTTGCCCAAGCTTCCGCAGGGTGGGCACAAAATCGACGAGCCACGTGATAGGACGGCTGGCGCCATGCTCGAAAGGCAACACTGTCAGTTGGAACGCGAAGTACATGCAGTCGTTGAAGAAAATCCCGCAACTGAAGGCGTCCGTAGTCAGGCGTTCGCGGTGCACGTGTGGTCTCACGAGCAGAAAAAGCGTGATCAATTGTCTCGACAGAGCCTGCTGATCTTTCGTAGTCAGAGGATCTCGAATACCGGCAACAACACTGCTACGAACTTTCTCCACTAACTTACAAGCAGATTGGGAGACACAGCACGCTGAAAATAGGTAGCCACTGAGATCCTTGTCGATGCCACTCATAATGCTGCTGCTCGAAGCGGCGCTCACTTGAACAGTTGTCATGTCCTGCGAGACCATCCAGTTTCAGAATGAAAAGGGGCAACAACAGTAGTTTCAATTGAGACGTGAGACAATCATGGATGTCTGAATAAAGATACTACTAGATCTAGAACAACGATGTAATAAGACTAGATTTCATCAAAACGTACTAGCCCAGCACGTTGTTTGAAAAGAACTTCAAGTTCTGAGCAGTTTTGACATAACCTAGCGTCCTCTAGTATCTTTGCCCGAGCTTGCACTCCCGTCTTGCGCTCCGCAGCCAGCGTGCCCAAAGTGCAATCACTTGCAGAGATAAAGTCGAGGGAAGCCGCCTTCGCTTCGAAATCCGTCAAGAGCGCAGGATCTCCAGCGCACTCACGCAGAAAATCAACGATGACTGGCCACGCATGCCTTCCTATTGCCTCAACTGCGGACCTATCTGCAACAAAGTCACGAAGATACCTGCTGTTCATGGTAGCATCGTCGGCAGATGAAAATGCAGACTATCGTATTAAAGGATATTTCCAAGTCTAAGTAAGTATATTAATTGCGTCGTTACCTGAACACAACAATAAAGTGGTACCCGATCATGCTTCCCAGTATGCCAAGAAGGAAATCTAGCCCGTCTTCGCCCTCCTCCAAACGCTCATGATCGTCGACAAACGACCACACGATGACTTCATCGTGGGGCTTAAATATTCGCGCAGACAGCTTCTTTCGTCGGTGTTCCACAAAGAGCGGAATCAATACGAACTTGTGGATTTTTTCCGTTAACCACCGGGCCTTGGCATCCAGAAGGCCCATCGTGCGCAGACCTTCCCAAACCTGCTTATTTCGTTCTGTGGCGATGCAAATGGTGTTGGGAAGGAATGAGAAGATGCTATGAAATCCACGCTCCATCCGACTGGAAAACAGCACACCTCGTTGTCGAAACTGGACGTCAAGAAGCCGCGCGATGTGCGACAAGATCGGGACAGGACCACCTGTTATGCGTAACTAATTTGTTCATCGAAGATACTGAAGGAGAAGAAAAAGAAATCTTGTACTTGTCTAAACCATTTTTACATTTAGTATGAGATCGAGCACGAAAAAGAAAATCAACGCAGTACTGTAAACAAATTAAGACTCTGAAAGTTGAAGGAAAGAGAGCACCTGCATCTTTGCAGAGAAGGTGCTGATTGACGATTTCTTTCGCTTTGCGATAACTCTGGCCACATGCCTCGTAACGTCGCTCCCCTAGAGCCGTGTCGAACTTGCAAAACAGGACCTGCAACTGCACTACTGCAAGTAATGCGCGCAAATCTGCCTAGTTCTTAGAGCATCAAAATTCAGACTATTTCTTCACCATGTTCTGAGAAGCCACATGACGATCATGTTCATGATCAAGAGCGCCACATTATATCAAGAGGTAATGCACTTGCACTCGAACTATCTTCTATTCAAGTACTATCGGACTCGACATTTTTTACGCTCCCTGCGAGCCCGGTCTCTACCATAATGTTTGCATTTGCACCAGCATAGTGTGGCTCAGCTTCCTGGTCCAAGCGGACAGCTATTTCGGTCTCGAGATCGGTCAAATCTTCGAACGCACAACAGAAATCCACGCTACCGGGATCGCATACAGCGTAAACGCGCGCAGTCAGATCCGATTGCATACTGATGATGCTAATTCTTGTAGACGTAATTTGCTCTTGTTAGACTTACAACTTTGGTACCAGGACAAGCGATAAAGATTGAGACTGTGAAACAAGGAAAATGAATTCGATGCGAAGTTAGCCAGACAAAGTTCTTGCGCTAGTAGTAGTTCTAGTATTTTATTTGCAGGCATCATTTGAAGGGCAGATGCAGAATCCGCCTGGTGGAGTGCGCAGGGTCAACGATGTTCGACAACGTTCTCTGAGCAACGTCTGATCATGCCGTTCATTCGTCCGGCGCCCAGGACCTATTTCTAGACCAGATAGAAGCAATCACAGAAAAAGATCACAACCACGCGGATACTTTTTGAAATGTTCCCAGAGACCGTCACATAAGCGTTGCTTTGTGGTTGTCAGTGCTGTGAGGTGAAGTCTACACTACGTTATCCACCTGTGCTAGTCGAACAGCGATACCTTCCAAGACCTGCTGTAGTCTTGCTCGGACTGCTCACAGGCGAAAGTATCAGAGCTCAGCGATCCGTACAGATGTTGTATCATTATGTTTCCCATGATCATAGAAGTTCGTTAGTACAGCAAATTCACGTCACCATTGTTCCCTGTGACTGCGTGTAGATGAATTTGTGTTTCCGGTTCTTAGATCTAGTCAAGAAAAAAATGTATCCCACATCAAGATGTGCATGTGCACATTCGTTGCATTGCGTGTTGTAGTTGTAATATCATCTATTTGTAGTACATAGTAATCATCAATCTACTTAATACGTCGAGTTTTCATGAATCATGGTTCGGCGCATCCCAAAGAAATTATTATGCTTCCACGTTATATTGTTTACTGTTATAATTTGATCTCAGTATAGTAGAAATACTAAATCAGATGACACCTCCAAGACGAGGAGTCTGACTTTGAGTAGGCTCTCGTTATTTCTTTTGTTTCCCGTGTTCCCGAAGATTAGCATCAGATTTACACCAAAACAATCTGTACATTCATGAATTACAATCCCTTAGAAGCGTGTGATGTGGTGAAGAGATTTACAGCAGCATGCAGAAACACTCATGCTGATTCTTTCATTCACATCTCGTGGTCGATCAATTTGAGTTTCCATGTCAGCATCATTTTCATGATGTTGTCTTTCCACGGAAACACGTAAATTTGTGCAGCGTCTCTTGCTTCATCAAGAAAAATCTAAATTTCGTTGTGTTCACTTTTCAGCCTAGTCCTTGCCTAAAGATTCGTCTTCTTCCTCGTAGTCCGATTCCTCCTCGTCTTCATCTTTCTTCTCTGACGCTGCATTCTTGACGCCAAATGCGCCAGCCTTCTTTTTGGTAGTGGGTAGTTGCAGCAGCGCGCTGTTTTTGGCTTGACCAACTGTAGTAGTTGGACTACTAATCGCTGCAGGAGTAGTACGCGTGACACTTAATGTTGCAACTACAACGCCAGAAGGACGAGCACCCGGAGATTCGAGAGCTTTATTCGGGTCATAGACGGCGTCTTTGAAGGGACAGGTGGCGGCGTGAGCTGGAATCTCGCAGGCTGGCAAAACTACGGGACAGCCATGAACCATGTGTGGGCAATCGCACCTGTTGTTTTTGATGAATGCGATATTCAGGACTAGACGAGTCTCTAGAGAAAGATGTTGATGCTCTCCAGCAGATATTTCATCATATTTTTTGACACCAAACTCTACCTTTACGTGTATGATGCCGGCAAAACAAGAATTAAAATCTAAATTACAACCGTCGAATACAAAAAACGAATTTGTTATTGTTTATTTTCGTTAGACAGGGGGAATGGCAATGGTTGTCTGCCAAAGCCAATTACAGATACAGAATAGAAACTTCTAAGGCCAACCCAAAAATAAAAAGAAAATCTTCAGTACGGCCGATGTATGCAGATGCAGCGCTCGTGCAAGGTTCGTTCTTTCTCGGATCTCAGACGACATTGACAGTATCGACAGGCGAGTCCAATCTCGCTTTCAAGACGTGTGGTACCCTTTTTTGGTGCTCCTACGGCTGTTGCTCTTAGTCGCGTCGCCCGCGCCTTCATCGCGCTTGATGCGGTTGAGCCGATTGAGGTTGTTGAGGCAATGGACGTGGTACTCCCTTGATTTCGAACGGCCGTTGTCGTTCGTTGCGCGGCCATGATCGGTCGTTGGGTGTTCCTTGCCGCCATCGTGCCCCAATCCATGGTTGCCCTGATAGTACTTGCTGGAGAAGGAGATGAAGAAGGCCCCCCTCGCAAAAAGGTGTCGAAGCCGTGCGCTTGTGGTGCGGCCGTTCGGCGTTCTTTCGTTCCCATGTGCAGACGAGACGCGCGGGACTGGCGCATCATCCGCTTCTCGCGCGCAAGCGCTTCGGCGCCGTTTCTATCGAGGACGCCCTTAGCCTGATCCACACTCGGCGAGTACTGCTCCGGCAAGGCGCTTCGCGGCCGGAGCAAGCCAGTAGTGGCCAAGCTAGATCTGCGTAATCGCGCATTATGTTTTTCTCCTCCGACGAGTAGGTCGACGTCGATTTTCTCACCCTTGCTTTTACTCTTAGCGTGTGCGTGATGCAGTTTGGCGGCACCGTGACCATGTGGTGCTGCCGCTGTTGCCTGGCCGCCAATTGCAGTGGCTATTTTCAACATACGGCCTATGCCCGATCCGTGCTCACGTTTGGCAGAGTCTGCGATGTCCTCCACGAAGTCAGTCTGTTCCAGAGGCACTTCCGCCTCGCGGTCCTTCGGATCTGTCTGGATATGAACGCGATGGAGGCGCGGCTTGCGCGTCATGCCATCAGTCTCGACGACATGCTCGCCGTGCTCTGTCATAATTCCAGCATGGGGTACGCGGCCGCTTTTCCTTGCATGAGCGTGGTGGCTATGCTTCAAATGCTCCGGTGTTGGAGTCATTTCTAAGCCAAGCAGCGACGCTACGTCGGCGTGAGGCTGGTCTACCAGGTGCGCGAGCGTTTTTTGGAACGCTGACATACTCATCACGGGGAACTTGGGCAGATCTGGACACGCGGCAATGTGCGCAGCGAATTGCTCTCCTCGCGTGGTGCGAGGAAAGCGTTTGAGGCAACCGGGACACGTCAGTCTCGTTGACGCTGCGTCGCGTGCTGCATGATCGTTCTCGTGGCGTTTCTGCAGTCCCATTGCCCTTCGCAGTGCATCTCCCGGTGACTCGAAGACGGCTTTGTCCAGGATATTCAGCTTGCCAAATTTCTCGATGTTGTAAGCCCCAGGACCGATGTGGCGATCATCGGAGTCTTCTAACCGCCTAGCTGGGTGAAACGCTCGATCCTTGTTCGACTGCGCCCAACGCGTGCTGCTTCGAATGCGTCCGTTGTGTATGTGCATGTCGGCACGTTCAAAGGAATAAGCAGGCATTCTTTTCGCTGAAATTTTTTCTTCGGGGTGAGCGTAAGCCCCGGGACCCGGAACGCCGACTCCAGGCGGATCTTTCACGTGGTAGGCGCGAAGCGCAGCCTTCGCCTTCCATTTGGTTCTCTCTCTCGCTTCCGCGGCAAGCCTTGCATCAACTTCCGCAAAGGGACCCGACAAGGGCTTCTTTGTTCTGACCGAAGAACCCTGCTTGACCTCCAGATTCTTTGCACGGGTTGCGGCCTCCTGCAACTCCATTTGCAACATGCGCCCACCACGCCCCGCAACGGTCTCGTACACGCCACGCATACTGAGGCGCGTCGCAGTACTGCTTCGCGGCACGTAGGCCGTGGTGGAGGTGGTCGGGCTCGATCCGCCAACGCCAGGCCTTGGCGATAGAGCTGCCGTCAGTCCTCCTCCTAACTTTCCAGCACCTTGCTGCCCGTGCCCAGGTCGTGGCGAGCCCGACCCCCCCCGCGGCGTCGTGGGAACCATCAGAGTTCCCGCAAGCGGAGGGGAGTCGCTGAAGTGTCCACGCTCGAGTGCCCAGCGCTGTTCCGCCGCGCCACCGACACTCGAAACATTCCCGGGGGCGACAAAGTGCACGTAGCCACCACCCCCAATCACAGCTCCGACGCCATTCTCAAGGTCGATATTGCGTCGCTGCTCACTTATCTGATCAAGGCCACCCGCAGCAAGTGCAGAAATACTTCTAGTTACATTGCCAATTATAGGTGCACCTGTGGGAGAGATGGCAGAACCTCGCTGCAGCTGTCCATGACCAAGAGACTTGTTACCTCCGCTAATTGCGCTAATTTGGAGCATCTCATGTTGCAGCTCGTCTAGCAGGTGAGGAACGGTAGGAAGAACCGACTCGAGTGGAACACCGAGGTATTGTTCGAGCGTTGCGGCGGAGCCATCGATGCGGCTCGCTGCCACTAATGCTTGGTATTCGACGAGACCAGCATCGTCTTGCGCCAGATGCTCAGCTGGCAGCGAGACCCCGTCCAAACCCAGAAAGCCGTGCACGTGGAGCGCGTTATAGCGATACCAAAATGCTTCAAATTCGGCGTGGGGCATGGCTGCGTGTTTTTTCCGCAGCGTGGCCTTAGCATCTGCGTTCAGGATCTTCAACGGAGGATGGCTGCCTTGATATTCGAGGATTTTTTGGTAAGCGTCACGCCACTGTGTGTAATTCGCTGCACCAGCGTAATGCTGCTGAGGATCATGACTCTGTGTGTGGCCGGCTGCAGCGCCTGCCTTCACCATCGAGCGTAGAGAGGAAGTCGAGCCTTTGCTACTGTTCGCTTGCTGCAGGCCAGTCCCCTCCTCCGAACCGTCATCCTCGGTGTCTACTTCCACAGCGTCCTGCCTGTTGTCTCCTGACTTTGCTGCCGCCGGCTCAGCTGACAATCCTGTCGAGTCTACACTCCCCTTTTTTACAATTCTCTGCCCGATGATGGGACTGTTTTTGTTTCGCGCACGCTCCCGACGCTCGCGCGCCGGCCCGCGCGCTCGGCTCGCGTAGAGCTCCGGTGGTCGTGCTGGTGCAACTTGAGAACTGGTAAAGTCCGTTAGACGAAGATCAAGGTCAGGGTTGTTTTCTTGTACGATACCGAGATCGGTCGCGACGCTCTTCGCAGCCTCGACGCCAGGAGGGAGTGCCGTAGCTTTCTCACCACCTTCTCGATCTATTTCCGAGGAGCTGAAGCGCCGACTTCCTTTCGCATCAAGCATCTTCGCCGCAAGTTCCTCAGAAATAATGGTCTGGTACTGGCGCGTATCGTCAACCTCGTTTGTTACCGATGCACGCCCTGACGTGGTTGAGGATCTTTTGCTAGTCCGTTGTGATGCGCTACTCTGTCTCTTTGACTTTTGCCTGCTAGCGGCACCTCCAGCATTGCTCCTCCTCTTCATTTGGGACATGCGTTCGTTTGCCTTTTGGGTGTTTTCGGTCGCTAACGCGTCGCCATTTTCATCAGTTTCTGACGCATCCGGATCAATTGTCACCTGCGAAAGTCGATCGTTGACGTTAGCCCTCGCGAATGCCGACTCCTTGCCCTTTGTCGAAGCATTCATTTCGGCAGTGGGTGAGATTCCTTCATCCTCTTCCTCGCCTGATTCTGATGCATCCGGGTCAATTGTCACCTGCGAAAGTCGATCATTGACGTTTGCCCTCGCGAACGCCGACTTCTTGCCCCCTGTCGAAGCGTTCACCTCGGCAGTGACTGCCGCACCTTCCTCGTCTGATTCGGCTGCATCCGGATCAATTGTCACCTGCGAAAGTCGATCATTGACGTTTGCCCTCGCGAATGCCGACTTCTTGCCTCCACCTGTCGAAGCGTTCATTTCGGGAGTGGCTGAGGCACCTTTATCCTCGTCTGATTCTGATGCCTCCGGATCAATTGTCACCTGCGAAAGTCGATCATTGACGTTTGCCCTCGCGAATGCCGACTTCTTGCCCCCTGTCGAAGCGTTCACCTCGGCAGTGGCTGCCGCACCTTCCTCGTCTGATTCGGCTGCATCCGGATCCATTGTCACCTGCGAAAGTCGATCATTGACGTTTGCCCTCGCGAATGCCGACTTCTTGCCCCCTGTCGAAGCGTTCACCTCGGCAGTGGCTGCCGCACCTTCCTCGTCTGATTCTGTCGCATCGGGATCAATAGTGACTTGAGAAAGACGATCGCTAACGTTTGCTCTCGAAAGTGCCGACTCCTTGTCTCTAATCGATGCATCTGCAGCATCCTCTTCCTGATCTGATTCTGTTGCATCAGGATCAATAGTGACCTGCGAAAGTCGATCGTTCACGTTTGCGCGTGCGAATTGCGACTTTATTTCTTCATTTTGCGTAGCGGCGGCAGATGCCCCTGTTGCGCGTCCGCTTGCAGCTTCGGCACTTTTACTTGCACGCCACGATGAGGGACGCTTTGCCACGGATGCGCGCGAGCTTGATGAACTTGCGCGCTTCTTGTTTGACGCACCGAGCGACTCGTCATCATCAGTAGCAACGTCCTCGACGTCTATCGATGCTGTTACCTCAGCAAGACTCAAGCTTTGCCGCTTCTCATCCCTGCGAGCCATAGACTTTCCTGTGGCTGTTGAACGTCCGGCTGGATCACTCGCAGCTGCATCCAAACTCAAGCTTTGTCGCTTCTCATCCCTGCGAGTCAAAGTCTTTTTTCCGCTCTTCCTGCTGCTGTGCTCCACGGGTAACGACGCCCACCAAGTCTCAAACTCGGCTGCCGCAGTTTCACTGTAGTGGGCTCGCGTTTCCTGCTTCGTATACGCGATCTTGTCAGGATCGGCTGGGTCGTAACGCTTCTCACTTTGTTCTTGAGCATCGTCGAGATCTGCACCAGCAACATTTACTTTTGCTGTACTATCTGTTTCGTCGTCGGCATCAAGATCAACCTTATAGTCGTCCTCTCCATCAAGCACCGACTGCAGCAGCACATGACTTGATCTCACAGAAGCGCTCCTAATTGTCGCAGATGGCTGTGTGGTCATCTTGCGTCCTGCAGACGAAGATGTGACACTCGAGGACGAAGAAGTTGCATCGTGCGCCGAATCGCTGAGGCTCACAGTGCCTTCACTGCCTGCTGGCTCGATGGTGTTGCTGCTTTCCTTTTCTTGAGTCGCGACGCGTTGCGATGAGCGCAAACTTCCGCGTTCGTTATTCGCGCTAGCTCTCCAAGTGCGCCCACTTTTCTTTGCCTCGGTCGCAGATGCACTTGACGAGTCAGTTGCGCTTGGGCTTTCGTCTTGCGCACCCGAATCGTTTTTCTTGCCAGCAACAACCGATGACGGAGTGGAAGTAGACCTCGTGGATGAGACAGTGGAGGTAGTCGTTGTGATCGTCGACGTCTCTGTAGTTTCTACCACCTCCTCTTGCTGTTCCATCATGTTACGTGGCTCCCTGGTATCATCCACGAAAACCACTTCCGTCTTTTCTTTAAACTCGATCGAGCGACGAGATTTGCGACCGGAATTAAATTGAGACGAGCGACTGCCACCAGATGTTGAAGCCCGTTTGTTGCTCATCATCGCAATTTCGGTTTCCTGTTCCCCGTCTTCAGTCGGCTTCAAAGTCGCCCACCAGGCTTCGAAGTGTTCCTCCTCGAAATCTTTGTAGTACTCTCGAAATTCCGCTTTCGTGTAACCCTCTTTCTTCGAATCATTCGGGTCGTAGCGCTTTTCATCTGCGCCGTCAGTCACAAAGAGAAAGACTCCGGTGCCAACTTGTTCAGGACAAGAACCATAAGTAGTTCTAGCACTTCGATTCATCATTTCCATTGTGCCGTCGTGGACGAGGTGGAGCTCCGCCTCCGCGGTTGCAGCTGCTGCAACGTTCAGTATTTTTGGCAGGATTGGTGTCGTGGTCCTTTGGGACGGTGGAGCAGGAGTATCAGAAAAAGAGAACGTAAATTCCCAATCCTGCTCTTCGTCACTACTGGCGCATTCACTTGCAATATCATCTTCCTCCAGTGGTGCCTCAGTTTCCGCATACGAATTATCAGCGTATTGATCTATCGAAGAGTGCTTCATCTTCAGTTTTTTGTCATCTGGAAAATAATCATTAGATGCGTCAAGTCTTGCACTGTTTTTTTGTCTTGATTCAGCTACAGAAGCCGAGCCCTCGTTCAATGAAGGACCTACCAACAAGGGGAACTTCGACTTGGGACCATCAGAAGAAGTGGACAAACTGATAGAACAAGGAGACAACTTCGACAACAGCCGGTTGGCTATTTGTTCTCGTTGTAGTCCCGGATCATCGTCTTGTGGAACAACATCGCCGCGAGACTCTTCGTCGCCGAAAAAGTCCTCAACCGCAGATACAAAGCTTTCATCAGACGAAGCGTCCTCGTCTATATCCTTGTGTTCCTCGTCAGCATGGCAAGTCGCGCACTCGTCTTCATCCACATCCGCGTCTTCCATATCTATTTCTCCATAGTAAAGAAAAATATTGCTCTCATTATGGCGCCTGTTAAAATTCGCCGATGCACGCCCCGCTGACTCGCTCATGCGAGGTTCACGGCTCTCCACGATCTTGTTCCGGGATGCGAACTCTTCTTGGCCCTCATTAAAGTTCACAGGTGGTCCCTGGTTGTGGTCCACGAACTCTTTGCTCGCGTGCATGACTCCCCCAATGGTGCGACCTGCTGTTGCTGGCATATTAGTCTTGGTGTCGCTCTTCGACGCCGCTGCCGCTTTTTTTCTCGCTGCATCAGCCTCGGCGTGCGCTGCCCGACGGGTGGCTTCCTCGCGGTCTCGGGCAGTCTCGTTGAGGCGTTGGATTTCGGCCGAAACCATCCAGGCCCCAGGTTCTGTGCCATGATCATACCACATCTTGTCCACATTCCTCATGCCGCGTGCAACGGGCTGGTCGTGGCCTCTTCCCGGCTGATTCCCGAACGGCGCTTCGCCGACCCCCAAGTGGCCCGTGTCGAGAAATCCTCCAGGGACTACGTCCAAACCCCGCTCCGTGGGACTGACATTGGCACGCCGACCCTCCCCCAGTACAAGGTTCTCAGGTGCGTACGCACGACGTGCGCAGAGCTCTCTCTCCTCGACTCGGGTCGCAAATGCCTCCACCTGCGCTTTTTCTTGGCCGTTCCAGTGGATTGCGGCTGGGACGTTTCCATGGTAGTCGTACACACCGTTCTGGTGGTAGTCGCGCTTTAGCTGTCCGCTTGTTGGCATCTTCGATTGGATCGCTCGTTGCTCGTGGGCGTGCGCCGTTTCCTCTTTACGAAGTGGCCCACTCCACTGCGTGTTGATATTGAAGTTCCAATCCTCGTAAAAGTCTTTGATGCCCGTTCTCTTTTGCTGGGATTGGCTAGCACCTCCTTCTGCGTGATCCTGGCTCCCGTGCTGTGGTCCATCTGCGGTGGCGTTCTGGGCGGCATCTTCATAATATTCTTCCTCGACATGCGCTATCTGAAGACCCCGACTGTCACCAAAATCAAGCCTTTGTCTCCCGAACCGAGGTTTACTCTCGGCTGCTGCCCTTTTCTTCGCCATAATGCTGTGCAGCCCCTCCTCTTCCTCCAGTCCAACCTTGTAATCACCGCGTGCCCTGATTTCCGTCTTCTTCAAATGAAACAGCTTCGGATCCTTCTCCAGCGCTGCCCGATCTGTGATAATCAATGTGAGATAGTAGAGATCAATAATACCGTCTTCATGTTGTTGAGTCGCGACATGACACCAAGGCCAAGCCCCAGAAGAACTGGTAGATAAATAAAAGCTAAGTAGATCTTTTGTGGATCAGCTTCATCCTTGAGAGAAAAGATCATTTATCCTAATGTCAAAAAGGCGAATTAGAAAAACGAGTGCGCACAAATATGCAGTTACTTTTTTGCCACACCGAGGCCCTTGCTTCTACACTAGGCACCGTCACCTTGTCAGTCTCATGAAGCAAAACGTTACAAAATCAAGAGACCTTCAGCAAAATAATCCTTGTCACGTAAAATACGCTAGAATCCCATTTCAAATTGTTATTCTCTAGAATGTAGCACCAAGTGGCTCCCCGCCGCCCAACCCTGGCAGGCCGCAACCGTAGTCCCGTTGATACGGTGGGAGCTTCTCGTTTGCGATTTTCGCGAGTTGCACAGGGTTGTCTCCAGTTTTAGCTTCAATGTGTGGCGCCAATAGGTGGTAATCTTTCTGCCAGTTCGACGCCGTGACTTTGCCGTTGATATCGAAATCCTTCTTGTCACCATGAGCGGAACGAATGTACTTGCTTTCAGCGTAGAGTTGCTTCGCTTCCCGTGACCCATCGCGAACGTCGCCTGGATCGAGCTCGTTGCGCATCTGTGGCCACCAGGCAGACACTTTTGGGGTCAACGGCTTTTTGGGTTTGTTCGAAAGAATACCACCCAGCGGAAAATAGCCGCCATCCTGCCCAATGAGCCCGTCCTGCCGACCATCCGGATACGGACGACCACTGATGAGGTCGTAATTCCGGATATCGGGATCTGGCTGCAATTCTGCGGCCACTCGTTGTTGAGTGTCGCGCTCATTTTCAGAGAGGTGCTGATACGAATCCCGGCCCATCACACGTCCATTCATGGCTGAGTAATGCTCCGAAACACGGTGGTCTCCCGGCATTTTGAGGAGAGCGCCCGCGTACAATCACAGAATTCCAAGCTTCGGACAAAGACAGCTCGGCAGTTGGACCGAAAACAAAAAATGATACACCCAACGATGCTCGAGGGAGGTGTAAGGTGTCCTTTCTAAGATTGATACTGGAACTGGATGGCTACTGGAGCGATGTAATATTAACAGCGAAATCGAAAGTTAGGGGAAATGATACAAAAGTCAACCGAATTGATGCGAGGAAGCTGAATCAGAGATTCATTGACAGTCGCATTTAAGAAAGGTGTTCTACATGTTTATATATAAAATAAAATCTGGGGAAAGGGGGCATTCAAAAAAATACTGTTTTGCAATTTGGCGAGGATTGACTGTCACACTGACGCCACACACGGAACTACTGAAAGAAAAGTCTGAACCACTCCTGAAATTAGCTATGGCACATACATAGCTGTCATCTGCACAAACTCTCTCCAGGTCGATCCAGAATTTCTCACAGACAAATCAGATCAGTTCGAACATCGGAGTCTGGTCCTTGACTCTCTCACAGATCTTCGCATCCTGCTCACGCCAGACAGAAATAGACTCGACCTCCACTGCCATTTTTTCAAGAATAGCGTCAAGCACCTATTTGATCCACAGAAGAGATGATTGCTGACGGAAGAGGTCCAAGATTGAATGCATGTTGACTTCCGAATACCAGATACTTCACAGAAGTGTACTGTTGCATTTGACATGAATTCTCGAACTCCATCTCTCAAACTCCAGTCGTAATTTTCTGATGCCTCATCAACAACCACGGTTATCTTTCAGCTTTCATCTTTCCTGACAAGGAGCACATGTTTCCTAATTACATCACATTTTCGAGGTTGTTTCCAGGTTCTACCGACAGGCACCGAGTCATGGATGCGGGAAAACGCATTATCGAAGAGAGCCGCCTCCCAAAGCAGCCTCCTTTTTTTGGTGCGCTGAACATATTGACACTCCGAACTTGTCACTGACCTTCAGCGTGTGACACTATGGCATGCGTGAGCAAAAGCTTTTAGTAGACATCAAGGTAACTTCTCACAGAGGTATCATCCGTTCAGGTTTTCCACTTGGAGTCACGGCTTATGAAAAGCATACACAATAACAACCGACGTGAAGTCCATCGCTTGATGCTTCTGCCAAAATATCGGCAGTAGCTCGGCATCCATATCCAAGCGCGACATCCGTGTACTGCGAAAATCCGTCCTTTCCGCTCAATGTACCCGAAGAGGCTTACTTGCTGCGGCGAGACTTCAGCTCAACCTTCGTGAGAGCCGGAGTCAATGACTGAGCCAGGCGGTCAGCCTTGCTCTTGTCCTTCACGACAAGAGTGTACCTGCGTAGAAAGATTTGTGTGTTGGGATGACACGGCTTGTTCTAGCATCAAACTGTAGGTAAAATCTATATTTAGGTACATCAATGGATTTATAAGTCATCGCGAGTTCCTTTAATGTGTTTTTCCTAAATCCAGTTTCCAGCAGATGAACTTTCCTTCCTGGTTTCAACATCCACATCCAAAACATCTTCTAAACAGACAGGCCTTTAATTGATGTAGTGAGAAAACGAGCGCAAAACTACAAACCAAAAAAAAATCGGAATAGGTACAAGTAGCGGCTGCATCGGATCTTGAACTTGGTGGCCTCCGGCTTGCGAAGGATAGTCACCCTCTTAGCGTCCTTGCGGCGCGATTCCTGAAGGAATTTACGGATTTCGTGAATCTGCTTCGGCATCTTTGCAGTTGTATGGTCCTCTAGGGAGCAAGAGTCTACCTCTACCGTATTTTTCCCTGCGCAAATTGCGATACAAAAAAACAATTTATGGCTCCGCTTGACAATATGGAAGATATACACTTCTTTGAATTATGACAGTCGTGCTTGATTGAGAGATTGGTTTTTGATCTTATGGATCATTTCTATTCCGAGCAGATCATAATTTTGCGACCCCAATGATGAGGACACGAACATGTAATTACTTCTTTAGATCTTCTTGATTGGATCTAAATTCACCCCCGCCGACTATTCGCAATGATAAGGCTCAGATGCGTTTTCTTCGCATTTTGGAATATAGATCAGAGTGGTACTCATCAAATTCAAGATCGAAATCTCCTTGGAACATATGGATCAGCATCACACTTGAATTTACTTCGGGCAAGATCGTCTTATATTTAGATCTTAACATGAAGAAGGGGCCGAAAAAATTTCTTGCGATTGTGCAAATTTTCTAAATTTCTTGCTCGACGAACTCGACCTGGAAGTTTCACATTAGGCATGGGTCTTTTTCAAACCAAAGTCGTCATCAAGGGAACAGATATCTTGTGCTCTCGTCAAGCTATTCGTTTTGTGGTCACTGCGAAAACACGAATACAGGGAACTCGCACTGGGTTTAGTAGATGAAGCCACACGCGCAGGCAATCGCCTCCGCAATTTACAAAAATGAGTGGTTTCAAAAAATTTCATGTTGTGGATCAAAAGCTTCGGTTGCGGATGGTGGGCTTCACCACCGAGCTCCCTTTGCAATTACGAAAAAGTAGAAGCCCCATTTTCTGGTGGGAAGGGGACCCAAATTCTCCTCCATCTAAAAAATCTGCATGTGAAAGATATCTAAATTTTGGTCAGCGTCAGCGTTGAGTTAAAAATTGTCAGAACCAATGAGCCTGTCTGTGCATCAATCATGAAGTCAGAGAAGACCACATTTAGTTGTAGAACATCGCGCAAATTATTTCTAAATTATGTAAGAGGTTGAGCTATACCACACACGAACTAGTGGAACCCGTGACTGGTTCTATTAAATGACTTTTGCTACGTTTTTCAGCTTGTCCACCAATTCGTTGACATCGGCCACTTTGACACCCGCGGCGCGTGTTTCCGGTTCCTCGACGCTGAGAACCTTCACTCTCCCCGCCAAGTCTACGCCCAGTGAGTCGGCGTCGATTTTATCGAGCGGCTTCTTCTTTGCTTTCATGAGGTTCGGCAGCGTCGCATATCGCGGATCGTTCAATCGCAAATCCGTTGTTACAACCGCTGGCAGAGCTACTTTTAGAGTCTGGATTCCAGCGTCGATCTCACCTAATAAGGGAAAAAACAAGAAGCCATCGTAGTTAGCAATACTAATACTGAGCCAGCTTCTCTTCTCGCTTCATTGTGTCACCTTGCTTGTGCAGACTGAACTCGCTAAAAGACAGAAGGGGAAAGCGAATCTGTATGTGCATCAACAACAAGGTCGCAAAAAGCAGAACTGTATTACGTTCCACGACCAGTCCATCCTTGGCGTCGCTGAAGCTGCATGCGGAAGTGAAGGTCGATTGTGACCAGCCGAGTAGACCTAAACGTTGTCGTGCAAAGGTGAAAGCAGCTGGGGTGTAACTCGTTAAAAGAAGGCACCACTTATTAAGAAGAGGTAAAAAAGGAATATTACATAGAATTAGATGATCTAAATTTTTCGTGTTCTTCTTGCTCACTCAGAACGTTGAAAACCCATTACCTGCGAGAATCTGTCCGGTCTGATTGCTGTCCGAGTCTATTGCCTGCTTTCCGCATAAAACAAGGTTAGGGCCCTCTTTCTCCACTATCTTCTGCAGGAGCTTTGCGACTGCCTGGGAGGTGATGCGGTCACACGATCGCAGCGTGTCTTCTGCCTACGCCTTTATTCATCATCGTCACTGTTCTTGATCTTGAAGCAGAAAGTAATTACGCCAAAAACTAAAGTAATTTGCAATGTTCAGCTTCAGGAACAGGAAATGGAAATACCAGTGGCTGTAGGTCTTGATCAGTTCTCAGGTCCGTTTTTAGCAGGATCGCCCGGTCTGCGCCCATTGCGAGACTTTGTCGTAACGTCTCCTGTGCCTTGTCCGCTCCTATTGAGACGGCTATGAGCTCGGAGAGGATGCCTTTTTCCTTCATTCGTATCCCTTCCTCGACTGCGATTTCGCAGAACGGATTCATCGACATCTTCATATTTTTGATTTCCACACCGGCTTTGTCCTTCGCCACTCGGACTTTGACGGCGTAGTCGATGACCCGCTTCACGCAAACGATACCCTTCATTGTCGTTGAGAGAAGTTCTAACTGCAGGATGGTGTATGGGCAACCACACGCTGCCGTAACGCGACACTGCAACGCCGTCCGTCGTGTGCTCGTTCGTGCAAGAAAATTAAGATCTGTCGCGGCGCCGTAGAGATGTTGCTAACTCGCTTCGACAGTAGCACGAGGACGACTGGGATCCTGCATCGCCAAATTCGCACCCAGAAAGGTCGTCTCAGCGCCAAGGTTCGCACGGAAAGCCCCCCGCAACGCCAACGCGACAAACTTCCACGGGTTTACTGGCCTACATTCGAATACATTGAGAAATGATGCTACAGGGTTCTCTTCACCTTGTGGATTCTCAATCCAGTAAAACATCAACTAAATAAGTGTTGAAGACCGAGGGTATGGGTAGCCAGCATTGGGTGGATGAGTTGTAACTAAGGCTCAATTTTCGTCTTTCACTTTCTTTTGGTTTATCTCGTTTTTTTATTGCGAATGAGTTTGCCTTCGTCCATATGCTCTGCATGCGGAGCGACAAGTCTCTCTCAATCGAGCTGATTACATGAGACGTTGTTTTAGCACATACTTTGCACGAGACGCACGCCCGGGTGTCACAAGGAATCTAAAGAGCCCTCACTCTTTCCTCGTTTTTCCAACTGCCATATGTCTCTTCCGCATCTCTTCATCTCATCTTCGAGGGGTCGCATCTAGATGCGCGCCTGCGCTCTCTTGTAATAGAAGTTATTTTGTTGGATCTTCCCGACGACGTGGGAGGTGTGAAGCAGCTGCAGGAGCAGGTCGCAGACCACTTTGCCAAAAACATTATTTCGTTTTCCCGTTGATCGTGAATTGGCTATCAAAGGAATAGAAAAATGGCTGTTCTTGCAGTTGTACTGGGAAGCAAATTGAACTTTCCCTCTCCTGATCACAAATCTCTGATTAGAGTCCACTTAGCCCCCCATCTGTCTAGAGTTCTCCACCTCGCCGGCCTTCTGGTGGTGGAGCGCTTTGTTGTTGACCAAGTGCGGCCTTTTCCTTCTCTTCTTTCGCGCGCTCGTCCTCGAGAGCTTTTTTCGCTTTGGTGCTCCATTCTTGCTGCCTCCGGATGTATTCTTCGTTGGCTGCGTCGTCGTTTGCTTTCAGCAGCATCCAGCCGACATCTCCCGGCTCTAGCACTAGCATCGGCTCCAAGTTGTTTTTTGTTTAGAGGCGGAAGACAAAGTCAAAACAAGAGATGCTTCGCTGATCGTTCCGTGTTGTGGTTTCCATCACTTCATCAATATCTCGACACAACCCGTTGTGCTAGTTCTCGTACTCTCTAATGATGAAAATAAATATTTATAAAAAGTTCAAGAAAAATCATAACTCTTCGCGAATGTTTCCACCGCTTCTCTTACACCTGGATGTCCCGCGCGTGCTCCAGCCATGACCCCACCAGGCAAAAGTATTTCCCACCAGTCGGTCATATCCCGCAATACTGCATCTTTCCCCGGATTGTTATCGACGAAAACCAATCGAGGTGGTATATCCCCAAACTCGTATCGCGGATCCTGCTTCATCCATAACCGGAAGAAGCTGAAACTAAATTCCCGCACCTTGGTTCAAGGTCGAGAAGGCATGAACATGATGATGCTGTGTGGTCGACGCAGACGGAGTTTGCTTCTAAGACACCGTAGAAAAAAGATGCTCACCAGGTATTATATCTGCTGCACCTGCAGGAGCATTGATTTGATCTCTTCATCATGCTTACTCGCAGAGCCATCAAAGATCCTTCCGAAAACGACCGAGGACTACGTACTTATTAGAAGTACCATACTATATCGGCCTTGTATTGTCGTGTCTTGCATCAGGGTAACCCGAATGTTCTCGTAGTTTATCTGATGCGTTCGATCGTCGACGTTAAACTCAGGGTCATCGTAGCCATTGAGTATTAGGAAGGGTGGCGATCAATAGGGACAGTAGACCTTCTACAAATACCCAGTCTAGAAGTCGTCGGCGTTTCCCCTCCTATTCAAATTCATCTGTTCCTGTTGTTCGACTAGAGGAAAAAGTTGGCCGTCAACACTACAGTACAGACCGATCGTGATTAGACTTCGTCCAGGAGGCCTTCACTCCATAAAAAGATGTGAATGAACGGATCGCACAAGTACAGTACGCCATTTTTCCATTGCTGAAGGAATTGTCGGGCCCAATTTGCATCGGGTCCCAAACCCAGAACGATTCCTATGCCAGTGCCAGCATTTGTAAAGAGACTCCCCAACTCTGCCCACCCACTAGCGCCAATCATCCAAGAACCTTGTTGGACCAGGCCTGCTAAAGTCTCCACATAGGGGTCTCTAGTGCTCAGCAGCGCTTGTTGCTGCTGCAATCGCTCCAGCGAGGTTGGAGCAGGTGGCGGTTGAGCGAAAGCAAAGAAACTTTCACGAGGTCCAGGTCGTGTCACTATACTGGCTAATTTAGCGACGTTCTTTGACGGGGAACTCGACCTTGTCCGGATTGCAGATGATACGTCCGTTGCGCAAGTCCTCTGACGTGCGTCTTGATTGTCGCCGCCAGTGTTCGACAACATATGACCTTCTCGCCCCGACGCTGAACACGACAATGCTGGATCGGAATGAAGATCGGGGTCGATTCGGGGTTCCCATGCTCGTCCTACTTGTACTTCCCTCTCGGCAGCATAATTTTCGAGTCCCACGTGCTCCCATTCCCATGGAATCAATATCCGCGATGTCAGATGAAGGATATTATCGCCGAAGTGAAGGAGTGTGCCAGATAATCGCAATCCCACATACGCAAACAACGCCGTGCGAGCGGCAGAGGGAAGAAGTCGTGCCGTCATCTTTAGATGTACTCTCTCGTCATCATGTTCTTGAATACTTTATTCGCTGGCCTTTCGATGGCGCTCGAAGTAGTTCTATAATTTTCTTATTCACTACCACGCGCACGCTCCACAACATACATATATAAAAATGCGTATGACATGCATCTTGTCTCTCAGTCTCACTTTATTGATTTTCAGACGTCAAGAAGTTGGGTCAGCTTCAAGCATATTTCTCCGGACCGAGTAGTACAGGACGAGCTTGCGTAGGACAATTTGTTAATGTAGTTTAAGCTAATTTTTATACAGCCACAAGATGCAATAGCAACTGCCGTCTTTCCATGAATTGCCCGCCGAACAATGACGAGTCGGAAATGCCCAGCATATGTTTCGTCGAACTTGGAGAATGGGTTCATGCTTTTCTGCGTTCAAACAACAGCAACGTCATGGAACTAGGATCTAGAGCAGGAACTCGGACACGCAGGAGGTCGCACCAGAGACAAAACCAACAATTTCAAGTATGATTTAGAGTCTTCTGACCGCGAAAAACTTAGCAATCTCGTGGGATGTTGTGCCCCGGGGAATGCAGAGTAGAGGTGTAGTCCTCAACGAGATCTTGTTTGGACAAACTATATCGTATCAGATAAATATCGGTATCGACTATCCCGAGACTAAAATCTCCTCGTCGTATTTTCTAGGAAAAGACGACAATGGCCACGCATTGTCGGAAGCGAATGAAAGTAGGGACTACATTTATCTTGACTTTGACAATTACTCTAACCTATATAAGGGCATGAAAATTGTAACACGTCTGTCGTAATAAAATTAAACGAACTCAACTTTCCATTCTTCAACCATTGCGCAATGCAACGAGCGCGACGAGTTTTATGAGTGATATGAGTCAAGACTCAAGAACAGGAGAGGAGGGCGAAAACGGGATTTTGCCTACTTGCCAATTCCACATGAACATCGATCAGATTTTACTTATTCCTGAAAATCGGTGGCAGCCTCTGCTAAACCTAAACCTAGTAATTGTAATCTACTATAACCTCTGCTAGTACCGCACATTGAACGTCACCAGATTTCATATTCGTCGTCACCAGATGTTCATTGTTCGCCTGACATCTTCATCAATGACCTTAACGTCCTAACATGATTATACAACTGGGCTTGGTGCGTCTAGTGTTTTGCAAAGTTCCGGTGGTGCAGTCATCCGGAAAGCTGATAGAATGCTACTGCTGAGGGCAATAGCCTTCCTCCTCTTTCTTCTTTGGCCGACCTCCACTGCTTCGCCGCTTCGCAGCCACGGGAGATGGTCTGTTGGGAAAGGATGTTTACACGAATGATTCGGAACACAAACTCGTCTCAAGAACGTCGATAAATGTACAATTCAGTTGACGCTGACTGAAGAAGAAGAAGATGATGTACAAAAACAAAGACGATGGAAGGAGTATGTTTAGGGAGAAGATTACTCTAGTACGCATAGAACAGAAACAGCATCAAGTCCTCTTGTTGATCTTGTGATGGAAGAAAAGAACTCAGTATTAAGAGGAATACGAACACAGAAGTCATGTAGGCAATACTCTTCGGCAGCTCCAAACACCTTTTCGAATATCCCAGTACTGCAATGTCTCTCTATGAAACTTTTTTCCCGCTCTTGTACTGCTCTTGACCTGGTCGTGGTGGGGAGAGACCACTTGAATGACGTATCGATACCAAATAGAAATATGGATATGCATTGATTAAATAAATGCAAATGAATTCCTCCATACCCACACTATATTCTGATCCAGTAGAGTACCAAGACAACTTTTTCGACAGTGACATTCACTCTAGTACTCAAGAGAATATGTCGGTAGAGGATGATGTAAGTGGCTGTCAATTATACTTTCTTCGTGGTGGCGGTGGAGGAGGAAGAAAGAGAAAATCTGTTGCGATGCTCTTCTGCTCCATCTCGGGACCATACAATTCGTAAGCATGCTGGCCAAGAAAGTTCAACGCGTAGTGTAGTTCTTCACGCTGTTCTCCCTTCTTCAAAAACCCAGTGTTGATAAGATTTCTCCGAGCAATGGGTGTACTAGCTTTTTCTTTGGTCGTCTCAGGAGCGGTAGGCGGGGTAGCGTGATGACCTGTTCGTAGTTCAGCGAGCACGATTGTTGTAGCAAGAGTTTGCCTGATTGGAATTGTATCGTAGTTCGTTTCGATCAGTGGTCACACAGTGGACATCAAAAAGAAAGGACATCAACATCAAGATGTACTAGTTGTTGTTTCTCGCCATTGTTCCAACTTATACCTATGAACTTCTTCATTTACAGGAGTAGTCGTAGTAGTATTAGTAGTGGCATTAAACCCGATCCAGGGTTACGCGCACATAAGAAAGTTTCTCATGCGCGCACATAAGAAAGTTCCTTAAAGAAACAGGGATTACAAATTGACGTACCTAGCCAGAGCAAAATATTTCGAGCTCTTTCCATTTCGGCCGTAACGCGAGCTTCCTCTTCGATCACAGTTGGGCTTCGTGATTCTTGCTCCACCAGATGCTGTCGCGCTTTTTCCGTCTTGGGCGCTGCAGACGCAACGATTTCAGCGAGAGATGGCAGCTCTGGCGCTTGTGGCTGTGCTGATGCGGCATTCGCTGTCGATGTTGATGTTTGAAGATTCCTCATGTGCCTTTCACTGCTCACTTTCCCACCAACATCTGCATGTTGCGCTTCGGATAAGTGGACAATGTTTGTTGGCGAAGAGGAACTACTACTACACTCTTCCTGTGGTTTCGTATGCTTTGGTTGAGATCTGGTGCTGCAAGAACTGCTGGAGGATGAAGAACAACTGGAAGATGTTGGTGTTGCAGTGCCAGGGATTTCGTCTTTCTTGTCAGTAGAAAAGGAGCTGGCTGAGGAGGTGCCAGCATTGTTCTTCGATGAAGGCGGTCGTGCGGCCATTTCGTCATGATCCTCTGTATCCTCGACCTCGGGAGGCGAGGCTCCCAAGCTAGAAATTTCGTCGGAAGCACCACTCGACCTTGCTGAAGCGCGTTTCTCGAGCACAATGGTTTCCCCTTCACGACCTGTTTGATTCGTAGTGCTCTCGTCCTCTTTTCGCGGAGATATGCAGCTCGTAGCCTCAAGGGGAATATCGAAATCGGGTGACAGGGTCTTCTTCAATTGTCCTCGGGACCATCTATCAGTACTAGACCCTTCTCCTCCGTGGCCTACAGCATCTGCACCTGGTGTGGCCCTCGCATTATTTTTTAACGAGGAAGATTCCGCATTCGCACTTTCGTCGAGAGCAGCCGAAACCACCCCCGTTTTATCTTCTGGTGGTGCTTTTGATTCTACTTGGACGGATGAACTCGAGATTGCACTCTTCCCTGTAGATGCAGCTTCTGGTCCTTCTTCTGGTACTGAAATATTCGCATCGGCCACAGTTGCCGATGAAAGCACTTGTGGATCTGCAGCTGTGCGCTCTGGAGTCTTCTCATCTTTCGCTAACGTAGTATTTAGTGCTGTGGCCACTGCTTGATCTTCGCTCCTTTTGTTATCAGCTTCCTCGACCAACGCAGTGCTGCGATTGCCTTCTTGTTCCTCTGTACTCGTTTCCTCTTCTGTTCGATTCTCATTACTATCTCCGGGCATGAGCATTACCGCATCCTCGTGCAGCCCCGGTATTATTCCAGCTGTATTCGAGGTTGAGGAAGGTGGAGCACTCGCCTCGTCGACGTCGAGTTGAACCAAACTTCCGGTAACTATTCGGTTTTGGCAGACAACCGAAGGTTCGTCAGTAGACGAGGGGATAGGTCCTATAGCAGGAGTGGGAGATGCGTCGCGATTGACCACGTCCTGGGCACCCCCATGGTGATGTACATTATCATCTTCAGCAGCAGCAGCAGCAGATAGAGACGGGGCTGCACTACTCCTGCGTTGTTCGTCCCTCTTCTGCTCAGCATCATTATGATCGTCAGTATTTGAGGAATTAGAAGCGACTTCTGGAGCATCTACACAAGTCGCCTGATCTTCTCCCGTATTTTGGTTTTCTTCAGCATTACTAGCCACGGCTCCTGCCAAACTAGCAACTGGAACTGCTGCATCTCCATCTGTCGTCTGCGCGGCCCCTTCTCGTAGTTGTTCTCCTGCTCTCAAATTTTCTCCATCCTCGCCATCGTGTCCGTGTGTGGCTACAGCGTCATCGCTCTCTTGCTCTGTAGAAGAGCAACGTGCAGGTGGCTCGTTTGTCACCACTGGCGCAGGAGCAGGTGCGGCCCATGTCCCACATCGATAGCGACCTGTCACCTCTTCAAATGCCGCGGATGAAAACGTCGGATGCGTGGTGGACGATGTTGGCAAGGTTTGCTGCCGCGTATGCGGATTGAGAAGATGTTGATCCGAACTCGCTGAGGGAGGACGGAGTTTTTGAGACTCGGAGCGACTGCTGGCAGAGCCGAGGGTTCTCAAAGCCGTCGAACTTGTAGTTCCGGATCGTGCAGAACAACTAGTGGAGCTGCTGGCGCTCTCTCCTTCACCACGAGTAATCGGCACGTAAAGTTGGTTCTTATTTCCAGCATGACACCCCAATAACACAGACGAGGAGAACGAGGACGGAGCGCTACGAGGTGTAGGAATGTCATCGAGCCTAACCGCGTCGAATCCAACAGTCGCCGGGGCGGAACGAGACCATGTGAGTTCTGGAAGCGAACTATTGGCCAGTGTTTTGATAGTGATGCTCGCATCGACACCAGTTCGATCTCCGTTTTCTCTGCTTGCTGCTTTGTCTTTGATATCTTCATCTGCCTGTTGAGGTGGAAGGGACTCCCCGTCCTCCTCTTCAGCAGCAGCGCGGAGATGATCATTCTCGTTGCACGTTACCGCATCTTCCGCATCCTCTGCGTGGCTTTGCGGAAGTGATGCCAGGGGTGAAGGCATTATTTGGTCGATAACCTGGGACAAAAACGCTTTTGCTGCCTTTTCTTCGCTGGGAGCTTGATGTTGGGCTTCATCAGCTACGACCTCGACTAGCGGTAATCCACTATCTCGAGAACTTGTTCTTGCAGATATCCTCGTCCCGTTGTCGTTCCCAACATCTTCCGTAGTAGCATTCGCGGGTTGCACACCAACGGCGTTTGATGTGGCCCCTGACGAAGATGAAGCAGGCAGTGGCTCGTCTATTTTGCTTTCGTCGTGGGCATCATGGCTTTCGCAGCCGCCAGTAGACGACGAAGCAGTAGCTGTTGAACAAGAACCAGCAGCAGCACCAGGAGAGTAACTCGGTTCACCGTCTCCCTGGTGAATATTCTTTACTATAGTTTGGTTTAGCATAGAAGTTTGGTCCTCATGATCCAAATTGCGCGAGCGGTCGGCATCTATCATCATATCGGAGGGAGTGGGAGGTGGCGTGCTCATGATGAGGCCATCTTTCTGTCCAGGAGCGCCGTTTTTCGTGCTCTCATTTCGCCTGAGAACACGCACACTACCAGGGGTAATGGCAGTTGCTGTTGGCGATGCTCCGTCTGCAGGTGTTCTGCTTGGAGTGTGCAACTTCTCCTCTGAAATAGTGACAGTGCCTTCTTCTACCTGCAACCCCGTAAACACTGTCGTATCCTTCATCTCCACCTTACTGGGATTCTCAAACTCGCCATTAGGCTGTGAATTCCCTTTTTGGTGTGGAGAACAGGAGGAAATCGGTCTCAAGGGGCTACCTTTTGGAGCGTTGCCTTCTGGGGTACTGGTACTTCTTCCTTTCGGAGTGCGACTCTGATCTTGACCTCCACCCGTCGGCTTCCCTGCTGTACCGTTATGCCGAGAGCCCATGGAACTCCATTGCGACTCTGGCGTTGGACTGGAACCATTGAATCCTGGCAAAAGAAAAAAGCAGAGATTCTTTGGATACAAGAACAACAAGCAGAACGAGTGGAAATCAAAATTCAAACAACATAATTAACGCAAAAAAATCTTCTATCCATTCTGTTGCAAAAAAAAGTACCAGCGTAGTTCCCAGAGCTTGCGTCTGGTGTGCCTGGCGATGCCATCTGATGAGTATATCGCGATGTTGTATGTTGGTATCGCGAGCGGGCGTGCTCGTCTACTGCCTCATTCTCTGCCCAGCTTTTCTGTCGCCAGTTCGTGCTTGTGTTCGCATTCGTTGACGTGTGCCATCTCGAAAGGGGCTTTTGATGTTGCTGTCCAGGCTGATGCCACGATCCTGCTCCTCCAGCACTGAAAGTAGAATTTCTTGAGGGTGTTGATGACGTAGACTCATGCTGTCCGTGGCCGCCTTGCTGGTAGTCGTATTGGCGCTGCCCCTTGTTGCTTACCGGAACCGGATGCGGAGTGACACCATAATTGTTTGTGTATTGCTCCCCATTTTCGCTGCGATTGCTCCATGGACCGCAAACTCCATTATCGCTGCCAGCTGAAGCTGCTCCCAAAGATTTAGCCTTGTTCAACATTGACGCGGCTTGTGTCTCGTGATGAGAAGAAGAGGTGCTGCCTTCTGGCAGCGCTGCTTCACCACTTGATGAGGCAGCGCCTGATTTGCTACTTTTACCGCCTGCTGCATTGTCGCTATTCATTTTCTTCTTACTCTTTCCTTTTTTTTTGGAGTTGTTGAAGGCCTCATAAGACAGACGGCTGCCTTCGGCGTTCGCGTCTACCGAGGATGCAGACACTGGTGGTGAAGTTGCTGAAGGGACGAGGTAGTTCGCTTTGCCGGAATTGTAGTGAAGTGCTCCCGCCGCAGTGCCCCAACCCCCATGATGATAGGTGTTACTACTACTGCTGCTTGAGCCATAGCCGACCCATCCGGCAGCTGGACCACGACCATGGTAGGTATTATGATTATCTTGGTGCTGATTATACGAAGCCGCACCTGCGAGAAGCCACCCATTATTGTAGTTTTCTAGAGGGGCACTTGGGTACTGCGCCCATGAGTGGTCAGCGGGGGCGCCAAGGGTTAAAGCGGCACCGCCGTGCAGATGCTGCTGCGCCGGGGAGGAATTGGTGCCCGCAGCACTTCCCTGTTGTTTATGGTGCGCTGGTGGCGCGCTTCCGCTGGATGTAGGTGTGCTCGTCATGTTCGTGTAAGCAGCCTGCTGGTGGTCGTGGAGATCTACCCAGGAGGCAGCTTTGCTTTGAAGATTTTGTTGATAACCACCGAGAGCGTGTGGTGGTGGTGGTGGTGGTGGAGCCTGTCGTGCTCGATGTGGTAGTATGTGCATGGCTTTCTCTAGTGCGCTCCCCCCGTTTGTATCATTTCTTGATGATCCGTCTATATTTGTGGTAGAACATGCGCTATAGCGGGCAACGTCGCCGTATGATTTTTGTTGCTTCTGGTTAATTTCCGTCTTCTCGTCAAGCAGCTCGTTAACTGGCATTCTCGTCTTTTTCTCTTCTCCTGTTTTCGCAGACGTAGTCTCAGTCACCCATAGCTGCTTCTAGACAGACGCAGTAAGGTTGAAAACACATGCTCTTGTTCTGTTTCAAACAATGGAGATGTTGTACAAATGCGTGGTATCAACTTTTGCACGACCCCTCGGCGAGGGAGCGCAAGAGAAAGACGGACCACATGCAAGAATAAGACGAGCAGCTGGCGGAGGACATAATAGAAGTAGACTCAGGCATCTTCTTCCTGCTCGTACTGCTACTGAGAAGGTTCTAAGAAAAATTTATCATAAGAACAAGAACAATATCAAAAATACGACGACAGCTCTAGGAAAATTTGAATTATCAATTTCATGAAATATTTACGAAAATTCTGATTGAGAAAATTCGAAGTTAATTATATATACGTTGAATGAATTTTAGAGTGAATGAATGAATTCGCCGAACTTGAGGTGATGCAGTGTTGCGTTGATCATCTATACCAAAAAGATTGATGAAAGAAAAAGATGAACCAGCAAAAACAAAAATAGATACATACACGAAAGAACTGATCAAGGATGTCAATGACTTAGGTCGGAGTGAAAGAACTCACAAGTTGTGAATTTTCAAAATTTCGAGTGAGAGAATCTTGCTGAATGAGGAAGAACAAAAAAAGCATTTACCATAGATGAACAAGTAGGGTAGACTGCATGTACAATAACGGTGATATTTTTCCTCGTCATCAGTTTATAGATGCATCGTTTGTTCCCTACTTCATCTACTAGATGTACCTAGACTGCTCGACAACTAGTATGGGAGGAGGAAGTGTAGAAGAAGTAGATAATCGTACAAATTTCAATTTGTATGTAATTCTGCTGGATCGAAGAAAAATACCATACAACAAACTTGACATTATCTATCAACATTCATATGCGTATTCGTTATTCTCTGAAAAAGTCGTCAAGGAAGAACGTAAGGAGGCAGTGACCGTCCACGAAAATACTAGTTTAGTGTATGTGAAAATCACTTATCAACAATTCTTGACTACAACTTGTTCTTTTGCCTGACGAGCAGTCTCAAAATTAACCTGTTTCTGGAGGGGTTCGTGCTCAGATTGTAATGAAAACGAATTGAAATGCTTTACCTATCATCTCGTCTAGGTCAAGATTGCCCACCAAAAATCGTTTTTGAATGCTGATAGTTGTTTCGCTTTTGAATGACGCCAATTGAGATGATCCCAAGACAACACCTTCAGTGACCGATCCATCAATGCCCAATTTGATTCAGCTTTGTTGGATATCTTCTGCGTGGTAGGCGTACTCCTAATGTGCAACAAGAATTTACTCACGCAACCCCGACGACCGAAGAAGATTACGATTTATCATTGACAAAAAAATATTATGAGGAACATCAAGCGCGTTCTAGATGTAGATCTTCCGTGCACTGTTAGATGAAAGCGATGGTTGTATATTCAGGGGACGAGTTGTTCAAATTTGCGGATAGCGGGAGGCACCGGAGAAGTCCGATTCTGTCTTTGCAACATAATTTGAATAGGACTGTATGTACTTTAACGCTGCTTTTCAGCATCCTCGGAACACAACCATACAGCATATGTTGTGGGGACGTTGGCATGCCCATGGACGAGGATCGAAAGATAAGAAACCCAGGGATTTGTATTTTCAATGCTCTTAGTCTTATCTGTGATTTCAAGATGAAATGTGAAATGACGACAAAACGAGGAAAATTGCCTGCGTCCTGTTGAGCGATGAGAATCATGAATTGTAGAAGATCCGATTCCGAAATGTTCATCTTGGAACAAAAACGAATGAGGATGTTCTTAAGTGATGGCGTTTCCTAGAATAGGAGCGGCGGATAGCTTTCTCGGGAACGTCAATCGGCCGGTTTCCTATCAAACTCGGATGCGTAAATGTCAAGCTGCAACTGCGACACCACCTAGCTCCAGTAGTTGTTAGAAGAAATGGAGTGTCCATATGATGTGTTTGACCAGCACGCGATCGAGATGAAGATCATCATAAGAAGTTGCATAACACTGTCCTCACATTGCTCAACAACAGCAACCGGAAAACCAAATGACAACAAGGGGGGTGCTGCTTGCTTCTACTTGTGAACGAATTATACACAGGAGCTCAGGCTTACCTTGCGAACATCACCATTGTAGATCAGAAGGGGTTGTACTAAATGGTATCTAGATTACTTCACCCAGAGTAGCCATAATCATTGTTCGTGTCCAGGAATCAAGCGACCCAGCAGCTCGTGCTTCGCGTAAGCTTTTAGCTATGCGGAAGAGGCGACCACGGTTGCTCTGTGGGATTCCAAACGCATGATGCACAAAGCGCAACTCAGGTGTGTAACCAAGTTGCAGCAGCAGTTAGCGATAACAAAGAAGGGTAAATCGACCTCCACACCACGACGGGCGGACTCACGTAAAGAGTATTTAAGTACTTAGTTCTAAGTGTCTTGGATTCCAGGCCGCTCGGACATCGCTCTGTTGTAGTCATCTTCCAGAACAATACCACGGGAGAACCAACAGCACCAAAATAAAGGTGGAGGTGAAAATTCACGTTTTGCCTTCCACTTGAAAAAGTAGGAGCTTGAGCTTCTACTCGCGCTTATGGTGCCATAATTGACAGCAATTTGCGACCTCAGCTTCGGCGCCAATGTATCCAGCCGTTCTCGAACCCACTGAATACTGCGTTGCTCGGGCACTTGAGAGAGCTGATAATGTACTTCATGCACGCCCTTGGGATTCCGAGCAGTGACGCGCAAGACGGTCACCTGTGCGCCTTCCAGCTGAAATGAAACGGACCCAATCTTCACAAAGCACATTAATTTACGTGCTAAGATGAAGTGTTGCTTCACCTTATTTGTCCGTACAGGACGTGTAGCACTACATCAAGACCAATGTATGATGATTCTTCTCAAGAATGTGAAGAAGAAGATGAAGAATGTTGACAGCGCAATCAATATCCCAGGTGATGCACTTCCTTCTAGACCGCAAATGTACTTACTCATACTCCTGCATAGCTTCTTATAGAATAGGATACAACTTCAGATAGGATGGCCGTGCGGCCACCTCTTCGTCTTTCGAAAATAGATACAGATACATAGTTCATCTTCATAAGAAAGAATGCAGAATTTGAGAGCTGTTGTTCGTCAGAAATGCCTCCAAGTGCCCAGTAAGTAGTTGATTTAGCCTCGTTTTGCGCTTTTCGATATGCCGCAGAATCGGATCTGTCGCTGCTTGTCCCAGTGGCGGTGTTTTTTGTTTCAGAATTTGCGCGTTTTTCAACTTTAGCGCACGTACTCGCATTCGTTTGCGGCTCTCTAACTCGTCGCGGCGCATCTCCATCTCGACTCGCGCTGCATTCTTCGCCTCCATCCGCTCATGATGTTCAGAAAGCAAGGACAATGGATATCCTTCAGGGTCAGCCTCTTTGCGTCGCAACTTCTCAGCAGCCTCTGCTTCCTGTTGCTCCGCGAGGGCTTCGCGTTCAGCTGCGAGCTGTTCCGGCGTCATGTCAATGCTAACACCATCTCGATTTCTCATCGGTTGCGAAGAGTCTCCACTCAATTGGTTAGAGGAATCCGAGCAGTACTTGTAGACACGGACATCACATCATCTGGATCTACAACCTGTTCCCCGATATGGGATATGCGTAGCACACCAGTAAAAATGCCAAAACCGGTCATAATGATAAGAGTCTTCCTGGCTTTCTCCTCTTCCATTTGTAACCGCATCTCCCGTCGCGCCGCCCGCTTTGGGTCTAGCACTTGATTCATTTTCAGCCACATCACTTTGCGGTCTAACATCTTCTTGCGTTTGTAGTCCGCCTGTACCATTACACGCTCTGCATGCGTGAGGTCTTGATATCGTGGCAAGCCCTCTTGTCGCATTGACTCGAACGGAATGCTGTCACATGCGCGCAACTTTTCGCGCACATCGAAGTCTCGACTGTGCGCCTCCAATGCATCAGGCATCCGATGGAGATTCGCCGGAACACCAAGGTCATCGAGTCCTTTGGAGGAGGAAGACGTACTAGCACTACTTCTAGTAGAAGAGCCCGCTCTGGACGGTTGGTCCCCTTCTTCCTCTCGCGCATAATCAGACGCGGTCCTTGAAATAGCTGCGAGTTGTTCAGCCAGATGTTTTTCGTCCAGGCGTTGGTAGAAATTTCTCTTTGAAGTTGCAGAAGAAAAGTGCCGCAGTTGTAGTCTCGGTGCCAGCATGTGTCGGCAAGAAGACGAAGTCGAAGACCATGACGTTACTTGCTGCATTGTTGAAGACGCGCAAAAACCACAACACGCGCACACCAGTATATGAACAACGAGCTCTTCTCGTTCTTCTTCTTACTCTTCTCTCGTCTGAGAAGCTCTGGTATCCTCTTTACATAGCACAGGGACAAGAACTTCAACTTCGACTTCCTGTTCCTGCATCCAATTACTTATTATTCTTCAGGGTCCACGATATTCTCTTCGCCCAGCAAAAGTATTCCGGACTCTTTGAATCGAAGATGCGGAGGCTTCAGGAGCCGTCCTCCTGAACGACGCACTTCCAAAATTGGAGGAACCTGCCCCGCTCTGCTGAATCCCTGTACCCAGAAGGCTGATCTGGTTCCTGGTAAGTCTGCTGGTACCGTCCTCTCTTCGATTCGATAAATCCTCCTCGTCTGCCGCGTCGTCGTATAAAGGAGTCCCAAAGAAGATTTTACTCAGTATGCGGGACCGCAAGGGTGGGCGTTTGGAAACCACCCGTCGACGCAACGATGACGCAAGCAAAGAGCATATCGTCATCATTCATCACTCCACCTATGAACTTGCAATCCCGATAATTACGATTTGCTCTTCTACTTAGAAAACGAAGCGACTTGTTTTCGGCGTGGACCAGCTGCAGCTCAATGATCGTCATGGGATTTTTGGGGAGTTTCATCTTTTCCTCAACTACAACATAAAAAATGTAATTACTTAAAATATAGCAGATCTGATTGGAAACATATGTCCATGTCCAAAGAGACTGCGTGCATGAATCCCTTTGCCCCGGAGCTTAGGCGTCAGCACCCTGCTATCACGGCACCAGAAGCACGCTAACCTACAACAAATAAAGACGAACCAGATGAGGATGCACTTCAACAAGGACGAGTTCTTCAATCACAGCACGTAGACTAATTTGAACACCAAACAACACAGATCTGGCAGTTTCTGCCAGCACACGCGATGGAGACGTAGCTCAGTTGCGATTATATCATGGTGAGCTACAACAACTATCGACGAAGCCGAACAACAAGAAAATACTGGACAAATGAAAATATTAGAAGGAATCATAATGGATGTAAGCTCTACAACGTTGGTGTTTTGCTCTTTGTGGCGGAACATGGATTGGTTGCTTGTGGTTTCATTTTTGGTCGCATCCATTGGCGCAGTTATCACACGACATCAACAGCGGTTGTACGGAAGCGAAAACGAACCTACAGCTTCGACTTCTTGCAACTACTTCTGCTTCATAAATATTACCACGATATGGAACTTCTTCTTCTCGAGGGTGGTTATCTACGGATTTGCGTAGATTTCCATCCGGTCTTCACGCTTCAGACGTGGTTATGTGGCGCCTGCCCGTCGCCAGATGAGCCAGCAAGATCACAGCCCCCGCGTCGTTGGCGGCAGCGCCGGCAGCAGAGCACGTCGGCAACGAGTCGCGATCGCATTCCCCGTGAGACAGAGCCGAGTGAATTTGTCGACCCCAAGCTGCTGCTGCTACCTCCTAGCTCTCTCATCTGAAAACTCGCTCTCGCGGATGCTGCTACGTCTGCAACAACAGGTGACCTCTGGTGCTCACCCGGGAGCTTTGTTAACCCTGTGAATTTGTTTAGTTAATGCTGATCACCGAACATTCCTATGAAGTTCAACTTCAAGTTGTTCAGAGTATGAAATTTTGAAAAATGTAAAGACAAATAAATCGCATCACTCAGTGTTGCGACAGATTAGCACCACATTATGTTTGATGAGAACAAGCGATTCTTTGGTGGCCAAGATAGTCATCAAGAAATCATGCAATTTGTGTATAAAGAACCCGGCACAATCGGTGTCGTTCCTCGCATCTTATTGTCCAGCTGGTTGGTACCGCGTTGACGATGACGCGTTGAAGAACCACTTCTCTACGTTACTATGGTCTGCTGTGGGCGGGCTCGCGAGTGATTGCTACTTTTGAGAATTCTTTCCTGCACAAGCTTTGCGACATGCACCACAGGTGACAGGAGTTGGTCAGGTTTTGCTTGACGTTTTTGTCTAGTTTCAGTTGCAGCTTTTGTTATAAAAACCTGAATTAGACCAAGGTACTCTTTGTATGCTTCATGTGCTTGCGTTTCCTTTGAAGATGTAGTTTCTCGTTCCTTTTGAGTTTCATGGAAATATATTCGAACTCTGAGCAACTCACACGTCGACAGGTATGAAGACAATTTTGTCCTGTTGTTGCTTCTACCACTTATGCTTTCTTGAATATTACATGGTGAACACCCCACCAGTAGAAGAAATTTTCCCAGAACCAATGGCTCCAGCAGAACTTAGATAAGATCATGTAGCTCTGTCTGTCGAATAAACCACACATATTCTGACAGAGATACTAGACAACGAAAATTATGAGTTTTGAAAATGGAAATCCAAGCCTTAGGGAAATGCATCTTTTTATATATACGTTGATTGCCGTCTGTTGCGCGTGTAGTTGACAGCTGCTTCATCATGATCGAGCAACTACGTAAAAACCAAAAGTATGAAAAAAAACACACCTGGCATAATTTCATCAGCTAAATGAATAGAAGATGAAGTCGTGTTGGATTTGGAGCTGGACGAGTGAAGTTTGGACATTCCCAGTGTAATTTATTGCGTTCTTGTTTCATGATTCCCGCACAGGAAGTAGTCCTCAAATTCATTTATTATAGCGAAAGAAGACATCTTGGTAGTGCTAGTGGGGCTGCGCAGCCCGAAATTTCATATGGTACATAGTTCCCTCATCATGTGTAATCTTTTATGTAGTTTACCAACTCAACTTCAATCGTCATCTGCTTTTTGTCAATGAATATGCTCGGCAGAGTCGATGGAAAAGAATTTTCGAAACAAAAAGTCAAAAATGTTTGTAAAAACTGTCCGTTGATGTTCTTGATCTGAGTCTAGTAGCGAAGAGGTGGACGATGCAGCTGGTGATGTGATTGCACACTTACAACTTTACAAGTACTTAGAAGCAGATCTTCATCCATTCGCCTTCCCTTTTTCTTCGTCTCTTGCTTCAGGTTCAGCTGGTGTTGGCGTATCCATATCCTACAAATTCTGATCCGTCACAAGAAGCAGATCTTCATCCATTCGCATTCCCTTTTTCTTCGTCTCTTGCTTCAGGTTCAGCTGGTGTTGGTGTCTCCTACAAATTCTGATCCGACACACGCTATCACGGCTGTTCTGAAGCGGCGGGGGCGCCGGGCGCTGAAAATGCCCGATGAAAGTGGAAGGCGTAGGGCGGGGAGGACTCGGGAGGGCGAAGATCCGTAGAGCTTGCAACCGTACTGTCTACTGAAAGTAATCGGCCGCTTCGCAGTTGCTCCTGAAGATGCTGCTGACGCGCTAAACCGTAGAGGAATTCGGAGGAAGGCACGCGCAGAAAGTCGTCTTCTTTGTGTTCCTCATCTGAGTCAGAAGATGACGATCCTGGGTAGGACGCAGCGACTTCTACAGGAGCAGATGAGGCGCTATTGGATGTGGAACTAGTACTCGCGTTCTCGTGACGTTCGCCTCCACCTGATGAAACCTGCGATGATGGAGAAGATCGAGGCTGAAGGAGACTCAATTGCGACAAAGAACTATTTCTCGTCAAAAGTTCCTCCTCTTCGCCCTCCTCTTCCTGTTCGAAGGCTTCCACAATTTTCGTGCACGCATTAGAAGTAGACCCTCGTCGAGCATGTTGACGTTGTTGAGGCGACAAGACCGAGTTTGATCCAGACTGCACACCTGAAGGAAAACATGGAGGAATCTCACCTGAAGAGCCACCTCCACTTGAAGACGATGACGGAGGTGCCCCCTGAACACAACTTGGAAAGGCGCTTGTTCTTCTTGCCGCTCCGACGGCAGCGCCACAACTTTTTGTTCTACCCGATGCTTTTCCAGATGGACTTTCTTTTTCCACTACTTTAACTGTTTCTATTTCGTCCATTCTCACCATTTCAGCCGCCGCGTTAGCCGAGTGGGCTCTTGGTCGTAGCTTGTCTGAGAAAGCGAAATCCCGGTCCTTCGCGAAGTCAAAGTCGTACTCGAAAACGGTGCCGTCCATACCGCCAACCAGCAACTTCGTGTCATCAAAATCGACGCACAGCACATAGTCATTGCTGCAGGGCAGCGTCGTGGCCTCCGAATGCGGGAGCTCCGCTTCCACTTGGGAGAGGATCTTACTGTCGCCGCAGGCAGGACCGTAAAGATAGTCTCGAAGGACACGCTGGGCGTTATGCGGCGAAGAAACGGCCGAAGCCGGCGCAGACACACTACTAGAATAATTGAAATATATACCATTGTTCCCGGTCGATGATGAGGAGCCTCCTACCTGTACCTGTTCCGTTTCTCTGCTACTAAGAATTCCAGTTGTTGCGGAAAACGATGATGAGCTAAAATTACTTCTATCATTGCTGCTACCCCCAGCCGTAGTGCTCCTATCTGCTGGTGCAAAAGTGCTGCTTTGAACTCCTGCCGTTGCTAGTGGGACCAAAGAGGAAGCCATTTGCCGGTCTAAAGCAGCGTCGATCATAAAACTGGAGCCTGCGGCATCTGAGGTAGTATCACGGTACCTATCCAAGCTGCTAATTTTCACGCGTCCGTCCAGCGAGCAGCTCACAAGGCGTGGCGCACAGGTGCGACGCGTCATGACACTGTGAAAGCGGGTGATGAGCTTTTGATGTCGATGAGTGGTGAACACTAAACCAGCAGGCCTGTGATTTCCGGAAGCCCGAGGTCGCGCTTGCGTTACAGCGGCCCCTCCTACAGTTACTGGCTGGTCTTCCGACCCTGCTGCCCCCGTAGACGAGGAAGACCCTGAAGATGAGCTTGCTGCATTACTAGACGTGGTAAACCGGGAATCAAACAGGTGAATGGCTTTGTCCGCCGCGCGTACCATCATTCCATCTCCGTACAGTGTCGGGCCGTTCTCAACTGCCATCACCCAGTCATCGATGGGACCGAACTGCATCACTGGTCGTCGGTCCCAACAACGGGCATCCCATCGCCTCACCGTCTTGTCGCTTCCACCACTCCATACTTCATTTGCATTGATCACCGAGAGTGTGGTCACGCCGTCGTGGCGCCACGCGGACACTGGATGGTGCTGAGCTGTATTCTGATGCTGTGCTGCTGCAGTTTCGGAAGTTGTAGAGGTCGTGCACGAGGAAGAAATGTCCCACAACTTTACCATGTCATCACTTGGGGAGCACGAAAATAACGCTTCCAAAGCTCCTCCTCCTCCTTCTGCTGCGTGACTAGACGAGAACGATGACGAAGAAACCGAAGGCCCTCGTCTTACCTGCTCCAGCCCACAAACTTTTCCGCGATGCGCTTTTTTCAACGTGAACGAGTCTCCAATAAGAATGTCGCCGTTCTGCAAGCCCGCGAAAAGGACGGAGCCACTACTTGCGACGGGGTGTGTGGAAGGTGCGAGAAAACACCGAACGGCCGGGGACGCAGCATGCTTTCGGGACATGATCTCATCACCACGCAGCCAGACAATCTCGCCTGATCCTAAAGCAATGCAGACATCGCGTGTGCCAGGTGTCAGGAACAAATCGCATACTGGAGTTGGCTCCGAAGCCAGTTTTAACTTTCGATCCCACAATCTAATGTTAAAAAAAGTGAAAGTTGAATTAACATGGAACGATTAATATGAAATAACGCCAAATTATTGCAAGTGTAAGTAGGAGATGCACTAGCATCAATAGCGTAAGCGTATTTCCGAGATCATTGTCCATAAAAAAACGTGATCTATAATTACCTCGCACTATCGGCAACGGCAAATAGACTATTTGGTGCATGATCATGTAAGACTATCAGACGTCGCATTCAACTAAATCACAATAATGGAAGTTAGAGTAGACTGTTGAAGAACTCTTCACTTGACCTCCAATCTATCAATGCGTCTTTTTGTTTCGGGCTGCAAAATATAAAATCAAAGTCAAAGAGCACATGATGAACAAGCATTACCCTTTTCGAAATCGCCTTTCCAAGTCGTGTAGTGCAACGTAGCGATCACGGTAGCTGCCCGTTCGCGCGAAGTTTAGACGGTCGATGGCGCCGGAGTTTGTGGGCGAAAACGCACGTCCGTTCGGTTGAGAAGGTGAAAGGAGAAGTGCGCCATTCGGGTTATTCTGAAGAAAACGACGGCGAAACATAGCCCGCCACATACCTTCGCAGGAATCGTCGTTCACTTCATACATCATCGCGCGCATCACCGAACAAGTCTGAGCCAGGCGCCCAACGCTGCGGTTCGAGGCATCGCTGTACTCGAGCAGCACCTTGCTCCATATTTCAGGCGGCAACTCGGTAGCAGTGCACGCCATCTTGTTGGGGGCAATGCAGCTCTCGATTACGATTTATTATGGCTTCATCTGCATGTGGGAGGCAATCACAAGTACATTGTGCGGTGCTCAACATGCAGTGGCACTAGAGCTCTTATGTAACATCAAACACAAGCAGAGATCGGCTTTACGACTCCTAAAATTGAAAGTGATCCTCTCAATTACTTTATTCATGTCCTCTTCTCAAGAACAAAACAAGGATAAAGATAGCAAAAAATGACTAGTGGCCGACATGAACGCATTTTAATTTGGCTGACTTGTACCCTGGCGTTAAATCACCTATAGTATAATCATGAATTACAACAGCTCAGTATGATTGGTCGTGAAAGGTGTTAGTAATGTCCTTTTAGTTGTATTTTTCTAGGGAAAAAGCTTCACATTTTTCGTGATGCCGGTTTGATAACACATCTCTGTACGAATACCTAGGACTAAGGGCGGGGCGAACGCGAAGATGACAAGAAACAAACAAATGTGGAGATATCACGAAGAAAACGATGTGAATATGCTGCCGCTGCGTAACGTTGTTTGTAAATCCGACTCGCTATTTTACCTTCAAATTCTACAATGGATTGCAGAAAGGTTCCGAGGTTAGAGGACAGTGCCCGTCTACCTACATTACGAGGACAGGTGAAGATATTTTTAATCACACGAGCGGCCATCAAGATCAAATTTTTGTCCAAAAACGAAAACAAAGAACATCAACGATGCCGAAATTTTCTCACCAATCTTGAAGTGATTGAACACATTTTGAGGTACGCATTTTCTCGTTCAAACCGATTCTCATCACGCTCTCTGTGTCTGTGTTGTATCTCTCGGTGCTTACCGACAAAAAAATCTCATGATTATCGGCCGACGTTAGTTTCCATGGATCGAGGAATCGCTTTCTCTCTGATGCATGATCTCAAAAACAGACAAGAAACATGATCTTTTAGAAGATTCAGATTCAGGGTAGAAGGAGAAGCAACAACTTAACGAAGAATAAAACGTTTTTCATTTTAGTGCCCTTTGAGAAATTATCGGTAGAGAGAGCCAGTTATGTGACTGCAAAATTCTCTCTTCATGTTCATGCTCGTTATCATCACAACCTCTCAGAACAAGTGGCCAGTGTCAGGAAAAGTAATTCCAAGATCGCACACGACACTCACACACGACTTTTGTTGAAGCGTACAAACTACTATATCGTTGAAGTTGATGATCAGATTAATAATCGTCTTTATCTTGTTGTAGTTGTTTATCTTTTGAAAATAAGTCGAAGTCGATTGCCGCAAAAACCTACTGTCGTTCGCAATCAAGACCTGGCGCAGAAGCTTTCTTACGCACCAGGACCAGGCGTCACAGGAAAATCATAATCTTCAATTTGATTAAACAATCATAGAAGATGAAAAGCGTGCCTTTATTACTACAAGAAGACCTTTTTCAGAGCAGGTTGCTATACTAGTTATATATAAGTAGTACTAGTCTGAATTTTTATAGACCATCTGTAATTACCGTGATAGCTACGATCAGTACTGTTTCTAAGCACTAGCTGCACTGAGTTGTAGAGTTACTTAGGAGTAGGAATAGGATCTGTTTTCTTTTTACATCTTCAACAACTTACTACTTACATATTTGGCTTCGTGATTGATTCATCAAAACCTGGATAAGATATTGGTCGCTAAGATCTTTGTTCTTAATGAACATCATCATTACAACAAGCATGATCTTCACTCGACCATGATGGCTTCTGGTTCTGCTACAACTGCTAGCTTCAATCAGATATAAATAGGGTCGAGGTCGTGGCTAGTAATTTGGGATTGGGTGTCGTGGCCTCCTCGTCTCTCCACCATTTCCTCTTGTTGTCCGCGACTAGACGCAGAAGCGCTCGCCGACGCTGCATCAAGGAGTGCTAGCACTTGTGAACGTCGCGGCTCAGCGATCTCCAGTTTCGCGACTTGTGCACGGCCTTCGCGCAGCGCGGTCCAGAAGTCAGTGAGGACGTCGCTTTCGGCGGATCGTTTAAAAACAACTGGTCTTCTAAAAATTGGATTTGTAGTGTGGGAAACATCACTTGCGTCGTCGGAGAGGAGATAATGGAGACGTACACCAGCGTTGCATGCGTCAGTAAGGCGACCGCGGTCGTTGACGCCATAGGGAACATTTGCCGCATCTAGCAGTTTCTTCGCTTTGCGCGCTTTGTGCAGTGCGCCACGGAAGCCCCGGAGAAGTGTCGAAGGAGCAAGCGGCTCCAACCTCAATTCCACCACATGTTCTGACACGAACCTTGGTGACTTACCCGCATGAGGAGATGTAGAGGTACCATCTTCAACTACATCTTGTTGTACAACACCGGCTTCCACTATGGATGATGCGTCAATTTTTGTCTTCTCGTTTCTCCAGATGGGTGAATGGAGATCTATCTCGACTGAGTCTCCTACTCCCGGGGGTAGCGAAAGTTCGATGAACGTGCTGCTCGTTTCTCTGCAGAAGTAGCTGGTAATGTTCTTAACGGAAGACGCGGGTTGCCCACTCACTCTGCCGATGAAATTGAGAAGTTGAAGTTTGTGACTGCGAGAACTGAATGAAGAATCCTGAATTGCTACCTTCAAGGACCATTTCGCTGTGTCTAAACCTGCCCAGTCGAGCGTGATAGTAATGCGACTCTTTCCACCAGTCTTGTCTTGTACTTCAGGGTGACTGCTACCTCCCGTATAAAAATTCTTGTTGTCAAGTTGGGTTTCATCTTGTTCTTGCTGAAGCTCGGAAATTGAAACTCCGTCATCGTCGACAAAGAATCCCGCTCTCGCTAGGGGAGCGACTAGACGCCAGGTAATTCCGGACATGACCGCCGCCCCGGCAGCACCCAGCATGTTGTTGCGATCCCGCGGCTGGAGAAGGGGAACAGCTATTTTGGCGTCCTGGTAAACTGGAAACTCCTCTAATGTATATTGTCCATGCACTTCACGTCCTTGTCGTTCTTCATCTCCAACTGTCCTTCTCCTACTAGAAGTTGTAGTTGATGTTGCAGTACGAAAAGTAGCAGGCTTGTGCTCTTCAAAGTCTTGTTTGGCCTTATTTTTTGTTGCATTCGTACTAGTACTAGTAGCAACTTCAAGCACTTCTGCTTTTTTGTCGTACAGCTCTTCATCTTTTTCATTATTGATGAGTGCGCCGGCGTAGATGTCAAACCATTCGGTTCCCGGTGGCAGCCAGCTATTTACGGGGGCCATCGTGCTATTCGGATTCGACTTGTCCACAACAGGGTATACCAGAAGATGATCGCCGAAGAAGAAGCCACGACGCGCATAGCTCTCCATGTTCTTGCCTCCATTGGCCAAGACCTGTTCTGGATAGTCGTAGTACAATGGACGCACAATAGGAACGCCCGTGTCGGTCGTCTGATGAGCTGCTGTCGGCATTAGAGGATATTGTGTTGGACATTATCGCGAGTGAGAGGACGCCGTGGCCGTGCGTCTGCGTAGAACAACACTCGACGAACCACATTGATTATTAATAAGACAAGTAGTAGAAAAGACGAATTGAAGGATGATCAATCTTGAGGACAAGAAAGCAAGCGAGGAGGATATGGAGACATTGCATTAAGTTAATTATTGGTATGTGCACAGTGGAGAGGGAGGGAGAAAAGGGCCGAGAACCCGGGCCAAAACCTGGAAAGCATACCACTTCTACTTAATTAAACTAACAGTAACCAACAAATATGCCGGCGTGGGCAGTAACTCCATGTAAACAACACTCAATAAAAAATTCACATTGAGGTCCAAATTCAATTGTGTTTCATTTTCATCACTACAACAAACGTGCTGCTTGTTCCCATGCAGCAAGCCGACACCTCAGCATTTTTCTTACCAAGCGCACGCTGAGCCTGAGGTGAAAAATGAACATCTGTGAAAATTTACATCAACAAGTTTCAAAGTGGATATCATGCTTCACCCAGGCAGACGTAAATGGTTAAGCAGATCGACCTTAGTCTTCATTTGAGCATAAGTAAAGGTAGGGCAGCAAACTCGAGCGCTCACGCATGGCTGCTACCTCAGCATCAAAGTACGGTCTCGGATGATCCCAGATAGAAACGTGACTGCAACTGTCCGTGTCCGCACAGGGACCAACGCTTTCGCCTTTATCGTGCATGCGGAAAATCGGAGAGTAGACGCCGTACTGAATCCATCTCGTGTTCAACTCCCAGTCATGCGAGTATTCGGCAGTACGCATTCCACCGTAGATGTCGTGGGACCAGTAACCAAAACCCACATTGGACGCGGTTGATGTGAAAAACGGTAGATACCTGGAGGAGGGTGCGGTGTCACTGTTCTTTATTGATTCTGGTAAGAAGCGGGAACCTATCATTAAAAAAACATCGTGCCTGTAAGTAGTGCTGTGCTTTTGCCTACTTAGCAGACGCGCAAATGAACAATTCTTTTCATATGTACTTGTTGTTACGCACGGAATTTTCGGTTATGAGGCAGGGTCTCAATGGATACATATGAAGCGAAGGAAAAGGGAGCGGGAGGTAGTTAAATTGATAGATGAAGTAGAAGCAGAGCATCTTCTTCTTAAAGTCTAATAAAGCATGAGAAGAAAGTTCGATATAAGTGAATACTGTAATCCAGTCCAAGTGTGCGCCTGGTCGCCAGCAAATCCCACAGGATACCGATGGCCCCCAATGCCTGGAAAACGGCTAAGGATGACACCTCGCTCTCCCGGTGTCGGTATTGCAATCCGTTGCGATCGAACTGCGTTGAGCATCACTGTCGGATTCAAGTTCGGTACAGTTGCAGAGACGTTGAACGACGACTCTCCTTGCTGGTAGTCGATCCAAGGCACATCCACACGCAGCGGCCGAAACACGGCCTGTTCGACGGCAGTCAGGTTTCTTAAAGTTTTTTTGGAAGAGGACTACTTCCTACTCTTCAATTTTATCTATGCAGGGTGGTGGTGGATACAACATAAAGAATGTAGTAGTCAGCAAGATCTCGCTACTTCTCGTTTTCCTTGTTGATGTTCCTGGGATTGAGAGCTAGCCTCACTTTCGCATATTTTCCTCATTTCATCGAAGCTGCACAATAAAGGCAGGAGGGGTTCCGTAGGAGTTGTTGCTTATTTATCATATTATAGTATACCCTTGGCAAATTGCCTTCTTTAGAGAACAAGTTTGAAACCTCATCTTCGTCATGAGCATATTACAACATCAACCAAAAACAACAATAGCCTTATCTGATATTACTTATGTTATGATGAGATACGACCATGAGCACGCTGCACTAGTAGTACTTCTAGAAAAACAAAAACTATCCTTGTTGATGTCTTAAATAAGTAGCATTGTCTGGGCGAAATGAAAGTGATTCGTGGCTCTTTCCAGGGTCAAGACCCAAAGCTTCGACGAGATCATGGAAGTGCTCCTCGGATTTCTTTACGCCGTCGGCATCGTGTACGTTCAATCCGGTCCGAAGGCTTTTTTCCCCACGAGAAATTGAAGTATGACACAGGGAGGTGGAACAAAACCATTCGGCAAAGGAACAAAAATATCTACTTATTCTTATTGAGCTTTCTCCAGGTTCAGCTTCAGGGTCCTGGTGAAAAGCTGCACAGATTATTTTTTCCTGTTACAAAACCAAAAAAAGGGAAGAGACAAAATCTCTTACTAGGATCGAAACAATCAAACAAAAAATTATCAGTAGTACAGTAGTTTATAGTAGTAGTCTTTGTCTACTTTTTCTTTTTCAGGACGAAATAAATTTGTTTTCTTATTATGATTCAATCGTAGAAAGTAGTCAAAGGTGAGCTTCTCTGGCTCTGGAAGTAGATTTCGGTTCCAAGAAAAACCTCCCCAATCGCCAAAGCGGTGCCAATTCATATCGAAGATCCAAACGTCCAAGTTAGAAAGTGCACTTGGTCCTCGTACTTCTAGGATTGGTACTTCTCGTTCTGGTGCGTCTTTTAAAAATACAATCAATATTGTGCTCAAGAAAAACTTGAGTGAGTGCCTTTGCCTTGTGTCAATTGTGGTACACTGTAGTGCTGGAAGTGGTCTTCCTGACCCTGAATCTGGAGGGACTACTAAGTAGTACGCACTTACTACCGCTAGCTCTACCAACATGAAGAAGATATCATTTTTCAAGTGATTTTTCCTGATACGAACGCGTCAATTAAAGTGATCTTCAAAAAGAACTCTCAGTAGGCTTAACTAAGGGTACGCCGCTGCTTTCGAATCGGTTTACATAGTCCCGCGTTGTAGCATCGTCGAAGCCAAGCCATCGCGTGAACCAAATTCCAAGAGCCCACCGCGGTGGAATCGGAGCTGGACCTGAGAGGTCCCGAAAGGCACCGAGTGCAGCACGAAAGTCACGGCCGTAGCAGAAAAAATAGAGATCGGCCGTTGAATCGCTCGTGCCGGGATTTGCACGCGGCTGCAACGCGGTTGATGATTTACTGGGAGCACCAGGCTGGGTAGGAGACTGGCGCAGAGCACCCGCAGTTGTATCTCCATCTTCTTGTTGAAGGCCGCGAACAGCACGTGCACCTTGTGGACCTACGTCATCGGTGGAGGCGCCGGGGTAGACGGGCATGCCTGTATCGTCGAGTAGTGCGATTCCAGTCCTGGAGAGCACGCCGTACCGACAGTGGTAGTCATCATCTTTCGCGAAATCTGGATTTTTCTGGCAGTCAAGATCGGGCGCTTCCTGTCCGTCTAAGGTTCGGATAGTACCGAACAGATTTCCTGCATAAGGTGCAGTCGGAGACCAACGCCCATATTCCTCTTGATGTTCCTGAATGTCCCCTTTGTTGCGGCGCCTTGCCTCGCTCGAATTTCCGTCGGGCGAGCCTCGCGATTCAGGTGAGGACCCGCTATTGAGCTCCCGACGTACATCTTCGGTCCAATCCGGCATCTTATGGTCGTCATCAACTGCATCTACATGGTCGGGAAGTAGTTGGAGACTGATAAAACCCTCAGGCCATCGAGGCTTACGCGTGTCGTAGCGAAATCGAAATCGCTTCGTCTCAAGGGTGAAGATGTCTCCCCCTCTTTCGACACGGACGTCAGCAACCAGTGGAAAACCGTATGAATGTTGGGGCACATCATGATCAGTATGAGGATTCATTACGGTATGATAAGGCCAAGGCACTTTCAATTCAGGTCGCTTTATGATGGCCCTAATCGGGGATGGGAAACGACCAGAAAGCAGCAGCAGCAGCAAGAACAAATCACAAATGACACTTCTTCACGGTCGACGTTCATCAACTTCAAGAACAAAGTATCAACTTTTTTGACTTTGACTTACTCAACGCATTGTAACTTGTTTTAACAAAATGACCATAAACGTCGATTGATGACTGCGGTCGTTGCGAGGTTGTGCATTTCTGGCTCGTGATGCTCTGCGTATTGCAACCTGAGCAATCCACTCGTCAATACTGTTGCGCGCAAGAGCGGACCCCCCTCATGGTTCCCAGCCACTGTGTAGGTTGCTCCAGCGCGTGGACGTGGATCTGGTCGACGACTGGTTTTGCTCGGTTCTTCGACGGATCTGCGAGGCCGTGACTTACGAGTGGTTAGTCTCCCTGGCACCTTGATGTTGACGGCCCACCTCGTCTGCCGGTGCGGCTCCTGCGCTACTTCTTCCCGCAGGTGAGACTCCTGCTCTCGCCCTTGAAGATGATCATGCTGATTACCTCTACTTGAACGAACAACACTCGGCGAAGATGGTGTTGACGTTGAGGGCTGTGCCGAATCCGAATGAGATCCACCTGGTGGCATCAAGGTGCTTCCCATGGGTGGCATCTCATTATGTTTTTCTTGGTCTCCAGTCCGCTGCGGTAGCAGTGTTTTGGTGGATGTGGTACCCCTAGGAATGTAAACACCGGAAGTGGTCCGAGCAAGATGACCAAGCTCTTGCTTTTGAGCACGCTCCGGTTTCTTAACGTTAACGGGATTGCTGCTCACGCGGGCTGCTGTGTCGAAACATAAGAAAGAAAAAAGCCGGAAGCAAGATATACATGATTCCGCGCGGTGTCGTCGATGCCTGTCGCGTCGACCCGACCACTGCAGTCGCGTTTCTACTCCTTGGTGCAGAGTGCTCATATTTTTGTTTGTTCCTTTGCAGGCCGACAAGACAAGACGAGTAGCCTTCTCAAAAGAAGGTACACAGAGACTTTCACTTCAGCTACTTGTGCCGACCTTAAACGATATTTACGCGTCGGAGCATGATTTTCAGATGAGCTGGAGCCTTTTTAGACAGAAATATCCTGGCAACCGATTCAACTTTTATGATACTGCTCCTCGTTCCCTCTCAACAATCAAAGGACCCCCGGCCCAGGCAACTCACTATAATATTTGTCTCTGTGGATGACAGGAAATGTTGCTCGCCGTCTCCGCGTGGCGCATCCAGTTTAGCGAGGAAGTGGCTATCTTCATCATCATCATCATCATCGTCATGAACATCTACCTTGCCGAGCATTGAGCGAGTAGTGAACTTGGGAGTTGGCACATTCTTCTCTTTAAGATTGCCCAGCGTCGCTGAATCAACAATGTTGTAGCTGACATGATCAGCTATAAATGTTTCAGTCTTTTTCGTTGCGTTGGTTTTCCAAAATGTGTTGAATCTTCAGAATCTTCCCAATGGCCTAAGCTGTAGACGCAGTCGGAACGTACCACAAGCACAGTACAAAAAGTTAGACCCTGACCCACTGCAGCACCTAGGAAGTGTCATAACTTGAGTCCACTCTTGCTGTTGTTTCATCAATGTTATCAAAAATTTGTAGTTACTGTTTCATGTAGGTGCAGCCAAACAATCATCAATTAATCATGTATCTCATTCACCTCGTCCGGTAGTACTACAATATTGCTGACATCAAGTTTTTCAGTGAAGATGTTCATCTCTTGTTATTTCGGGAAATCACTACACAATTGTATATGGGGGAGTTCTTATTATCCATCGAAACATGAAAACTATTTTGTGCTTTTATCACGAGGCTCGAAAGCGATGTCACTGCGAGCCAACCCCTGCGCACACTGACAACAAGCTAGGGAACGTCGCAATTTCTATGGAAAATTTTCAGTTTCATTCAACAGAGAGATAACACTCCACATGCTCATTGTCGATCATGAATTCCGTGACTGAACAACACTATTTTTTGAAAAGTAGTCACGAACTCTTGTCGAAGTATGAAGGTGAGACTACCTAGTGTAGAGCACAACGTCGTTGCTCAAAATTGTTCCAGCAGAAGCACGCACGACAGCGAAAGCCTATTGAGCAAACGCGGCGAGTTTTCATCTGGAGCTGATAGGCCTGCTCCTCTATAGCTCCGCGCAGTCACGGCTTTGCGTTTTGATCGTGTCGTCCTCGGATTCGTTGTCCGCGTTTGAGCTTGTTGCGCTTGGAAACCAGAGAAAACTACTATCCACCGAGAATTCATGCACCTCCCGGATGGTGCTCATGCTTCTAATTAAGACCCCCGGGAGAGCTCGAGCTGATGCCACTCCTCCACGAAAACCGTTGTACCACGCCCCATAGTCAAACTCTCTTTTTCGACTCCTCGCCGTACCCCAAGGCGTATCGTCCGAGCTACCCACTTCATCAGGCCCAAACACCTCACTCAAGAGTGTCTGTACACGGTCCGGCAAGGGACTGTCGTTTCTCTCTCCACGAAATCCGCCGCGCGGAGCAGGCTTCATCGCGAACAAAAGTTTGATTAGTTCCTGCTTTTTCTCTACCAGATCGGTGGGGTCGATATACTTCCGCGTCAGCTCTGCTAAATTTTCCTGCTCGTCCGCGGAGAGGTCTCGACTTTGCTTCAAGGACTGCAGCGCGAGCAACTTCCGCTCATCGAACAGCTGCTGCTCGTTGGCGAAGCCAAGGTAGCTCTTCACCTTCGGTATGATTTCAGAGGGTAGCGCAGTCTTCCGCAGACACAGAAGTGCAGCGGAATACTGTACCTGACGCAGGAGAAAGAGAAGGCGAAGTGAACGTGAAGATGAAGATTGCTTAAGGGATCGGCTGATGTGATGAGACAAGAACATGAGCGACTCCATCAGCAGCTACTTGATTATTTGTGTGCAGATGCAGTCCTCACAGGATCAAAAATATGATCGATTCAGCGTTACAGCGACCTCATGCAAATGCAGTACAGCTCTAGTAGAGGCACTTCTGTGGACAAGAAAAAAGTACCTGCAAAAAGTCGTTGCTGATTTTGGTATGTGATTGACTAGGACAGCCGGGCATACCCGAAGGCCGCGCCACTGCTCGCACAAATGCCTTTGGGTCTGTCACCGAGTGCAGAAGCTGACTTAGCACACGAAAGCTCCACGCCCCGATCACACTGCTGCCTGTGCGGTGTGCGCGTGACGGGAAGCCGATTAAAGACAGGTCAATCTTTCCGAATGCCTGCACCGCAACCGGAACCGGCGTCGAAATTTTCATTGATGCAGCAAGCTCGAACCAGATGTGAATCGCGGCTAGCGTCGCGCAGTCCGCCAACTGCGCCCAGGGAAACGAACCAAAGTCAAAGTGGCACTCCGTCGCGTCTTCGTCGTGTCTCTTCGACTTGAGCAAAGCTCTCTCTAAGGATTCGAAAAGCTCAGCGAGCGGCGACACGCCTTGAGCGTTTTTGCTGTGCCACGCGTGAACCATCTTCGGGCTCTTCAACAGCGTGCGCAACGACGCAACCGACGGCAAAGGTGAATGTTCTTCGAGCCAGTGCATCCGGTGAACCTCGGTGCCAACTCGTCCATACGCAGCGCAGCCGATTGGAGTCCGTCCGTGTTCGTCGCGCGCTAAAAATTCGAAAAAGTCGCTGTTCTCTAGCAAGAACTCCACCAAGCGGGTAGCGTTATACTTCGCGGCGAGATTCAGCAAACTGCCGTGTTTTTTCGTCACTGTGTTTATGAGTTCGGAGTCGAACGTCTTCACGAGGTTAAGAATATCATCCTCCCAAGCGGTCGGCTTCTTTTTGCGGTTTCCGCTTGGGTACTGTGTCTTCGTCACGTTCTCGAACAATCCGACAATTTTCTCAAACTGCCTCCGTTGCAGGGGCAACTCCTCTCCGCTGCGCGGCCGCGGGAGCGGATAGAGGTCGTCCTTCTTGGATTTGGCGGATTCGCTCAGTTCGTCCCACTGATCAGTATCTTCCTGATCGGAGGACACTTCCTCATGCGAAGACTGCTGATCCACTTCGTCTTCCGAGTCCATTATGCTTTTGATGTTGTCAAACAATAGCAATGATTGACCAGTGCAAAAAAATGAAACGTAAAGGAGTACTTGAAGAACAAACGAATGTAATCTATTCAAATATGTTGACGAGTTGTACAACTACAACTAGTAGCCGCAGTGAATCAGCTCGTCATACTTACAATCGCTGCGATGTCGCTGTTGGAAATCGAAATCCTATGCCGCCGGCCCGTAATTCTATCTTTATTAATGATCGACAAAAATCGAGGTCTGACCTCAGGGTTTTAAGGGCGAGCAAGGTGAACCACAAGGGGCACAAATCAACGGACCAGGACTCCCAGAGTTTTAAGGGGAAAGCCAGGGAATCCCAGGGTTCCCAGGAAGGGCTGAATCGCGGTCGGGTCAGGGTTTGGCATCTCAGGGTTTGCAAAAATGGGCACAAAAGTCAGGATCCAGTTCTCAGGGTTTTGCAGGCAGAAACGGTCTCAGGGTTTGGCATCTCAGGGTTTGGCATTTCAGGGTTTGGCGTCTCAGGGTTTCTCGGGGTTTGGCATCTCAGGGTTTGGCATCTCAGGGTTTGGCATCTCAGGGTTTGGCATCTCAGGGTTTGGCATCTCAGGGTTTGGCATCTCAGGGTTTGGCATCTCAGGGTTTGGCATCTCAGGGTTTGGCATCTCAGGGTTTGGCATCTCAGGGTTTGGCATCTCAGGGTTTGGCATCTCAGGGTTTGGCATCTCAGGGTTTGGCATCTCAGGGTTTGGCATCTCAGGGTTTGGCATCTCAGGGTTTGGCATCTCAGGGTTTGGCATCTCAGGGTTTGGCATCTCAGGGTTTGGCATCTCAGGGTTTGGCATCTCAGGGTTTGGCATCTCAGGGTTTGGCATCTCAGGGTTTGGCATCTCAGGGTTTGGCATCTCAGGGTTTGGCATCTCAGGGTTTGGCATCTCAGGGTTTGGCATCTCAGGGTTTGGCATCTCAGGGTTTGGCATCTCAGGGTTTGGCATCTCAGGGTTTGGCATCTCAGGGTTTGGCATCTCAGGGTTTGGCATCTCAGGGTTTGGCATCTCAGGGTTTGGCATCTCAGGGTTTGGCATCTCAGGGTTTGGCATCTCAGGGTTTGGCATCTCAGGGTTTGGCATCTCAGGGTTTGGCATCTCAGGGTTTGGCATCTCAGGGTTTGGCATCTCAGGGTTTGGCATCTCAGGGTTTGGCATCTCAGGGCTTGGCATCTCAGGGTTTGGCTCCCGCCTCAGAGTGGCGCAATGTCAGGGTTTAGCGCCTCAGAGTTTCGGCATGTCAGGGTTTCCCGCTTCATCGCGCCAGGTCAGGGCTTAGCGCCTCAGAGTTTCGCGCCTCGGAGTTTCGGCATGTCAGGGCTTTCCGCCTCAAAGTTGCGCCACGTCAGGGCTTAGCGCCTCAGAGTTTCGGGATGTCAAGGTTTCCCGCCTTAGACATCCGCCAGGTGAGGGTTTAGCGCCTCAGAGTTTCGAAGGTCAGAGTTTCGAAATGTCGGGGCTTCCCGCCTCAGAGTTGCGCAGTGTCAGGGTTTCGCGCCTCAGAGTTTCGGCATGTCAGGGTTTTGCGCCTCAGAGTTCCCCGCCTCAGAGTTGCGCCGGGTCAGGGTTTAGCGCCTCAGAGTTTTGCGCCCCAGAGTTTTGCCGTCTCAGGGTTTCCCGCCTCAAAGTTGCGCAATGTCAGGGTCTAGCGCCTCAGAGTTTCGCGCCTCAGAGTTTCGGGCTGTCAGGGTTTCCCGCCTCAGCGTTGCGCTATGTCAGGGCTTCGCGCCTCAGAGTTTCGCGCCTCAGAGTTTCGGCATGTCTGGGTTTTCCGCCTCAGAGTTTCGGCGGGTCACAGTTTTGGCGTGTGACACAGTTTCACCGAGTCGCGAAGACGTTAGCGGGCTCTAACGCGGCCGCCAGCCGCGTTTGGGCCGTCTAACGTCAGGACCGCAAAGGGGCCCGAATCGGCTCGCGTACCGGGAAGAGATCGCCCGCGGTACGGTGAGCCGGAGGCTGGAGCCCGCCCAAGAGCTCCGTGGGGTTGTTTCCTCCGAGAATCTGCGGGGAAACCTGCACGCGCCGGGGGGCATTGTCCTGAAGAAAGAGCTCATGCGGGCTATATTCCCCACGCGCCGTGGTGTCTCCTGCTCCTAGCAGCTCCTTCTCCCTCGTTCACCTTTCCATCCTCTCGGACCGCTAAACACACGGGAAACGACTAGTAACTAGTAGGATCGAGTCACTCAATGCTACGAGGCGCGCGGAGAGCCATCGCGTTGAGGCTCAGGTCTCTCAACGCTCAAGCACAGATAGAAATGATGAAGTGTATTTTCGCCTACCATTCTTATCACATCATCATATTTGTGTGCTTTCTGTAAGACAGCGCTTCGTACCTCCGTCCCCTCCAATACAGCGTCTTATCTCTTGTTTTCATGTCCGTAACATCCTTGGCACGTCAACGCAGAACAGATCTAGATCAGGTCTTATAACGCCGCAAGCACCAGGTGCTTTAGGAGCGCGTGGTAGTGAGACGAACAGCAGGACTCTTCTAGTTGCTTCGAAATCAAAATGTATTTCCTCTTGAAGGGTGAACTACCATTTTTTCTTTGTTCTGCATCAATGTTTCTTGCTTCCGGAAAAAAAAGCACCAGCGTCCTCTACAACATGTATATCAACGTGCCTCTATCACTGTTCGAGAATGCATACTTATCCTTTTTGTCTGCTATGGCGTCTGCGACCTCGGGTTTAACTCTTTCGATAGGGTCTCGTGTTATGCATAGCGATTGACAGCGATAGGACTTATGATCAAATTGCAGAGTATTAACTCTTCTACATATTACAGAAAAGAAACATCGCACCTCCTGGGACTATGCGATTTGCGAGTCAGATTCAGATAAAGATATAATCAACCATGGAAACTACATGCAAAGCCTATGTATGGTATACTCATACATAGGTCGGTGCTAGCTCTTCTAAAAGTAAAACAATGATGTTGTTCATGAGAGGTGCTGAAAGTAGTAATCAAGATCTAGTAATTAGTGTATTAATAATATAGATCTACATTAGAAGCATTTGAATTGGGATCAGCGCTAGAGCTAGTAACCTAGTGGCAGATCGCTCATAATCAGTACTGAGATAAGAACCCCCACCTGGTTTAGTTCTAGCTAACGCAGCATGCAAACCCATAGGCTTCGCGCGCCCGACGCGACCAGCAGAGGCGCAGCACACGAATCCAAGGGAATCAAGCTCGAGGTCTCTGTCATTGTGACATGAAAACCTACTTCGGAGCAGTCAACCACTCCATCCGCATCCTAGGAGGAATCATCATGCTGTTTTGAAATCTAAAGTTCCAAGAGCCTGTACCTGTAGAAAAAAACTGAGAAGTGTATCAAGGAAGCGAACGGAGGTCGTTCCGCATACAATGAACATCTACATCAGATGAAGAGGCTGTAAATCTAATGCAAATCGGTCTGGTACTAGTGGTACGTACTTATATATAAACTACTAGTTCTGGCTAATGCGCTACAGATGATCATGTTCATGAAAAAGTGAAGGGGGTGGAACAAGATAACAAGTGGATAAATGGATCTGCCACGGGGTCGTTCGCTGGTACAAGTACAACACAGGTAGCAAGTCTACTAAAATCTCGCGTAAGACCCTTTTACTTCTACTTCTACTTCTACATGTTCTTGCATTGTTCCGCCTCCAACAGTCGTAAGAGAACGCCGCTCGTGCAAAGCAAAGCCGTCGTAATCAGGAGAGCGACGGACGAGGACAGGTTCGACAGCAGCGCGACAAGAGTTAGACCATTCAAGACCAACAGCACGAGGAATGCGCAGAAAGTGCGTGGAGTGATAGTGAAGGTCATCGAGGAGTACCTCACCAAAGAAGATGGGACTAGCTCTGGAATATGTCCTTTAATAAATCATACTTCTTCTGGTAGAACTATAATAGGCGGGAGTAACTAGAAGCCCCCCGCATGTTGGTGCAGCTGTTGCTCCAGTAGAATTCTTATTTGACGATGGCTTCGACAAGAGTAGTACTTCTTCTCAAAGCAAATAGAAGGAGCGGTTATATCAATATCTCTCTATATGCAGCGACAGCGTAATTTGTGGGAGACGAGTTGTTGAGCTTGAGTTCAACATTGACAAGGCAAGTACAGTGTTTCTATCTTTTATCTTCAAGAAGAGAGTCGTGCTCGATCAGGAGGAGTCGTGATCCGGCGTGAAATTACAATGGTTTTTCCCATAAAACAACGAGGAGATTCAGCGGCACTCGAAAGAAGTTATACAACGTGGCTCGGTGCGGTTCGGGAACAATCTGACTCTTCAGGATCGAGATCGCTGGCCAATACGCCCCCACACAAGCCTCGAAGATTACGAAGCACGACAACAACAGCACGTATCGCGTCATCCCACCCGAGACCACATTAGAAGAATAAGATCAAGAAAGAGAAACGAGAGAAAATCAAGTACGAGAAATTTTGAGAAAGAGACTTTCAGTAGTGTCTGTCAACAAATAGAAGATAATTAATGGATTGCGAAGATGACGAGCTCCGACTAGAATTCTCAGATGAAAACCAAGTTGTCTTGGTTCACTTTTAGTGGTCGTGTTTCTAATATGATCTTGATCAATCTATGTAGTATAATCTACCATCATGACGGAGCTGGAGGTGCTCTTCATAATGTCTTCTGCTCCGAAAGGTGTATCTGACTTGCTCTCTTCTGCAAAAGCCGCACTAGCTCGACTCATCGTAAAATGTGCTGCAGCTGCTACCAGAACCAGTGCTTGCGCTACGAATGCTGGACTGCATTCAAAAGGTTAGAAAAACAAAACGTCTAGCACTGACGCTAGTTATTTTTTACACCATTACACACTATTGCGGAAAACAGTTATATATACACTGACATTGCACTGAGCGGATGCCGATAGTGTAGTTGGAATTCTACGTACTACAGAAGCCGCGGGTATTACTTATGATCTGGTGTAGACGAAGAAGCTGGACTTGTATCGTAAAAGGTGTCGGTGGCCGTTTGGAACAACGTACTCCCGATCATGCATCCAGTCATCAAAGCTGCGAATACCAGACCGAAAGGATGGGATTTGCTAGCTGGATTTGCGCCGGTGATTAGAGGTAGAAGCAGTTAATTTTCTTACCGTGCAGTAAACTGTGTCCTCACCGAAGCGATGGAGATCACGTAAGCAAGCTCGTCAGGACCTAGTGAGTCATGATGAATAGGTAACTGGATGTTGATTGTCCGTATTTCGTTGTAAGTACTTCATTCTTGAAATCTCGAGGAGCGCCACCTCTTCTTCTTGCCAGGACAAACCTGCCAAAGAACAAAAAGATAGATCATCACGATGAAAGACAAGTAACCTGCACTAGCTACTTCTACTTCTTAACAAGTGAGTAGATCATGAGATTTCATGATGAAGCATGACAACGAGGAGTAACCCAGTACTTAAGATGACTATGGGCGTCCATTCGAAGACAAAAATGAACATCGAAGCCTCGAAGAAACTGCAAATGAGCATCAGGTATTGAATTTTTCGGTCATCGCACAATGTACACCAAGCTGAAGACCCTGCTCCTGTTGAAGAAGGTTGTACTAGTTTTGAAGCCGTTGATGTTGTAGTATTTTCGAGGCTCGGAAATGAAGCCACGCAAGGGCTCTCCTCGTCTCCGGTGCTGCTCGTCGTGCCTTTTTTATGGCTTGCATCGATATTGGCTTCATATTTCTAGTTTACAAGACCCTAGATACTCACTCGTCCGCTACTTGCAACGAAGAAGTAGAGTACAACTAGTACTTCTAGTACGACTTTCTAGTACGAGATCTCTATGTAGAACACAATCCTTTCACTTGTTCTACTGCATGATGAATTAACTTAGGGAGCAGAAGCCGAAACTTAGGGCAGATAAATAATTGACATCACCGAGGATAGAAGATACGTCTTATAACTGAATACGTTCTTAAGGGCCACGTTGAGAGGCTTGTAAAAATACGTAGTTGTAGCCTTAATCGAGCTTTCTCCTCTATTTCCCGTATTTCCCTCTCTGCCTCGAGTACGCCCACTCAATGTTTCTGCGGTATCAGAGCCCGTTGTGGTGCTGAGGCTCGCATCAGTATCGGACGCTGGTGCTGTACCGTAATTCGCTCTCTGGCTTCCTGCTTTTTTGAGAGTCTCGGGAGAGACGGGATGAGACAAGCTCATCTGCTCCTTCTCCGGTGTCGTTTCGCCGGTGTTTTCCCGCCACGTGGTTTGGATGAGTATAGCCGTTGCAAGTAGAACAGCAGCGGACAGATCGAAGGGGGCGCAGTACTGTCCGATGTACAGAACGTTTTCCCCAAAGACCGTGGGCATCACATTAGTGAGTGGCGTGAGACTGGCTGCGGCCTCAGCCACGAAGCCCATGCCAATAGCGACAATACTGTTGAGGAAGATGCCCCAGGAAAAAACGTCGCCGAGGAACTCTCCCGCCGGCAACCGCAAACGCTGCTGCTCACACACCAACCAGGTTTCGAAAACACTGTAGAGCAGCGACGTAGCTATCCCAGCCAAGACGCGACCAACCGCCAGGACCCAAAAGTTCGCGAAGTGCTTCGTTGCGCACCCCAGCGCGTAGATCAAGCAGTAACCCACAGCTAAGCGCCGTCGCCCGTACCAATCTGCCCAACCTCCGACGAACACTCCGAAGAACATGGAGGCACCAAAACCGAAGATAAAAAGAATAAAACTTTAGAAGTTGCACCACAAAGACAAACATAAATTCATAGAATTTGAATTGTAGTCTTTCATCGTTCTGGCTTCAAACTCAAAGGGTGCCGTGTCGTTTCATATTCATGCATATGCGCCACCTTAGTTCATTCCCTTTGTTGAAATTGAAGGGCACATTCATCCGAGTCCGACTATGGGCGTACTAGAGAAGAAGTAGCTTGAAATATATAATTAACAATCACGGCCCTCCTAAGTAGACGAAAAAATGAAAAACAAGAAGTGGTACCTGTAGTCTTAAGAATTCGTCTGATGCGACAACCCGTAGGCCGCGTAGAGGGCGTACACGTATGGTCCTTGAAGCCAATCTGCCGCCATGGCCAGAAGCCAGACAGCCAAATACGAGGCTTTCAGTCCACTCGCAGCAGCATTAGACTTGCTGGAGGCGTCAACGTCTCCACCTATTAGCTGCTCCTTTTCCTCAGCACCCTTGTTCTTTACACCTGCTGTCATAGTCATAATTTTCATGATGATCATGCTGCAAGCAAAGTAGCTCTAGCTGTGCTAATGTCATGTGGTCGCTCCGTGTTACAGTTGAAGATGGGCTGTCTAAGGCACCGTATCACATTGAAGCTCTAGTAGAGCTGTCCCAGGAAAAGTTAAATTTTCAATCAACGACGATGAATGATGCAGCGAGAGTGTTCGGATGACGCAAAAAAATTATTCTTGGCGTCGACCATTCAATTCATGAGTGTGAGACGAGGTGGTTTCTATAATCAGAGCAATTTATAGGGTTTCACAGCTCGCATGGCATGGAGTGCATTGATCACATGGAGTAGCATGGAGCTAAAGGGGGAGCTTCTTGCGCCCCTTAAAGCTCTGCGCTCCATGCGCTCCATGCTACTCCATGCACCATGCGTGCAATAAACTACTTACTCTGATATATGATTCCTCGTCTCTTTGCGTTGAGTTATTTTTTCACATTAGTGGCAGGCGCAAAAATAAAAACAAAAAGAAAACACCAATCGTAGTTGAAGTAGAAGAAGTACTTTGTACTAGTTCGTTGTAGAAGTGGTAGTTGTTAAAGATCACAGCAGAAATTTTCGATCATGAAAATCTTGCTAGCAAGTACCAGACGATGCTTTTCTGTACACAAGAAATCTCCGGAAAACCATGCAGCTTGCTGCGGAAGCAATTGTCGCGCCGAGCACGTAAAGTGTTGCCTCGTGTTCGCTAGCGACGGCGCTCTCAGGACTCACTCCCGCATCAAAGACAACTTGTCTACTGCTTCTACTATGCTCATCCGCTCCAACCCCAGACTCTACCAGGATAGTATCGGCATGCCCTGTGATTTAGAAGTACGAACGCGATCACAATCAGTCAATATTCCTCTCCTATATGATCTCATACTAGGCACAATACGATTTCATCCTGCAAATCATCCAGATCTGCTGGTAAATATAATGGGCGGGAAAAATACCACATGGTTAGCCTACTCTCAAGATAACGATTACCAGGACAAAATCTGCTCTGAGCAGATGATATCAAACATATGTTGGCGTAACTTGATATCTTCCTCACAGGTCGATGCTCTCCACGGAGTAAGGCGGAAGATGAGGCGTGTCCACGGGATGCGTCCACTCGCACTACATCTCTTTCTAGTTGCGAATGAGCTTGGCCTCTTTAACAATTAGAAGATGTTGTCACTACAATGCATGTCGGAGAAGCTTATGAAGCTAAGGCCGCTGCATCAAAGGGTAAGGCTTTCTTCTCATTGGGAAAATAAAGAGAGTTGAAGCGGCTCTCCTCGATCGTGAATGAAGATGATGTCTAAGAAAGGAGACAACGAACTGAGATTACAACGTGATCCCTACTCTTGATGTCTTTTGCTTTTGTGTTTAAGAAGGACCATTGATGGGATTGAGTCGAGCGCTTACGCTTAGAATGTTGTAGCATATTTGAACAGTCACTACTACAGCATTAAGATTGCTTTTCGCGTTATTTCTATGAAGAAAGTGAAACTGAAAACCTAGTCCTACTGCTACCGCTACTCTATTGTGAATGCATAACATCAGCACCCGGGAACAAGAAAGGAGCCCAGAGTGACTCAGGCTGAAATACGGAGTTGAGGTGGTCTGCGAGACCGAGCGGGCGCGGGTCATCGGAGGGACTCTTCATGCTCACGATCACGCCGTGACCAGCTCGCACCATGCTTTTTTCTACTTACTTATTTTTATCGAAGATGACACGAATTCTTGGTCGTCGTTTTGATATAGCAAGGACCGTGATTAAGAATAATAGACTCACTTCTTCATCATCCTCCTGAAGTTTCTTATCATTCCGTTTTCCGGTTACATTTCGTTTCCAAGCACTTGTGGACATCAAGAGGATAACAAAATCCATTTTAATAGGCTTAGCCGTAGGAGTCCATCAGAAGAAAATGAAATCGATAAAGCGAGGCGAAAAAGAAATAAGCATCCTCATCACGGTTTTGAAAGCTACTAAGAATGACAGTGTACTGGCGCCGGTAGTTAATATAGCTAGAATCAAACAAAATGCAAATTCAAAGGGAGGGGTTCTTGGCGGGATGCCTTCTCATGAAAAATAATGTATTCTTTCTCTTAAACTTCATCAGACCAAGCCTCAAATTTGCTTCATCATGTAAGTGGAAAATCGCGGAACCTTGCCTCTCTCATGTTGTGCGAAAAGGACGCGCACACTTTCTGCACGTTTTAGGACAAGCTATGACCGACTTTGACCTCTCAGAAGCCGACTCTTCATCAGGAAAAAGACAAATCACTTGCTTCTCTACTTCACTACCTAGACCGAAGATCGAAAATTCTGTTTTATTTACTCTTCTTCGTATCGTACCAAAATATGCCTCTTCTCCTTGTTCATCTACTTTACCATCTTTTTACGCACTTCTACTAGGGACACTGAACGAGTCGCGTCCGATGTTGTGAGCAATGCTGTAGAAGTAGATCTAGGGATCCTGATGTACTAACAAGCAAAATTCTGAAGGTTCCTGCATGAGTCTGCTTCATACTCTTCATGCGAAAAAAGTGGATACGAAATGTCGCCCTGCCATGACCACCGTAGCTAACATCAGCCTTCCTTTCTCCCACATCCTTCCAAACAGGACACATTTCTTGGCGGGGATCCTAAAAATAATTTCTGATTTAACATATACACGAAAGTGCAGGTGCACTAGAAACTGCAAAGGAATAGGAGTATCGATCTCTCTCTCTAAATATTAAGAGCAATAAAACCTTGCAAACACTTCCCTTCGGAAACCTCAACCTCCAACACCCAAACCCAAAACCTCCAACACCCGAACCCAAAACCTCCGACACAAAAACAAACAAACCCCAAACCCATGAACCCATGAACCCATGAAACCACGAAACCACGAAGCAATGGGATTGAATTTCGGGGGAAAGGGGTTAAAATCAAAAATTTTAGGATCTTAACGCTTCAAACTTACGAGACTCAATCCCAAAACGACGACAAAACGTGGAAAATTTTCGAAATTTGAAAAACGCGAATCCAAGGAATTAAATTTCAGAGAAAGGGCTTAAAATCAAAAATTTTAGGATCTTAGCCCTTCAAAATCAAAGAACTCACTCTCAAAATGAGGAAAAAGGTGGAAAACTTTCGAAATTTGAAAAACGCGAAGCCAAGAGGTTGAATCTCAGGGAAAGGCCTCAAAATCAATAGTTTTGGGATCTTAACGCTTCAAACCCACGAGCCTCAAGCTCAAAACAGCGACAAAATGTGGAAAATTTTCGAAATTTGAAAAACGCGAAGCCAAAGCATTGAATTTCGGGGGAAAGGGCTTAAAATCAAAAACTTTGGGATCTTAGCGCTTCAAACTCACGGGATTCACTCCCAAAACGACGAAAAACGTGGAAAATTATCGACATTGGAAAAACGCGAAGCCAAGAGATTGAATCCCAGAGAAAGGGCTTAAAAGCAAAAGCTTTGGGATCTTAGCACTTCAAACGCACAGAATTCAATTTCAACCCCAAAACGGCGACAAAATGTGGAAAATTTTCGAAATTGGAAAAATGCAAATCCAAGAGACTGAATCTCAGGGAAAGGGCTGAAAGTCAAAAATTTAGGGGCTTTAGCGCTTCAAACGCACAAAATTCAATCCCAAAACGACAACAAAACGTGGAGAATTTTCGAAATTTGAAAAACGCGAAGCCAAGGGCAAGGCATTAAATTTCAGCGAAAGGGCTGAAAGTCAAAAAGTTTTGGGATCTTAGCCCTTGACTTCAAACGCACGAGATCCAGTCCCCAAATGCTGGCAAAACGTGGAAAATTTTCGAAATTTGAAAACGCGTATCGCTTACGTCGTTGCCTTGCTTAGTTTCTTATTTTGGGGAGGAGGGGGATCCTAGTGGGAGGGATGTTATCGGACGCTCCAAGCTAGTATAAATGTGTCTGGTATAAAATTATTCGATTTAGTTGCCGTTGTACTACAGACAGATCAAGTCATGCACTCATTTCCACTTCTACTAGAACTGAATACACTTCTAAACTTGCACCAGGTTTAATCAGAACAAGTACAAGAATAAAACGAACCATGTGCACCAGACGCTGCTCTAGGCTGGATTACCTTTAAGAAAACATTGATTATCAGCTTATTTTTCAGAGACTACAGGTACAGTCAGAGAGCCTCAGGGTCCGCTAGGTATCAATCATAATATCGAAATTTAGCAGCAGTCGAAAAGACATCTTCTACGCTGCTGAATCGCTTCATGTGCGAGTAGTTAGCACATGTACATGAATTTTGCGGATTCGCTTTCTAATCATGTAACTCTAGAACGATTTCCTATTTATCTTTCGATTCACGTGGTACTCTTTCAATTTCATTGCACGCAACTCTATATTCAGATCAACAGCCATTCTAGTGCTAGTCTAATCATCCTGTGCAGAAAAAGAGAAAATGTCGATGCTCGTGCCGATAGTTATAGCAAGAGCTCAACATTGGTAGAAGGTGATTTTCAATATTTCAGTAATTTTTAAGAAGTAATGATACCGCTTTTGCCTTTGCTTTTCTTATCATGTTGAAGAATCATTTTCATTTGATTTATTTACTTTCATCCTTTATCAAGTCAAGAACGTAGTACTCGTTCTTGCCGTCTTACGCTGCATGAATCGCCACCGCGCTGCTGCGTCTGCGTCAACATGAGATGAGCTGCAACATAACGAATTTCTAGAGCTAACCCGATTTTACGACAGGAGTAGCCGCCCCCCTCCTCCATTTACTGCCACACGACCAGGTAGCATCTTTACTGCTGGCGGGGGCATTACGTACTGTCGATGGTTGTACACCGAATAAACTGCGACGTTGCGCTCCGGCTCGGCAGTGAATGGCTGCATCGTCGTGAGGCCACACACAGTGTCCAGTTCGAACCAAAAGTCTTCGAGAATCTCCAAACCTTCCTTCCCCATAACAGCATCCACAACGTCTACGCCATCGTACGTTGCTCGGCCGGCGAGATGCGAGTTCACCGAGACGCGAGGCGTTTCGATCGTGCGCTGTCGCTGTGATGTTGTTGTGGGGAGCATGATCATGCTCCAGTCGCATCACTTCTGGTCATAATTGTCATCGAAGCATGAGCTACAGCTAGAAGCGAGTTGGTACTAGAGCCGAAGCGTTTTCTTGCTCATCAAAAAATTACGACAGTCGTGCTTTCAATAAAAAGCAAAGCACTCCTTCTCCGTCTTTGTTCTAAAGATTCAATGACAGCACTACGAAACAAGCATATGCATAGTTTGGTTCATTAATCAGTCATGTCGTCAAAAAGTTCTAAAACGATTTTGATTTTCTTGATCACGTAGGGAATTCGCATTACCACAGGAGAGAGCCCCATTTCGTTTATGTATTCGTCTGCTACGGCGACAGCTTTTGCCACCCATACCTCTTCGTCCCAGTCTAGACCCGTTTTGCTTGGCAGTGCCTGCACGGAAACGGGTCTCTCCAAGGCCAACTGCATAGCCAGTGCATGGTCTCGATCGTGCTGATCCTGAGTCGTCCTCATCGCTTCATCGCGTAATGTAAATGTCGTCTCTAGATCTAGAATAGCTTGATCCTCATGTAGTAAAAGAGCATTTGATTTCATGACGTTGTTTGTCGAGGATGAATGCGGCGCGCTCAGAGGGAGGCGTGAATCATTTTTTCTGTAATGCGGTTGATGTTCTGCGGCACCACCGTCAATGTTCTTCACATTGAGTACTGCATCTAAGACTGGCTCAGCTTTGAAATCAAATTCGATGTCCTTGCAACGCGTAGGAAAGAAGCTCGGGGCATGCCTTTCACGTATCGTCGAAGAGGCGACCACGGGTAACAAGTTGCAGTGATGTGCTTGTTGTTGTAATTCCTGGAGTGCATCACCTTTTTTAGCGGACGACAATGTCGATGAGGTAGGGGCTAGCGAAACTCCTGGTTCTACTCGTTCATCGCGACGCGCACCGCAGTCTTTTCTCGTCGTCGATGCAAGAAGTTGATCAGTACGCCCGGTCCGCTTGCTCATACTAGCAACACCGCACTGCTCATCATATTTGGCTTCATGATGACCTTCTATTTCTATTATGGCACCACTGTTGTATCCTTCCTCCTCCTCCTCCTCCTGTAGGTGGAGTTGCAACAAGCAGCTCTTTGTCACTGCCTCGACGATGACTGACGCCGCTAGAAAAAAATCGACGGACGTGTTACCTTCATCATCTTGCTCTTCTTCTTGTGTACAACTCCTACTCGTTTTTTCTTCACAACCATCTTCATTCATCACCGCTCTGTGACTACCTTCAAATATCAGTGCAAGAACAAACGCTACATCGAGGAAAAATGCCCTCGTGCTACTTGTACTAGACGTGACTTGTTCTACAAAAATGTCGCTGTCCTCCTTTGTAGAAGTTCTTGTCATGTTACGTCGACCACTCCTCCCGCGCCTTCTCGTAGAGTGTCCGGAAGATATGTAAGTACGCTGCTGGCTCCCGCTCCATGCTCCTGGTGGAACATTGCTACTTCCATCTGGTGGAGCATCAAAAAATGCCGCGCAGGACAATTCATTCTCCTCCTCCCACTCATCGACGCCCGAAAATAGCATTGCACAAATGTCAGCGTCTATCACCTCGACCACGTCGTCAATAGGGCTCGACATGGCATTCATGTTTGCCGGATCAGAGGAGTGATCATGAAGACCTTCATCTTCACGACAGCATGTCCACGTTGACCACGTGATGAATGGTGAACCTCCATATGCTATACTTGATGTGGTCGTTCTGCTCACATCGCGCAAGGAGGATGAAGAAGATGAAGAATGCTCACACTTCATGAATGGAGTTTCGTGACTGCCTTCGAAATTTTTGTCGTGCTGAGAATCTGCTCCTGCAACTGCAAGAATTCCTTCTTCTTCGTCTAAGTCCCCTCCTCTATGTTTGAGAGCACTATTCGCGATACGGGGTACAGGAGGCCATGGCGAATCGGCGCTCTCTTTATTGTTTTCTGCAGGAGTTTCTTCCGCGCTACATCGACGTATTTCATCCCACTTTTCCACGGTGATGCCCTGTCGCTTTAGCGCAACGAAGTAGTCGAGTTCCCTATGCAAGTCTGCATCGTGGTCGAAATCTAGCTGTTCAGGTGGTCTGGCGACATGTGGTTCTTCCTGGTGTGCGTTGTCCGGGTTTCCTTCTTTGCTTTGCCATCCGTGTGTTTGCTCTTGCGCCACGCCTGTAGCACAAGTGCCATTTCTTCCTTGTGATTCAGTGCAATCGGGGACAACCCCCTCTGCGGCCCTAGTTGCTCCTCTGCTCAATACATCGAGGCCTGTCCCTATTCGCAATTCGGTGAAGATCTGCATTTTTTCGCCTTTTGCTACGACGTTTTGACTATTTTCGCTATTTCCTCGTCCGTGACCTCCATTATGATCTAGCGCTAGTCTGTTCTTGTTTCGCCGTCGATGCCGCCGCCTAGAAATCCAGACACAATTTCTATTTCCTTTTTCTTGCGTCAATAAAGCTGCCAGAGTTTTGTCGTCCGGGACACCGAAAGCGAGGTCACCATTCGCATCGTAGTACTCTAGCTTCGGTACTCGAGGAGGCCGCTCAAACCAGTATCTTCTGTATGGTTTCACGTGTATAAGATCAGCGTCAGCGGGACCCCACACGACCGAACCATCGCCACTAGCGCTTAGGCCTACTCTGGAAGGTCCGAGGAGCGCATCTGGCGGCTTCGTCTTCTTGTTACTGTTGCACTTGCTGCTCATGCTCTTGCACGTGTTCTGGGTTGACCAAGCTCCCCTTGCCGGTTGTGGCCCCCTGCTAGCGTCGTTGTCAAGGTCATCCACCCTACTCGGTTTCGCGCGCTCCGCCTCTCCGCGTAACTTGGCTGCCACTGCCTCGGCTCGAGACGGTCCCCGTCTCCTCGTGGTAACTCCCACAGCACCCGGCCTTGACGATGAAGATGAACAAGCACCAGCATCTCTTCCGGTTGCCTTAATGATGCTAGTACTTCCAGCACTCCCACCTTGAGCCGCGTGATGTTGCTTGCTTTTGCCTTGGTCGCCGCCCAGCATCAGCCTATCCGAAAGCGCCGCAAGTTTCGGTTGTGTTAAGCGCTCCACCTCAAGCTTTTCCTCAATTTCTTCGCGCCTCCGCTGCAGCTCTTCGTAAGCCAGCTCGAAGCGCGTAAGTTCTCTCTGGAATCGGCCCCGCCTGAGGAACCGCGTGCAACAAAGCAGTACGAGACACGCGACCCGGAGAGGCCGGACCCGACAGTTTCGACTCAAGTTATAGCACGGATACTCGAAAAAGCCGCGCGGCCTGCACTTTTCAAGTACATCGGAAAAGCGAGGCACAAACTCCGTCTCGATTTGCGCATGCTGATGGAACGAGAAACCGCGGCCGGCGAGCGGCCGGCAACATTCGTTGTCGCTCCGAAAAAGCGTGCAGTAATCAGTGGCCGCCTGTGGTGCAAAGTAGCCGTCGGTGTGAAATTTGTACGAGTCTGCACGTACCAGCAAAGCGAGCCTGGTTTGCAGTGATGGTCGTGCAGTAGCTCTTGCAGCAGTAGTTGGACTTGGAAGCACGAGAAGACTCAGATTTTCAATTTCATTGATGAGATAACGTTAATGCTTACCGGCCGTCTTTTCAGTTTTTCTTGGGGATAGAAACAAAAAGAGAAAGATGCAACATCAAAAACTGAAAGAAATTATCGACTCCTGAACTACAACTAAAAAGAGACCCCCAGCGAGGTCCTTACGTTCCAATCCGTGAATCTGTCATGGCTCTTCTCCCCTCGATTTCGCTTCTTCGAAGAACCTTAGACGTCGTCTCGATAGCATGATCGAAATAACCTCCCATATGAAGAAAAATCGCGACGATGACATCGATCAAGTCGTGGTAATCGCTGTCTTGCGCCACACACTGTCGAAAAGAATAGTTGGCTTTCTCTGTGTCGTTCGCCTTACCTGATAAGTATGATTAAAAGTGAAGCCGGCGCCGGGCCAGATCGTGAGATATTTGCAATAAGGGACCTTTTTCACCTTCCGCTGTTCCCGCAATACGGGTAACTGGTGTATTTTCCCTATCGTTAGGACTGATCTACCACCTACTTTCCGCAGCACACTTGACAACTAGGTATGACAATGTACTGTGCAGTATTCCTTGGAAGAATAGCGCTGCGGGTGAATATGGCACAGCTGCAAGTGCAATGGTGAGCTCTTGCAGTCCCTGTGCAAACCGGCCTAAAATACTGAGACAGACTGCGCGCCGAAGCACCAAGTCGTGGGCCAATGGAAGATACCGATCAGGAGGCAGAAAGCGAAATAGTTCGTACGCGACCGCAAAGCAGTTCATTGCCCGCACATACTCCCCGACCGCGAAGGCTCGATTTCCCGTATATACTGCTCGCTCGATGGAGACTGTATCGTAGTCGTGACCCTCGGCAAGGAAGTCCACGACGAGGTCCCGCACACCTGAGAGTTCAGGTGGTCGCCAAGTCAAGCGGGCGTCGGACGCGAGAACCGCTCGGGAGACCAACGCCAAACACGACGATGAAATTGCTAAAGATGTTTTTTCTGCTTGTGGTGCGCTTGTTCCGGGCTCTGCCTTTCCAAAATGCCCGCCCGACGGTTTGTGCGCAGCACATTCTGCGTGGGGCCGCGGGGTCCATTCCGCCTTCCGTATTTGCTGATTTGCTCGTATCACTGAGTCAGATAGTTCTGCTTCCAGAGGGTAATCAAACTTTTGTTCCTTGACAGCTTCCCGTGGTGTCGAGTCAAGCAGTAGAGGAGGCATTTCTTTGCCCGTCGAGGCGGGTGGTAAACTTCCCGTTGCAGGCGCAGATGGCATCATGGTGCCCAATTGCTCAGTGCCAGGGGGGCCACAGGCACAGTCTTCGTGTGATCTCATATTTACTTGTTGGATTTATTGAGCTTGAGCAAGGTCGGAAGAGGTCATTAATCATGATAGTCTCGTCCGAATCATCTTCTATGTATTGCAAACTATCTTCTTCTACAGATACACATACATGATCGGAACACTTCCAGTACTACTGCGTCTGTTAACCACTCGATGAAGCGCTCCTCATCAAGTGCTTGGCGCTAGTTCTAAAAATGATCTTTTCCGGTGTCCGTTCCCCAACGCAAGTGATGCAAACTAGGTGGTGCTGACGTTTCAAGAAAAAGCCCGGCTAAGAAGCAGAATCCATCTTCTCTGTTTGGCTATGCGACAACAAGTTCTCGTCCAGGGTACTAGCTGATCGCGAAATTACGAGAAGTACAAAACATCGCTAGCTGATGCTTAAAAAGTCTCGGAATATTCTTGTAACTGACTGTGGTGTTGGAGGTCCGGAACCATGTTGATGCACATCAAAAAAGCGAAAGCATGAGAGACTCGTCTGCACATCGACGTCCCTGATTTCATCGGTCTCTCAGCGGCATAGGCTTTCAGAGAAATCGTATTGTTCAGAATCATGATAAGTAGCATGACTGGACGAGTGTTGAAGTTTACTTCTTCTTGATGGTGTACTTTATGTTCTAATTGATTTGGATAAAAATTCTGCTAATTATCCATCTAGAGACGAGCCATATTTTCCTCACTGTCCGATTTCTTAACGTGTTCAAATCTCATACTGAACCCGCAGAGCATCATCATGTCACAATATTTTCTTCTTCGAGCGCAACGAACTTCACCCATGAAAGTGCCTATTTTGGTCCGTCGATTGTCGGCCTCATGTTTGTTAGTCGACCGGTTACATCGATGTTTATATCAGTTGTTTTTCGGTAAATCGTTAGTCGTTGAGCTCTCCTGCGCCAAGAAAGCCGGCAACAACGTCACAAAAAAGTGAAAAAACTTCTAACAAACTATGATTATGTATAATGTATGAGTAGCAAATAAGCAAATCAGTGGAGAATTTTTTTCTATTGGCACTGTTACGTACTAGCAAAGGCTCGCTTTTGTAAAAGAAAGATCACGGAAGCAGAAAAATGCGCCCCGAGGCATCTCCACGACCCAGCATGTGTCAACATATTATTGTTATTCGATGAGATGATGCAAAGAACGACGAGGCGGCTCGTCCAGCGAAGCATACTATTCACCACTGTGGTCTAATTCTAACGCACTTTCAGCAGATGAGAAACCTTCACGATCTCATCCTAACTATAATCAATATCGAAGTAGCCTCATCGGTGGTTACCAGTTGTCGGAATTATTTCGGAACAAATGGCGTCATCCCTGCCTGAAAGCAATACCAAGGCAAACCTCAGAAGCGCGGACGCTCTTCGTCTTCCCACGCTGGTGCACCTTCTGGTGCATTCGTCTTATCGTTTTCAGATGACGATCCAGCGATGGTTCGCTTGGTGTGGTCGTGCATCCTCGTGCCAACGTAACCATGCGCTATTGCTTTAGCTGAGTCCGGTTCATCAGCAATGGAAAGCAGGCTTTCCTCATCCTCGCAACCATGTAACACAGCGACGGCGCCAGCTCCAGAAATGACGTGCCGCTCCCGAGTCTTTTCCTTCTGCTCAAAAACAGCTGTCATTCTCTGTGTGCAGTCATTTAGGTCAGCGTCAGCTCGAGGAGCTTTTTCGCGATCAAGGTCACGAACAATTTTTTTGTTCGCTACATCGACGGACATGAGATGCAGCCGACCAGCTAAGTCGGACATGCGATCAGCGTCATCATCCGCCCAACGATACGCACGCCCCCCAGAAGCATCATCGGCCATTGTTCCTAAATAGCTCGATACTCGCTCGATGATCTACATCTATGAATAGTTAATGTGCGGACCTCGCCGAGGCTGACAACTTGATGAGCGATCCTTTTTTAGGTATCATGCATGTGAACATGAAATATTTCCGAGTTTTCTATTTTCTCATTTTCTCTCGATTTTCAGTCCTTCTTTTCGCTGCAGTGGCGCGCGATTTTTGTGAACAACTCTGCAAGGCACTTGCACTATATATTAATTATGATGATTGTGCAGGTGAAGGTGTATTATTATGCAGTTGCTTTATTTGTATTTTGAATCCATGACAACGCATTGCTAATCGCTTTGTCTGCCGCCGAATTGTCACATCCTTCTCCTTCCAGTAACTGTAGAGCGCCGATTTTCCATGGTCTGCCAGACTTAGACAAAATTTCTCCAAGACTGTTCTCATTTGCTATCCTTCGTGCTTCTCCTTCTGCTTCTTTCTCTGTAGCCTGCATATCTTCTTGTAGGCTGGTGAGCTCCACTAGGACGAATACCGGCATTTTCGCAACCTTTGTTGCAACCTCAGCCGGATCACTGTCTAGAATGACGCAATACCCGGTCTCGTCCACCGCTTCTCCAATCAGGTATTTCAAATACTTTACTGGGTTATTCATCAGCGCCTCCTCGTAATTGCCCTTCTGCTTTTGTTCGTTCTGCGCTTGCATATCCGTCTGTACACGACCCGAACCAAATGAGCTTCTACTTCGAGTACCTGGGAAGGTATATATCAAAATTTGTAAACCCAGGTGGTAAGTGATCTGTTGGTATTCTTATATAGTAAACGTTGAACTTCAGAAGAAAGCACCCTCGTAGCGCAGCATCCCTGTGATATTTTCTTGTGGTTGAATGAATTGGAAGAAAGGGAGGTTAGCCTGATTTAAGAATGCATGAGATACCAAAGGGAAAGGAAGCCCAGAGGTCAGCGACCAATGACGGGGAGGACGGGGCATAAACAGCACTAAAGTAGGTTAAGATAGCTAGTGCGGAGATTTGGCACACTGCTGCCACCTGAGGTCTCACTGACAGGAAAACAAAGGATGCTCAAACAGGCCAGAAGGGAAGAGAAAAGGAGCACAGAAGAACCAACGTAAAGTGAGTGCTCGCACAAGCAAGGGTACGGCGAGCCACTGCGGCTCAGGGGTGCTAGCTCACCCGCGGTGACATCCCGAGCTTGTCGTGTGAAAAAAACTCCGGTATAAATAGCATTAAACTAAACTAGTATCAATTATCCACACTAAAATGTCCACACTTACCTGCAACGCCGCCAAGCTTCTGCACCGTGTCAAGGTCAACCCGTCATTTTTATTACAGAGATATCCGAGGTAGCCCGAACACAAAAATGGTCCATTATTTCAAGGGAAGCAGGGAGCTTAACTAAATCGGGGCTAGGGTGCCAGGAAAGAGTATGACTTTAAGCTGAAAGCCGACATGTGGCGAGACCGAAGTACAGGACAGAAATCATGAATTACACCAGGAAAGTGATCCGATGGCCATAAAACCGAACGGAGCATATTTATAAGACTCACTACGAAAGAAACTACAGAGCTGTCAAGAACCGAATTACGAAGCAGGAAGGACTACAGGGGTTTCAAAACAACGCGATGCAGATCAACCCAATCGAGGTAAGAGACAACATACGAGTGAAGATCGACTGAAACACAAACAAGGACCGAAGGAATGGCTACTTTCAAAGAGAATAACACAACCGTCATCAAGCAAATAGAGATAAAAAAGTACCTGGGAAGATGTAGATCAGACCTGCAAGATTGTGTTCCTTGCGCGACGTCAACGTTCCCTGTTCAGTAGGTGCCTTTGGCAAGATCACACTCCTCCACAGTGGGTAAATTTGCGATCCACCCGAAACCGTGAACACCTTCGCGTTAGGAACCCCATCTATGTCCCGGGCTCCGAGACCCATCGGAGAGTACTTTCGAAACCTCCCAAGCTCCTTCGCGTTACCGTTCCGCGCGATCAAGTCATTGATCCCGTAAGCCAAGCCCTGTTCGACGCCACAAACGAGAATCCGTTGCTCCACAGGAGGACTCTTCGTGTTGAGATTTCCCATCTATTTCAGATGTTTATTCTTCCGCTATTCTCACATCAAGGGCAAGGAAGGTTAATACAGTATAGACACACTATCCTTCCAGAATCAACAGGATGGTCCCATGCTCTTCGAGAAAAGTGACTTGACCTTCGCAAATTAGTGCTAAAATTAGGCGGTGTTTTGAACTTGATGTTGAACTTCTCATATGCTACTTCTGCGAAAAAGTTTCTGACAAGAAAACACAAACTTGGTCTGTTTTACGATGATTCGTAGCATGATGTTGGGCATCAATGTACCTTTTCAGTCCTGTGCACAGTGGCTGTGGGTCATCACTTTTCTCTTTTTACAGCATCTAGGCAAGTTCTGTGCATGGATCAGATTTCTTTTTCGCGACGAGGCTTTCGATTTCGTAAATTGGAGTAGAAGAATAGAAGAGTAGATATTGAAAAAACATTTCTCAAAATATTTCAATAGTTTTTATTGACGCCTCGCGCAATACTCCACTACGTGACTTTCGCTCTGCACCGTGTGCACGTCCAGAATGCCACGATTGCAAAAACGACGCAGCATACTGCAGACGACCGCACCCACTGCTGCTCTGAAGCGGGTACGAACACTCCGGTTGTAGTAGGTAAACTACTTGCATCCCCCGTCAAGGCACCCGACGATGATGCCACGAGTCCTGTCACCTGCTTGATTGCTGTATTCAGCAAAGCCACTGGTGCAGTCCCGCTTGCCGCCACAGGAGGGCATTCCTTCCGCACCACGAAAGTAAGCGCATCTCCGTCCAGCGGCAATGGATTCCTCACTGGTAACGCGAATTCAACCAGTTGACTGGATGACGATGACGTCGAAGCAGCACTATCACCAAGATTGGAAGTCATGCACTCAAACGCTGCTGTCAGCACAGCATCCTTGCCGATCGAACGAAGCTCGTGTCCGCGAATCAAACGCACAGACGAGAGAGGACCACCGCCTCCTGCATTTGCATTCTTAGTGCTTTCCGCTCGTTCTTCTCCCTTTTCCCCATCGGTGACGACATGAACTCTTGGCGGCTTCGTTAAAGCAACCATCTCCCGGTCTGCATGCACGATAAAAGTGGCAGTCTCTGCATCCGCTGGAAGCGTAAGAAGCACATGACGAGGACCGTGGTTATGACCGTCTCTGCTCATCTGTAATGGAAGTGCGCCTAGCATCGTCGCATCACGGCTAATCACGACAACTCCGCGATCGCCTCCACACTGCTTCCTCCACACAAGTCCGCGACCGCGATAGTCATCCTTCACTGCACCCCAATGCACGTCCATCCGGCACTCGTATAGACCCGACCTCTCGCAGTTGTACTCAACACGAAGGGTCGACAGCGATACGCCATCTGCATGCTGGGACGCAGAGCCGCCTTGCTGCTGTTGTTGTTGACCATTACCTGTGATAGTTGTTGATGCAAGAAACAAATGATTACTATTAAATAATCAAAATGAAATCTTTTTATTCGACTGCTGCAAAACCCTTCTATCATGTTCAGATATACTGAATGCAGTCGTGAAATTGTAGTGGAGATAGCAGACATGATTTGACAGTGTTCTACTGCTAGCGAAGAACATCACTCATCTACATCTTCCTATGCTTGAATCAGGCCACACCTTCCTCCCCAGTCGTCGGCGTCTCACTGTTGGCTCCTCGATTTGCCCCCCTTTCTATTGAAGTGGTTACTTCTAGAAGATTTTTCGCACTTGTTTGCTTAGAAGGCGACGGACGCATCCGTCTCCTCGCACGATTCACTGCTTCATCCGCTGACGCGAGCGCACACGTCACCGCGTAGCGATCAGCCGCATCTGCATCAGAGATACGAAAGATCGACGACTTTTCATTCCAGTCCGCGTCAAAAGGCTGCGCAATTTCCTCGTCGCCCTGTAGGAGAACAACCTCGCGTGTTGGAGACACGTTCTGCCGTTTCTTTTTGCGCCACCAGGCCGATGTTGAGACACTCGTTGTTCCGAACGCGTGTGGGCTCTTGTTTGATGATTCATCCTCCGCGGCAGATGAAGGCGTCGCGCCAGAAGTTGTATCCATCAGCGTCACGACCTGGGATAAGGCATACGTAGGCATTTGTGTCTTGCGCGTGCAAAAAACAGCTCGCTGCACACGAACCGGAGCACAAGGCTGCCACGCCGGGAAAGGAACTAAAGAAAGAGTGACAACGCCGGCTCCGTATCTCTCGCATTTTAAGAAGATTTCCGCGGTGGACGACGTGTGCTGGCGAGCATTTCGCTCGACAACGCCAGGTGTTCCCCCGGTGCCTTCTTGTTGTTGCTTCTGCGCGCCTTCCTTGCTCCCAATCCCGCGCCGGAACACTTCCACTCGCAAATTGTCAGGCATTTCGGTCTCGAGGGACACCAAGCCGCCGCCGTGTGGATTTGCTGCTTGTAGAACCGTCTCCACGGTCTCCGCAGCGGCCTCGTCCTCAGATGTGACTTCTAGTGCTTCTTCGAGCAGAGCTAGCGAAGATCGTCGTGTTGACGATGTAGTCCGCTCGTCACCCTCGTCTACCAGTACCACATGCTGCGTTTTGCTCTTCGCAGCTGCCACAATATCGTTACCTTGCTCGAGAAAACCCGAGATGCGCGATAAAGTCGGAGACAAACTTCCCTCAACTTCTATCTTCAGTGGCAATAACGCCATATCAGAAGGCCGTCGCATCGCCACGGGTATTGACAGCGATGATTCGAATGCGAGAACTGGCATATCGGAAAGAGCTCCCATTTGCTCCCCGAAACGACTGGCGATCGTAAGCTTTTCCTCCCGTATCCTTGCTCGCGATACCGCAGTGAGCAGCGAGAGGCGCTGCTGCTCGAGTGCGGTGCTAGAAGTGGCACCTGGCACAGATGGCTTGTCTTCATCTTGACCGCGCTGCAAGGGTAATATATTAGAGTTCAGCACACGACCTCCATCCGTTGAGAAAGAGTCCAACTCACCCGGTTCGCTATGCAGGAATCCTGGCGCGACATCGTCAACACTGTGAACAGCATCGATGAATTCTTGCGCGCGAACAAAACCATTGGCGCGTCCGTCGAATACCAGGGAGGTCTCACTCCTGCCCTCAGAAGTCTTTTCGCGCACAGGACCCTTCTGGTTTTGGTGTCGCTCGTCGACTCTCAAGCTCAGACCTACAAGCGGAAGCCCGGCACAGTGTTTATTGTACACAATTGCCACCGTTCCTTTGTGCTTGTTCGACCGCAGCGCCTCGCCGGAAATAGTGGACTTGCGCGCTCGACTCAGATCAAACGTCACTGTTACCTGATAAGTCAGTGTGCTACTAAGAGGTTCTTAACAATCTGCAAGACTCGTCGCGACCCACGAGTCGGCAAAAATGAAAACATGTTTTTCCAAAGTTTCCAAATGATCGCAGACCCAGACGACGAAAGCTAACCAATTATGCAACAGAATCACGAATGTTAACCGCACTAGCTCTAACACCACACCTACTCGCGAAGAGGCAGAAGCGCAATCTAGAAAAACAAAAATGTAGTCTCCTCACCTCGGCAGTGCCCGCTCGACGACACGTGAAAATGAGATCACCACGCTTGTGGTCCCGATGCAAAAGGGACAGTTCGGCGAAAGCAACTGCGTCATTGGAAGAAGCGACTTTAACCTTCTCAACCTCAATGTCTCTCCCAACTTCCATGAAAAACGTGGAGTTCCACTGCGCCGCTGGTACTTCCACCGGTTCGCGCCAGTCACTACCACGATGAAGGGCTGCGAGATATTCGGAGTGGGTGTCGTCACGCGTTTTCTCTCTGTTCGCCCCACTGCCGTTAAGGGAGAAACTCAGATGAAGTGCCGCGTCGACGTCCACTGGTGGAGAGGTTCTCGACAGAAGCGAAGTCTGTGGTGGCTCTTCTGCCACAGCCGAAGACGGCGATGTCGAGTTCATAGAAGGCAGAACAGCTCCCATTTGGAGGAGAAATTCCGGTACCGAGCCTCCGGCGATCAAATCGTCTTCACCTTCATCAGATCCCACCGCAAATTCCCCGAACAGCGAGAAACGATTGGCGTCCGCACCACCGGAGGAGTCAGGTGAACGGTCAGCTTCTGCCCGTAACGACATTAAATCTTCGCGGACAAACAAAGCGGCTGCGTGCTGCACAACAGAACCGGACAAAGGGACGAGTGTGCTCAAGAGTGTCCAGTTCCTCATGTTTCCAATCAGGTCTTGCGCGGAAAAAGCGAGCATGCCGAAACGCATGGCATCCAGAGTACCGTACATTTACAATTGGTTCAACTGCCGAGGTCGTCTTCCGGCTACTATGGATCAAGGCGCCGCACCGATCATGATTGCGATAATTGGTTTACGATCACGCCGACATCCACGCGCTTTCCGACAAGCGTTTTCTGCCATGTACTTTTCTGACTGACGCCATTTTTACTGGTACTGAGTTCTCTCAACCAACCGAAGAAATTAAAGTCATCTCATCATGTCTTCTCTCCCCGAGTCTGAACATGTGGTTTTCCCTCCAATAGAATTTGCACGATGAAGTTCCTGTACTAAGGTGATTTCTTTCCCCTGTTGGAGGGGCGCGTAATCGCGACTCTTTTCAGGTCATACTCACCCATAGGACGAGCTTTTTTATGGGTTGACGTTGATCCGACCTGCTTGCCCTCATTCTGCATTTCTTCTCGATTTTTTCTTGACGCCGTTGTACTTCTTCTAGCACTTTTGCGTCGCCTCCGACTATTTTTACTATATGCGTAACTACCTTGAGTGAGAGTTTTACCGAGAAAACAATTTTAACCGAGTCTCAACCTGACGCTCGAACACCTGGAGCATCGACCAGAATACAACCCGGAGCGGGGCAGCGCCAGCTTCGTCGCTGCAGTTCTTTAAGTCCGTTTCCTGTAGTTGGGATAATTGACATATCCTAGCAACCAGTCTTCCTGCTCAAGCTTTGAGTCAAGAACATACTACAAGCGTAGAAATCTCCTCAATCCGCCAACAGAACAAAGCGAATCGCTTTCGTCGGGAGATCCCATAATTTGCAGATGCCGAAAAAACTGGTAGTCCTCAAGCCTGATCGAATACTGAGTCGCGCTTCCCTATCGATCGAAAACGCACTTACTTCTTCTTTGGCTTCAAAGCCTTCTTGACTTCCTTGTTGACCTTCTTCTTGGCCTGCATGAGCTTGAATCGCTCGAAGTCGGTAAGTGCGGCCTGTGATGGATAGTGACGGAAAGATTTTTAGAGAAATGAGTCTTTAAAAACTTCAAACTAAACATGTATCAGATTCGGGAAAACTTTTGGAAGTAGGAGCATCTCAGAAACTCAACAGTTTTTTAACATGTTTTCTAGCACCTTTGAAAATACACACGAGTAGAAAGTGTACCTTGGCCTTGCTGGCGGCGATCTTCTTGGCCCATCCGGACTTCTCCCACTGAGCGACGGCACCGCTGGCGGCCAAAGACTTCTTCAGAGCCTTTTCGCGGGCACCACGGCCGAGGCGGGTGGTCACGCCGGTGAGGCTGACCCACTTGAGCGGGATCATTTGTCTCTTCACACCGGTGGTCGGGCCATCAATCAGAACTTTGTTGATGGAGACCTGAAAATTTTTTTAGGAGATGGGTGATGGTTCGTGCCTCCTAAAAAAGACTTCCCTTAGTTTTTAGACTGGTCTGGTAAGCTGGAGTTTTTGTGCAGTTTAGAAATGTGGCACATCTAAATACTTCACAGCGAGTGATGCACAGCGCCGAACTGAGTCTACAAAAAATATTCACTAAAGATGACACACGCCAAAATCTAAATCCAGCAGGACGTTTGCTATTGGTATCCAAGAAGCCAATATGTACACGAATAGAAATCTTACCATGTCCACGATGGTGGCGACCTTTCCCTCCAGAGGTCCATAGCGGATGAGGACCATACGTCCCGGTTCGACGAAGCGCTTGAAAAGAGGTGCGTCAGCCATTTTGTATCTATGTCGTCCCAACAACGGACCGTAGACAGGAGTATCCCTCTCGGACTTCTCAAATTTCCCTGGTAATGATAAGGTAGAAACAAGATGTATTTAGTTGTTGAAGAACATGCACGTGGTAGTTCATATCACAACAGAGGAAGTTCGCATAAAAAGGCATGAATATGTAGTGAGAATTTGTCGTTGTGTTGAGACCAAAGCAGTGATATTTAGATCATTCGATGTGAAGATTGGAACCTCGATCTTTGATGTTGGTGGCCGTTGATCGTGATTTAGACTGATGGCGTGCTCTTGAGATCTTCTTTAGATTTCACCATCTTGGGATCTAACACTGTTGGGCAGAGTTCTTCAATGTTTGATCAGGTATTTGATTTTTTGATCTACATAAAGGGGTCGTGGGTCCACCTTTCTGACCATTGAAAGAGCGCTTTAGTCAACGATATTGTGGCGAGATCTTGACGGGCCGACGATTTAGATCTCCTCTCTCCTGAGGTGCACGAAAGATCATTCCCTAGCGGAAGTCAATCTTCATGACTTTCTGTGCTGCTGATCTGCTTCTTGGTGAAAAGACCGTGCTGATGACCGTGAGGAACGTGAGGCTAGCTTTGATCCGATTTGAAAAACTAATCTAGATGAGCTCAAGAATCCGTTGAATCTGTGATTCACCGATCGGAATACTTATCTCCGGAGTTCAAATCTAAATCCCCTCGACGTTTCTCCAACGGAGCCCAGGAAATAGGAGACAGAAGATAGACCCTTAACCACTAGGAGACCCAGCTGCACATGTTCCTCGTACATGTACAAGTGCTCCATTAGATTTCTAAATTCAGAGGAGCCACGATTGAGAGGAATCGAGTCCAGTTCTGCATCTGTTCAAAATTTGCTTGAACGTGGAATCCACACGCTCAGCGAACGCGACGTAAAAGAAATTGACAAAAATAAGTCATGAAATTGAAGACGATGGAAGCTTGCCTGGTCATAAAAAAAAATGAGATGACCTCGCTGTGGATAACTGGAGGATATCGTGATCTGGGGCACGACCTTAAGACAAAGAGCCAGCAGCGCGAATCCGCATCCACCACGTGTAATCTGAATCCATGTGAATCGGCCCATCGAACCAACTGCGATGAGCGTGCTTGTGCAGACCTAAACGATACGCTGTTACAGCAACGGCCACGGACTCGTACCCCTCCAAATTCCAGTCATGCCCAGCCAGAATGCCACCGGTACGCCGAACGATGTGGCCGAAATACACGAGATCTTTAGAAACACCGCTCAAAGTGTGGTCCCCGTCAATGAAAACCAGATCCAGCTCATCGATCCTTGTTGCAGCCACGGTGGAACTGGCGCGATGAATGAAGAATCCAACAGCGTCACTATTGATTACTTGACGTTTTTTCGGATCTTCGTGAAGCTGCTGAAGCTCCGCATCGGGGTATTCAACCTTCAAAATTAGATCCAGCGGGGTCAGGATTTAGAAAACTGGATCGATCTGGAGAATTGACCACATCAAAAAGGAACGGTGGTTCTCTCCTTGTAGAAAAAATATTTGTGCTTTTTGGCATCGAGCATGTGCATGATATCTGTCACGATCATGCCAATCATGATCAACGCGACTTCTTTTCATTTTTTACCTAGAAGCCCTGCTCCCGCAGCTATATATTCTAGGAAGCAGGGACTGTACCTCGAAGAGCTCGTGCGAACATTCCATTTTCGTTCTAAGATTGTGCTCGAACTGTTGATAGATGTTCGAGAAAGAGACGTCCCATGCTGCTTTTCGGCGTTCTCGCTCTGTCTCATTCGGAAGCATCGCCGCATCAGCCAGGGTCTTCCCTTGGAAAAACGCGGAAGCGTTGTATCCTGCTACGGATTCTGACCACGGATCGATCGCGTGGTACTGAAGTAGAACATGCTCAGGCGAAGTCGGATCGAAAAGACGCACGCACTGATTTAGAAAACGCAAAGTTGCTAAGCCAAGATAAATCCCTACCTCTGCTATGCGCAACAGCACCTTTTGTCCCGGACCGGCACGCTCTCGCTTCTCCTCGGCTATTTTTGCAGCAAGGTTACAAATCACGGACTGCCTCTCTGTCCAAGCTCCATGAACCCAATCGGTCGGAGTTTCAATGTATGCTTCTAAAATCTTCGTAGATGCCGCCTTTGGGGACTCCGGTTCCTGCGCGTGCGCGACCGCTTCTGATGTGCCTTCACTTCCGCGCTCGATCGCCCGTACTTTCCGGTATTCCCTGTCAGTAAACTGTTTTTTTAGAAGCCACATATTTGTCAGCGAATTTAGGCCCGCTTGCCAGCCGCCGTACCACATATTCATGGACTCGGTCGGGTTTATGTGCGTGTACTTCAAATTCACGATCCCACGATACAATCCAACGCGATTTTCCGCAGCTTGCTCATCGAAAACAAATGCTTCATCTGGTTCTAGTTGTCGGACTCGGATTTCAGAAGTTTTGGTGGTATCAACCTGCTCGGTAACGCTTTTACTTTCTTCTTGCTGAGGTGTTGGTGTTGCTCCCATCATTCCACTCTTCTTCAAATACTGTGCTAAGTCGAAATCCGCCTTTCGTTTTGCCCTGAGGCCCTTGACCTCTAAATCTCGATAGTGCGTCTTCACGTAGTCACTCAGAAAATCGTACCGAACCTGTTCCAGGATATTCTTGTGGACCGCAGAGGAGCACGCAGATGGTAAGGCTTGCACTGGTGAAAGGGTCCCAGCTGGCGTGCCTTCATCAGGGCGCTCAAAAGCATCCAAAGTCAAATAGCCATCGCGCATGGTCGAAAGTGTAACAACCTCCCCGGAGCAACTTCGTCGATGCCACTTCCTGCACACGTCTACACTGAGAACACGCAGTCGTTCTTCATGGTACTCATTTTCTGCAGATTTCTCCTTCGACAGCCCAGGTTCACTTGTGCTGGTCTTCAGAAGATCCTCTGGTTGTTCAACCACATTTTTACTTTCTCCCCGAACCTCTGTATCTTTCAACAGTGCGCTCTTCTCTCTTTCCTTATGATCGTATTCGGCGTTGCATTCATGCTTCACTTCATCCATGCAGTTGTAGTAGGCTGGACCAATCAGCTGATTCCATATTTGCATGGCGCGTCTACAGATGTGGGTTAGGAATTCCACATCGGCCGCCATGCACCTCGCTTCTTCGGGTGTCCAGTGCTCAACCGTTCCCCCGATGGAGTCAACGAAAGTGCCTTTGGGCCACCGCTTGAACACCACCAAGTCGAACTCCGTTCCCGCATCGCACGGATCGAGCGTCCTTCCCTGATACACAATCGGGCTCTTGAAGGCGACTACACGTTGTACTTGCCTTGTGGTGTAGGATCCTCCAAGGTGGAACGCCAGGAAAAAGTTGCATGCCCAACGGGACAACAAAACCAAGTGGTGGCCTCCTCCAGATAGCCAGAACCACATCATCGCCCTTTAATGTGTGCACGACAGCGGCGCTCTTCTTCGAGTAATCGAAATTAATATCGTCATCATGAAGATCTTGCGGCTCGACCCAAGGCTGTACGACAAACGGCCACCCACTGCATCCTCGTGGCGATCCACCCCCACGACACATGACCAGCGAGCAAGAGAGGCATGATTCTGTTCCATAACATCTAGAAACTTGTGGTAAAGAAGTTACTCAGGACGATCCATCGTGTTCTGAGAAAACAAAAAGAGGTGGGTATCGAGTCTGTGATTCCATGCTTGTCACTTCTACGCTTGGCAGCCCTCGGCTACAGCGGCACAGCTGCAGGAGCGGAACGTCTCATTTTCCAATACAAAAAGTCGCTGTGGCCTTCGTAGTGACCTCTCGCTTTTCTCTTGTGCTCTCCACTCGCTTTTCTCTAACTCAAGGTAATACCTGCACTTGGTTCTCATCACGTTCTCGTTCGGTCGGTCTATGTGTGTAATGGCTAGTAAAAAAGCGTTTGCTAGAGAGCTCTACAGCTCCTTTTTCCTATATCTGAAAACAATAATAGATCGGTCGTCGTTTTCTATGCCGTGTTGTGATGAAAGTTTTATTATTTCAATATCTGAGTCACGTCTTTGCGCTTTATCAGGGCACTGCCAACAGGATGACATGACGGCGTGCCAATAATTGCCAACCATCAAGCTCAAGCATCTCGATCACGTCAGGGATGCCAAGCGCACCAACGCCACGAGGGGTGAAGGACGGATCTGTTCGACATCACAGTCCGAGCGGAAAGCGCGGCTAGATGATGGACCCACTGATTGCCCTCACCTTGGACCTGTGCGAACTTCTCCAGCAGAGGAAGCCGATATGACTCGTTGACGAAGACCGACTTGGCGACGAAGAAGATTAACAGCAGCACGATGTGTATGACGAAGATGTGAGAAGAGAGTAGGCGCTAATATGCATCAAGGCGATCTCGAATGCGATGTGCGATGCCGAACAAGAACATATCCAGAACCATCAGGAAATACAACTGTCATCTACTGCTTCATGGATATTACGATGTAGGATGTGGACATGGAAGCCTGGGCACACGAGGCTACTGTAAGGGTATTCTTCAAATTGTTCGGCGAGATAAGTAGCAAGACTTAAAGTATAATGGAATCTATGCCTATGGAATCACTTATATAGCGAGGACAACTATTTAAGTACAAGAATTCTATTGACATTATAAATATAGTGAAACTCACGCCTGGTGTAAATTCACAGCAATGCCGAGAATGTAACCACTGCTGCTGGTACGGTAATGTGTTCTATTACAGTCTTCGGAACGTCTAGTTTACCCGACGATTTTCGTCTAGCAGCACTTTTGCGTAGGACATTCATCATGTCCAGTTTCTTGGACGATGTCACTTTGTAATTTGTGGGTGACTTTTTAACCAAGAGTTTGTTATTGAAAACAAAAAGCAATGGAATACTATGACAATGACGCTGACGCGGAGGTTGAAACTGAACGTTACAATATCTTCATGTGAAAAGTTGCGAGGGAGCGCTTCAGCATCAGAACAATATATAGCGGCCGCCTCTTTGTAGAGAGACGAGGCACTGCCGCAACTAAACAGATGTTATCATTCTGTTGGTGAAGCGGTCCCGATAATGGTCTTCTCCCTGAAGGTGAAGAGAAGATACTTTTCGTGAACTAGCTGTACTAGAATTATGCTAGCACACCCTTTGAGTATCAAACATGTAGTCAGTCGCTACAATGGTGATATCTTTCTGTCTACTTATGCCTAAAAAGTATCATTCTGAATCTGAGAAAGTATGTTACTCTTAGTGAGAATGTTGATCAGGTAAAAGATAATATAAATATACCTCGCAAAAGCGAGCATAAGATGCTCATCGTGACAGTAAAACATGAAAAATGACAGTAATGCTTGTGATAACTAGTAATCTCCATAATCAATAATTCACGTGATCCTAGCCATAACTCGTCAGAGAAGCCAAAGCCTCCAAAAACTAAGAGCTTCGATTTTCTTTAGCTACACGTAGACCTAGACACACTCCTATGATCGACACAATTACGATGTAATCTAGAAGAAGGTACTTTAAAACTGGGTCTCAGCAACGGTGTGGCTCTCGAATCGCAGGTATTACCAGTTGTACTGCTGGCCGTAATTCGGCTGTTCTTCCCAGGATCCGGAAAATTTACCGTAACTCGTGGCCTTGTTGTTCACGTGATGGCCCCCCGTTCCGGTGGGAGCTGCATGACTGTAATTATCAGTGGCACCTCCACCTCCGTTGTTGTATCCAACCGATGCCTGTCCTCCGGCGAAATTATTACTGGTACCAGGCGAAGAGCCTTTGTATGCACCAGCTGCCAATTTTTGTTGATTATCCACAACTACCTTAAATGCCTGACAAAGCCCTAAGAGCAGCTCGCGACTGCGGTCCCTAGCAAGTGGTGTCCGGTTCACCCGTCTACACTCTCGTAGCTCTTCGTTTGATGTAGGTAACCAACAACACACCTGAAATTTCAATAAAAATTATGAATACTATCAACGATAGCGATACAGATAGTCACTATTTTCGGTCTCGGACAAGAACAAAATATACGAGGTGACATAAGAAAAGGAAGTTGATGTACCTCCATCAAGGCTTCATCGGGTGCACAGTTTTGCCGTGGTATGTCCCTTGCCATTGCCTCCTCTTCACGCAGAAAAAGCAGGGCGTGAAACCTACGCATGAAGCTGGCTTCGCGTGCTTGCCGACTATTTGGCTTCGCAGCCGGCTTGACCCCCGCTTGGCTTCTGCTGCCACCACTGCCTCCGAAGGAAACAGAGTTCTTGCTCTTATTGACGCTCGCCAGCACACAGTTTCGCACAGCATCGGCACACGAGGAATTCTCCAACGACCCAGTGGAATCCACTGGCGATACGCTCTTGGAGCTTCCGCCGCCTCCGGTAGAACAACCGCTGTTGCTTGCACCAACTACTGGATGTTGACGAGGATGACTAGCTTGGTAAGGTCCTGCAGTAGCAGCACCATCTCCAGGTGGTATGATCGCGTAATTGTCGCCCGGTGGTGAAATCGAGGTCGTTGAACAACTCCCGGCGCCTACGCTATTCACGCTAGTTGACGCGCAATCCGAATTCATGATGTAACTATTTGATGCCACGCTGTTTCCCTCCATGTACGACCCCATATTTGCCGAGCCGGCCGCACCTAAGCCATAGTCCCCTGGTGATGGCACCAGGTCTGATGGTACGCCTTTGTAGCCACCTGCCGCCATATGTTCTACTCTGTTGCTCGTCCCATGTTGTAGGCCGCCGCCCTTTGGAGCTGGGCCTTTCTTCCCTGGGACACCATTCTGATTTTTCTGCTGCGCTGTCAATATCGATGTTGCTCGTACAAGCTCCGCTTCCTCAAAAAAAATGTCTCCATATTGGTCCTCAGACCGCTGGTACCAGTTCAGCGTCTCCTGGCACATTCTTCGAATCAGCTTCTCCGGTTGAGGTCTGTATGTCTCTGGCTTCATGATCGTTGATGCGATCTCCACAAGGTACGCAGTCCTACGAGAAGGAACAAGGATGGAAGATGATGATGTACTCGGTAGATGTCAATTTGAAAGATGACAGTGATGCTTCATCAAAAATAAGATAGCTAGTACCATTTTCCACTGCTCTCCAATAGCTCATGCAATTTGTAGCGCAGAGGTATCAAATATTCGACGTCAAGAATGGCGTAATTGAGCATCGGCGCAGTTAGCGGCCTGATTTCCCAATCCGCGTTTTGCATGCTTTTATCGACTTCGATATTCAACAACGCTTTGCCTGGTGGTTTTTTGAGGACGCGGTCATTGAGGACAAGTAGTAGATCAACGTGTTGGTAACCGTCGATGAAGAAGAGTATTCTTCACCTTATCCAGGAGCAGCACATGTAACACTAACAAGCAACTCCGGTATCTAATTAGACCATCGGTAATCTTGCGATTTTGTTATTGTTCGGTGATTTGATTCATTTTTCACACGACTAGTAGTTTGTAAGGTCGAAGCATATCTGTAGGCGTAGGGGTTGCAAGTACATAGCTTTCCGTAGCCGATGCAGTTTCCTGGCTGTTTATTCCCGTGTCCCATCGCATCGGATACACTTGCCGCGCACTGTGTGTCAAAGACGTTTTTCGGTAGCGCTTTAAAAAGATGGAGAAATATGCGAAAATCCTCTGAAGGTGCATGCAAGACCTTCATGATTTCATGGTCGGCTAAGATTTGACCGAACAAAGTCAAATCTTTCACTTGAAACGCATCCACGATAATCCGTATGTTGTCCAACTCCGCTGCCATCTGGATGCACGACAGAACTGCGTGGAACGTGCGACCTAAATGTTCTTTTTTGGGCAGTAATCCGTCATCTGGTTGTGCTGTACCAGTGCGATTCTTTGTACAATTAGTAATAGTTGTTACAAATAATTATAGATACTGATCATGATCAACAACACTTCATCAAAAACTACTAGGAGACTGATACATTTTCAACGCAGAAATCTTTACCTTTGCGCACAAATTCCGTGTCGAGATAGACAGCAGGCTTGAACTCCAGAATCTTTCGACATACTGCGTCGAATTGACTCTGATCATCAACAAGGTACTGCATCTTTGTTTTTGCTTTTGCTGAGTTTAGCTTTAATTCTTGCTGCCTCTAAGGAGCAAAATTTTCCATCGAGAGGTAGTGGTAATGACTTTTGGTTGTGTCGCTGATGTCGCTAGTTGAGAGTCGCTGTTGTTGTCGCGTAGAAGATGATCTTCCGAAATCGTTCGAGCAGGTCTTGCGACGTTCGAAAATTTTGGTCGGTCCCGTTTCTAGAAAAGCTTTAGCCGCGTCTGCATAAGCTTCTTACGTCACACGCTGCTCCTTTGTACAACAGTGGACTTGTAGTTGTACTCCGCGATTTGGTGGCTCTTGCTTCTCCATGCGTGTTTTGTCTTGGTCTTAAAGTTACCGAACGAGATAGACTGCGTAATAAAGTGAAATTGGATATACGTCTGCAGGCAATCAATGACCTCCACTTATCTCTAACGCCTAATCGCTGCGATTGCGGCTCCGAAGCGCGAGGCACTCCCGATGATCACCGGTGCCCACATGACGATGTGAAAAGCACGACGAGGGCGGCATTCTGTTTTGGTGACTAATACATCCACTATGACATTCACTTATATAGTTTATTCAATGCTTAGTAAGTGATGTCGTGGTCTTATGTAGTAGTGCCAGTCATAGTCGTCAGAAATAGACGCAGTAGCGTGAACATCATCACACGAAAACTACTTGAATCGTATCATCAGTCATCAACAATGCTCTACTAGTGTTGATTATATTCTAGTACCACAGCTACAACACTGGACGAACTTTAAGGAACTGTTATGAACAAACTTCGTGACACTAACCGAAAAAGAAAATAAGATGCGTAAGAACTGTGAACTACAATAATACGAATGCAACGCCTACTAAAACATCTTCTGGTCGTGCCGAAAAAACACCTTTATGTCGCTGTGTCGCCTGGATATTCCTGTCATATGTATCCAATTTTTGGGTCCACTAGTCGACGTACCACGGTGTCTGCACGTTGACGTTCTGATTATAACGTCATCTAGTACGAAATTAGAAGCTGAGAAATGCCATGGGAATGGTCGTCAACAAGGACACCCAACGATCTGTGTATCATAATTTGTAGCATGAGGACGACAAGGCCGTGGTGTTGAGCGCGTGCTACTAGTTGTTCTTGTAACAATGCTTGTCCTAGTACAGCGACAAAAATACAACAAGTTCCGTTGACTACTTGCACCAACACTACGTGGTTTACAATTCTTGCAAGGCTATTTCGCTTCCTGGGTGCATCTGAAGATTCTAATTCGTTGCATCTACGCTTTCGATTTGTTGCAGCAAGCGCAAGATGACAAGCCATTCCTTTGAACTCTGTTGATGCTGAAAGTGAGAAGCTGCGGCACCGCTTCATTTCATCTCCGCCAGCTACTGCAGATTCCACACACACATGAGCGAGTTATCACTTGGTCCAAGAGTGGACAGATGAACATGACACTTGTTCTGGTAATTGTTGTGACACGAAGATGAAAGAGACTAGATGTGGGTCATCAGATCACCGTTCGATCAGATAAAGGTCGTGGGCTCTGTTGGGTCATGGACGGGAGGGAAAGGCCCATAAACAGGGTTTTAGTTGTGCCGTTGTTGAGGTTGAGTATTCATTCATGGTGTCCCATTTGAGTAGATGAGACATACCAACTATGAAGATATTGTGTAGTTGGAGTAGCCTTCCATTGATTATGTTTATGACACTGTTCTTTGTGTTCCTTCAAACTGGTGGCTCACCTCTTTATACTTGAAAACATGAAAAGGGAAAATTGTTCCTTTGCTTTTGGAGGAAAAGGAGCTACGCGTCCTCTCCTGGAAAGACAACCATGCTGCAGCGAATTATTAATGTCGACCACAACCACCACCAAGAAGTCCAGCATCAAGAATGAGCATCAGAGCTACCAGTTCAGTACTGTAATACAACATTCTCTATTGCCGTATCGTCGTCGTGCATGCTTTTGCTTCATGTCGTGGGTTGTAGCTACGGAATCTCAAAATTCACCTGTTTTTGCTTCTTAGAAGTTGATGAAGTTCATCTTGTTGACGTCACGTCCTCGCACAATGTACTACGATGCTCACGTAATTCTGATGGTGCTCCTCAGAAGTGAGTGAAGAGTCTCTTCTCTGATCTACTTTCGTCTTGTACCTCGCCGTGCTCGTGCTGTACTTCTTACAGGTCCTCCTTGGTTACTCCATCCTCAGACTGGTAGCTCAAATCCGCGGCATATTTGATGTACTCTTCCTGCGACACCTTGCCGTCTAAGTCCTTATCGGCCATCTTATAGAATTCCCATAACTCTGGGTCTGCCACCTCGCCTTTGAAGTTCCCCCGAACTTCTTGTGTCTGAAATTAATGTTGAAAGAACATGAACAAGTAGGAAGCGAAATTAGATCATGAATAAGTTGTTAGAAACACATTCTGTTGTAAAAAAAAAATAGGTGGAAACTGAGGGTACAAGGGTAGAACTCTTAAAGGAAGGAGGCGAAGTTTTAAAAAGCAGGATCAAGAACATCAACATGGATTTGAACTGGCGTAAGATGATGCATTAGTTGTAGTGCTATCTTCCTGTCAATCTTGAGTAGACGTTCTTCTTGACTCTAGGAGATCTTCATCAAACACTTTGTAGGGAGCAGTACATCGAGATATTGGTCTCCGTTGGAGTCGAACTCCTTGAAATCACGGAGATATTCGTCTCTCTGCTCTGGCGTTGCTACTGGTGCTTGCATCTGCTGTGCCTGAGCAATACTGGCCGCGAGCAGCCCACACACTAATTGGAGAAGCCTCATGTTTATCTGAGGTCGTTACAACGTGTTCGAATATGCCTAGAAAATAGACAACAAGAAAAACTATGCTGACGTTTCGTGCCGAGCGACGACCTTTTCTACTACTTCTTCTCCTTGCGCTACTTGATGTCGAAGAACATAAATGAAGAAGTTGTTGTACAAAAGTAAGTCACAACCACCTTACACACAGGCCCAGCTTCGTAGTCGCTCTTTTTGACTCCTGTTGTTCTGAGTGATGTTTGATGATGTCTATGATGTACTTGTACCTCTCGAATTAGAAGTGACTTCATCGGGGGGTCAGTGCATTTGTATTCGCTGTCGCAGTGTTCCTCGGTCGAGAGAATTTCATTGAAGCACACACCTCATCATTGTTCACAGCGTCCTCGCATCAATGCAGATGGAAATGATCAAACAGAGAAAGGATAGTGAGAAGCGACATTCTATTTTGAAGATTTTCCAGGATAGTAATTTAGCACCTCCAGAATTTGACCTTTATCATTTCACCGTCCGCACGACTGAACACCCATATCTAGACTGATCGTCGAGCAAGAAAGAAAACCTGATTCAGAATCAGAAAGTCAGTATAACTTGATGAAATAAGACATCAGCAGAGTATCAAGAATAAAACGAAGGAATCTGAGTGTAGAATACATAGTACAACTTCCATGGTTTTCTATAAGGACCGGGCGCTATCAGAAAGAGAAGGGGCCGGCTTAGAGCATCGGGCGACTACATTGAGCTGTATGATGGGAGGAACGGGAAAGAGTGAATCAATGTCTAAAATTTCGAGTCCAACACATGAATGTAAAAATGTGGGCGTAGCGTGCGATACAGGTCGTGAGGAGTGAGGACTAGGTCTACTGGTGAATCCGAGGCATGCACCCAAGATATCGTCACGCATGCGCTTATCGGTCTAGCGAGCTTGAGGAATGGTCCCTGCACGTGGTTTGTATGTAGATGTATTTGGTGGTTACACTGAAGGCTGTTGTTGTGCTCGTGGTCCATAGCGAAAGCCGCCCACGCTCGAGCCAACAATTAAAATTGTAAGCTGCAACCCGCAACCAAGGAGTGCGAAGGCGAAATAGGGAAGGCGATCGAGATAGCATCGAAACCTAGGTGTGCAAGAACACCATCGCAAGTCGAAGTCGCCAGTTCGTCCACCCAGGTTTTCTTACTTGACTTTCTGCTCTAGCAATGCGTATTTTTCTTTGACGATTGCCACTTTTTCGTTGAGGGAGTCCTCTGTTAATTCATCTTGCATGTCGTAGATCCAATCCTCAGTAGACTGCAGGAGGTCTAAATGTGTAGACTTGTCTCCAGCAGAAAGTTTCGCGAACTGTGCCGACGTCTGTACCGCACTCCTCTGGCGGTACACTTCGGTCTCAACGTCGTTGCGCAAATTCTCAAGACGCTGTACAATGGCGCCCTGCTCCTGAAACTGAAGTTCCATCCTCTGCAAGGCTGGGTTTTTTTCAAAAGAAAGACAGATCGAGGATTTGAGGAAATTGTTGTGAGATATGAAAATCTTATTACTCAATCTGAATCTCTTTAAAAGAGGACAATGAATTTCTGATTGTCAAAAATGAGTCAAATCCGTTCGCACTGGATCACATGTATAAACAGATAAATCAAAGGGATGAAAATGAAATCGTAGCAGTACCTTGGAGTTCTTCCGGGGTGCACCCGGGTGCACCGATTGTCGCGAACTTCAGTGCCTTGCCTCCTTTGTCCGCATTGCTGTATAATTTTTGGTGTTCTAAATTACCACTCCTTATGTAGGACACCCTTGAAAAACAAAGTAGAGAAACATCCCCACAGTGATAAATCAAGCAATGTAGATGCCTCAAGAATATAAAAAATCCGAGTTATACCTTTCGTCCACAAGCCTGCACCCATCTACGCCAAAGAGGCCGTGCACATCAAGCTTGACTTTGAGCTGCACCTTCGCTCTTGATGGATTGTCCACCTCTACCCGATACGACGCGATAACTGCCTGAGGCTCGTCACTATAGAAAGCTGTGACATTGAAAGTCGTTGGGCGGTAAAGCGCCAAAACCTTCACTAAATTCAGCGGACTTTGTGCGGGAAAAACCTCCTGCGTACGAGGTCCATCGTCGTCGTCCCAGGTGACACTCACTCCACGTTGCGAATAAAGCCAGACCTGGATCATGACATAAAAAATTCATAATTTTTGCAAGTGCCTAAACACTTATACTTTGTAGATGTGCAGGTGCTGTTGTACTTCTGTATCCTCGTTTTTCTTGTGGTCATGACTGTTTTCGTGTTCCCATCCGTTGTGAAGAACGACAAGTACTTTGGCAACAGCCATCACATGAAAAAGTTACATCCTAGGAAGTACGTTGTAGTCACGCACGCGGTAAAGTGGCGAGTATATGGCTGCTTGCAGCGCACATCCCCGCACGACAGCCTCATCCGCGTTCAATGTGCGTCCTAATGTAGGTTTCTGGAAGCACTCCTCGCAGATCCTTTGGACCCATTGGACGCGACTGGTGCCTCCGATAATTTCCACTGTATCGATTTGCGATGCGTCCAGACATGCGCGCGTAAGGCAGTCCGCTATCAGAGTTCGCAGTTGCTGCTTGTACGGCTCACACAGCTCTTCGAACTTCTCTCGCGAGATCTTACTCGAAATGTCGTAGTCTTCTAACAAGCACTCGACGTTCACCGGGGCCTCGTCGTTGCTGCTCAGGATTTTCTTGGTTTTCTGCACCGCCTCCTCTAACTTCAGAACGGATTTCTTGTTCTCTAATGGATCTAGCTTGTTCTTTTCTTTAAACTCTGCCGCGAAGTACTTCATGATGACAAGATCGAAATCGCGCGCGCCAAATTTTCCACAGGTTTCGGACACCAACTGCAACCCGTCTTTGGTAAATCGCGCTATCGCGACAGACGACGCTGAGTGACCGCACTGACAGAATGCCACATGGGTTTGCTCCTTAGTCAGCTCTTCGACCCTGTTGTCGTTATCGAGAACAATCTTCTACCTTGACCTTCTACTTGTTGTTTTCTTGTTTAGGTACGTAAGAAAACTCGTAGTAACTTCAGATGCGTTAATCTTTCGACGTGGTTTAGTTGAAACACATGAAGATGAAGCCTCATCAAAGGAATTCAAAATATATACCGGTATGGTCCGTAACTGACCGCTACAGCCGCTCCATCTGTTATTATCCTCAACACTTGCATTCCCGCGAGCGATGCCGCGTCCAGAAGTGACCGTCGACAAAAGTCATCGTAATACGCGGGGCAGCTTATTACAACATTAAGCTTCTTGTCGTCCGTGAGCCCATCTAAGAAAGAAGAAAAAAAAACTTGTCAGGCGTCGTGTAGTTGTAGTAGTAGTAAAAGATCATAAGGAGAAAAAACAATCACAATGTTGATCTTGATTTCCTGTTGACTACATCATTGCCAGATACGACACCGACTCTTTCCAATCAAGGAGATAGTACTAGAGTCTCCAGCGTTTTCTGCTCCTGCATAGAAATTGCACCACTTGATTGCAATTTTGCGTATTTTTACGAGCAACATGCCCACTATCTGCATAGCTGTGTAGCTTGTTTTCTCGCCCAAGTAGCTGACTTCAAACCCGACAGTTTTGTACTTACTCCCCAAAGACTGCGGTCCGCTGCTACTACTGCTCCCACCTTCGGTGTACCGGAATGGGCAGAGGGACCAAAACTCCTCGTCTTTTAATGCCGCGTCATCGCGTTGTCTCCCGAGTAAATGCTTGAAATTTCTTACGCTGTTTTTCATGTTACTCTTGATCAGGCTCTGCGCTCCATCACCCTCTAAGCGCTGCTTTCGTGTGAAGCCGACGACTGTCGGAGTCACCCGACTGTTCACTTCATTCTGTACAATCTCGACCGTCGTGCCTGAGGAGATGAATCATCAATGACCAACAAGATGAACCAAGTAGATAAGGACGAGCACCACGTACAAGTTTGTGTTTGATACTATAAATTCGCCGGTGAATGAAGCCACCAGAGAGCAAGTAATTCGTCTTCTCAACCAGTGCTGGCTCGAGGATGAAAGATTGTTCATACCTTTCTCCGAGATGAAAGCCACCTTGCACGAAGATGACCCGATATCGATCCCAAGGATCGGCTGCACAAAAGTTTCCTCCATTATCGATCGCTCCTGTGTAGCAGCGTGGGTGGCTTCAACAGAGGTGGGACGAAGCTGTGGCTCTAGTTTTCCAACCGGCAACCGCACCACTGCCTGCTCTACTTTCTCGTCTTTGACTTGTAGCTGTACCTGTAGCCCGCTATGTCCTCCGAGGTCGATGGATCGATCAAGCGGCTTCGCGGATACCAGATTTTGTTGTAGTTAGTGGCCGTCGTCCAGAGCGTCCCCTGCTTTCGAAAACAAGGAGATAGATAACAATGTTCCTTTTACGAAAAGAAACAAGAAGCTTCGCACATCAGACATAGGTTGTTCTCTTTATAATCTCGTCTACATCGTGCGTGCTAAAAAGAACTATGGATATGGAGGTGCCAAAGTGCACACGTCGACACGCAGTTGTATAATGATGGCAACTAATTCCTGATAGAACGCTTGCTAGTTCAGTCACTGAGCTAGCTGATGTTGATTTGATTGGCTCTCGGTTTCGCTCGAAGAAGAAGCTCACATTAAAGCTGAAGAAGAAGACCTATGAGCATTGCGCGCTCTTGAAGAAAAGTATGGTCGCTTCGTCTGAATTTTATGCGAGCCTTTTCCTCTACTTACCTCTATGCCTATGGCCCTTGATGCAACATAAAGTACTGCACATTATCGTATTGCAGATGAGCTGAACATGCCTCGAGGAGAACGTTCTTGTTGAGTGCAGAAATTCTCATTCACTATGCCGACATTCGGTTCCGCCACTTCATTCTGGGTGATTGTCATTCCTCTGCAGAAGTCAGTCGAGATGGTCGAAAATATACTATATATTGACGTGAGTTACTCACAATCGGATCCAATTAATTGATTTTCGGCAAGACCAAGGCGGGGATCTAAATTTCTGGATTTTCCGCAGTACCACGACCATTCGCAGCTGCAGCTAGTAGGAGAACACGCCAAGAATTGATAACAACTACTTACATCGGCGGCACAAGAACCAGCAGTCAACAACATAAACGCAGTTGCCTGCCTTGAGTGAGAAATGCTCTTTTACCTTGGAGGTGCGAAATTCAGGAACAGGAAGTGGTATACATTCAGGCGGAAGATGATCACCCAGGAAGGTTTGTGGAGCACAAGACGAGAGGGAAGAAACGGAAGTATTCCACCTCGTGGTGATTACAACCATCTAGACCTAGTACTATTACTACATAATAGAACGGACAACTTCCCCACTTGTGCCTGCGCTTCGTATGCTGCCTGTTGTAACGACACCGTGCAGAAATGTTGGTTTCTCTGCTACTCGCCTTACCGCAATGCTGGTCTGAACTAAATAAACTAAAAATATCTCCTGATGCATCCATTCAGAAATAAACAAATCAATGTGGTTTGATTCTGGTTTTGCGTCCAGTCCCCGTCGCCGTCGGTCGTCTCAATCATGTAGCCGAACCAAAAAAATCGAAACTAGCATGATGAAGAACATTATCTACTAGCATGTTCAAGAAGTGCATTCTGATTCTTTCGGTGCTGGTCGTCTAGAAGTAAGAAAAGGGATGAATGATGTGTCCACATTCGCATCCGAGAATAGCATGATATATCGATCAAATGGCTCTTGGCACTTTGTTTCGTCTGTCTGACGATATCCAATATAAGCGGCGCCCACATCGTCGATGACTAAAATATATTGCATGCTGCGAGGTTGTAGTTGCCATTTACTGAAACAAGAAGAAGTGTCCTTACAACAATCGGATCCTGATTGCCATTTACGGACGATTCTCCAACGGAACGTAGCAGAACTTGATCATGCAGTTGCAACTACTTACCAAGCCTTTAAAATCAACTTTGCTGCACACGGAGCTTAGCCCTGTCCGAACAACAGCGCTTTGAATTTGATCGACGGAGGCCGAGACCACGCCCTGGCGCAAGTAGGCAACATCATCATGCATCTAGAAAAGATATGTCGACGAAATCGTGAATATGATCATGATAGATGAATAGTTTTTGATGCCGAAGACTGGTGACTGACGGTAGGACACCACCATGCAAACCTTTCGAAAACGGTATTCTTATCAACTAAGCAAGTACTAACTTATTATTATATCTAAGCATATTATATATAAGTAAGATGATTGTTTAGAAATTGGAAAGATCTAGTTCTTGATGTGTAGAAGGAGCATACTCATTGAAGAATTCATTTTATTGCATCATGTATTACATGGAGGGAGGATGAGATGATATCCGTGCAAACGATGTCATCTCGGCGACCCTCCGTGAGTATTGATACGTCAGACAATTCTAAAAATAGAAATTTAAGCCAAAAAAGCCAATTTCAGTGATCCAGTTGGGTGGTGAATCACAATCCAAGGTACATATAATAAAATCATTCGGTGATGCGTCGAAGTTTCCTCGACGCTTTGTCTCTGATGTATGCTTATAGATTTGCTTTTGTGCAACGTCCGCAACTGCTTGTTCATGCATGATTTGCCACTCTTATATCGTTCTCCGTATGAATCAAGGCACCTGATTCGGAGAAGATGTTTACTCGTCAACTTGCATAGCTTCCGTTGCCTCGCCATCAGCGGAAGTGCCAGCCTTGGTCTCCTCGCCGCTGGTCTGAGTCTTGTCGGCAGCACCGTCACCCTGTTCTTCCTGGGCGCTTTCGGTCATGCCCTCATCACCTTCCGGCTTCGAGCCAGCAGCGTCGTCTCCCATCGGTTCGTCCTTTGCTGCCTGGTGCTCACCCTCTGTCTCGACCGGTGCTGGTGGCGGTGCCGGCTTCGGCTCAGACATAACCTGCTTGCAGAGTTTGGCAACCTCTGCCAACTTCGTCTGAAGGATCGCAACCTGGTTTTCGATTTTGGTGGATTATTCTTTCAAAATCATTGTGATACCAGCATAGAAACATTAATACCATGGAGCATTGAAGAAATATTGCGAAGCAAGACGATCACGATCTACTGGTAGTACGATGAAGCAGCTATTCATGCTGAGTAGAATGAGCATGTAAGTACCGAGAAAGCGGCATCGAGATCCTCGAAGAGTGGCTTGCTATTAACTGCTTGCTCCTGCGATGAAGCCCAAGATTCGAGCTGATCTGCTGCTGCGACGACATTCTGCTTCTTTTCGGCCGCGATATGCGCAAAGCTGTGAGTGTTCCAGTACGACGAATTATCATTAACAACTTTATAGGATTCAATCTCCAAGCATAAGAAAAAGTAGAAGAAACTTTTGATGATCAATAATTCTGCTCTTTGCTTGAAAAAAAGTATAAGAAAGTACTCGTCTGATGGGTTGTTCGCTTGCGTGCGGATTTGCGAGACCGCTTGCTGGAATGTCGGAAGGTAGTTTTTCAGGTCTTGTCTGTCCTGGAATCGTTTTTGCACTGGCTTGCCGACGCCCTGAAGTTCCGCCAACTTGTCGCAGAGTTCCACAGTTGTGGCGTCGAAATGGTCATAGAGCCAGTCCTCTGCGGTCTGGAGATCCGTGCCGTACTGTTCTCGTGCAGCAGTCTGGATATAGGCTGCCCAGTCGCCCTTTTCATTTGCGACGTTCTGCTTCATGGCATAGATGTAGCTCTCCAAATCGTTTCTCCTGTTGTCGTTCTCCTTGACATCTTTGGTGTCGGAAAGCAATTTGCTCTCGACATCCTTGAATGCGGCCATGAGTTTCTCGCCTGTGCCCGGGTTGCCGGATGGCGTGACCTAAAAGTAGTTGGAGAAAGTAGTCGTGATTAGTAGACGAGGCTCCCTCAGAAAAATAAAGTAGCTAGAGAGTTTTTCGTGATCTAATAGCAATAAAGTAGAGCACAGAAACATAATCAGCTGATTCAGCACCACATTCATCCTAGAAATATGTTCATAGATACCACTAGTGGCGTGCGCTTCGTCCTCTTTTTTGGCTTTTTGACTTCGACCCACTCGTATTTTGGTTTTTTGGGTTCTTCCTTCTTGGTTTCTTCCTTCTTCTCTCCGTCCTGGGACGCGCCCTCGGCTGCTGCGGAACTAGTTTCACTCGGGGTGCCGTTGGTTTGTTCCTTGTTCTCGCCGTTTCCGGCTTCTCCCTGCTTCTCAGCGCCACCTTCCATGGCGACGTCACCGGCTTCTTCGACGATTTCTCGCTTCTCCTTCACTACTTCTTCGTATTCCTCAGTCTCGACGATAGTTGCGCTATCGACGGAGAAAATTCCGTGAATGCTCATCTTAGCTTCAATCTTTACTTTCTTCTTTTCAGCATGCTCGCCCATCTCGATGCGGTACTGTCCGATCGAAGTGCCGTCGGCAGTGTACCTTGTTATTAATTTTAGTTCGGGAGTTTTAGTTTTAACTCTGTAATTTTCAGCGATATTTGGAACCAATCGAGTACGTCCTCGCCCTGATGCAAGGTGCACAACATCTACCTCAAGATCCTGTCTTCTAAAAATTCCTAGGAACAATGAACTTCAAAAAACAATTCAGTATGTAATTACTTTGCTCCGAGATCGAACGGGTTATGCCGGTACCACGTGATGTACTTTCGCGCGTTCATCTTGTCCTTTGTTGCGTCAAAAACTTCCATACTCTTTTCTGTGAAACCAGATTCCGGTGCCTGTAGTTCAAAAATCTTTGGATCTAATATTATCATGAAGTTGAATGAAGATGCTGTACAGATGTATTGAACTTCTTTTACATTTCCGCACAAGATGTTTTTTTGGACTCATAACGGAATATTCTTGTCCTCGTGCTTTCTGAACATCCTGGAGGCACTGGCCAACAACAAATACTACTATTTGCTTTTTAGAAGCCATAATGAAGAATACCGCTTCAGCTGCGTCTGGCATGGCTTCGTCGCCATCTTTGTCTGCGTCGACTGGATCTGCCTTAGAGCCCATCCAGGTGATGGTAACTCCATGTGGAACCTTGTCTTCCACTCCGAAATCACGCACTTTGTATGCTGGACTAAGGATCGCCGCCATAAGGGCGCAGCCGCGAGCAATGCACTCGTCCGCGTTGAGCGTTCGGGAAAGCTCTTTTCCTGAGGTGGTAGCAGGGAGAGGGATTTCATCTTGTTCATCATGAGCAGGGTTATAAGAAGCTAGAATATAACTACATAGGATGAAGATGAAAGAGAAAATTGATCATGTAGAAGTAGATGTTTTATTTGGACACGAGTCCGTAGGTACAATCAATTAAAGTACCAAGCTTCTCCTTGATGATTCTCTGGAACCACGGGACGCGAGATGCTCCACCCACGATCTCGACAAAGGAGATCTCATCGATGCTGCTGAGGCCGGATTCGGACAAGCATTTTGCGATTGCGTCTTCAACGCGCTTCTGCAGCGGCGCGCAGAGGGACTCGAAGTCGTCACGCGTGATGCGTCCGCTCAAGTCCTCGTCTTCCATGAGGCACTCTACGCTGACGCTGGCTTCGTCGTTGGCGGACAGGATTTTTTTGCACTTCTGCACCGCATCTTCCAATTTCAGTTTTGCCTTCTTGCTCTTGATCGGGTTGCAGCCGAACTTCTTGTTAAACTGTTCGGCGAAGTGCTCCACCAGCACTTTGTCCATCTCGCGGCCCGCGCACTGGACGTCGGACACTTCCGCGAGGACCTGCAGACCTCTACTATTGAAGGAGCAGATCGAAATCGAAAAATTGCTGTGACCCATGTGCGCAAAAGCGGTCACGGTCGGCTTCTCGTTGTCGAAATCTTTCACGCGATAGATGCCGTACGCGAGAGCAGTTGCGGTGTGCTCGTTCATCAATCGGAGGCAGTTCAAGCCCGCAACCTGCGCTGCGTCCAACATACCCTGTCGCTGGAAGTCGTTAAAATACGACGGCACGGAAATCACAACGTCGATAACCTGTTGTAGTCATAAAGAGGCAGGTAGAAGTATGCTTCACATCTATCTTCTATGGGCAGGTTGAGAGGAAGGAAGAAATTCCCCTCAGTGAAAATATGTAAATGTTGATGTAGTCGTTAACGTTATAATTCGAGTACTAGAAGTAGTAGTATTCGATAATCTGAGTTTGCTCTTGCGGAACCGGAAGCGCGAGGTACTATGATCATATATAACTATCCAGCCATATATTCTTTTGCTGTTATTTCTCAGCAACGTATAATTCCAGGATAAGTAGAACCACGCGAACAATGAAGCTCTATCGGCATTCAGACGCCGCTCCCGTCTTTATTATCACAAAAGGGGGCACATCTTGTCATTGGCTGCCGCAGTCGGCGGCCGTATAGTTATATCATGCATTTCAACTCATACAAAAATTGGTAAATCATGATGAATACCTTGCTGTTGCACCACTGTTCTGCGGTTTCCTTCATTTTTGTGAGGTACATACCCATAATTTGGGTGGCCGAGAAAATTTTCTCCTCTCCTCGGTAGTTCACTCGGTAGCTGATGGCTCCATCTTCAGCCGGGCCCTCCAGAGACTCTGCCAATTGCCAAAATTCCTCCCGGGAGATCTGTTCCGCGCACATTGTCATCGGTCCCATGATGTGTCGGAAGTTGCGCACGCTGTGGCAGTTATATGGAAAAATTGTAATTGCGCCTTTTATAGTGTAAGTATAATTCAATCAGAAAATAAGTAGCAGTTTTTATTTTTTCTACGACGACGTCTAATACTACTTCAACATATTTATCAAGTATGGGAATGGAAGCTACATGACCGTCCGAAGTCTTCGAGAGACAAAAGAATCATAAGTACGTGTTTTTGAAGTTGCTCTTCTGGACAACGGCAGCGGCATCACCCAAGAGACGCTCACGGTCGTTGAACCCGACCACAGTTGGGGTCTTTCGCGAAGACACCTCGTTCTGCACAACATCGACACCATTCTTGCAGACGTATGCGATGATACTGTCTGCGGTACCGATATCGATACCAACGGTAGTAGAACCCTTCAGCGCCATCTTCTTTGAAATATAAGTGGAAGATTACAACTCCAACAATTCTTGTTCTTAGCAACAAGTCAAAGTATAGTCAACCAATGAAAAATTGGCGTGAGCGAGGAAGCAAGAGGTTAGACAAGATGCGAAGATATAACTTTTAGGAGGTCTATTTGCATGCAATGTTGACTCTATACTAACAAGGTATGTAGCGTGACGTTCGTCCTACAAATGATGAATTCGTGGGAGGTATTCAGTGAGGAAATTGCGTGCTCGAAAAACGAGATGAAGATGAATTCAGAGATAATTTAGGCCTGGAGCAGATAGATTTGTTACAAGTTGCGTAAAAGTTTTCATAAGCAAAAGCAAAGTAGTCCATGCGCGTGGCGCTTTCGTGGTATTTTTGTTTCATTTCTCAAGAACAAGGATCTCAGCTTGTCGCAAAACCGCATTGGAACGATAGATAATTCATTTTTTCAGATCTTCAACATTCCTCATCACATTTAATAGCAAGCAAAGCATCACGTGCCAGAACCAAAAGTAGAAGATATGATCTTTCACGGCTGATTTGTTGAAAAGGATCTGTTGATTCATGCTTTCGCATTATTTGCATTAGTGCTATATCAATCAAGCCTACAAGGTCCGCATATTGACTTCAGCACAAGAACATGATCGGTCAAGAGAGCGGAATGATTTGTATCAGGAGCATTTTTATGTTCAACATGCGCGTCTTTTTAATGGTCACAGGATCCTGAGTTTATTTTTTCTTCATTATAGTGAGGGAACACACTATCATGATCTGATCTCGTTCTTTTCGTATTCTTCAATTCCTCATTTCTAGCTTTCGTGCTACATGGTTGAGCACACCCTGTTTTACTTTTTTCACAAAGAAGTCATCACGACCGTGTATTTTTCACGATGAACCTCGTCGTGCAATTATATAGCAATATTACGAAACTTCTACAGAATCTATGAGACTTTCGGATTCCCAGCAGCATAGAAGATTTCTAATGAGTTGTGACTGTGAAGAGAGAGTTTAGGTTTACCAAAAGAAGACTCGTTGCATGCAGCATGACCTGGGTACGAAAAACAAAACGTGTTTAAAATACACGAAAGAAATTATCAATGAATGCGAATGTTTAAACTACGGCGGGTCCTCAAAATCGCCATGCTGTATCTGTATGCACAAGGACCCTCCCGACCGCGTCATTATGAGACTGGTTCCTCAAAAAATTGTTGCAGCGTTTCTAGTTGATAATTTTGCAACAACTGTTCAAGTTCTCGCTGTTTCCAGTGCGGGACAGATTGATGGCCGCGCATCCTCCAAATATGCGTGTACAGCGATTTTATGAGACCATGCAGGAAACCTGAAATTCTTTTTCATTATTCTGGTGTTAATCTGGTTGTTGTGTAAGATGATGAAGATGATCATGATATATTTCAAGTTCAAGTACTTCCTCACATCGACAAGAAAATAAAGGAGAAATCGCAAGCGGTTTCCACAATTTCTACCTAGTCTCTGCGGCTGCAGTCCGAATTGCTTTTGAATTTTCTTTGAGTTGTTGAGGATATCAAGCAATTCTGGGTCTAGGTAGTCCAATTTCTCGTTGGTTTCTTGCAGCTGGATTTCCTTCAGCGGATCCACAAATTGGACTTGTCTAGTCAAGACTTGCTGAAAAGCCAGCTTCGGATGCATCAGGGACAAAACATACGGAAACGATTCGTCTTTTACCTGAAGCAAAAAGATTATTGGATCAACATCGAGACTGAGCTGCTTTTTGTGTCAACATAGTACAGGTGCTAATATGTCCGCAGTAGACGTAGAACATGGATCGTTGTGGACGTAGATTAATCGATCATCTATCATCTTGATCTTCTATTCCTCATCCTCAACAACCTTCTTTTCTTCATATTTTTGCCTGACTAAAAGATATTCAGCGAGTCATTATAGTTTTGGTACTAGACTGACAAAAAAAATGGGTGAGTTAACAAAATCATATAGTACGTCGACTTGTATGCCGAGTTGTATCTTGCGGGCCGTTGCTTCTCTGCTCATGGTATCTCGTACGACGGAGATCGTTGTGATACAGTCGGAACGAAATTTCGCTTGTCCCTTGCTGTAGGAACACTGCAGTATAGTTCCTAAAAAGGTGCTTCTATAGTTGTAGAGGCAGCTGTCGTGGCTCGCTGGTCTTGCGGGTACATCAGGCAGACACAAGCTAAGCCAGTGGTGCATATCCATCAGGGAGAAAGACCCTGACAGCCTCAACTCATTCATCGCACATTTCTCCGTGATGTCCGCGACCTTAAATGAATGGTCGAGATCATATAGAGCGCTTCATAGACACGACAGACACACAGTCAGCAGGAGGTGGAAGACAAAGTAGTTGTAGTAGTAGATGATCCAGAATATAATTTTTGATTCACTTCCAGCAACTCCACTTGCTTACTTAGAGTTACATTCATAAATTTGTCATGAAGGAAACAAGAAAACATCGACGAAAAAATTACCTTCTCATGTAATGAGAGTGGTTTGACGTTCAGAGAAATGAGGTGGGCGACTTTCGGATGAGCGTCTGGAAGGACGAAGCAGCTTATTGTGGCTGGTGGCCCTTCGGTTGTGCGCATGTTGATCGCGAAGCGCTTAGTCTGTTGCTGAAACCTATATGTGATCAGGAGCGGATCTTGTGCGGTCGGCTTCGCTCGTGACTCTATCACGTCGACATTCTGGTTCGCGACAAACGATTAGAGAGTACAACTTAGAGGAGACAGATTTGCTGTTGCGTTTCTTTTTACTATAGCAAAACCACAAGTGCATCTGCATGTCTTATGGTGTGTGCGTCTATGTCTGTCACCAAGAACATGTTAACGATTTCTAACCTTCTTTGAGTGTTGAACGAAAACGAATTTCTATGTAGTTAGAACATAATCAAGGAGATCCACGGCTGCGTCTGAGCGAATGCTTATGCTAGCTAGGTTTGACTGCGACTCCAGGACGAACTGGTAACAGGCTTCGTCTGGTTTCAGCTTCCACGTGTGGGATACCTTTGCGTGTGAACCCGTCACTGCGATGCCTTCCTTTGAGACTTCTTTTTCGTATTTGTCTCGCTGTGTTGACACCTCTTGTTTCAGCTTTGCTACTTCCTGCTTCAACTGCTTAAAGCGCTTGTCCTTCGTCCCCATTGTGGACGCGTCGTTGGCTAAAGACGACAGCTCTTCCCTTTTTGCGGAAGCGACTGTGATTTCATTGGAGTAAGAAGCGGGATAGGAGTCAAAATAGCGCGGCTTTAACATCTCGAGCCTGAAAATGAATGAGTCAGCTCCTCAAGCATATCTTGTGTTATCTAACTTCAGGAGAAATCCTGTCGAAACATATTTACCAGCCTGATTTGCTCCTCCTTCAGGGCAGAGGTCGACCATTTGCGCTCCCGTTGCGTCCTGCGCGGCAGGGTCGGCGGTGAAGCCGAGGACTTTTCCGCTGAAGGTTGACACCACTAGGTCTTTATACTCGCCCAGCGCTACTGTTCCAACATCGAGCGCCCTAACACCCTCGCCAAGCTGCGTCTCGAACATGAGACGACACTGTGAGGGGTCCAACTTTGCTGGATCTTGACTCGGCAAATTCCAGATCTCCAATGTCCCGTCTTCCCTCGCCACGCACAAGTCTAAGACACCGCTTCGGCAGTTATTAGATGTTGGAGCAAGTCAACTTGTTGAACTTGAAGTTGGATCATGATGTGTACCCAATAGATTGATAGAACCAACACCCTCGTCACATAACCACGAGCACGACAACACCAATTACTCTTCCTGGTCTCAACATTATACCATGTAGTTGAACATAACAATATCGCCGCAGCACACATGCGTGACCGCTGATTTTCCACCATTCGAGGCCTTCTTCAGTCGAAATGTCTCCATCATATTCTCCTGGTCAATGGAAACTATGCCCACATCACCCGCGTCAGTCCCAAAAAGACAATGCACCTCTTTTTGCGATCCCGCAGTTCTACTTTCGATCTCCGCTTTGTTGTAAAACGCCACTGACGTCACTGCCGCACCCGTCTGATATTCGTGGATCAGACTCTCCCCAGCGTAGACTGAGCACAGATGGTTGGATTTCCGATTGGGTTTCTTGTTACGCTTATGGATAGAAGATGATGATGTTCTTCATTCACGGCGAGACCTTTCAGTTTCATGATCACCCCAACAACTCGCAAACACGATGAGCCTGCGTCATCGCTCAACACTCTGACACAGGCTCCCCCCGTGCTAAGTACATCAAGTAAGCACCTCGCAAAGATTTGTCCTGGAACGCTAGGATTGAGGAAAGGCTGCACTGCGTCGATATCGGTGCGCAGATCATATCGTTTATCCTGTCCGGACACATAACGAATCCCGCGTCTTTGCCTGCAGAGGAAGATCAACAAGGTGACTTCTTTAAGATTAAGGTTAAGCTAAAGGTGATGGAAAGTAAAATGTTTACAAAAAGTAAGATGATCGTAGGAATTCTTGCCTCGTCTGACATTATTCAAACTGTCTTTCTCGTCTCTTACAAGAAACGTTTGAAGATGTCATTCTTTTCTGCTGGATGCAGAACCACCTCCAGGTAACTGGCTAGAACAGCGATAAGAATCCAATCTAAGTACAATTATCGTAGAGGTTCATGATGTATTCCCCTCCAGTCCATATTGTCGTGTCATCCGCGAACAAGTGGCGGATAGTTTCTGTCAAGTTCGTTTTGATTTTCAAAAACTCCTTTCCCTTCCGTGTGAACGCCTGTATACTCTGGCCGCACGCCGCGAAAATCTTGTCTCGACCGTGCTGAAGTACAACTCTTGTGATTTCCCGACCCAAGTTCTGACTCTTCCATTCTATTTGCGTCTCCCCACGCTTCATATAAAACACCGTCAGAACGCCGCTGCCTTAGAAATATGGATCACTCGGAGCTTTTTCAGCAAGTCCACGTCTCGTCGATCGCTGATGACTAGAAGAAGTTGGATAATCATGCTGTATGGCCTTGGCCTTGCGTTATGTAAAATTACATGCAATACTAGACGTAGCCCTAGAGTTGCCTTTATTACGTATAGTACATGTACATAGTCAGATAATCATAACTATCGTCCCCACAGCATACTTTCTGCTGCTTCTTCTTAGCCAATGGAAGCACGCAAACAGTATTTCGATTCATTGTCCCCAACTGGAGAAAGTCCAGCCGGTGTATATCCAAATCGAACGACATGATCTGGATAATTTTTCGTGTGCGCAAATCCCGACTGGTCGTGTAGGTAGAATTTCGTGCACTCCTCCTCGCAGGAAGCAATAGCTACTTGTTCATCCAGGTCGATCAATTCTGATTTTGTACGCGCCTCCGATTCATAGATTTGCGTCGTTCCTCATGTAGTACGCCGCTCCAGTCGTACAAAACAGGTGGTTGGACGAAGCAGATAAGGCGGATTATCACGAGGGAAAGACAAAGAAGGCGCCGTTCGTCGTCACCGTTCGTCAGTGGTGCTAGCTTTTGTCGTGATAATTCATCTCCAGCATCTTCTTCTGTAAATTTGTCGTTCACTCCTACTGAAATTGGCGATCTGCTAGTCCGGCTTGATTCTACGGTCACAGCCTGCAATAGGGTCTGGCATTGGTGTAGCTTTCGGTTTGGCCATATCCATCTCCCCCGCCCACGGAAATAGCTACGCAAACGCCTAGCACTTTGCGGTTCCGATCGACTGGAAGCCTCATTCTCATTGTCGTGATAATCGCTCCCTGTTGCACACCGAGTGGTCCACGCATCAGCTACATGTCACCTGCTGCTCTACCTATCCTACAACAATGATCGAATACAATCACGTAGACGTCGAAAATGGAACCAAATAAAAAACCTAAACCATTCAGCTTTCTATTTACATTTTGTAGTTTTCGATACACTGATGCATCCTTTTCTCACGAGCTTACTAATACTATAATCTCATCTTCTTGCTTTTTTCTCGTGCAACTTCTTCTGACAGCTCGCTTGTTGTAAGTATATGCAGTTCGGTATGATTTTGTTTTTTCGCATAGGTGAGAAACTTAGGGAACAGAGGATGTAAAGCATTCTTAAACAGCCATGAGCACAAAGAGTGGGTGAGAATAATCTGAAGAAATGTCAGTCTCTCTCAATTTACCGATTGATGGGTGCGATGCCTTTACTATGCAGCATAGGATTCCGCTCTACACAGAGACTCTTTGCTAGACCTATTAATTGTGCACTGTTGCTCACTGCAACCTTCTCTCCACTCGCATACGGACATCTCTCGTTTCAACCACTCAACACTGGTGTGTTAGAAAATTATCGCGCAATCTCGTCCAGTAGAAAGCACCTTACCATTCTGGGGTAAGACAACAGTCAGCTTTTTCTGCCTGGAGTTATGAGCTGCGCTTCCCTGCCCTTTCCTCGCCTGCAAGTGTAACTACATAAAACTAGAACAGGCTTCAAAGCCTTTCTTACGCTTTTTAGCGCTTTGTTTCACGAGGAAAGAGTAGGAGTTTCGGTTTTAGAAATCCGTCAATTACCTCTTACAAAGCCTTACCTTTGATCATCCGTGTTATAATCATTATCTGGAGTTTCATTTTTTCCAATTAGATCGTCCAACAACCCTTGAATTACAACCAAACTTTTCACCCCGTAGATCCCTACTTGGGCACGGAGACCCATACTTTGAATCAGCGCTACGAGTGCCGGTGCCAACACGCGTTCAGCGCCGTCACTGTGCTTCCCCATGCCCACCTGCGCGAAGAAAAAGAATTTGGGTCGCCCGTTTCGAACTTGTGCCTCCATCTCAGCTATACACGCTGTGCGAGCTTCCGCGGCAGAATGGCCGTGCAAGTCGAGGACTTTTGCATAGCGACCCTCTGATGAAGATGCTCCAGCACACGATTCCTTCTTCGCGATCTCGTGGGATATTTCAGCTACTCGTCGGGGTGCACCTCCGCTACGAACTCCATCTCTACTCTTGCCCCCGTAACTGTCAAGTGCAAAATAGTAGTCAGCAAAATAGTTTCTCCGGTCATCTTTTCTCGCTTGTATATCAGATGTGGTTGTTTCTCCTTTCGCCGGTGAACGAGGAAGCGGCCCCTTCTTAGCGAAGTTGTGTGAAAGGAGGATTCGGCCCTGGTCCGCATCTAGTGTAAAACGGCGTCGCATCATTCGATAAGCTTGACACGCAAGACCAACTTCACCTTGGACCTCGAGCAGGGTAATGAGCTGAGAGAACAAAATTCGATCGAAGAGTCGTGGGTCCTTCGCGGTGAAGAGCAAGGAGAGAACGTGAAAGCACATAGCTCGAAGTACCTCTCGCTCGCGAGCAAGGTTCATGCGCTGTTCGTCTTTGCCTTCGATATGCTTAGTGGTACTCATATTACCATGGGCCAGACCCAAGCCTTGGTCAGCCATCAGTCCAGCTAAACAAGACTTCGCCCGGGTGACACCCATATTTCCATGCGAAGACAATAAGAGTAGTCGTGCGTCGCTGTCGAATTTATCGACGAGATAGGTGCTTTTAATATTATTGAAAAAGTCGCTAATATGGCGCTTTACGCTCGGCTCTTTGAGTTTCCCACGAAGCGATGCCAAGAGACTGTCTGCTTGACCTTGATTGCTTGCTTCAACGCCATTCCTACTAGTGCGAATTTCCTTTGACGCATCATTCGCTGATAATATCATGTTCTCGAGATAGTGACGCGCCGCTGTTGCAACATGCTCTTCTCCGTTTTTCGAAGAACCTAAATCTTGTTGCTGTTTCAAGATCATTGACGCTGCGTTAGCAAGAACGCTGAAGAGCTTTGTGAAGCTCCAAGCCATATTGCTATTCCGCAACCGACCTCGATGTCCCACATCTGCGTTCTTTTCCGTCATCAGAAGGTAACAATCACTAGTGCTGTTGTGGCCGTCGTCATTCTCGTGATGTGTGAGTCCACCTCCGCCACTTTTCTCTCCTTCACTTCTTGTGCCTGCCAATTTCACTGGAAGTGCATCAGCCCTTTCTCGGTTATGCACTGAGCTAGCTCCTAATTTACCAGCATCCGATGACGCTACGACGGGCAGTCCGAGCGCACGTCCTGGCTTCTTGTGCGCGCAAATCTTTAGTCTTCCATTACCGCGTGTTCGTATGTCCAGCATAAATTCAGGTGAGATAAACTCGCAATTTTTATGGTCATCATCGTTTTTGGGTTTTGCATCATTATTCTTCCTGTTATGATTAGCGCAAGAACCAGGATTGACACCTTCTTGAGCTGCTCTACTTGACGCCATGATCAACGTCGAGGTGGACGAAGGTGGAGCCGCAGAAGGAGAAGTATTTGTGTTGCCCTTGTCGAAGTGTTCTAAAAATTGCCAGTCTCGCTGTAACGCGATCCAGACCGCGAGTCTCCACTCACTCGCTGTGAAGCATTGCAGCACAGCGCTCAGTGTCACTTGGTCGTACATAGTCGAGAGTCGCTGTCGTTCCGCAGCAAGCGATCGCAGTGCTCGCATAGCACCGTTCTGTTGCTTGGCCCAAAGCCGCAGCATCGTGTTCATGGTGACAACGCTTGGTGGGAAAGATTTTCTCATCTTCTCAAAAAGAGCCACTGCCTGCCCTTCAAAGCCCGGATGACGTGCGGCAACAGCGAGAACCGCATTGACGAGAACTAAGTCGATTTTGACTCCAGACTTCTCCTCATCGCCGTAAACGTCAAGCAAATGAAGAGCGCGCCGCACGTCTCCTAGTTCGTCTAAAGCTTTTACCACTGTCGTCAGAATCTGCGCATTAGGACGCAAGCTCGACAGAAGCGACTCAACATCAACGACTTCATCTATCATATTTTTCCCATCATGTGGTGCTTCGACTCTACCATGATAATTACTGCACATGATAGGCGGAATGCCCACACGATCAGGCTTGCTCGTCCGCGGTGTCGATATTTCCGAAAAATAGCGAAGAGCTAAAGCGGGCTTCCCGTCCCGCAAACAACTTTGCATGAGGCTGCCATATGTAACCAGAACACCTTCCCTATCCGCTGCAGTCAGTTGCAGTTCTGCTTTCGGCGCGTTAAGGCTCACCACTTCCTCACGACCAGCTTCACGCGTTGGCTCACATGAATTTGCATATAGAGACGCGCTGCAGGTAGAACCAAACATTACAGGTGCGCGATCGCGTACGGCGCTAGCAGAGGTAGATGTCGATTTATTGGAAGGCTCAATACTGATATCCTCATTTCCTCGAACGGAACAATATTGATCTGCTTTCCCAGCTGAATATGCGTGCCGTAGATATGCATGCAGCAGGGGTCTAAATTTTGTGTCGAAAATGCGCGTAGCAGACTCTACCGGAAGGGCACCGATTGCCGTCGAGAAACAGTGGAAGCTTAAAATATATGGCGGCGTCCGTGTAAGATAGAGCTCCAAGAGTGCCACAATGGTCTCATTCTGACGCTCGCACAGCGGCGCAATAGCTTTAGATCTACTTGCGGCGTCGAAATTCTTTTCGTGGTCGTCTTGTTTTTCAGGTTGACCAGCAGTACATACTTCTCTTCCAGCATCTGCTGCAACACCCCCTTTTCTGGAAGATGCAAGGCGGCCGAAGGCCCGAATCGCATAGGCTATCCATTTTCGGCTCTCTGGCGCGGCTGCGTTGCTAAGAAAGGTGAAAGACTCGACTACAGCTTTTCGCAGCCGCTGAACAGAAACGTCCTTCTGTGCCGGCGAGAGAGCCGCTTCTGCTGCGCCGGATATGGTTCTTGTAGATATGTGTGATTCTGCTGCACCAGGACTCATCTGGGCTTGTGCTTTCTGGTCCGAGGACTGAGGGAGCGTCGTGGACGAGTTCTTGCTCCCACCTGCAAAAAACCCGTGCTGTTGCACCGTCCTATAAACATAGTGCGGCAGGCTCCGTGTTGTTGTTCTCGAGGACAAAGCACTCGCGCGACTCCTGGCGCCTGTGGTCGCGAGGAAACGCTTGTGGATAAAGGGATCCAAATCTTTCGGTTTCCGTGCCTGTAGGTCGTGGCCGCTGGCATGATTTTCATAATTTCTCTCAAGGTCAGGGTGCAAATAACGTCTAGTTCTGCTCAATGGAAAATTTGCAGTTTTCTGCTCATGCTCTCTATTGAGAAAAAAAACGGGTGGAAGCGCGGTTATACTCACAACATTAGAAGAACAAATTAGTGAACCGAAATTAGCAGTGACCGTTTTCACGCTTCTCGCAGTGAATTGTCTTTGTATTTGTATACTTGTAGTATAATTGGTAGCAAAGCGACGTCGCCGATTTCCGTTTATCAAACGTGTTTCTCTCGTGCCTCTCTCAGCTGGCGACCACGAGTCTGGCCGCGTTGCCTCGGTACCTAGTACATTCGTCATCTTCATGTTCATCCTCGCTCATGATGATGGATCTTCCGATGGATACGCCGCTAGGATGAAAGGTTACGCTTTTAGTGGTATTTGTTAATCACCAAGGCATATGATGAGTTTCTGACAAGGCTTCAACAAGGTCAACGCCTTCTTCTACGTGTTTCTTGCTAAAAGAACTTTGAACTGAACTAAACAACGACCAAGGGCAAGGCTACTGTTGTAAAAAATTGACCAACAATCACGAACGAGACTTAGTAATCGAGAAGCATTCAAACAAAAACAACTCTTACACGACAAGCCGTCGTTTGATTTTCATGGCGTCTCGAGAAAAGACCTGGGACTACATCAAGCTCATCATGATCAAGACTCACTTTTCTTCAGTTTGCAATCAACATGGATCTTCTTTTACAACAGCTTTTCCTGCTGGCTTCATCATCAATGGGCGGGTGCTTGTTTGATGATGTTTCTTTCTGTGAGTAAGTACATGACTTCACTCCTACAACAGGCTGTATGACCCGCTTATGATAGTCGAAAAACGACGAACGTTCGAACACTGGAGTCGTTACCTGAAACGCTGCGCATCCTCGAAATCATCGACTTTGCTTTATTGATGTGGTTGTTCTGCATCCTGCTCTCAGCATCAGAGAGTAATAAAAACATGGTGGATCATAGTACTATACCTACGTCGTGTATGACTATGTTCTTGTATCCCCCACATATTAAAAAACCACTCAGATACTTTTTCATCCTTTCCATTTTCGCTATTGCGTGTACAAGAGTGCCCTCAAGAATCCTTGTTATAGTTTTTGTCCCTGCTCCCGGCCCTGCACAAGTAGTAATCCTGTCCTCGACGTTCATCATATCAGTCACAGTACAAGTACTTACTATCCTCTTCAATTTTCGAGCTTTTTGTTGTGCTTTGCCCTGGACGCTCGCTCACCGGGAAGCTTATCCTTATGGAACTTTTGCAACTTGTCCTACATGTTTAACACAGCAGTAGCAGTTACCACCAGCAGGAACGAAAGGTTTCTTCGGTTTGAAGAAAAAATCATAATGATAGTGTCACGACGACCAGAGTATCAGCAGGTGGAACTCCTCTCGATTCCCAAAGAGAAAGAATCATGCAATTCGTTGATGACAATATTTTTACTCATGGCTAACACCTGCATGGAGTATAAAATTTCGATAGCGAAAAAATTACCATCACAAGGATGACTATCCTCTCCAAGAACGTCGAGCATGACCATGATGCGTGTTGAGTAATATCACAGCCAAACCTGTAGTTGCGCGTCGTAGCGGGACATTTTTCTTTTGATGGGAACAAATAAACATCAAGCACTTGTTGATATGCCTTCTGCACCACGAAACGGCTGCTGCTGGTGATCGCGAAGTTCTTTATCTTCTTCTAGAACGACCATTCAACTTCAAGATTCATTCCCCAAAACTCACTCTTTCAGCACGTACAAACCACGACCACGACCACCTCGTCTTCTACAACATAGAGGAAAAATTTGTTCATTTGCAGTTTAACATGATTTTAACTCTATGGCAGGTGATGTGGACAACTCATCTTCTCTAGTTTCTTGATATCGACGGTCCAACGAGCGACCCAGGACACTAAGAAATTTGATTCTCCGTCCAAATCATTCCACCAGCGCTTGATGGCACCACATATAACTGAAGTCTCCTACTTTGTTAGGTTAGGTTAGGTTAGGTTTTGCAACTACTAAACTATATTCAATCATTCATCGTGCCGCGCAGAATTGTCGATAGCTATTTGATCTTCCGATCTCCTCCTTCAACTCAAGAATGGGAAACCGACTCAAGGAAATAGGACATCTTAGGACCAAATGCAATTGAATCACCACGAAAGCTCTTTAGAAGTTGTAACACACCACAAGTCGAACTACAAGAACAACAATTATACCCATCAAAGTCGATCTCACTTTTGTACACGAGAGTCATAATCATGGAATCAACATATTAAGTACTGGTACCTAGCTACCTAATGACCAGCAAGAACCTACTAGTACTTATTAAGCGAAAGTAGCGAGGAGTTGCAATAGAAAAAATAGGACATAAACATAGCGAAAATTGTGCTTCAGTACCAACCTCAAATAACCTCTCTTATTGTTCATCATGGCAACTCACTGCAGATTCTGAAAGTACCCTCGACGGAAACAAGAACCTTCGCTCTGCATTTGACACTAACTGGTGGTGCGAAAGTAGTAGTAATAATTACATGTCATGCGTCAGCAACAGCAAGCTTCTCGTCTATTTCTGTTCTTGTGCAAATGATATCCATCACGATTTAGATACTTAATTTCATCACAATATCTGATTTTTTAGCCTTGCCGCGTCTACTCAGCGTTACTTAGCCTCAGCTTTTATGCCCAACGATAGAAGAAGTTCCTGCAGGTATAGTTGACCTTGGCGACGACGTTTACGTAGGTATGCCTATAATCTCGTCATAGTCATACATGATCTAAACAATCTTGATCTTCTCCTGCATTTTTATGGATAGCGATAAAAATAAGAATCAAAGTCTTATCAAATGAATGGGTGCTCAAACAACTTACTCTATATATAAACTCCTGCCTGTGCCTCGTCATGCTCCTCGGGTGAGGAATCAATGGCGACGACCGCCACCGCCCCCGCCGTTGCGCAATTCTAACAAAAAGTGCAACTTCTTGCCAATATATTCGCCTCAGTTCGTGCACGACATCCTCGTTGTAAAAAAGCACAGATAGATGAAGAGGTAAGCCCTAGCCCACAGTAGTCCTTTAGTCAACGTCATCCTGACGAACCCCGTCATTCAATCTCGTCACGACAACAAGACTCATCGTAGAAGATGATCTAGGAGGACCGCTAGAAAGGGGGGTGCACTCGAGGACAGTACCGAACTCTAGTTAGTAGGCCGGAACTCCACCTTCACTCTTAGTGTCGGTGTTTTCACGGTCCTTTTCGTCGTCAGTGTCGCACCAATGAAATCCCTCCATTATGCGCGCCACCTGGAGCTCGTCTAGATGGCAACTGTTGGCCCTCCGCTTTATCGCGCACAAGTCGCAGTCTTCCTGTGCGCAATCTATGTGGACAAAAGTGTTCTGGACCCTTACGCAGTGCTGGGCTGGCGCTGCAAACGTCCTACCACCAGCTTTGCTACCCTCGTGGTACTGGTCCAGAGACACGGAGCTGTTCGGCGAGCTGTGCAGCGGATGATCACCGCTAGTATTTTCCCCTCCACCTCCCGCAGCTGCTGCTGCGCTGCTGTTCCCGCGAACGCGCGACCCTCCCAGTTGGAACTGGGGACAGAAGGCTTCGTGGTAGACGCGGCTATCGCTGGAGCCTGGAGTCTCGCTGCCCGCACCGCAGGCGCACGGCTTGCAGGTGACATCGCCGTTCATGCATTCGCCGTCCACTGCAGCTAAAGATGATGTCGTGGTCGCTGATCTATCTTTCGCGTTCTCAAGCAAGCCCCCCCACTGGCCTCGCACTGCGGCGCACATGTTGTCATTCACGTGGATACGCACGGTGTTAGCGTCTGCGCCTACGTGCGTAGGGTCGCCTAGAACGGAGCAATCCGGATGCGTCGCGTCGCAGCACTGTTTGTGCATATGCGCTTCCGCCCACGGCAGCCGCGATTTTATTTTCAACATGCCTCCGTGACTTTTGGCACTAGCCAGCGCTGAGCGCAACTGCTTCTCGTGAAATTGCAGCTTCCGCTTTTCCAGTTGAGCAGCGACTTTTTTTAGAGATTCAGCATAGCTTTTGCCTGACGTCGAGGCCGGTTCTTTTCGCGAGGACGAAGATGATGACGGGGTTGCACGCAAACTCGCCACATGCTCATTTGTGAATCGGTGCTCGCGTGCCTGCGGTGGCGTTACCGGTTCGCAGACATGAAGTTCGGATTTTCTGCTTTCTGTCCGGACATCAAAGTCTACTTGCTCCTGAACCGCGCCGTTCTCTTCACTCCGAAGATCGTCTTTATCTCCTAGCAGATGCACAATATTTCTTCTGTTCCTAGGAGAAGTCAACGTTTTCTCGTTTCTCGGTTTATGGTCAGTCTCCTCGGTGATTGAGGAAAGAGTCGGAGCAGGTGGAGGAGCTGTGATTTGGTCGAGGAGGACACCTCGTCCACCGGAGGCGTTACTTTTCGGTGTGCTAGTGTTCGTCATCATTTTTGGAGTACCTCCACCTGCAACTGCGCCTCCGCCTGTGGCGAGGCCTAATAAAAGTTCAAGGTTTTGTAAGCCTTGAAGGCTTTGAACAGCGAGAGCTTGACTTCTTTGCTGCTCAGCAGCAGGAAACGCGTGCGTGTCCGTTGATGGGGAGCCTGCTGTCAAACTTGCTGATGCTGTCGTAGCGAAGCTCTGCGTCGCCTGTTGCTGTCCCCCCGGCTGCTCCAGAAACGAATTTTGAGGTGCTCCGAGTACTGATCCATTTGGAGGTGGAGGTGGTGCCTGTTGTTGCAGATAATTGGTCACGGGCCTGCTCGGTGGAAGAAATGCAGGAGGCAACGGTGGCAGCACTGGTGCACAAAAGTTTTGATTCGGATTTCCTACCAGGTTTACAAGTGTGAAGTCCGAGGATCCGGGTACGCTTGCTGGAACCAGCGTGAACGGCTGCTGCTCCAGTTGCCCAGCCGCGAGGTTTGCATGTAGCAGGTTGGATCCTGCTCTAGGTGCATGACCATAGTGTTGCAGCTGCGGACCTGGAGAGCAGGCCTGCGCGTACGCGTGATGCACCTGGGACGACAGCCGTCGGAGCGCCTTTCGATCTGACGCGGACGGATCGCTGCGGACAGCAAAGAGGTACGACAAACGGTCGGCGGCTGCTTTCACCACACTCAGACCGTAGGGAATACTTGCCCCTGTTGGATCATAATCAAATGTTACTTGATTCTGCTGGAGATCGGTGAGTAAAGCTGTGAGTGCATTACAAACCATGGACAGATCCTGGCGTGTGTGTTGTCGCGTCTGGTCGTTCTCCGCGAACAAGGCAGAAAGAAACGCTTCGGCCGTGTACCAGCAGAGGTTCTTATGCTGCAGCGTCAAAGGTGCGGCCAGCGCAGACGTGAGGACCTTTGCGGTTGCGTAAAGCGTCTGCGAAAGGTCGATTGTGGAGGCGCCATGTAGCTCCTGTGTGGTCGCCTGACTCAACTGTCCAATTACGGCGAGCATCGCATCGCGACTCGCAAAAACTTCGGCTGAACAGCGCCCGCACTGTGGTGGCGCTGGAGGCACGTTTGGGTTGAACTCGCCACCAACTTGTCCACTTGGAGACGATCCAGCAGGAAGCGCTCCATGAACAAGATGATTTGCATCCGTAGCCGTCGCACCGCCCTTACCTCCAATGTTGTTGATACCTGCCTGTTGTCCCGAGACGGCGTTGGCGATTTTGGTGTGCACTGTCCAAAGAAGACACGCGAAGTCGCGTACGCTGGTTCCGCTACTCGAGCCACCTCCAGTTAATTTGTGCCGCTGCAACTGCTGGTGTCCGCTCGACGTACATGCCTTGTCCTGCTCAACGTCGTTCGCTCCGACCGTGCTCCACGGCAAAGATCCTCCTTCTCCTGTGCCTGCAGTCGTGGGATCCGTGCCCTTCAGGTGCTGTGGAGGCGCCACTATTCCATCGAGCGGCCACTTTCTCACGATGGCAACGTGCGCTGCCTTTTCGACGAGTCGCCACTGAAAATCTACGAGCTCGAGACTCACTGCCTCAGCGGGAAGCACTAGCTGCCGCTGACACTGTTGCACCCACCGCGACACTATGCTGCGACACCGCAATAGGGTCGCCAGTGTGCGAGCTCCAAAGCGACCGTCTAGAACAACGAATCCCGCATCCGTGGTCCCCTGCTCTAGAGATACTCCTTTATCTCCAAAGAGCTGCTGATTTCCAAAGAGCCGCTGTTTGTTCACGCAGCAGGCCTTCACTTGCAAGACAGCGGGAGAGAGTGCGACCTCGGCTAAAACCCTGACTAAGCGCGCCTCCAGGAGCGAGCCACGGGCACTGCCATCGCCGCCAGGTTGCCCGGCGCGACGGGTCAGAAAATTTGTTGAGGAGAGCAGCAGCATGCCGAACAGAGAATCGGCAACTACGAGGGCCGGATTCACTTCCGCAATATAACCATTATTTTCAGAAGTAGATGGAAGCAGTTGATGATTTGCAATATTGTTGCCATGATCTTCAGAAGAGATCGAAGTTGTGGCTTCGAGACATGAAAAAGTCTGTGAAGATGTAAGTATCGTGTTGTTTTGCTCACCAGCAGGGCCACCAGGGTCACAACCATTACAGTTATTTTTAGACGCAACATTGATCTCCGCGTTTTTCTCCGCTGATTGTACTACACTTGGTGGTGCTGGCAGCAGAATACTGTTCTCGTTTTTGTAGACCTCTAGTCTAAGCAGTTGAAATGTGTACTCGACAGTAGCGATAGCATCCAAGATGCGCCCACCGTTACTCTGATCGGTGCGGCTGAGCGCAAAATGCAACTGAGAGAGGCAGCGCCGAAGCGGACCGTCCTCCATATTCTTGCCCGCACCAGCAGATGTTGACGTACCTGTACCGAGAAAGCTAAAATTGGTATCCGAGCCGGTGTTGGAAATAGAAGCGGCTAGGAAGGAGCTCCCTCCAGCACCAGCAGACATACTTGGTCCTGGCCCTCCACCATTGGGCAGATTCCATTGTAGTTCCGCATCGACCTGGTGTGACCCAGAATCATGATGCGCACTGCTGTGCTTTCCGCTACCGCCCCGGCTGTGCATTTGCATATGCCCTCCTTTTCCGCCTCCTCGCGAGTTTTTACCCCGGCCGCCCATCTTATAGTCTCTATTCTTTAGATTATCTTAACAAGATGAGGACAAAATGGACGTCGAGAAGGACCAACTCAGTAATGATAGTCGCTTGATGATGTCCTCCCCTTTTTCGTCCGATTTGACGCTAACGATATAATTGCGCTCCGCTCACTAAAAAAATAGGGGTTCAATAACAATAAGAATATACTATTCATACTATCAGCTGCATCACACCCGTTTGTAGGACTAGTAATCGAGGTACATAGTAAGTTCGCGATGGTCGAAGGTAGAAGTGTATCAACTATCATGTGGAGACTAACTGTCGTATGTACGACTTTCAAAAGAAGATACTGAACAAAGGAGGGCAAAAATTCTACTTAAAGTGGAAGAATATGTGAGGCATTTACACGTAGAAAAGGGACCAAGAGGATGGGAAAACACTCACTAGGAACTCATCAAGCAAAGATGAAGAAAACCACTCAATAAGAAACATGATCACGATCCTGCCCCTCGCCTAATGATATGTGTGTTATGTTGTTGCCACAAAACTCTGGGAAGCTAGTGTTTTCATAGGGTTGGATGAATGGATAGAGTGAGCGCTGGGGTTTACTCAAATTAATCATCTCCACAACTCAAATTGAGCAGAAATTGAACTTCAATTACTTATAGAGGAATTGTAAGTGTTAGTATCAGTTACAGAATAAAACATTTAATGTGGAAATTCGATAGTGCTTACTACGCATAAGTACGGACCGCCTCTAGACAATGCGCCAGACAATGATGCTAGAACTAGATTATAGACGACAATTTTAGTACAACTCACTCAGGACGACTCAGAAAAACTTTCAACCGTTCATGAATACACGAAAGCGCACCACTCACAACACTGCAAGAACTGTGTTTTGGATAGGATGAAAAGAGTTTTGGATGTCGAGTTTTCATCTTGACGGTCTATTGCTGGTGCAGGAATTAGTGTTCACAAATTTGACGTACATTTTTACAACTCAGTGAGTCTCAAAATGACGTCGACGAGACCTTGACCTTTACTCCTTACAACTATTAAACCCATGGTAATACTTACATGTATACTATAATTAATCATGGCGATTATATGTAAAAAGATACAGTTTGTGTCTCCCTCCAGCAAAACAAATGAAGATCCTTTTTATAGACATATTTTTCGGAAAAAGAACTAGAACTACTCGCCCAGAATAGTATGACGGCAATTGTATTCGTAAGATTTTCACACATTATGGATCTCCAATATCTTTTTTGAGCTTAGAGTGTGATTCTTGGATCTTTCTTCATCTTCATGTGGATTTCATTTCATGTTTATATGCAGCATAATTGTCTAGTCTTCTCCTTGATTCTCGCAAGAAACGACGAGATGATGCGTGCTACAACACAGCGTGAGCGTACTTCTAAGATATTTCGGGTGGAGGACTAGGAAAACACACGACAACGCTTACCAAGGAAAGGACTTGAGAACAATAAGATCTCGCGTTTAGAAAATATCCTCGCCAGAGCGGAATGAACTGCTCACCAGGTGGTAAGGTAGTAGAGTCTCTGGCCCACCAAAAAGATCAGGATCTTCGTATCATGGGTCGTGTGTAGTTCAAGAACGTGTTAAGATGTCTTGCATCAACAACTACTGGAACGGGTGCTCTTCAATGTCAAATTGGGAAGAAAAGCGCGAGAAGCACTGAGTCAAGAGTGGTCATCATGACAGTCGGCGCTCCTCCTGCATACAAATCGTAGCGACTTCGTAGACGAGCTCTTCCCTGGCTACTATGGTCTAGTTCTACTACCATATCTCGCCAGACGATTATTATATGATGCTCGTAGCGGAGGACCACCCACTTCGTCGATGTTCTCCTGTTCTTCAAGTGGCACGCCAATCACAAACGAAGGGGCAAGAAGGAGAGGAAAGAGTTATAACTGTCTATTTCTTGTTCCGGGGGCATGAACGATGGCGAAAGACCGCTCCTCGTCATGATTCTGGTATGTCCACGTCTGGGCTCACGCAATTCGCAATATCAGGTGACTTCCCGAATCCGTATCGACGATACTACTAATTTGGCCAACCTGTAAGGCAAAAGATGCATCCTCAAACGGCTTTTGCATCTGTCCTGGACCAAAAAAGTTCAGATCGCCTCCTTGCGCGTACGAACCTGAGTAGAAGGGATTTTTTCTTGTTTGCTCTTGCTGCATATGCATTCCAAGTAAGTAGAACACTACTTTTTTGTTTTTCTACCATGTTCGTGTAATTTCGATCTTCATCTCATTAATACTTGAATCAAAAATTTAAATTACCGCAATCCGAACGTCCTTGACATGCTTTCGCAAACGCATCTACCAGGTCTTGCCCTTGCAGTTTCTGCAGTGTAGGATGTGATATTGTTTGTCTTATTCTGAGTGATTATTATCACCTTTCACATAAACTCGATAATACGACCAGAAATCCATAGTCGATGAATATAAAGATCACTGTAAGAAAATTTATATTTTTGTTTATTACTAGAACAAGTTGTTCCACTGGATGAAAACTGACTTTGTTTCCTTCGCACATCTAAATCAATTTAACTTCTACTAATATTACAACTACACTTGACGAGAAAATAGAAGATGTACCTTGAAGTCATCTTCATATTTTTTCAGCTCTTGATGCGCTTGGGCCACAGAGACGTCTCCAGTGCTCTGATTGGTCCGTCTAGAAACCGGGTTTCTGCTCTTTTCGTGCTTGCACAGCAGATGAAGAACGCGAACCTGCTCCCCCATTTTCTTGTTTTGTGTGGCTGTGGTTGAACTAGGTCTAACTGTACTAGGTCGAAGTTGTCCACTTCGTACTATATTTTAAAACCAAGCAAAAGAAGAAGAACTGGTCTACGTCTATCCTATATTCTAATATGCTGAGCAAAAGAACCCTGCAGCGACAAAGAATAGTGTTCGAAATAAAGATATGTAGAATGAAAACAATCAGAAGGCTACATGTACATCTACATGATCATCAGGAGATAAGATGTCAGTCTGATTCGATGAACTACCACTTGCTGTCTCGTTTTCTGAAGGTGATCTCCTCCAACTCGTCGTGGACATCCCAACAGCACAAGAGTCATGATTGAGTGCCATTATTCTCTTTGTATGAAAATGTTGATGAATGACATGCAATTGCACAGATGGCACCTTTCGATTCGTCGTTAGATCTACTACTTTGAAACCACGACAGACACCTCTCCTTGCTGGAAGCGCGCAAGGACAGGCAGAATAAAAACTCTCATCGTCCGAAGTGTGTTTTATCATCTTCTCCGGAAAACGAACCACATTGATGAGAACCCAAAATGACAAATTTAGTAGAAGGGCACGGGCACCATAACGCGCATAAACGTTTGTGCTTGTTGTGTGCCTGTACTTTCGCTCATGGCATAGATGCGGTCCTGCGCTTTCGCTCATGGCTCAAGTAGAAGATTGGTAGTTGTGAAGATAGGTTGATACATAGAGAGGAGGCTAGTATATCATTAAAAAATGGAGGTTGATGTTATTCGTCTTCATCGGCATCTAAAGCTCTCCTGTCACTTATCAGGTCCCTCTGCTCCTCCCTATTTCTTTGGTCCGGCCCAAAATGGTGTCGCACAGGCCCTTCAGCGGCGCCGTTCGAAGTCGTATCGTAACTCAACATGCCGTTTCCAGCACTACCTGCTATGATTTCTTCGTCTTCTTCTTCGTCAGAGATGTGCGCCAAAGTTTCTGCCAGCGGCTTGAAATTGTTCATGCGATTTACCCATCCAGGAGCTTGCCACTGTGCGCGTCCCGTACTTCTGTTAAACCAGTATCCAGACACATTGGACGATGCTCCTCCTGATGCCCCGCCACGAGGCGGGGGCGAGGAGACGAATCGCCAATCCTGTTTGTTCTTACTTGTAGTTTCGAGGACATGATTTTGCCTATAATTGTTTCCTGAGGCTGTACTCTTGTTCCAGGATGATGAAGATGATAATGTGTAAGATGCTATATGATCTTGAGCTCGTTGTGCACTGCCGATAGCCTCTCGCGCGATGTCTCTCGTATCCGATATCAGAACGAGTTGCTTTTGTGCTCTCAAGTGATTCCCAGAACTACTTGCTGAAAAAGGATAGGAGGTGGAGCCTCTTCCTGCCGCATTGTCGGGAATGATTATGTCTTGAAGACGACCGCATCGTGAGCAGACGAGGCCCTGGGGATCCATGGTATCGGACCGTCCACACTTAGGGCATTCCGGTGGAGGTGGCCGCGGAATGAAGTGGTTGTCTAAGGCGGAATCCAGTCTGCTCAGTTGGTTCATGAGTCGCAGCAACGCGTGCTCCTCCTCTTGCGCCTGTATCGAAAAGCATAGCCAGGGCCGCACTCGCCGCAGTCCATGCGCCACATCGGTGTCAGGTATCTGCAGATCCTCCTCTACTTCTGCTTTAGCGTAGTTGCCACTGTAGTTGCTTCTAGAAGTTGTAGTAGAAGTATCGGATTGAGTATAACTACTGCGAAAGGAACCAGGATTTTGTCCGCCACCAGCATCAAGAGCAGAGGAGCCATGTAGAACTTGTTCTTGTTGTGATTGTGTATGACCAAACGTGCTAGTACTATCGACTGCATTGTGAAAGTCGCCGAATAAGTCGTCCTCTTCTGGTGGTGCACTTGGTTTTGGCGATCCCCCGTCCTCAGAGAAGTCTAGAAGATCCTTTGTTGTTCCTCCACCCACACTGGTCGTGGTAGAAGTGTCAAACGGTAGCAGATTGGAGGACGAGGCAGGAAACGTGATCAACAAGGAGGATGAGGTGGGAGTAGATGCGGCGTTTTCAGATGGACTAGAACCCGAATGATTTGTCACACGTCCATTTTCATTATGAAGAGGTACACTCTGCTGCAGCCGCTGTTCCTCTGCTCGTCGCGTTCGTTCTACGCGCGCTTGGTCTATCTGGCGACGCAAAACACCAAGAAAAAACTCGACCTCCTCAATTTCAACATGGCTCAGCAACTGTTGTTCCTCACGACGAGCCGTCATAAGAGTATTTGTATTGCCTGAGCGGCCTGCTTGAGAGCCCGTGCCATTCATTTGCAATATTCTTTTTCTCAAATTGCTCAATCGCCAAAAATCTGCATCTTCCTTCTCCGAGGTTGTCAATACCCTCGAATTCGCATTTGTGACAGCAACCGTTTCCGAGTAGGAAGCTGCGGCTCCTGCAGTCGTTATGCGACCATCAGTTAGAGTCAACTCGTTACTTGTTGCTGCCGCGTCGCTACTGGGCTGCTGTCCGTGAGCACTGCTCGCCGATGAAAGACTTGAGGTCGTGTCCACCCTTGGGTTCAGGACTTCTTCGACGCCGTCAGGCACGCCGACCGCGTCGCTGGGGTCGCGTCGTGGAAACTTGATCGTCGTGTCGGAACGCAGCTTGCGGTATAGGGCAAAGACGATGGGATTTTCGTGTTCGTGGAGCACTAATGTTGTTGCGACCACTTGTAGCAAGTACAACGCCTTTGCCACCAGCTGATCCCACATCTTGGCAGTATCCGTATCCACTGCTGCACTCGCTACTGCGGAACTGAGGACACTCGAAGCCGATCCTGCTGCAGCTGCCCTTGTTCCATGGCCAACTGCCGTTGTACCACTCGCTTTTATTAAAGCTACGCACGCCCAGAGATGCTCTACTCACAGGAATTCCATTTCTTTCAGTTTCATATCATCATTTTTACTCGTTAGAAGTACCGAAAAAGCGTGTTCATCTTCCCATTGAGCTTTAGTGGCGTCGTCTACGCTAACTGGTACTGGAGATGCGCTTCTACAGGTTGAATTACCTTAAGGAATCACAAAACCAATACGCAACATGAACGAGTACCGACTGACCGTCTTCACTTTCAATCACAAGAACAAGACTTCTTACAGTTTACTTACATTTGAGCTCGACGAGGTAGTTCTTGCGCCTCCCAGCATCATTCCGAAGACATTACGCGCAAGTTTGTAGCCGAGAGACTGCTTACGCCGGATGAGGCGTTCCCAAACATCGCAAAACCGCCGATCAATGTAGCGCACGAAGGCCATACCGCAGTTCTTGATCAGCATCTCCAACAATGATATGGCAAGCCCGCTTCGACAAACCTGCGACATTTTCCCAACGTTCATAACATGCGTTACAAAGGCAGATGACCTGCTTAGCAGAAGATGAGAAATAATTGTAGTTAATAACTTCTACCGAATCGAAAGAACGGAATCCATGTGATGTAGAAGGTGTACAGCGTCTAACACTAAAAGTAAAATTATTTTTTGAGAATCAGGATGAAGAGTGCGATGAGTGTCTCAATTTTAGAATGATATATGGATGCTATTGCTCATGCTTCAAAAAAAAAGAGGAAATCTAGTAGATGTAACAGTACTACTTTTGTTGCAGCATAGCGGCTGGTGTCGGTGTGCCTCGACTCCCAGGACGTGAGTTAGCGAAAAGCGACGTTTGTGACGGCAAAGAAGGGCTCCGCACCGTCGTACTCCGTCCTCCCGTCGTGGCGCCCGTGCTTCCCGAGGACCCGCTAAGCAATGAATGTTCTTGCTTTTTTCATCCTGCCTGGCTAACCTAGGTCTAGTAAAAAATCATACATATACTTTCATGGATGATAGACAAATCTACATCTAAACCACATGTTATAAAAAAGTACGAACCAACGAGGAGAGGAAAACGTGCCAACACGCGAGGTATGGGCCCACAGTTCCAGCCAGGAGAATGTAAAAAACTTCGTTTTTCACCATACAGATACAGACCAGGCTGGAGCTCTTGACCCATATTGAGCATTTGTAGATGAGGAGCTCGTGCTCATCGCTTCTGCTATGATCGGCACGATTTCGATACTCAAGTCGGGGTTCGCCAGAACCATGTCGCAGATCTCAATATTCACAGCCCACTCGATCGTCCCCGAATCCAACGATCTTCGCGTAAGATCGACCAGTTCCCGAGCCTGCCAATCCATCACTATTAATCCATGTAGTCAAAATAGAAGAGGATGAAGCAAGTAGAGCAAGAAGAAGGAGCAAGCGATCATTTGTTTCGACGGACGTCGGGCGGCACTTCTTATATTCCACTTAGCTACTGGTTTCTGTAGTTCGTGTTCGTTGTAATTGTTTCTGTCTCTATCATGTCTTCCATGATGCTGGTGACCAAAATGGACGAACAACTAGTACATTCATACGCATGTTATTACGCTTCATGCGTGCTAAGAACTGTTTAAGAAATATTCTCATTTCTCTCAGTCTCGTCGATCTGGAGTAGAAATGTTGGAGCATGATGAACGAAAACCCAAGGCATTCTGCTCGGTTTCGATAAAGCAAAGGGCTATGGTCATCAAGGAGTTGCTAGCCTGATTCGTTACGGTCCAGAGAGAAGACCCTTTGTGCATTCCTGCTTAGTCTGCATCTGAACTTCACCTAATGGCGGACGTCTTTTTGAAAGATAGATTGTTTCAGTAGCATCTGGTTGCACACGTAAACTTCTTCTTGGCTGCTGTTCATTTTTGTAATTGTATCTACTATGTAGCGAGAACCTTCTAGTTTGTCCAAGTCCTTGTGTTGTAGTTGTAAGTAATAAATGTTGGTTCGTAAAAATGCTTTTCATCATGAGAGATGTCGTGAGGAAGCAATAAGTCAAACACCGTCGTTGGGGGTCGCTATGTTTTTGATGCCGAAATTATAATATTATAATAGTACAGTTTATAACCTATCCCAACTGGGCACACCGGGTCGCTGGGTGACCCAAACGTGCCAGATCTGCCGAGTTCTGCACCCAGCGTGACGCGGGGCGTCTCAAAATGCGGGGCGCCTCTCGGGCGCCCGCTTGAGAACCCCACCGCAGTGCTAGTCTAGCGTAAGCCAGCGACGCTGGCGAACTACGCAGCCGCTGGGAGGTTAATATGAACAAAAGCGGCGCAACATTGAACCGAGCAGCGCAGTGCAGCACAAGCACAACGCAGAGCAGGCCTGCACAGGGCAGGGGCAGGCCGCCACTGCGCAACCCGGCGCAGCACTACGCCCGCGCTGCCCGGAACCTTGAGGGCGGCGACGCGCCTTTGTTTGTGCTCGGGGGACGCGCAGCACCACGCCACAGAGGCGCAAAATAATCAGCCGCATGAGCTCGGCGTGCCCAATGCGTGGCCCTCAAGTAGTCCGCCGAGCGTCAGCCAAGCGTCCGCCCAGCGTGGCCGCCCAGCGTTCCCAGTGTGGCCGCCCAGCGTGCCCAGCGTGGCCGCCCAGCCACCCAGCGTCTTTCACCTGTTCTATTATAACTAGTTGCACAACGCGCGTATCTTCATCTGTGCAGTAATGCGGTACCGCCAAAGGCCAGCGCAAGCATTAGAAAACCAACTGCACAACGAGAAGAATGAATCATGGTGAATTCATTTCTTGACAAAAGGCGTAGAGATGAGGCAGCCCTACGAGTCAGACAAGAAATTATGTAAAAGTAAATGGTGCATGATCATGAAGCAAAACACTTACCTTTCATCATCTATAATTCCCCATCGACTCTCTGAAGCAGGCACTCCAAATGCTCCCAGGGTTCCGGCATTGTGTTCGATTTCAACGCGCATTTGTAGAGCAATTTGCCGTCAGCCAGTAATTCGTACTCTCGGATGTAAACCTCTGTTGTTTTTCCTCCCGCACCAAGTCCACGGTGAAAGCTGCCATCCGCTTCCCTAGCCTCTAGTCGTAAGTATGGTCGAGGCCCTTGCTCCTGTCCATCTTGTCCGTCCTCCAGTCCAGAAGGCGAGCTACTACTTGATCTAGAAGTCACTGTGCCTCGCGCTACCTCAGACACACTGAAGGGATGAATGAAAATGCCTTCCACCGGAAGTACCGCTGGTGCTGCAGGTGCTTGAATTAGTGGAGCAGCTTATGATTATGTTGTAAATGTCTACTCTATGATGCTCAGTATGAGTACAAGGTCACTTTTCATTGATTTTCATGTTGATGTGATGATTGAATGTCTAGAACTTCACGCGAAGGACTTGTTCCACCGAAGAACAAAAAAAGGACGTGTCGAGCCTTAATGATTGCTCCTCCTGCGCCTGTGCAGCATCGCGGCTTATTGTGGTCGTCCCTTGAACAGGCAAAATTTTGATAACTCCGGACTCCACATGCAGCGGTACGATTTTCTCTGCTGAAGCGAAGTCCTGTGCGTCCGGAGCGGTCTTCCAGGTCTGCCGATGATGCCAGTTTTAGAGGAAAGTACTCACAAGTTATTTACGTGCCAAAAAGAGGAGAGCGATGACATCATTTTTCCACTTCCTACCGATTATAGCGACAGCGAAGATATCTGATACTTACTCAACCTAGGTTATAAGCAAACACCACGCAGTCGCAGACACAGTGCCTGAGATCACACCAAGCTGCCACGATCCTCATGGATCCTCTGCGACTGCAGCCATTGTGTTTTTCACATTTAGCCTTAACAGTAAGCCTGTGCTTTGCCTTCTCGCCGGACCTCCATTTCCTCACAGTAGTGAATCTTTGCCACTCCACGTTCCGTAACAGAGTACACTTTTCCTACACCGCGCCATCTTCCCAAAATAAACAGGGGTGCTTGTGCTTGGGGTTTTGGTGCCGTGTGTGTCGGTGTCGACATCTTTATCTTTTCTCTTTGCTCAAAAATGTAAATGTTGGTCTATCTGAGTGTTCACGGTCGCGGTGATCGCGCTCTTGATCTTCGTCTTCGTGTGGTTGCAAGAATCATGATTTTCCATTTCCCTCAGATTCACGTAGACTAGGCGTCTTTCTGCATTTTATGAAGTTCGATTGGCCTCTTTATTACTGATACTGTTTGTCTGTGTGTCGTTTATTAAACAAGGTATAGATCTTTCCTCTCGTTGTAGTTGTTCTACTCATTACGAGGGGACACTACTTCGGGATGACGCGGACTGTATCATTTTCTCACTCAGTTTTTCGTTTTTCCACTCATAAAGATCCTCTCTTCGGGCAAACTCGTCAACCTTCTCGAAACCACCACTCCACACACACAGGAGAGAGAACCCCCAGTACGAATACCACCTGAGAATCTAATCTCATCTTCATCCGTAGCCCCCAGTTCCCTACGGAGTAGCATGGCCTTCCACAGTTCTCACGGCCTAGTGAGATACCGTCACCAGCGTTACCCGCCCCTCACCTAGTTAGAATCTAATGCCATCAAAGATCGCTCTTCCGCCCACAACTGGCCGCTAAACATGATAGCGTGTCTGCCCTGCTCGCACAATTAAATAAAAGTGCCAAGACCAGCTCCGATAGATGAGCCAACAAAATGCGTGGGACACGCGACGGCTTTCAGTTTCATTGAACACCTGCGATAAAAGCGAGATATGGATAGAACGCATCCAAGCATCCAATGGCTGGGGACCAAGGTCTTTTGTTTTTTGTAGATCTCGCCCGTCCTCATCGCACGACAGGGCCAAAATTCAACCGGATTAGCAGTCTGATTATTAGTTGGTTGCTGTAATCTTTGATATCCCATTAGTATGTTGTGGTTTGAATGTTACTGCTACCAGCCAAGTCCAAGAGGATCCCCGCAGCGGACAGACCTGCGAGCCCATTGGCACCCTGCGGCGGCGTGTCTTTTGTCTTTATTACTTGATGATGTCCCCACTGCATAGGTTCTAATTTCGAAACAAAATAAATTTACGCTTTATTTTTTGTGGCTACTTCTTGTATTTCACGTGAAGTCCCTGAAAATTCTAATTCTTACATCAACAGAGAAGCTGCTAGTGGTAGCGTTAAACAAATTAATGACGTAGATGCGATGAGTTCAGTCCTGTAAATAAGTATCTTGGACATAGCGTCCCGCATGGTGGATCATGAACCTTCGAACAATCCAAGTTAGTGCGCGTCTTGATGTGTCGTTCTTATTCTAGTCGAGTCGTGTCATATGAAGAGAACATCCGCGGCGGATGTGCAAAATTGATTAATTTCGTAGAAACCTATTAGATAGGGTTCCTCTGATGATCATGAAATAACCCCTACTCATATTTGTGCTGGATATCACGAGACATAGAAGTGCGATAATTATTCGCTCTGGCTCTATACCTAGTCCTCCCTTGATGAGTTGTACCAGCAACATTTTGTGTCGCAGCACCCTCCTCGTTGATCTGCCTCGTCTGGACGTGCTATGACCAAACGAATGCAAATCTCTTTTCACGCTATTTTTCTTGTCTTCTTCTACTAGTACTCGGCGTACTAGAACCAGTAGACTAAAGGTTACTCGCGTCGTCGGCAGCACCGTACGAGCAGTGCGCCCCAGAAGTTTTTCCAGGCAGTGCGGATGAAGCGAAGTCTTGTTCTCCCTTATTTGTGGACTCGACGATCATGACACTTTTCTCCTCGCTTGTGCTGCTCGTAGAGGAACCACGGCGACCACAGAAGCGCTGGCGGCGTCCAAAAATCAAGATGAGCAGAACGCCGAACGCTAAGCCACACAATGCGCACAGGGTGATCAGGGTAGACTCGACGTGGTGGCCGGCAGGGGATGCAGACGGGTAGACCCGCCCAGTCAATTCCGCAGCTCGAAGATTTCCTGAAAAAGATAATACTGATGTTGCTCTTGAGGTTATAAGAGAAAAATTGAAATAAAAGCAACAAGAATGATTCCGTACAAAATGAAGAATGAATAATTCGGAAGATAAGACTGAGATGGAATTTCTAAACTTGTAGTACCTTCTTTGCTACGGCGCAAGGTACCAGGGGACAGTGCGTTGTCAGTGCCGACGGCCTTCTGCGAGGACGCTGGACGTTCACACGACTGGCTAAAAGAGGAGCAAGAGCTTCCGCCCTTGCCATCCACTGGTAATGGCTCCTCCAGAGGATCGCCCGCCTCTAGTGGCGGTTGGTTGCCCTCGTCTTTGTCGCCAGCTTCTGCTGCGGCTGCTTCATCTTTTCTGATGTTGGGCGCCTTGCCGGCATCTGCTGCGGATGCTTCACCTTTGCTGCTGTTGGCCGTGAACTCATCTCCTGCTGGGGCCGCGTCATTCGGTGTGTGCGCAGCTGGTGCTCTGGGTATCGGTTTCTCTCTTACCCTTGTCGGAAGTGGCTTCGGCTTGGCCTTGTCTGGTGCTAGTAGTTCCAGCGTGGGCTTGTCACCCGTTTTGTCGACTTTTACTCTGCGGATGCGCTCGTTTTTATCTGGATCATACTGTTCAACAGACTGGTCGTCCCCCAAAATTATTGGGTCATTGAGCACGAAACTGCCAGCAGCAATCGTGTAGTGAATATCGAAAATTGTGTCCCCTCCCGACGCATCTGCTCCATCAACGATATGGACGCAGGGACCGTGGGCCATCTGCTCCTGCATCTTCTTGTCATGCTTCAGGTTTGCCTCTGCCTGGGCTGTCATTAGAGTTACGCATAATTCACTTTAACTTTATTGCGCTGGGTAGCGCCAGCAACAGTCCCTGATGTTCGAGTACATTATATGACCATGATGATGACGATTGACGAGGGGGATGGTGGTATACTATAATTATCTATGTTATAAATCAAAACTAATCCTACGACCTAAGTAGACAGGAGGTGAGTCCACGGCTTTAGATGTACGTAAATCATGGTATGGCGGACTGAAATAATTATTTTAGCAAATAATTACTTTCCCAGATCTTCACTTTTACCACTAGATTCCGCAAAGGTGGAAAAGTATCTAGATGCTAAAGTAATTACTTAACTCCGCCATACATGGGAAAGACGTACGGGCTAGATGTATCTATACGCCTGGGATATATATCCCGAGACATATATAATACCACACACGTAAACCACGGGGGGGCGTACTCTTGCGATGTACTTACACCGGGGCGGTTCGTAGTGGGTTCCCAAAATTCTACTTTTTTGAGATGTACGGAACAAAATCATGGGAAAGATGTACGGGCTAGATGTATACATCTCGCGCCGTAAAAATGCCGCGACTTTGCGCACATCTTTCCCCTGATTCTGCGTCTGCTCCTGCTAAGTATATCGGCAGTGCCCGAAGCCGAAACTCTGAACATGCAATAAACTACGTGGCACGCACAAAAGGCGAGAAACATAGGTCACTCTTGCACTGCAATCAGCCCCCTGCGTTATTTGTCGCAAATTCTTGCCAAAGTTATGGGCCACGCTGTGCGCTAATGTACAGAAAGGGCCTGACAACTCACGTCGTGCCATTCTTATTCTTATACCGTATAAATTGCAACCCGATGCATCTCCAAAGCTGGCGACTTTTTTTTGGTTATTTGATTTGGAAGCACGTCCCTTTGCTCAAGAGCAGAGGCCGGCGACGGTTTGTAGCTGTGAGGCTTTGATCTGAGACAGCTCAAAGCGGAGAACTTTGCAAGCAGGTCGAAAATAGGCAGCAGCCTCATGGGGTTCCGCGATCTGGATGGGAGATCTGCGAGAGTAAGGCCATAAGGCAAGACCTTCCAAGCAGGTCAAGCGTGGGCAGCAACCTCATCCATGGGCTGCACGCTTTGGATATCATATGCGACTTGCGTCAGGTCACGGATGGGGCCTCCCAAGCAGGTGAAAGGCCGACAGCCTTCACCACATGAAGGCGCGCCATTAATTTGGACAGAAGACCCGAGAAAGCTCAAATAAAAGGTAAGGCCTTCCAAGGGGGTCAAAAGTGGCCAGCAATCTCAGAAAGCTCCGCGACTTGTTGGGTGGCAAAAAGATCTGAGAGAGTTGGGCCAAAGGGTGAAGACCTTCCAAGCAAGCCAAGAGGAGGCAGCAGCCCCATAAAGATGCGCGCTCTGGAAGGATATATAAAGCCCGAGCCGGCTCACGGATCCATGGGATCTCTGAAGCAGCTGAAAAGTGCACAGCATTCGCATCGCGATAAAGCTGCGCCATTTAGATGGAAGACCTGAAACAGCTCACAAGGTAAGACCTTCCACCAAGGAGGCCAAAAGCAGACAGCAGTCGCATAAGATAAAGCGGCGCGCTTTGGATAAGGTTTGTTTCTGAGTCAGTTCACTTCACAGACAAGATCGCCCAAGCAGGTGAAAGGCCTGCAGCATTCTCATACAGTTGCGCCATGGATTTGGGTCGAAGACCTGAGACAGCTCAAAGGGTAAGACCTTCCAGTTCCAAGCGGGTAAAAGAAAGCAGCAAGCCCAAAAAGCTCCGCGACACTTGGCTGGAAAATCGGAGAGAGTTGGGCCAAAGGGTAAGACCTTCCGAGCGGGCAGGTCACAAGTAGGCAGCAGCCTCACAAGGGTGCGCTTTTTGGATAGGGGACCTGAGTCGGCTCACGGGTGGCATCTCTCAAGTAGGTGAAGCGTGGAAGTGCCCAGCATTCTCACAAAGTTGCGCCATTTGGGTAGAAGATCGGAGACTGCTCAAAGGGTAAGGCCGTCCAAGGAGGTCAAGACCAGGAGTAAACCGCAGCCCAGCAGGGTTGCGCTGTTAGTTTGGACCGGAGGCCTGAGCCAGACCAAAGGGCAAGACCTTCCAAGCAGGTCAAAACCAAAAGTAGACAAGAGTCCGATAAAGCTGCGCGATATGGGTAAGAGATCTACGAGAGCTGGGCCAAAGTGTAAGGCCCTCCAAGCTGCTCAAAAATGAGCAGCAACCTCGTGCGGCTGCCTTGTTTGCCTAGAAGTTCTGGGCTTGGGGCTGCTCGCGGGTGGGCTTTCTCAACCTGGTCAAAGTCCGCAGCAATCGCACAGAGCTGCGCTTTTTGAATAAGAGACCGGAGTCGGTTCACGGATAGCACCTCCCGCGCAGCGGCAGCAGCTGAAAAGTAGGCAGGAACAAACATCAAAACGCTGCGCGATGTGGAGAGGAAACCTAGCTAAGGCAGCCCAAAGAGCAAAACCTTCCAGGCAGGTCAAAAGGGCGCAGACCTGAGCCAGCTCACAGACAAGACGCCGCAAGCAGATCGAAAGTAAGTAGCAACCTTATAAAGCGGGCAGCAGTTTGGTTCTTGGTAAAGGATGGATCTGACTGCCTCGGCCGCGATGCTTTACCCGCATAGATTTGATTTTCTGCAAATGTCTCTGGCCATTTGCTAGATTTCACTCATTTGAGCCATTTCAGTCGCTTCGAGGTGCTGCCGGTGTTTTTGTTTATGTAACACGTCAGAGCTTCTAGCGCCGCACGTAGCTCCTTCGCTTATTCCATAGCCCGCCGCGCTTTACGTAGTTCGTAGCACGCCGGTAGGCCGTCTGCGTTTTATGTAACTCGTAGCATTTGGGAGACCTTTCCGCCCTGCCCCGGCGTGTACACGCCGGGGGCACGTGGGCGGTATTAATATAATTACTTTGTGTATATTTCAGAAGGCTCTAAGATTTAGTGTAATCCTTATCAATTACTGAAGGAGAGTCTGTGGTTACTACGACGGAAAACTAACCGGTTGTTGTTACTTTCGGATTAGTGCTCTCAAGAATTTTCTGTAAAAATCTTCTGTATTGACAGACTTTGATCTCGTCTAGCCGTACCTTCCTTTGTCTTGTCGACTCGTCGAGCTCCGCTTGGTGGTTCTCCGCGGGTTCGAGCTTTACCTGTTCCGTGTTGGAGGGATAATCAGAATAGCACTTTCCGCCACTTCGCTTGTCGCAGAGCCCAAAACGCAACTCGAAGCCTCTTTTTATGTCGAAATATTTCGTTGTCGTCGCAGTGCCGAGGTTGGTCGTCCCATCTTCTTCTTTTTCGCTTTCCGCGATGAGAAAAAAGAAGTTGAGCGAGAGATGGCGCATCCAGTTCAAGTCATCGTTTTTGTTCGTGAACTTGATAAACTCCTGCACGTAGTCCGTAATCTTGGGGAACACGTCGCTCTTGTCATAGCGTTCCTTAGGAGATCCTGCACTAAATGGGACGAGCAACAGAGTCTTTCGGCCATGCAAATGCTCAAAGCGCTCGGGAATCATGCTAATGAAAGGCCTCGCTTCTGTGTGCCATTTGGCGACTTGCATGTCGAGTGTTTCGCGCGCAGCCTGCGCCGCATCTTTCACCGCTCTCTGTGCGTCCGTCGTCGTCCAAGCCTTTGTTTTAAACCAAACGTCCTTCACAATCTCCCACACCTGTTTGCGAATTGGGTTGAGATCCTTCTCCTCAGGTGCGAGCGGCTTCTCCTCAGTTGCGAGCGGCTTTTGAGCCGACGATGTCTTAGACGACTTGCTCCAGCCGAGTCCCATTTTGAAAACCTACAACGCACTGCGGGGAATCAGAAAGTAACGAAACAAGAAGTGTGGGAATCGTGGTTGTAGGGTATATTTTTGAACAAGGACAATTGACTACTAACTTGTCCTCCTCTGATATATTATGAGGCACACTAGAGAAGATACTATTTACAATGAATACGAACACCCAGCCAACCTTTACGCGGAGTCGACGAAAATCATAGTCAAGCCCAAAACATCATGTTCAGAAGATGGCAAAAAGGGGAACGGGATAGCATCAGCATGCAACAGCCTGGTTGTAGGAGAGACGGAACAAATGCTTCTATTTCTTGCGAGATGCATTTTATTTATGCAATTGCAAATGTTAACTCACTTCTTGAAGAATTCATCTCATCACGTTGCATGGCTTTGGCATTGCCATAAAACTGAAAGTGATCCCCACCTCCTTAGCTAAAAAGAGAGTTGTTCTTGGACTCTCAAAACAGAATAAAAACTGACAGAGTGTCATCCGCGTCGTCAGAAAAGCGCTGTAGTACAGAGAATTTCAAGAAGAAACAGTTCTGCTCACTGTTCAAGCGCCACTACTCTCGGTCTCGACCATACAGATGCTCGACGTTGTCACTCGGATGCAGTTCACAGAAGGATTTTTCTTCATGTCTTTAGTAAGTAAGGCTCAGAGTGCCATCTTGTACATCCCTCTCGGCAGCATTGGGTCCCTCCAGTGGGTCGCAACTCATCCAGACAAGTACGAAAACACAACTATAATGGCTACTCACGTTTTCACATCTTCGCACGGCTTTATCTTCATCTCTCGTGATACGCGACGATGCCGTTTCGGTGCGCACCAAGAACGGTCAATGAACACACACATTGGATGTATTTTAGATCTTTACTCTCTCCTTAGTATCTCGCTCAAGATGAAGTGTTGAAAGAGTATCTCCTTGAACAGAATGCACCAACAGTTACAGCGGTCTTCCTTTTCCGACCGACAGAGCCAGGTACTCCACCAGATGGGAGGAGGCCTCAGCCTTAGAATCTATCGTTCAGCTTTATTATGACTCGGAGAAGCAGTGTCCATTCTCAACACAGTACTCCACTGGCAGTTTTTGTCAAAATCACAAATGAATGAGCATAACAAATAAAAGAGGCGTTAAGCGAAACCGCACGGGAAGAAATGGCAACAGTCACGAAGTGCGCCATAAATTCGCTGGGGTAACGAAAAGCAGAGACTTCAGGCTTCAGCTAACAGAACAACTCGTAAGGTTTGGCAGCTCGCATGGCATGGAGTGGAGTGCATGGATCGCATGGAGTAGCATGGAGCTAAAGGGGGCGCCTCTTGCGTCCCTTATGGATCTGCGCTCCATGCTGCTCCATGCGCCATGCGTGCTATAAACTGCGCTGATTATAAAGAGAGCAGGTGCCCATCTCTATCTATGTGCAACGAACTTGTAGAAGATCGTCCTCGTCTGGAACTCATCCTCAGGTAAGCCACACGGGTCGTGTTCGAGCCGCCTCATACGCTTGACCCTAGACGTGATGACTCGTCCAACTAGGACTAGTCGTGGTGCGGCAGTACTTCTATCAACATCACGACAACATACATTCACTGTTCATTTTCCTTTGATCATGTGAATAATCATTATGAGGTGATAGATCAAAAACATAACAAAAAAAATCCATACGATTAATCTCGCCATTGATCGCCGCCTAACCCACCGGAGACACCCGCCGGAGTTTAACCACCTCCTTAGGCGAAGCTATTGCCCATAGCTTCCGACCCTTTCCCCTCACTCTCAAGCCCGATAAGCTCCGGCCGTTTTCTTTTTGGAATTTACGTTGCTGCCCCGTGGCAGACTACCAGAAAAGAAGCCAGAAAAATGCCCGACGGGGGTAGGGGCGCAAGCTGCGGAGAGAAGTCCAAAGAGAAACAGCCGAAGAAAGACCTCCCACCGAAAGAGGCAAGACCTTGGACCAGAGACACATGGACCAAAGACCTATGGACTTCGGACCAAAGACGATCTTTGGACCAACACCAAAGACGATCTTTGGGCCAAAGGCGGCCTTTGGTCCACCGAAAGTCTTTCTTTGGACCAAAGGCGCAGGCGACCTTTGGACCAAAGACGACCGTTGGACCAAAGACGACCTTTGGACCAAAGACGACCTACACCAAAGACGATCCTTGGAGGGACCAAAGGCGACCGCTGGCCCACAGGCGATCTTTGGACCAAAGGCGGCCTTTGGTCCACAGACGACCGCTAGACCAAAGACGACCGTTGGACCAAAGACGACCGCTGGACCAAAGACGACCGCTGGACCAAAGTCAGACGACCGGCGGACCAAAGTGAGGCGACCTCTGGACCAAAGTAAGAGGGCAACCTCTGGACCAAAGTGAGACGACCTCTGGACCAAAGCAAATAAGACGATCTTTGGACCCAAGACGATCTTTGGACCCGAGGCGACCTTTGGACCAAAGACGATCTTTGGACCAAAGGCGACCCTTGGACCAAAGGCGACCGCTGGACCAGAGGAGACCTTTGGACCAAAGACGACCACGGGACCAAAGGCGACCTCTGGACAAAAGACGACCTTTGGACAACAGGCGACCTTTGGACCACAGACGGCCTCGCTTTGGACCAAAGTAAGACGACCGCTGGACCAAAGTAAGAGACCGCTGGACCAAAGTAAGGCAACCGCTGGACCAAAGTAATGCGACCTCTGGACCAAAGTAAGGCGACCTTTGGACCAAAGTAAGGCGACCTTTGGACCAAAGTAAGGCGACCTTTGGACCAAAGTAAGGCGACCTTTGGACCAAAGACGACCGCTGGACCGCCGACCTTTGGGTTTGGACCAAAGACGGCTGGCGACCTTTGGACCAAGTACGACCTTCAGACCAAAGACCACTGGACCCCAGACCGCTGGACCAAAGACCTCCGACAAGACAAGAGACCCGCGACGGCAGACATCTGACGAACGACCTCTGCCAGAAAAACTGCCGCCCCACCTGTGGCGAGAGGCCCTTGACGATAGCGGAGAGGACCTCTGACAAAGGACGCCAGTCCGACGAACGCGGTCAGTCTGGCGAAGAACGTCAGCCCCGACGAAGGAACAGAAACAACCTCACGAAGGAAAGACATCCGCAGCCCGAAGAAAGGCCCCGCTCAGCCTGTTCCGACGCAAAGAAAACGCCTGGCGGAGCAGTGCGCCGGCCTGGCGAGAGGGGTCACCTGGCTGGTCAGTGCATCAACCTGACGAACGGCGCCAAGCTGAGCCTGAGGCAAGCCATCAACCTGACCAAAGGCCCAAGTCTTGGCCCAGCGAGGAGTGTCAGCCTCAGCCAGGCGAAGCGCTTCAGTCTGACGAAAGGCGTCAGCCTGGCGAGAGACGTCGCCGACCCTGACGAAAAGCCTCAGCCTGGCCCCAGACATCTGCCGAAGGGCGCCGGCCTGTCCGACGAAAGCCGCCAGCCTGGCGCAGAGCGTTGGGCTGACGAACAGCATCAGTCTGATGGGGGGCCCCAGTCTCCATCCTGGCGAAAGACATCAGCCAGCCGAGAGGCTTCAGCCACAGCCCGAAGCGCGACGCCTCACGCCCCCGCGAAGTGCGCCCGTCTGTTCCTGACGAAAGACATCCGACGAAACAAAGAAGCCCCGCCAGGTGTAAGCGCGTAGAGAGACCCAAGCAGCGCGGCCGTGCGTTGCTTTGTCTTGTTTGGCCCGTTGAGGTCGCGCCCCGTTCTTGCCTGGCGCCACCGCGAGGCGTTTGCGTGCGTTGGGGCTTGCGGATTCTTGTGCGTCTCTGGTGGCCCTCTTCTGTTTTTTTTGTTGGACTGCCGTGGGGGTCTTGCAAATTCTTAAGGATTTGCATGACCCCCCGGCAATCTCATAAAAAAACCGAAGGCAGCGCAATGCCCTGCACATGAGTCGACGCATCTGAGTCGGCCACCGCCGGCACTCGGCTCTTGTCGTAGTCAATTCGTAGGGCGCAACAGCTCACCCGCGGGCCGTCTCTACTCTAGCGGCTGTAGCCCGTGGGAGGCCGCAGAAAAGTGCTGAAGCTAAAGTCACTCGAAGCCGGGCGAAGCTTGTGGAGGCTAGTGATCAAATAGTGCCGAATCATCAAAATGACGCTGGCGTCTGGCTGCATTGATTTGGTGTTCCCTGCGTCATTTTAGCGCAGATGTCTGAATGAGGATTATCACACACGTCAAAATGTCTTCGCTGCTCATTCTTGCTTGGAGAGCTCTGTGCGTCATGTCCTGGGCGCTGTGCCTTCTCATTGACATTGGCCTTCAAAAAATAAGCTTCGAAGCAGAAAGAAAAGTGCACGATGAAATACAAGCAGCTGGCTAAAAAAAATCACAGAATGCCCCACCTGAGGTAAAAATACCGTAACCGCTGTAATCCTAAATTTCCCTCGTTTTTAAAAAAATAATTTCCATCTTTAATACTCCTACCTCCTTGTTTATTGACCAATTCGGAAAATACAAATAGAGCACTTTACATAAGGAGGTAGAGATGATAGTCGATGCCCACATAGGTAGAAATGACAGTCAGCCCAAAATTACGAACTTGAAGATCAAGAACTCGCCCAAGATAAAGGTGCTGGGGGGGTGGAATGGTGTCAGCGCAAGCGACACAGCGCAGGGAAGCGTCGCGAGCACCGAGCCCAGCATACAAGGGAAGGGGCGGGAGGGGGGGAAATCAACTTTCTTATGCCCTGAGGCTCCTGCAAACGTTATGACGACTGTGAGGCAAAATGGCTCCGATTACTGCGAAGCCTGTGGCTGCCGGGAACTCTTGAGAGCAACGTAGATCTTGCGCGTGAGCCAGAACTTCGCCGTAATAAATGCGGGGTACGATTCGAAGAGCTTGAGGTTGATCGGTCTCGTCCTCGTGATGATCTTCATAGGCAGAACCTTCGCAGGGATCAACTCGCTAATTATTTGGATTGCGCTCGTAGATCCCTCTAGATCTTCTACATAACTAATATTCTCTGGGTTCAGTTTTTTTCTGTTCCCCTTCCCGTAGAACAAGCGCATTTCTTCGCCCTCCTAGTTGCAACTCCTGTAATAACCCCCGTTTCGTATATTTATAATAAGTACAAAGGCAAAGCATGACTTTTTGTGCTAATACGCATTTGATCTTGTGCTCTTGGTTGAAAAAGTTGAATAGGAACAAATCGTTTATTTGTTGAAACGTGTGTACTTGTTACGAGTAATTGTAGTTGCCTAAGAAATTAGGGAGATCTTGAAGTTAGTTTTCTACCCCGAGCGTGTTACTCTATATTCAGAAACCCGCCTGAGCCAAAAAAGTCCAACACCTACAACAGCAGTCCCATCTTTAGCAGCTCTACGGTTACGGTTAGGTTCGACACTCCCGCTGCAGAAGCCACCGCAATCGCAAGGATAACCCCAAAGTCGCTGACTGGTTTACCGCAGGTTAGGCTTTGCCCTCTGCGACGTCCTTCTTGTATTGATCCAACACTTCCGTCATGATCTTGATATCTCCGCGATGAAAAGAAAAGCATGATCGATACTCAACATTTTGATGATATACTTACACAATAGCACTAGAAGTAGGAAGCATTGCTTCTTACGAAGCAAGTCACCCCTTTTGCTTACTTATTATGACAAAGGCGAGCCTTTTTTTGTCCTCGCCTACGGTATTCACATTCGCAACATCGACTAGATCTTGCCTAGTCGCGATTGCGATTCAGTCTTTCAAAAGTCTGAATGTGAGTATCATCGATGCTGTGACTGTGAGTAATGATTTTCCTTTCATACTCGTCAAACGTTTCCGGTAGCAGAGGCCCAAAACTGAATCGGAAAAAGGAAAGATTAGAACTATATTTTGGAAGAAGAGGAAACTGGGCAACGAGTTAGTTCTGTATCTATTTCTATGATGATGTTAGTCGATTCGGATTGGGCAACGAGTTAGGACTGTATCAATATCTTGCTCTTGCATGATATATAGTGATGAAGTCGAAGACTGAGTAACTAGAAACTAGAAGGTGCTACGTAGCACCTCTATGATCGAGTGCCCTGCACAGGAAAAAAATTAAAATATCGTCCTTTTTTCTACTCACCTTTTCGCTCAGCACCGTGGAGGTCTGTCTATACTCTATGATTGCTTACATTAACTATTACTTAATTTGTTTAAGAGAGCAGTAAGGCCTTTCGTAAAAAAGTATGGCGATTTGTAGTTCGTGTCCTTCGCGTGTGGTCGTGCCATGTCGCAGTTTGGTCCCTCCAAGATTGCAGCGCCCCGCTTGAACAAACGCTTGTTAAACTCGATGCAGTTCAGACCCTCTGGCAGTTCCATCCAGTGGTAAAAACCACCACTACCTGGAAATTCGAAACATCAAGATCATACATAATCGAAAAATGTGAAGTTACGGCATTGAACGAAGAGGTATTTATCATGCATAGTTGTTCGTCCTCGCTGTGCTACTGAAAGGTACTTACTTATCATGCATAATTGTTTGCTCTTGACGATGTCTTCGCGAAGATGAAAATTCATGAAGTATCTACTCCTGTGAGCCAGAGGCAGAGCCTGAAGTTCTGACCACAGCGATTCACTTAATTTGAGGATGAAATAAAAGAAACTTTGAGACGTTGAAGGAAAACTCGTTTTGGAGGTCGAGCTCACAAGCCGCTGCATCAATGTAAAAATCTAACCAAGAACATCATTATACTGTCATGTACTATAAAGGAATGACCACGACATCATTTCCCAGTAAAAATTAACCAACTTTCCTCTGTTATGTACCTGTATAGAGCTTTAGACCCATAGCCTTGAATGCCTCGCCGTATCGTTCGCGCTGCCAGTTGTAGTGCTTCTCAATCGCATTTCTCGCACAAAGCACCCGTTCTGGCTCGAACAACTTCACCGCGTAGAGTTGACTCGGATGAGACACTCCGCCCATACCAAAACTTGAAAAATTAGCCAGCGTCTCGATATTCTTCTTGCTAGCGATCATCTGGAGACCAATTCAGGTGGGCGGGAGATGGACGAAGTAGACACGAAAGTGCGATCGACTTTTTATTTCCTGGTCACCCTATTTCTGAAAGACAGCAAATTTGAAACCTTTTCGACGACTATCACCAATTCACCAAGGCCAGTACTCCAGTTTCTTCCTATGATTGTTTTCGCGCTGTTTCATATAGAGTCGATTTTTCTACCCACACACAGCAGTGCTTCATCCACCTAGAAAACCCACTGCAATTCAAATTGAAGACACGAAATGAAATTTTCTTAATTTTATCGCCTTTAATTCAAATTCATTTCACTGTGAGCTTCATTCTCGAGAAAGCAAATTACGAACTTTTTGATGATTTTCACAATTATTCTAATAACAAACACTATCCTCCAGTTAGAATGTCTAGCTATTGTCAGGTCTAAACTCCATATTTTTATTGTCCAAATAACAGTGCTCAACCCACGTGAAAAAAATTCAGTACAATTCAAATTGAAATAACGAAATTGAGAAATTTTGAGTTTATCGCCTTTCATTCAAATCTATTTCCTGACGAGCTCAATTCTCGTTGTAGGATCTACCAAAAGCAAAAAAAAGATAATTTATAACAAGTGTCCGAGTACCACACTAGCGAAATTTATAGCTGTAAGCTTGATAGAAGTAATACCCAACCGATCCGGATTCCAGGGCACTGAAGTCCTTTCGTACACGCGCCGGTGATAAAAACGTTGCTGTTCTCGTTAGAGCTCACCACCGTCGTTCTCGTTCTCCGACTACAGCGACCTTGAAATGATACTACGTCACATCATCTTCATGGTCGACGTCGTGGCATCATGCCATCAAATAGAATAGAATGATGTGACAAACTAGTGCTAGAATGCCCCTGCTTGTTCATCGAGTCATGGCCGCAGATGAAAAACAGGTAGTTCTTGTCAACAACATTTCACACCTGTGGGTCGTTTGTATTCGAACGTGCTCCTCTTCAACAACAAGATGAAGATGGATTCTTATCTCTTCTAAGTAAGTTGTTCAACTAGTAAGTAATAAATTACATATGCATTCTTAGTAGAGAAGGCCTTAATTTCTAGATCATTCACGTACTCGACACCGCTTACTGCTGGGGAGTGGTACATCTCGTACGCCTCGTCCAACAAGGTACGTTAGAAGAAGACGACATCAGGTGGTCTCTCTTTGTCAATTTCTAGTAGTACTAAGTATTGCATGGTGTAGAAGAGCAAGAGAGACATCGAACAACTACTGACTAAGGTCAAACCAGCTTGTTCATGAACTTACTGCACTTCTTTGAAGATGCCTTTTTCGATGGTTGTAAGTAGAGATAGAGTGCTGATACCCGATAAAACTACAAGATATTTCTGAAGTCGGAGATCATCATGTAGTATGACATATATTGTATTCGAGTGCAGAATTCGCCTTACATCCCGTTCTTGGATTCTTCTGCCATGGCCATGAGTTCTCTAAGCTCCTCGCCGTGTCGTGTGTGCCCAGTAGGGTTACCCGGATTCGAAATGATAGGCATTAAGTGGACTTTTGCGTTCAGATTCGTTCGGTCGATTCATTAGAACTAGAAAATTAGTGAAGGAGATGCCGGCAACAAGATAACGAAGAGAAGCGTGGAGGTGCGTCTTCTACTTCTTCAGGAACAGGTTCAGCAACTCTCTAGAAATTTCTGCTGGTAGAAACAACAGGGAGGCGCGTAGCAACACTTCTACTTTAAGTCTTACCTGTCCACTTTATTCTACAAGTCAACATCATTGACGAGGATGTGCCTGATCCATAGTAGTATTGCTGATTGGTAGGATGAAAGCCGTTCTCCTTCGTACACGGAACTACTGTCCAGGGCGTCTTGGTTGCCGTCATGATATCAATATACGCTGGCCACTCTGTGTTGCTAATCCTTATCTCCACGTGCTTCTTCAGAAATGCAAGGGCCTGGTGAGCAAGATCGAACGTTGCAGCGGTAGTAGAAGAAGTAGATGTAATAGTAGTACTACATGACGATCATGTTTGAGATTCAAAGTCGTGCACTGCCACTGATAAAGAAGACCGTGAACGACTATCTTCATCTTGGCGATACAGGCACACTTTTATCAAATAAACATACTCTCACCGCGAGAAGCTCTGTGTCTAGGACTCCGCACTAGAACTAGGAGTCAAATACCGTGTAAATGCCTGGTCTTCCGCCAGCGAAAATCATGACGTTCTCGGGTTCGATCTTCAATTTCGGGTTCACCTTGTTTTTGCTTGCGGAGTCTTAACGGCGTCATATCCTTTTACATAGAAGATATTACGGCTATTATGTTAGAAATAATGATCTTAATCATGAACTCAACACCTCTCAAATGAAAGAAGAACAAGTTGCGAAGGACATAATTCAACTCAGTCTAAGGAACAACATGAAAAAGTGACCTACTACAACAAGTTGAAATGCGTAATAGTGGGTGTTGTAGTAATCGGCGATGGTTTCCCGTAAGAGCGGGTGACCCCACGCTTTGGGGTAAAAACGATCCTCCCAGGTGACATCGATGCTGTCCGGTAGCTCTGGCCCATCGAATTTGTCCACTTTAGAGCACCTTCCCGAATTCTATCTTCTTGAGTAGACGAGTCACTCCTAGAGTCATTCCATGTCAACATATAGATGTATCCTCTGACATGGCCTAGTCATGGTCATGATGTTACAACACCAAAACGTATTTCTTTAATATGTAATTCTAAGTACATACACTATCATTTGTTGATGTCGATGTGTTGCTGCTGTAAGCGAAAGACCTATGTATAAGTATATATAAGCATCATTGATTAGATAGAGCGGAGCCGGAGGCAACATCGATGTTGATGTAGTAGGCTGTAATTCAAATTCACTTAGAGATAAAGAACGAAGGCGTCCGTGCTAAGAAAATGCTACTGAGGATGCATTTCTTGCAAGGTCAACATAACCAGAGGGGTCGTGAGCGGAAAACCCTGACTCCACGGGTGCGTGCCCTGCGTTCCCATAAATTTCCCGAAGCTGTCCTTGAAGGCATACAGGGTCTCGTAGATCCCCATCGGCGGCACATCGTCGGACAAGAAGGAGTCCCTTGTCTTTATGTCGGGAACCGGCATCTTCCTATCTTGAGAAGTTTGAGAACAATATGCCGGGGAACCACTACAGCCTTCGTTGTTTCTTTTCCCTTGTTTGGAAGGATTCACGCAGCAGGCCATGAATCTTGCTTGAGATATAATCACCAGAGCTACAGCTAAAAACTACTAACCACCACTACGACTACCCCCGACTACTACTAGTGGTCGTATGAATTCAATATCAAATTAAAATCATCTGAAGAAAGAAAACATCAAAACTGTAACTCAAGATGTAACTCAATCTTAGAATAATCGCCGAACATCACCGTCTTTCGTCCATTTGATGAAAAAACTCCTCCAAGTCCGAAACTTTCTTCACTCTTTCATTACTGAACTTTCTTGTTTCGTTTCCGCCTATTACATACAGGAGTGATTTGTTCATTCATTTCTTTGAGCACGCCGGTATCTACGCTAATGCAGGCGCACCAATGAAGAATTCGCTCCGAAATACGATGCACAGCTTTTTCCCTTTTGGCCTTAATCTACTTGTAGTGAACTTTTCGCTGACAACCCTCATGCATACTCTAGTCTCTGTTCTTGGTTCGTGATCCGACGAGTTCGCTTCGCGTTGAATCTTTACAGCGTAGAATTTGCCTCTCTCGTCTCTCTCCCAACTACATTCACCTTTAAAATTTCTATCCGCATCATCACAATTTCGACTACCATATAATTCATACGTAGTCGTGTGTATCGATCCTCTAAACTACGCGCTCAAGAGCATTACCGACATCCGCAAGGCGAAACAGTTCCAGATGTACACCCGCATCTATTTACGGGGAACGAGACCCGGGCGCAGTCACGTACGTACTATAACCATGATCGATCGTGCAGTGCTGGGGATCATCAAGGGGATTTGTATTTGAAATGCTGAATTCAATGGTTGTGGAATCAATGCGAATGGGTCTCGATGTGGTTGGGCACTGCGTATTTGGGGAGTGATGATGAGTTACGGTTACCATCTTGTTCTGCTTCATTATATATTTGAAATTTGGATTTTCCTCCGGATCAAGAGGGATTAGACTTAGTGCGTTCTTCTCGACCAGAGTTATGGCGTCACGTTGTCAATGTCATCAACCTTTTGGATTTGGTTTCGTAAGTTTGAAACGCAAACGATTCATTTTTTACATGATTTACTTATTAGTCCCATGCCCTTTGTAGAATGATACAAGTCGATTAAAAAACAATGGCAGAGGGATCTCATCTTGGCAACGGGCGTCCGGGTTTCCTCTTCCACTCCAGGAGAGTCGTGCCGTCGTCTCCTGGTATAAATGGGTGCGTGCGTATGATGAGTAGAAAGCAGTTGTGATGATAGATGATGTAGAGAGCGCCTATATTATTCATTGCCTGCACCTAGACCTACAGAGCCGTTGGAGAAGCGCAATGCGCGCGAGATAGTGACAGACCCACGAATCAGGTAGAAAAGAAGATGAGGATAGAGCTGAAAAAGGCATCGGAATTTCGTTTCGAGGATACTGAATATATTGTGCCTTCATCTTGTCCGCCTCCACTTCGCCAGTTCCAGGCTCGAATGAGACGGTCACCAATTTCTTTGGGACTCTTTAGACGTGTCCAGTCACCGCCACTTTCGCATCCTTGCGGCCCGTATATGTTGATGAAATCGCGACGACTCTCCAGATTGAGAGATACCTCCAAAACCAAGTCGCTGGGAATCAGAAGTGCGCCGCCGAAAATCAGAACTGGAGGTTGTGATTTCGTCGTAGTCTTCTTTATTTCGTTCTACGCTATAGTGAGGCTAGTAGCTAAGTTTCTGAATGAAAATACATCATAAGAAACCGAGGCATGCCTGCTCTGTTGCGTTCAAAGATGCCTGCTCCTCCATAAGTCTGAGACTGAGATCCTTTGCATCTAATTGTAGAGAGAGGCAATTATGATCATCAAGAAAAGTAAATACATAGAGGAGATAGAGGAACTCCATCTAAGACTTACTGAGGAATAAGTCGGCACCTTGGTGCATTTCAAACTCGTCGCGACTGTGCTGTTTGTGGGATGGTGGACGAAGCAAAGGAGATAAAACTAAGTCGTCTTCTGTGCTCGAGTGAATTCGCTTCCGCAATGGAGAGGGGCCTCCTTCTTCATTGTTGTTAAAGCTCAAAAGATCTCACTTAATTACTTTTTAGCCCATTTCTCACTGTGCCAAGACGCAAAGTTGTGTATTTGTGAAAGTAGTACCCCCCTGGTTGTCCTTGATCTTAATAGCGTAGACAGTCTTTCTGGTGCATGAAATGATAGAGCAGCGAGCTCGTGAGAATGGATTACTTTGCTGGGCCTCAACTTTCACGACGTCCCACGCAACTTCGTCCACCACTTGTAGCGCGATTCCTCGGCTCCTTGTCGGAAGCATCCGACGCAGCCTCATCTCCGAAGGTAAGCACAGCATTAGAGGGGATATTGATTTTTCTCATGATGTGATCATCGAGGTCCCCATTTCCGCAAGTAAATATCATAGCCGATGTTATTGCTCAAGTTTAAACGTCGAGCGCTGTAGTTCTTGCCCTTCCACCTCCTGACGAAATTAAGTACTACGGCGCCTATTCCAATCATTCTATTTCGTATCTCGCTCAGACTAACTATAAGGGTCAAAGAGAACAATGAGCCTTAAAAAACGATGACGCTGACCCGGAGATTTTTGGCAATCTTGCTGCCCCTCGAACACCGAGTAGCCTTGGCCTTCCCTCAATTTCCATTCCTCCAACTTCTCCATGCCTACCAACATGTAGAGCGAACTCTTCGAACCCACAAAAATGCAGAGGAATGCTCTATCACCTTCGACGGCTCCTCCGTCCTGGTATTCTACGCGTTTCTATGAGGGCTGCGACTGTTGTAAGTAGTAGTTCTGCTATTCTTCTCATACAACACAAGCATGATAGATAATAAGCTCCGTCTTCCCCCCACCCCTGGCACATTTTCTTACATGTGACTGAGTTTGAGTGGAACGGTCAAGACAGGCGCCGCTGGACGGAAGATGGTCTTTCATCTCCTACTTCAAACTCAAAGATGGAAGGCGGTTACGCGGAGCGAATGTCAGCTAATCTAAACTACTTACAACATGAACTACATCCATACTGTGTGGTTGCCGCTTGGCATTGGCACGCCTCTCTGCTGTTCTTGCATCGTATTACTTGCGGGTGTAGCTGGTGCTTCAGTTGGGACGAAGACACCGGACGGAGTCTTCACGCCGATACAACCGGTCGCGGGTGATCGCACGACCTGACCGATGCACGACGTTGGCGTTGTCGTGGAATCCACCTGATGACAAGGAGACGCCATGGTCATTGGTAGACAGAGATCATGCTGCTCGTGCTGGTCTGGGCCGACAGATGGGAATTGCATAGGGCTTTTTAGAATTTTTTCAAAAGGTGCTCGAGTGTAGCCAAGATCTCCGATGCGAGCAAAATCCTGACAACAAGAAGGGGGAGACCTAAAGTCACGCAACGAAGGGAAAGCTCGAATTCAAGGTCAAATGCGCGAGTCTGAGTTCCTTTTACTAGCTCGTGCTAAAGAAAATCAAACGGGCATAGAAGACCGCGCTGCACCACGAGACTGCAACAAGCCGATGATGTTGATAAGGGACAACGATGCTATTACTGAATGCCGACGATGCTACTTGGGGTTAATATGAGAACTTTTTGCCACACGCAATGACATTCATGTTTATCGTAGTTCGAAACTCAGATGTAGCGTCTTTGTCATGTTTCTCATCCACCCACTCCCTTAATATATGACCCAGGGCCGCACGGGGTCCCCTCCCCCCCTGTGGTCTGGTCTGTGGTGACGCGCGCGCGCTTTGCCGCGCGGATTTTTCGCGGATTCTAGTGGTGGAAGGTGTCAAAACTTGGCGCGGGCCTCCCCTTGGGCCTCTCAGCGTGTTCCTCAGGGACCTCCTGGCCTCTACTGACCCTCGCAGGCGGGAGGTCTCCAGGGTAAAAGGCCGCCGAAGGCGGCCACGGTCGCAAGAGCAAGCAAGCCGATGACCAAGGGCCCGGAAGGTACAGGCGGCACGGCTGCGGCGGCGAAGCCTAACGGATGCACTTAGGGCACAAGCAGGCACCTGGACGGGGGCGCAGGCGGTCCCTTGGGCCCCTTTTCAAGCCTCCCACCACCATCGGAGGCCCCTAGGGAACAGCGAGGCAGCTGGAAGGGAGCGGAGGGGGGAGGCCACTGGGCCCCCTTTTGAGGCCTTCCCCCGCGGCAGACGCCTCCAAAAGGGGTCCAGGGCACCCGCTAGGGGGGGGGCGTCGCCCCGCGCCCTTGAACATATATAGAAATGTCACGACTGTCTTACGACTAAGAATCTTTATAGAGTTTCTATTTCGATAAGAACAATAGCAAGTTGTTTACAAACGCCGACAGTATCACTAGCATTGATTATTTTGTGTTTTATTTATATCACGCCACCGCCTTAAGTATAGCGATGAGCTCAATGCGTTTTCGCAGAACTGTGGTGAAGATTCTCTTGCTTCGCGTCGCTCTCTCGGTGTTTTCCGGCTGTTTCTGCGTTGTTTTACGTACACAACAGACGCTCTCTTTCCATCAACATCACGAGCGAGGCGATTTATAGCGGCATCTTCGAGGCGCCGCTCTTTGTCAACAACAAAAGAGTGCTGGATGAATAACGAGTCCTCTGTTAGTTTGTGGTTTTTAGCTTGTACTAACAATGTACAAGTAGTAGTGCCATGCTCATGCTAATTCATGAAATATAATAAAAATGGTGGCTTAGCAGAGGTACTAGTTGATGTGAAATCGGAAACTACAAAATAATGCAGAGTTATATATCAAAATCAACTAAGTATAGAGCTGCAGTGTGTGTAGTATTAACAGCAACTACACTAAGCCATATTAAGCATGATTTTGCATAAAGACGCGAGGACTGTGCCCAAAGTTAGTACGGTGGTTCTGTAGCGTTGCTGTGGGAAGGGGTTTGAGATGTATATCGGCCACCTCAAGTGTCTCTGGTTCTTCGCGGGCGCCTCCGAGCCTCATTCCTTTTCCGACGTGGGCACCGATGACGATACTTACTGCCTCAGCTTCATTCGCTGCGTTTTTCGGAGGTACTCTGACGAAAGTTGAAAAGAACATCAACATTATTCATTCAGCATCAACGTCGAGCAAAAGCAATAGCAAGTGCAAGGTGATATGAAATTATATGAATATATGCTACAAACTGCAAGCTACAACAACGCGAACTATAGTCAACAAAGTTGCAAAATGCAACAGTTCGACCGGAGCTCCAGAAGAGGGTTATCATTTTCATTTTTGTCCTCAAAAAAGTAACCTGAACCTTCGTTCTAGACCTTCATTCTAGAAAGTATCAATACGGAAAGCGCTGCGATTCGTGTGGATGCGGCCCCACAGCGAGTGGGAAGCGCCGCACTGGGGAAGACCGGCGGGGGGTTGTGTTGATCATCATGCCTTTGCTATTCTTTTGCTAATAATCGAATGAATCATCAGCCGCAGCTTTCGCTGCGCTTAAGAATCGTGGGTCTATCAACAATTCGCTTTTTCGATGGTCCTGTGAAAAGTGTCTGTTTGAGTGTGATGTTGTGTGTGTTGCAGTTTTTTTTTGATCGATGATGAGAATCAATGGAGGAAGGGGAGGTTCTTTGTTACGAATCAACTTCAACTACTTACATTGTTCGGACCAACAACTATTGAAATTAATTTCCTTAAATTGAATTTGTATTTTTGACGTCTTCAACTGCAAGTGGTTGGAAATAAACATCAACGTTGGACTCAAATCATGATGGAGGTGAAACATGTATGACGACCAAGAGAAAGAATGAGGAAGATGTACTTACTAGAGACAACTGGGAGTTGTTGTCTGTACACGAACGTTGAAAAAAACATTTTACAACTTGCTTCTGGAGATGGTTGGGTTACAACCAGCACGTTCTTGGAGGGAAAGCACACTGCGCAGACACAACGCAGACGAGGTTCATACGGAAACGCGCAAATGAACGGAGTGGTGATGAAGATCATAGATGTGACAAGGAGATGCATGATGTTGAAGACACGGAGAAGCATGATGTTGGGGATCCAGCCAGTTTTTTATGAAGTTAACAAAGTCAACAGCACAAACGCCACATCGACGATGAAAGCGAAAACAGTTCTTCAGAAGATCTCAATCTTGGCCGCGTCCCCACGTTCATTAGAATTCCTTTTTCATCATCTTAGCAGCCCGAGTCGCCTTGAGTTCTCGATCCTTGTTTACGTTGTGTTTTGCAAGAATTACAGTTGAGGACTCATATTCTCCTCCAACGAAAATGTGCCACGGCAAGCATCGAGGCTCTTCAGCAGCGCACCTGGCAAAATTCACGACAGAGCCAGAGAAATGAGGGTAAAGGATTATTGAACTTCAGGAAGAAGTGTCAGTTTTAACAAGTTACAACAACTGAAACAGTGATTTGAAGTCAGAAGTACAATTTTGGATCCAACTTGTTGGTTGTCAGTCACGATGCTTCAAAACGCGGTTTGCCTCGGTCTAAATATAATAAATATGCTCCGTGTCCAAGCCCCCCGCATAAGTACGCACGGAAACAGCATGAGATACAATAGCATCTTTTAAGCCAACAAGACAAACGTGATCATGAAAATCAAATAAACACTACGTTTGTTTCTTTGGAATGTGTTACCCGTGAACTCTAGCTCTACTACTTTTATGAAAAAGGCTAATCCTCGTCATCGCTGTCAAGGAAACCAAGGATCTTTTTTCGTCTGAGTCTCTGTGCCCTCTTCTGCTCTTCTTCTTGCCTAACAAGATCATCTGCTGTGCCGGCGGCGTTATTTCTGGAAGGTATTATTGATCCACCAGTAACAGCCTCTTCGGCAGCCGTGAGGTCACCAGCCACATCGGCATAGTGTTGCTCGTCCTCATTCTCAAACATATGTGCCTCTGCTCGCAACTGCTGCCTGTGTGCTCTACGCGCAGCGCGTCCGCCACCGCCAGAGGACGTCTTTGAAACGTTCCTTGAATGCTGTCGACTTTGTCGAGAGATTGCAGTGCCACTGCCTCCATACTCGCCCTGATGCTGAGTGGTTCCAGCGGTTGATGTGAAGCAGGCATCAAAACATCCGACAGCCACATTCTCTACCAAATCGGACGGATTCGCACCTAGATTCCTTCCAAACGCCAAGAGGTCAACATTGTTGCCCGCCGCACCAGGTTGCCCCGCCCGCGCTCCTCGACCTCGTCCGTAGCTAAACATAAGATCGTCATCATCTACCTCATCAGCTGCTGCGCCAAAAGGAGCTCTACTCGAACGCATCGAGCTCACTTGATTATGCCGATTCATTCGCTCAATGACAGCTAAATCCTCACGAATCGCTGATCGCTCGCGGATTTCACGGAGTCCCCGATCAACACGCCGTCGCTTCTTCTCCTTACTCTTTTCTTTGCTATGCTTTCTATTTCTCTTGGAGCTCGAGGTAGTTTTAAAGTGGTCAACGCTTTGGCCTTGATCAACAAGCGCGTCCTCAAGGTCGTCGTGTGCGCGGCGCTTCCTCTTTTTTATTCGTCTTTCTCCTCGCAACGGAATGTGAAATTCGACAGCTTCGTCTGATCCAGCAGCTTTTCCAGAAAAATCCTTTACCAGGCCCTTCATTTTCGTCGCGGTGATCATGGTGTTGTAAGCCTTTATTTTAGCACCAGCGCCATTTGCGGAAGTTTCGCTCCTGGTCAGCTGCTGCGACAATTTTTCTTCTTCAGGTAAAATCATCTTCACGAAAGCACTAGCAGCGTCCAGGTCCACTTCGTTAGCTCCACTCTTCAATTTCATTACGCCCTCACCCTCTTTTCGCATATTTTCAATCTTGCTGTTGTTGCCTCGTTCGATCGTGCTTTTATTATGGTTCTCGAGTCGACGCTTAACCTCCTCGAACCACGTCTCATCTGCTGCCTTTTGGGCGGTATCCATGGATCCACTCAAACTTATCAACGCCGTGCGGAAATCTTGACCTCCTGTAGCGATCAATAAGCGTAGTTTTCGTAAGGCAGGAAAGCTTCCAATTCTTAGAATAGAAGCTCGATGCTCGTCTAATTGATGATCTCGAGTGATGTAAGACTACAAGTAAGCGAAGAAGAAGATTGCAATTATTACTCATTACAAGAACTCATCACTTGACGACCCACAAGAGATTCGTATTCATTGAAATGCAACCAAAACTGTATTTCTGAGCAAACGTAGATCATGGAGGATGAGGGGGTCCTCTCAATCTCAAACAAGGTGGAGGTCATGGATGAGTGCTTTGTTTATTCTAATTCTTATCAAGGAAAAAGAGACAAGCCGTAAAATTGCATCGAGAAACTGTTGCTCGCACTCCCTGTCTTCCTGCTCTAGCGCTTCTTCATCTGCTGGCGTTCTTATTGAGGCTTCTTGCTCGTCCTGCTCCTGCTCCATTTTCGCAGTGGACGATGAAGTGATGGTCTTTACTCCTGTTGTTCCATCATCTCGTTCTCGACGTATTGCTTGTTCTGTTACTTTGCTCTGGACTCCCCTTATAGTGGACTGACCATCGCGAGCACCCTTATCTTCTAACGGAGCCATCCCTTGGAATTCTTGACTTTTATCCTTTTTGGCGTGGTCGGTAGTACTCGTACTTTTTCGCGAAGCGGTCTTTTCAATTTTGGATGAATTGACGCTGTGCTTCTGCTCGGTCTTACGCCGCGCAGCCGCATCAACTTCCAATACTTTCGTCGATGTACTAGAAGAGGCTTGCTCATGTCCAACTCCAGAAGACTTAGCTTCTTGAGTCGCGAGTTTCGATTCCGATGGTGGTACGTCAGCGTCAGGTATCAAAAGGGCTCGCGGATGAGATGAATCGATTCCGATGCCAAGCTTCTCTTCATCCTCCTTGGTGGCGAAACTCACAGGATTTTCGGCACGCGCACGCGCCTCCTGTTCTAGCATCTCTTTAGCTCGACGTAAGCGAGCTAGACCATGACCAGCCACATTTTCGTCCTCCGAGGATGAAGTATCTGCTTTTGCCCCTGCGTCCTCACGACCCATCGACGAGTCTAACTTAGAAGTTTGTTGTGGAAGATGCGTCTTTCCTCGACTGCCTCCGGCTGTACTACTAGCGTAAATTCTTGCAGTCGCGACATCGGCTTTTAGCTGAGACAAAGAAATCGCTCCTCCTACGCCGGAGGAATTTCTTCCATCGTCCACACGCCCAGAAGAGGGCACAGAACCGATGGACGGTCTCGTCCTTTCTCCACCAACAGGGGGTGGACCAGCCAGTAGCTTGTTTTGATTTTCTGCCTTCTCTACCTCTATTTTGCTCTTCACTGCGTCAAACAGCTTTTGTCTGCGCTCTGCTTCAGCCGCGGCAGCTTGTTTAGCAAGTTCTGGATCGTCCACACGCGCAAACGGCGTGTCTGTCTGTTTTTTGCCCACTACGCCTTCTGCGATGATTCTCGTTCGTACCGTCGCGAAAGCACCAGAGCCCGAGGTCGAATGTTTCGAAGAGGCACTCAAGTTACCAATGTTGTGCTTGCTGTCTCTCCCACCTCTGCCTGCCATTGCGGCAGCTGCGCCTCCAGCTGGAACAGAGGTTCCCCCACCCAGGGGACCTCCCAAACCAGGACTCATCGCGACGCCACTACCACGCACGCCATTTCCAGCACCTCCCCTCGCGCTCGCGGCAGCCAGTACACCCACTTCAGCACCACGAATGCTAGTTGACGCACCTCCTCCTCCTCCTCTTCCTGCACCAGTGTTAATCATCATGTTATTCAATCCAAATCCATTTCCGGTGTAATAGTCGTTTTTACTATTTTTCCGACTACGCTGAACTTCTTTTGCTATTCTCGTCCGCTGCTCCAGAGGTACCGCAAATAAACGCAGCCGCACTGCTGCCAACCGAAGAGACTCCCGAAATGTCGATCCACTCCAAGCCGCTGTCACTTCGTTCTCCCACGACTGTAGTACAGTGTCTTTCAAGCGAAACATGACACCTGCACCCTCTGTCGCTTCTCTTTGCACCTGCTCCTCCAGCTCGTTGACCTGAATGCGCTCTTCCTCCATGAATTCCTCGCGGCTCGGATCTTCTTCAGAACCCTCTTCTTCATCCAAGTTATAAAAATGATGACCCTTAGCGAGTTTTTCAAGTTTTTCATCAGGCTGGTGCGGCATTTTTTCCATCAGAAGGTCACTCTCCTCGTCCTCGGGTTGCTTTCCTGTGCCGCTACGTGAAGTAGATTTCTTCTTATTGTGCATGTGCTGTCTCCTAGCTCCATTAACCTGTGATGAAGAAGCATCACATCCATTAGTACTAGCTGCAGGGGCTGGTTTCATCAGTATTGCTCCTCCGACAACAGCCGAAAGCCCCACGGGAGTACCTCCAGGCGCTGGGCCAGAGATACTGTGTGACCCACGTGCAGCGCCTGCTGTAGGCCCCCCTTGGCCAGGAGCGTCGGCCTCAGTGGAAGCAAGAAGACCAACATCTTCAGTTTGAACATGAACTAGAGCTTCCAGTCGTTGGAAAATGTCCATAAAATCGCTATTGATTTTGTACACCAGTTCGCTATCTACTGCGCCCGGATTGATACGATTCGTATTCGGGAACCCTTCGAGAAGCCGCCCTAAGGAACGCACCCACTCATCCTCGTCGCGCACTGCCGCGTCGATAATCCGATTCAGTTTCCGCCCATGTGCCTGAAGTACGTCCCGCCCAAGCTCTGCGCATATCCGAAGAAGAGCTGTTTTCTTGGCCACCGTAGCAAACTCGTTCCAGTTGCGAGCGCCGGAATCGATAAGCGGAAATGGATCCTGCTCGTACAACGCCGGAGATGAAGATCCGCCCTCATGATTATACTGCTGCAGCTGTTGCGACGTCGTGGGAGACGGAACGATCAAGCCGGCACCACCTGGTGCAGGAGCGCTTCCAGATGAAACGGGCGCCAAACCACTAGACGTTGAAGCAACCGCAGGTATTAGAGTATCCACTTGTTGTACTGCTGGAGGTTCTTGTTCTGTCACACCATCATGATGATGATCATGGTCAACATCTTCATGGTTTCTTTCTTGCTCAGCTCCACCGTTGTCGACTATAAAAATTTGTTCGGCAGATGAATCGGCAGTATTCTCGTCTCCATCTCGTTCCCGCGGTCCTCGTGACGGGCCTCCATCAAGGTCGAGCAATGCCGCCAGCTCCGCTTCGTCATTGTCGGAATTATACTGCATGCTGCTATGTTAATTCGAATTCGATTTCCTCCTCGTCGACAAGCAGTAGTCTCTCGCTGCGCATCAAGATCAACAATGACACTTGGACCCATAAGAACCGCTCTTAATAAGGTTAGCTCTCTTTGGGTTAGCAGGTCCTCCTTTCGTAGCCGTGGAGGTTTCCTTCTCAGAAGCATTGTCCCATGATGACTGAGAAGTTGACTTACATGTGTTTTTTCGGTTAGGCTCAGGGAGGAAACCATATATATTCTTACAAGAAAGAACGAAATGAAAATCGTAATATTCTACTTACGTCAACGAACAGCCTCAACAGGAGCACAGCGAACATACATTCACATAGTAAGTGATCGACGAGGGAGCCATTCCGGCACCTGTTCAAAAATTACTAGAAGATGAACAAGAAATAATTTGAAGGTGACGAGAACGAACCAAGAGAAAAAGTTATTTTCCTGAAGTAGAAGTCGCATCAATAGACTTTCAAAACATGCTGGGGAAATTCATACATAGACAGTGACAATTGTCGCGATAAATTTGTATTACAGATAGTGAAAGGATAGTCATCGATTTTTATTATTACTCCTTCGGATTACTAGGCATGTTGAAAAAAAGGAGTTTCGGCTGATCGGCGGGAAGACCTCTTTGAGCATGCCTTCCATCATTTGCATTCTCCTCTTCAACTTCAATCTTCGAATTTTCCAACGTTTAGAACCGATACCGACACGAGACTAGTACCTTGCTTATGATGTAATCATTCAATTGTAGCCAGTCGCGTAGCTCTCCCTCTCGTGGATTTCAAAAATTAAAGTAGCTCTGCTTGAAGTTGCCAATGACTCAGGGCACATTTCAAATTCTGCTGGCCATTCGGGAATACTGAATGCGACTTCTACCAGGAGGAGTCATTCCACAGAAGACCGGCGTCTTTCGTCGTGCGCCGTCTGAATTTTAAATGAAGACTTGCCTACAACCGACATACAGCCAGGAGGCTCTTACAATGAGCATTCTGTCCACCACAAAATGTCCGTCAATTAAAAATGACCAAGTCTCATTACTACCAACGTATCTTTTGAATATACTGTAGTAAAAGTAATTCTAACATCAAATGTAACAAAGTGTAATTGCAAGGAAAACTAACAATAAGTCTGTATCAAGACAATCTATTTTTGAAATTAACGTAGAAAATTTGTACGTAATATTTGTTGTCAAGTGAGAGAGAAAAAACGTGAGATGTGATACGATCCAATACTGCTTGAAGTCGTCATCATGTTTGCGCCCCTTCCGCTGTTGGAGTCGCGAAGAGCTGCAAGCATAATTTCGACTCAGTACTACATGATGGTAAAAATCTGCAACAAGATCTACGAGAAGGACTTTACAAAGTATGCACGACCCGCAGGCGAAGTCGTCATCGCCAACACTCGCATAGGAAGACAATATTTCTCTTTTTACTTCTTCTATTTTGACTTTGTCGTGTCGGTATTCTAATACTGAAACGTCTATTCTGTAAGACTACCTGTAGTTGCGGGCGGCCATGTTCTTAATGAGTTTGACAAGTGCAACTGGTATCAACATCATCGTGGGGAGATATATCAAGAGAATCTACTATTGAGAATAATCAATCAGTGACAATCCAAGAGTGAATCAATTTGGAGTTGATCAATGACATCACGAACAAAACCGTGCAGGTCGAGAGTATCACTGGGCACGAACTCCTTCCCATAGCACGACGAAGACTCCCTATTAGTTTAATCATCACGATAAGAAATACGCTTCTACTCGTTGACCACACAGCTACAACATCTCGCACCACTGCGTGCAGCAATAATCGTCTTTTCTGCATAAGTCCATTAGATTCCATCGCCGATTCTTGTGGATATCGACGGAATAACCACATTATTCTTCTGGCAAATCTTCTGGGTACCTTTTTTTTGGAGCAAGCCAATTGGATGTTGAGAGCGTTCATAAAATCTGAATCAAAATTCAGTAAAAATGAAATAAAATCAAAATTTGTTGAAACCAAATATTTCAATTTGAATTTTCAAATCGAAACTGTAGACGTAGATTTTGGATTGATTTTTAAAGTATCTCCCTAGATGTGTTCGGCGATTAATACCTGGCTAATTTCTGCTGCATCATTTTTGTTCAGCCTCACCAATTTACTGGCAGTTGTTCTAAAGTCGAATATGATCGCTTAGCGGCCACCTCCGTTTCCAGGTCAGCTTTGTGATTGACGTCAGCGCTTGTCTTGAGCCTTTGACTTTCCAGCACTAGGCTTTTTGGCTCTGTTGGGAGAAAAATTGAGTATACTTTTCGACATTCATATATTTTGGAATTTCACTGAAGGGCTTTTGGAATGAATTTTCTGTGGATATATTAATCAAAGATTTGTAATATAATGGAAGGTTTGGAGATTAAATCAATCCAGATCGATTCTAATCTATAACATCGATCAAAAATATGACGCGTTTGTCTGTCGACGAGTAGGGTGCAAAAGTGAATCATGATTCTCAAAATTTGCAGAAGTTCGAACCCGAAACTAAAAATTTTGATTTTATTCCATATTAATGCAAATTTAAATAAAGTGACAGCATTTACACCAGGAGCACGACACAAAATTTCCACTATAATTGTTAATTTTTGGTCCTGCACGCACGGAAGCGATTGAGTATCGTGGACTCTGAAATAATATCAAACCACATGGTCGCACACGACAATCAATACACCACGACCAAGACATTGGTGTTGTGAAATTCAAGTTGGAGTTGATGTACTCGAGGCGTTTCAGACGACATAATACGGCAGCAGCTCGACTATTCAAAATTTCAATTTCTTGTGACTGTGACTGTCAAGAAGATCTTCCATGGGGTATAAGTACTTCTCCGCAGTCGCCTTTGTGCTTTTACCTGCCGCTTTCTTCTTGCTGACTTGTTGGTCCGCACTAGTAGTGCTCTTCTTCTTTTTGGCATCTTGATGCATCATGTTGATATCCGCTTCCGCTTTTTTCGGTGCATTCTTTTTCGAGGCTAGAGAAGCCGGCTTCTTCTTGTCAGCTTTTGCTGGCGCGACCTTTGGTTTCGCGCCAGGTTTCAAAGCCATCAAACCGCTAGTGGACACAACCGCAACCGCGGCTCCGACCAACAGAGGTCGCATTAGCATCTTGTTTATGTTCTTTGCTCTCCTGTACTACTACTAGTGGTGCGTTGAAAGTTATCAAGAACTCGTCAAGATGTGTTGAAGTTATGGAATTTGTGGAGCAAGACTGGTGCACAATAAAGTCCTTGTTCTCTCTCCACCTACATTTGGAAAGAAGATGAATGTTTCTTTTTAAGTATGCAGACGATGGGTCACGTGATTGCAATGGAGTATGAATGAATGAGTGAATGAATGAGAGTGCCTAGCATGAGGTGTTTGAACAGACTGCTAGGTTTCCGCATGTACAAGCATGATAGATATTTCTCCGACCAGCTCCTCTTCAGAACAGTTCTTGAAGCATCCTGGCCTCCTCCTTGTTACGGTTGCGTTCGAACCCAACAAGGAAACTACCCACCACGACGTTTTTATCTCAACATCTACGACGACATCACTCTTCAAGACAAACCACGCCCTCCGTTCTCTATTTAGTCGCGTGCCATACAATACAACACAATTAATCTCGCACAGTTTTCAGTGCAGACTGCCGCGCGGCGTCCTAGTGTTTCGCTTTCGTCACGATGCTCACTCACACAGGTTTTGACTAAACTAACAGCGACACGGAACTGAGGAAAGAAGTGACAACAAACTTACTCAAGCGCTACCGTCATGCAACAGCATCGGCCTACTTAGCACAAGCACACCTGAGGAACGGCTAAGACAAAGACTCGAGAACGAGATGATGAACTTCATTTTATTCCACCTTTAGATCTCATCTTGTCGTGGCTTGTACAATCATTTTCGGAGCTTTCAATTCATTTCCCTTTTCTCTCCATCACACAGACGCACAGGGAGTGTTGCAGCACTAACCCTTATCTCTAGTAGTTGTTCTTCTTAGCTGCGTTGAGTTGTACCTCGTCCTCTTATCACGTACCACTTGTTCTTGTACTTGATAAAGACGAAAGTGTGCTGAGCCGTCCATGTTTTTTGGTCGTCACATTCCGAGCACTGCGCAAGGAGAGTGAACGAGTAGTAGGAAATGAGTTTCAAAGTCTGAAGACTAAAGTTGTTAGCAACGTCGAAGAAGGAGAGGAAGCGCTATTAGTATGCGTATTGGGTCTCTAACTCCAACATCGCCACACGTTCAACAGATCAAACTTTATCCAAGCACAAGCTTGGAAGAACGGATGGAATTGTGATACGAAAATGCTAGCACTAAATCTTCTATACAAGAACGGCGCGACGTTTCATTCCCCGAATCATGCATTCAATTGAAGTCACCATATTCACAAAGCATCATTACATTTGAGTCATGCTTCATCTGATACCAAAAACCACCAAACAAGAAAACTATGTCCGTGCGTACTTCTTCTACCAGAGAAGAATTTCTTACACGACTACTGTTGGCCACTCGTAAACATAAAAAAGATTTATTTTAGAGCTAAAAATCATCAGATTCAAATTATGCTGAGAAGAATATCTACAAACATCAACTACATGAAAGAAAAACTATATTATAATATCTATCAGTACCTCCGATTCCGGTATTAACAAAAACAAATTATGTCTGTGACCAAAGCCCAATTCAGAAGTATGGGTTCGTGTACGATTAACGTTAAGATTTTTATGACAACTGGTGGACATGAACTACATTTCTACAATAAAAGTGGAGAAGAAAACTATGAGTCAATAAGTCTTTGCCCCATCCGTTCTATCAATATTGGACGATTATTTTTTTTACTTTCGAGAGTTCTTTGGCTCGTCGTATAGACAATTTGAAAAGAGAAGCACTGTCAGTCTAGTAAGTACTTCAATCATCTTTTTCGGCTAGTTCTTGTAGGAGTTGGTCTTCTGCTTGCTTTCTCAGGGCCAGGGCTGCTCAATATCTTGTTTTCGAGTCACAGGTCGATATTTCGAACATCAACATGATAGTTAGTGATACTGAGCATATCTCCTGAAGCAGAAATATTCATCTTTTCCCCGCCCTAGTCGCTCCACACCTTAAAAGCAGCATCGTTTCTTTTTCATGGGACGCTGTTCCTGCGCGCTGTAGTATTTGTTGAATTGTTGAGGCTGCCCACCAGGTCGTTGCGGCAGTGGTTGCCTTTGTTGAGGATAACCGTTATTGTTGTGGGCTATTTGGTTAGGAGGCAGCATCCGTATGTTCTGAGGCGGATGTCCCATCCCTTGATGAGGCATCATGATGGCGGGTGCCATTCCTTGGCCGGGATGAGGTTGACGATAAAATTGCTGCTGCGGCGGCTGGTGTTGGGGCCACTGGTGGTGGTTTGGCATCAAAAGAGGTCTTGTGGCAAATGCAGCTCCCGGCGGAGCAGGCTGGTGCTGCAGATACGGCTGCTGAGTGTTGGGTAGATGTTGTCCACCTGGAGGTGCTCCAACTTTGTTGGCGCTGTCCTTGGCGTATTTCTCGTAACAGTCCTTGCAAAAGGAATACACTTTCTGCAAGCCCCGTAGCTCCTCCTTGCAGAACCAGTGGAGTGAAGTGCAGAAGGTCGCATCAAATTGAGCCCACTTCATGCGCTGGAAGTCGCGCTGCTGATCCGGCAAAGCCGTGCCTGGCGCCTCTTCTGTCAGCTTGGCTAGCATCTCATCAATCGTGGGTGCCTTGGCTAGCACATCCGCGTCTTTTGCGCACTCTGCCAAGAGCTCCTTGCAAACGCTACCTGGGCGGTGAAACTCCACAAGAATAGCACTGCACAGATGCGTCAGCGAGAGGTAACGCTCTCCGCCTTTGTCCCAGAACTCGTCACCGAGGTACTCGGTGCTCATAATGGCGTCGATGTTCAACTGCCCGTTCGGCCTCTTTGTCGCTGTTGGCGGTCTCCAGGCAGCCGGTTGCCCACCGCACAGCTTTACAAAGGCCTCCAACACCGCGTCAGCGGCACCGTAGTAGCCACCGCGGAAGAGCTGCAGCACGTGCGCTGCGTGAAGGTCACCCGGCCCCAGACGGAACGGGGAGAAGCCGCTGCCCACGTGGTCCGACAAACTCGGGTGCTTCACAATCGTAATTACCAATTTCTGAATCCAGCAGGTGTAATGCAGAAACTGGGCCCGATGCGTCAGGAACAACAATTTGTCCAGACTAATACCGCGATAGCTGATCTCAGCCGGGTAATTCTGATACGAGTCGGCGTCCTCGATGAGGAGAGAATCCTCAACCCGCTCGAACTCCTCTTCGCCAGTTTTCGGATCCTTTTTTCCAATTGCCTGCTGGTGCACCCACGCGCTCGCGGCGAGGCCCGAGTTGGAAAGCGTAGTATAGTAATCCATAGGCTCAAAAGCGTTGTCGCAATTATGGGAATTTTGAGAACCCGTATTCAAGAGCTTCGTCGGAGGAACGACAAACTCATATACCTTCTGTATTTTCTTGTTCTTCCCGACCGCATCGTCTGTGTTGCTTACACGAGTTGCCGACACGCGTTTATCTGGACGTAGCATGCTCTGCACAGCTTCATGGGATCTCTTGCCGCCACGACTCTTGACGAGGTCTGCGAGCCTGCTCTCGTGGTCCTCACTGTCCGCAGAATAAAAATACTGCTGCACCCATTTCAAGGTATGAAATCTTTCGGTCGCAGTGCATTTGATGACCTTCGTCGTGCTCGTCCCTTTATTTTGTTCCCCTCCTGTCGTAGTTGTGTCCTCAACGTGCCATTCTGGGCCAAAGCTCTCTACTATTTCGCGCATGAGTCGACGCAGCACGCGTGTTGCAGTGTGACGGAAAATCGGTTCAGTGTAACTGTACGGCTTGCCTTCCTTGTGACCGACAATGTTGTTCGGGATTGCGGGCGACGCCATGTAGGGATGCATTAAATATGCATAGGCGTACTCCGGACCCCAAGCATCGATGGCGCTGACACCAACGTTCACTCCCAACTCCGCCATCCGCATCCCCGCTAGATCCGCGAAGACCTCGAAGGACAAAGCCGGGTTGTGCAGCAGCGCCACGCCGAGCCGCGCGTGAGACTGAGTTATCTCGGCACAGAACCACATATTCTTAAGGAGCAGCTTCGGCGGCATACATTTGTTTCTTTCTTCGGGAGCCACGGAGGACATACTCACGAGCTTCTGCACCCAAATGCGCAGGGGTTGAAAAATCTTTCTGTTCATGGTTTTTGCGAGGGTAGTATCACTGATAAACGGGAGATGCAAGGACGTGGAACCGTACATGTCTCGCACGTTGATGGCATTCTGAAATCGGTTCAAATCTTCTGCGACCATGATATTAAGCTCTCTCACATCTGGAGTCTCCGCGTGCTTTCCCCCTAGGTGAAGGACGAGGTTTCGACCGTCGGCAGCCCCGGCCATACTGTTCACGTGGGCAAAACGCCCGATCACTTGTTGCTGTTCTTGACCATTTTTAGTTTCTCTACTCTTCTTGATGTTGTTGTCGTTCACAAATTTCTTCGATGCCAAAAAGGCCTTGCAGGCTGCCGCAGCGGACTTTACGGACTTCACTTTAGCGCAGTGGTCTATGAGCGCTTCGATGCGATTGCGTTGTCCAATGCGCTTGTTTCCACGAGTATCGACTCTAACTTCCTCGTCCTGGAGTAGGTTGAGCCATTCGCCGGACTCATCTTGAAATGTTTTCACCGCAAATGCGTCGCCGTACTCACCTTGTTTTCGCCACGGGTGCACCTGGGGGGTCCGATCGGGCACTGTGCCTGGCGGACCCATGAACAAAAGCTCCCCCGCGGGAGCAATCACCGTCACCCGGCTCGGAAAATAGTCCCACTGTTGTTCTCCTTCATCTTTCCAAGCAACTTGCTCCGCTGAGAGGTGTCTCGGATACGGCTCATGTCGAATCGTCAATTCAAGAGATGCCAACCCGTGTTTATCCAACCGCTCACAATCGTGCAAGCATCTTCTCTCTCTACCGCCCCTCTCAAGAATCTTTGCAGATATATCCGTCGTGTTCGCCGGCGCATGCTGATTTCCATTTAGTACATCTTTGTTGTCTGCTCTGTTGTTGATATTACCCAGGATCGAAATCTGGATCATGCAAAGGGGCAAAGTGTGCGGCACTTCGCGGTTACGGAATTTGGTCGCTGCGATTGCTTCTTTCAGATCGTGCACAAAGTGAGGCAGTGGCTTCGAGATCGAAACGGTAAGGTTCTGTGTCGTGGTAGAAGTGGTTCCACGAAGGCTACTATTTGCTCCCAATTTTTCAACAACAGTGTAAATGCGAGCAACAGGTGGAGGCGCTGATGCACCTGAAACGCCATCTCGTGATGCGGCTTGTTGTCCCAACATAGTGTTACGCGTTCGCACCCTTTGCGTCTGCGCAGCAAGTGGGTGCGCTTCCGGACAGATAGGAACTTCCTGCTTTGCGAATTTCACAAGTTCTCTGAGACCTTGCACCTCCTCGCGAAAAAACCAGTATGGACGCGTTTGCTTCTTCGTCCCTTCTACTTGCTTGTTCATATCTTTGCTAGAAGACGAACTACAGGTGGACGTGGCGTTGGTGTCAACAGCAGGAGTTCCCTCGTTGCTCGCACCGGAGGAAGTCGCGCCGCTGCCGCAGCGCCGCATCGTACTTGTGTAGCAGGGGTTGAAGCAGTTGCTATCCCAGTTGATGCGAAATGCATCGCATTTGTCGTGATGTGCGAGGCCTGGGGTCTCTTTCTCGAGATTCCCCAACATTTCGTCCAAGCTCGGGTACGGATAAAGCACTTGGTGCCCCGCGCAATCGGAGACGGAGCAGGTGTCTTGCCCCCGTAAGAGGACTTTGTCCTGGACGACGGTCTGACCGGTCTTGGGCTTTTCCACCAGATCTTGCGACATGACTTTGCGTAGCGTCTCAATGAGTTCGGAACGCGCGCCGCGGCAGGCAGCCACGTACACCTTGAGCGCCTCTGCTGCGGCGTAGTAGTAGCCAGCGGTGTAGAGGAAGACGATTTGGTGTATAGGTACCCACTCTTTCCAGTTGGTGCTGCCTTCGGGATAGACAGCGATCTCGAGCTCCTGGACCTTCTTCAGAAATGCGACTATTACTTTTTGGACCCAGCAATTGAAATACAGCAGCTGCGCCCGGTGGTGTGACAACAGAATTGGCTCCAGGGGAACGCGACGGTAGCTGATCTCTTCCGGAAATTTCTGGTACGAAAACTCGTCTTCGACCAACAAAAACTCTGTCGTTGTATGTTGAGCTGTTGTACTTGTACACATATCTTCTTGCAGCCACACTGTTCCTTCGATATTGCTGGGAAATTCGACAGCCTGATGCTTGTACTTGGCGGGATCGTTCCATGGAGCAACGAATTCGTATGTTGGTGCGCCAGCGAAATGTCCTCCGTGTTGCTCCGATGTAGCTTGCTTAGCCGGTCTCGTTGCGATCACTCTAGTACTAGCAGGCTCTTCAGCTACATCAATATCCTTTCTAGCACCCTTGTTTCCTCCTCCTTTTTGAGCAGGAGGACCAGTACTACTCTTGCCCGGTACTTCATGATCGAAGTGTTTTGTCTTGTTGTGAATGTAGAGGTCCAGCACGATGCGCTCCAAGACTGAACACCCGATGGCATCAGACAATAGGTGATTAGCGGCAGTAACGAAATGATCTTGAGCCCCCTTGCGTTCATGGAATTCTCGCAGGTTCTCCATCAACATGTTCAACCTCTCCGCCACAAAGGAATGGCGAAGCATCTCTGCGGGCAGCGGCACGCTTCTGGTGTCTACTTGCTCTCCGTTGACTGTAATGTTTTTCGTATTCTCGAGTATTTGCGCAGTATCTTCGGTCATATTCGATTTCGAAGAGAGGAAGGGATGCTGGAGCCAAGCATATGCCTGCTCCAACGCGAGAAGGTCCATACCGTGAAGGCTAATCGGAGCGACCTGATTTGCTACGCTGCATGGCCACGCAAAGCGCTCGCGTGACAGGCAAGGATTTTCCAACAGTGCAACACCGCAACGGGCGAGCCACCGGACTCGTTCGAATGACCCTACCTCATCCAGGAAAAGCGACGCCGTTTCGATGCCAATTTTCATCTCATCATCTGGCTTTTTAGTAGAACGAGAAGAAGAGGAGTTCATCTCATCTTTAGTACAACTACTTTTTTCTTCAGGCTCCCGTATCGAAGCAGAGGTTTGCAGTTCATTCTCCTTATTCTCGTCTCCTCCTGATGCGCTATCCTCGTTGATGGCGCTCTTCAACATCTTCTTTTTTTCGGACCTGGCAAGGAGGTCTGTATGACTTCTCCATGCCCAGAACACACGAGGTCGTGTCAACTCTTTCGATGCCCAATGGTAGAAGAGGCAGCCAGGTACGCCTCCTCGGTTCGGAATACTACTGCGACCTTGGCCGTTGCCTCCGCTTCTGGAGGGAGTTAGGACGCTACCCCCGTGCGGTGGCTCCACATTCACGGCAGCCGCGAACCGGTCGTGGTCTTCCGCAATGATGCACGCAAGTTCATGCTTGTCGGTTTTCAAGCAGAAATGCACTTCACATTCCTCGTCTCTTCCGAGTTGCACCATGTCCAAGTGCTGAAAGCGTCCTCTCCTTGTGTCCGAGCTTTTGGAGGCAAGCACCGCACGTCCATACAGGTTCAGGATTGAAACCATGTCCGGTCGCTTCTTGTCACCGCGCGCGGGGCGAACCTCGAATCGGTTTCCCGTGTCGCCCTCACAGCGCTGGTGAAAACGACTGCAGGCGAAGCGAGTCTGCACGCCGTTCTTCCAGGGTCCGGGCCAATCGGAGAGTTCATTCAGCTCGCGATCGGACTTGTGGAACGTCTCCGACAAGTAGTAATCCCGAAACGCCACAACGTGGCTCGAGTAGTGCGGTTCCGCATCAGCGCTCGGACGGATCAAAATCCGACACGGATTCGTCGAGTACCTTTTCCCCTCAATTTTCGTGTAGCAGGTCCAGTACGCGGGATTACGCTCATCCCAGCCGTCTTCTGTCTTTCTCGCCTTCTCCCATAGAGGAGATGGGCCAACCACAGCCGGGTCGTGCTCGAATTCATGAAACGCCAAGGTATACTGCAACAAGCCGGCTTCCGCTACTGGAGGCGAAGATCCAGCGCTAGTTGTAGAAGCACCACTTGCATTTTCATTTTGTCCTCCACCATTGTTCGAACAAGCAGCAGGGGGCGGAACTTGTTGTCGATCGTGAAGATCGTTTCCATCCTTATTATACAGTCGGATCATGCAGACAGGCAGTGTATGCGTCTCCTCTCCTGTAGCGAACCGCAACTCCGCGATAGCTTCCTTGACATCCTTCGCGAAGAGGAAGGAGCCTGGTTTTGTCACGGTAACCGTCATCGCATGATATTCGGGGTCGCGGTGCAGGTGTTCAATCTTGAACACCCGCGTTGTAGACGCTTGCTCTTCTCGAAGCATTTTGCCTCCATTAGTCATCATTGATAGTTCGTTGTAATTGATTCGAACTTCATATTGATTTCAGTAGAGAAAGAAAACCACTTAATGAATCCACTTTGGAGTCAGGCTCCACTCGTCTCTTACCTTCTAGTATAAAAATCAGGAAAATTGAAATTTTCTTGTTGTTGTACAAGAACTACGACATAAATCTTCAAGTAGGAAGAGTGATTCATTCAACAAGAAAATAAACCTTTGAAAGAAAAGACAACGCCTCTGGTAAGTAGTGTAGCTGTAGTAGTGTTGATAAATCAGAGTTCGTTCTTGTTGTAGAAGCAAGGAAAAATCTTCAGCTGTTTAGGTATATTTTTCGTCAAGCAAAGAACTACTACAACTACACGTAGCGAGGTTCACGATCATATAATTTTTAAGATGCCGGTACAACGTCGCTTGCCGGATCGCAGACATTACTACCATCAGATTTCCATTCCGATTTCACCGGCTCTTGCCGCATCATGATCGCGAAATTATGTTGTATTTCCTGTTTTTTATGATGTGATCACTAATAGCGCGACCTGGGCTATATAATCAAGATGAAGAAGGGCATATCTAACTGAAGATCGGCTGATGGTGCGTCAAATAAGCGACGCGTTAAGTTCTTCGAAAATTGCAAACGAGTCAGTACTTGTAGATCCAGCAGGTTCTTCGTGTCAAGCAGATCAACATGAAGAACAAAAATAACATCACAAGTACAACTACATCAATTCAGCTGAACTGACAATGACTTCTTATAACAAGCCTGGTGGTTCTACAACTTGAAGTTTCTACTTGTTCATGTACAGGAAAAGAGTCCTCTGCCCAAAATATGCGGGTGTCTTTTGGGCTCCATGCACAACAACGACAACAAAATCATGCTCAATTAAGTACCCTTCTTATGAAATCTCCATGAACAGAAGACATTACTGCGAGCAATGCTTTTGAGATAACTTTAGAATTTGAAAATCGAGAGCAGATGATCTTTCCCAACTGAACGTTCACACATCTCCATCAGATGATCTTTTCCAACAAGATAGTGATAGGGCCGCTTTTGCAATATTAAGAGGACATGCATAGTCCAAGTCCTAAATTGCTTTTTGTCATCTGGTAAGGCCTGATTTTCTAAGGCAACGAATCGTGGAGAATTGGAGATGATGCTTCTTCTTGTGAATACATAGTACGAGTTCTTAAATACAGGTTGAAGTTAGTTGTACTTTATCATAAAATGTGACAAAATCGAATATGCTCAGTCCTGGTCCTATAATTCTTTCTTCACACAAATAACGTCTGAGGTCTTCATCTACACGACCATCCTGTAGTTGGACCTGAACAAGATTACGAGCTTCCACTCTCAGAAGTTGAAGTTGGTCCATTCAATTGATGTTATTGAATACGAAAAGATGTATGAAGCAAATTACTAGCGTATTTATGATGTTGAGACTTTGGACAAGCACACCAGAGGGCGTGGGTGTCGTCGTCGCAAGAAAAGCTATATTCTTCTCCTTTCGTATTTGAGAGTTTGCTTGATTTTCGTTCATGAGAGGTGTCAAGCATTCTGCTGATCGGGAAAAAGAATATGATGAAGATGACCAAGACGATGTCTTTGTGGCCTTATTTCTTGTACTGCATATTAGAATAAATATCAAGGCACGCTGATAGCCCTAGTAGGAAGAGTTGGAGCTTGCTCGCCGACACTGACATTCTGAAGAATCTGCGATTTCGAGATGACAACTGGAGCTGTGGAAGCCGCACTCTAGATTCATTTGCAATTAAAAACATTTGCTTGTACTACGAAAGAAGTTAGATTTTGAAATCTGAAATTAATATTTTATCATGGTTCATCGTTAATAAAGTGAATAGTGAAGATAGATACAGATAGTTGTAAGCGTTCGGGTTACTAGACCATTGACATAATTTTCGGATACGCGTAAAATAAATGACAAATATTCGTTGTGTCTTGCATGAATCAGCCTCGATGCCTAAGAATTGAAGGAAGTAGGCATCAAACTGTAAGAATCCTATGGAGGCCGCGATCTTAGCCGCAAGGATCAGAATCTAAATGATATTTAACTCAGCGTCTACAACTTTTCGTCATCGCTGACTTCGTCCCATCCCCAATGATGCCAGCATCAACTACATTTATTTACAAAGAACACACGTCGACATCGAACAAGTCGCTATTTCCCTACAACTATTTTCGTTGCTATAATATGAAGAATGATGAAGGTGCTAGATTGTAGGTGTATTAGTCAAGTACATGGCAAGATGGAATCTTGAGTAATCAATTTTTAAGTCACTCCTTCCAACTTTCTCTCATCCTATTTTTTGATTTGAAGGAAAGGGCAGAACAACACAGAAGATGAACAACTATACTCTACATGGAGAATCAGCCTAGAGTTTCCTACGGGTTTCCGGAAGTGTTGTAGGCTAGAAAGTTTTGAAGAGTGGTTGTATGTCCGTTTTTTCTCTCAGTTATAATTATTATAAGTTGATAGATAAAAAACATAACAGAAAAAAAATCTATATTATTAATCTATATTATTAATCTATATTATTAATCTATATTATTAATCTATATT